CCCACGCGGTAGGACACGAGAAAGGTTTTTCATTTTAAAAAAGCGAAGGATTTACAACCTGTGCCAGTGTTCTACAATTTTCTAAATCACAAGATGAATATGTACGTATTGTGTGAATGCTTTTATTTTTTTATTTTTTTATTTTTCCAGTAATAGGCAACAGATAGACAAAGTGGTTATAGCTTATTCGGTTCAATGGATGTTTAGTCAATCAGATTGCACATATCAGAGTAATTTTTGAAACGAGACATTTTTTATGCACTACCTTTGTTTCTTTCAGGTGTTGGCCGCAAGTATCATGGGCGTGACTTTAAGCGGCATGCAAAGACCTTCCTTAACTCTGGTACGAAATATAAGCTATATAAACAATTGTATTTACGCATTATGAGGGATCAATTCATTTTCCGCCAGGTGGAATGTACGTTAAATAATTCCCAGTAGATATACCAATACATAAACCTTGAGTCCATAAGAGAGGAAGTAGCAACTTTTTGTGATACCTTTTTTATTTTTCACTATTTGTTTATAATTTTTTTTTGGCCCTTTGCAGATGAACGCCTTGCAGTCTGTGAGCGTAGCCTGTGCTGCAGTATCAGCGATAACCGTGTACCACTATCTGGTAGCTTTGTCCAGTTTGATGGCTTTGGGTTATACCTCAACGCTAAGGAGAGGTTACTATAATAAAGATCCCTTTTTCTTTGATTCGGACCAGCTGGCGGACGTAAACTTTACCGCAAAGCAAAACTCCATGGTGGCTGTATCTTCCCTGATCATCATATGCTCCATCCTTGAGATCATTCTTGCGGTGGCAGCCATTAGGAGCAGTAATATAACTGGTCGGAGCTCGCAGGAACAGCAAGTAAGAGAAGTTGATGATTGTCAGATTCTTAACTCTAAACAAACTCGATTTTTCTGCGTTATCAACTCGAATCAAATTGATGATCAGTCAATTAGTCAGTCAGTTATCTGTCCAGTCAGTCAATTTTCGTCAAAACTTTTCGTTTGGGCAATCAGACATTGACCTAATTAGTCATGTATTTAATCAACATGTTTGCCAGCACGCTATAAACAAACCAGTCGGAGACGTTTGTTTGCTAAATTGCCTCGACTACACGGTGTGTAAACGATATTTTACAATTATTGACCCAAGTGAAGGTGAATAGTGGAGAGATTTGCCCAGCCGCGAAGCGACAACGAATGATTATCTTAGTATATACCACACAGAAACAAAAAAAAATAGTTTATTTATGTCAATTTACTGAAAATGAGTCGATGATTAAATTGTCAACGTGCAAAAAGCACTATTCACGTGTGTGGTATACGCTAACACCTAATATTCCTCAATTGTAACTGGTGGATTACATTAAGTGGATCACAAAAGCGAAATCAAAACAGCCAATCAGCGCGCACGATTAGCACTACTCACCTGTGTGGTTTATAACAACACCGGATATTCCTCAAATCGCGCAAGAGAAGAAAATGTAATGGACTAGAAGCAGGAACCATTACTTGGAGCCCTCATCTGCCCTGTATTTTTGTCACGGCGTTTTAACGGACAAGCCTATTTAAGTTTGAATTTATCGCGAATTAGGACTCCTCAAGAGAGCACATCTACCAATCAAGCGCCTGGTTAATTTCAAACTTTACTCGTTAATATATCGAAAGAAAAATGGCTGAGAGATGCAAGGATTCTTGCCATTGTCAAGAGTTAGGTTTGTCTTCAGTAGAACTTTCCTCGGAACTGCTACTTCCCGAGGTATTTTCAAAATATTCACACCACAAGCGTCCCAAGCTCACGTCTCTAGAAAAAGCAAACGATTGATTCATGAAAGCGTCACGCGTTGTGTGACTCGGTGTTAACTTAGGAGAGGAACCGTTGGGAATTTGATCACGTTACGAGGATAGCATGGGGAACGAAGTACGGTCAATTTACAACGATAAATATTTCGAAATATGAACATTTTACACGTAAAATCAATAGAATTTACTCACATCTTGTGTGTCTGTTGTGGTTTCGGGCATTCTCTGCCGTTTTAAGCGTGCTTTGCCATCACTGTTATTCCTGTTATACAACAAAATCATTGAAGTGTACAGCCTTGACCTCGTCATATAAAAGGAATAACAGTGATGGCAAAGCAAGCGTAAAACGGCAAAGAACGCCGGAAACCACAACGGACACAAAAGATGTAAGTAAATTATACTGATTTTACGTGTTAAATATTCATATTTCGAAATATTTATTGAAGTAAATCGACCATATTTCGTTCCCCGTACTACATGTTCAAATTCTCAACGGTTCCTATCGTAAGTTAACACCGAGTTACAGAACGCGTGACGCTTTCATGAATTAATTTTTTGCTTTTTCTCGAGACGTGAGCTTGGGACGCTTGTGGTGTGAATATTTTGAAAATACCTCAGGAAGTGGCAGTTCCGAGGAAAGTTCTAGTGAAGATGAACCCGACTCTTGACTATTCAATGATCAAAGCGACAATAGGCGCCGTGAATTTTGTCGCCTGCAGCAATTATAGATCGCACTTCACAAAAATAACCAAGATTTGACAAGATTGAAGCCCAATTCGAAAGATTAGCATTATCTTGCGATCTAAATAAAACGCTATTCATTTTGTTGCACCAGCTTCTGTTCAATCCAGCGTCGCAAAATGTTCTTTACGCACGGTGTGGATGAAGATTCTTGAGATGAAGACGACTCGCACATAGCTTGCTCAAGCAATTTCTTGTTTCCGCGCTCTCCATCATCGCTGGCATTGCGCCGCTTCATCGTCTTGAATTTGAACTCTTTTCATGAAATTTTCTTTAGCGGGGCCAGAATCAGAAGACAGATAATCTTTGATACACACGAAAATAAATTAATAAAAAAATTAAAATAAAAATACAACGATGATCCGCACTTCTGCCAATATTTTTCGCAAGTGTGATAAAATTCGCAAAGGATAGTGAGATATGTAAGGAAAAGAATGATTGGAATACTGGAATACAGCAAAAGATAAGCGGAATTTGCGTAGTTTTGATATGAAGACGTCCCCGCATAGGACCGCCTTTTTTTTTCTTCGCGTTTCATGGATCGTGTTACCTAAGTGAGCTCGAGTAGCCTATTTCCCGCGAAAGATAGTCTAAAAATAAACCGTTCCGTGAAAATGCTGTGACAAAGGGTCAGTATGGGAGTTGGACGCTTTGAGTAATAGGTTCCTGCTACAAGTTATTAAATAAACCAGGGTAATGAAACACATCATATCTCAATTCATTTTCAGGTAAGCATTTGCTATGGCCAACTTGAAGCTGGTCAGGTGCCGATTCAAATGCAAGGGCAGCCCACCTCAGTTGAAGCCCAACCAGTGGTGGCTTTTCCAGAATCAGGCGTTTGCCCAGGGTACACTAATAATTAGTAGCTACAGTCGAACCTTTATTAAGCCGTCACCATGTATTAAGCTGTCAGTTGCAATTGTTGAAGTCCCGAATGTTTTATTCCTTAATCACTGTAAACTGCACCTATATTAAGCGGTCACGTCTATTTGGCGGTCGTAGTCACCGTTTACTAAGTCCCATCGGCCTGTTTTTTATTGTCTTTAACTTGTATTGAACGGTCACTTTAAATGGGACCACTCAAATAAAACTAAGAATGCTATTTTAACTTCTTTTTAATCTATGTTTCACTACAACAATAAAAGTAATATTTGCGAGCGAGATTCCGCATATCAAGTGGTCAATTATGGCATAAAGTAGCGTTTTTACCGTTTTTAATAATACCTCTAAACGGTGGAACCTGAATCAATCTTTCAAACTGTATTAAGCGATTGCTCCGCCACTCCCGTGGGTGACCGCTTAATGCAGGTTCTACTGTATTGTGAACACCTTTATTAGCCCTAGAGGGTACCGCTCACCTCACAGTAGCCGACAGAAACTAATATTTTTGGTTTATGTATACGGCATATACTACTAAAACGGTTATTCACCTCAGTATCAGTGAGAATGGTGGATATTTACCTCGCAGCTTCGCAGCTCGGTAAATGTCCACCACTATTCACCTGTACTTTCGGTAAATAATTTTTGATTTAGTTCACGGGAGTGGGTTTTGCGAAATAAATAGGGAAAGCAGATAGGGGAATGGTAAGGCGTTCGAGGGCCCGTTATTATCTGGATGATTGACAATTTCATCATGCATGTTTGATTTGCTCTTGAATTTTGCAGATTTACATCTCTGCGCTTCTGCTAAGGCGATTTAATTTAGCCTTGCATTATGCCGCCAGATTTGATTTCACCAAGCTTATACATTGTATGGATAATTTCTTTGCACCTGCATTATGCTGATTTTCTCCGCACTTTCATTATGCCTATTTCAAGTGCACTTGCCTTGTGTTGTTTTGATTTACAACTGCACTTGGCCGATTTTCTTTGCACTTGAATTATACCGATTAGATCTGCGCTTAGATTGAAATTATTGTAGATTCAATAATGCTTTCGCTACTTTCAATTGTGTTCCGTTTCACTCTATAGTTTCCCCGAGATATGGAGTACAAAACAAGGCAGATATACATTCAATGAGTCTGGCAGTTTCTCTTGATCAACTCCAGATCTCAGTTTGACGTCAATGAGCTAAATGCAGTCACCTGCATGGAAATGTGAACACCAAAACTCTAACTTTTGCGTCTCGTTTATATTTAACGAGTCATGGAATTTCTCTTGATGAACTCCAGGTTTTAGACGATGAGTTGGAAGTGGTCATGAACACAGTTACTCGAACTCTCGTATTTCCTATGCCTCTTCTACACGACTATAATGAGTGGTCCTACTTAAATTTGTCTTACAAAATATTTAAAAAATAAAAAAACCGGTTATTCTGGTTTTCGCATTACGTGTTGTCACGAAAGTGAGACAGAGCTCTCAACACTAGTTCATTCTCTCATCCAATCCCTCAGTTGAAACTAGTTGAAACCAGTTGAAACCAGTTTGTGATCGCATGACTTAATTCGATGCCTAATTTGAATACAAGTGTTGCCTGAGCGTCTGGGTCGAACAGCACGTGTTTTAAGCACTGCGACTGAACTGACTCCAAATGGCTCTCAACAGACGCGACTTGAAGGTGATCTCGATCACCCAGCTCATCCTTTGTTTGGTGTTTCTCATTTTGGGCCTTGTGGATGGATTAGCTGTGCGATTCGTGTATTCCAGCTTGACTTTCACACCATGCTGGTTAGCGACCCTTGTAAGTATACATCAAGTTTACAAACTCGTGCCTTAAATGAAAATTTAACCATTTCTTGTCTCGATATTACGGAAGAAAATCCTATACATTACGAGTCCAGGGAAGTCTTTTTCGGTATTTTACAGTTATCAACAAAACAAAACTTTGCACAACGACTCACTTCATTAGGCAAGCAACCGAGGAGATTTATTAATTCCTCTGTTGTGTAAGTAATCAAATTATTTCGAGTAACATTTGGGATAGATCAGAGATTTTTCAAAGCCTCAACAAGCCTTTAAGAACTATCCGTCGGGCGGGTGCAAGTTCTAGTCTTTGAAACATTTACGAGTTCTGATTTATCCCAAATTTTACGGGAGCAAATCATGTGATTACTTGTTAATAATAGACAAATTATCATTGTCTCTCTTTGTCGTGTTTATTTCGTGTTATGGCTCACTGGTTCGGCCGCTGCCCTGCAAGAACTTGTCTTAAATTTTTAAACAGGCTGTCGCGAATAATCAAGCTTCGCACTATTTCTCAGTAAATTAACGTGTTCTCCGCCAATGTCAGTTCAGCAATCGGAAACATGCATGAAATCTATCTGTTTGACAAAATAAAAATGTCTTATCGATTTACAAGATGTTTGTTCAATCAGGGCGCGCGCCTGCAATGTTTTTTTGTGACCAGCACGAACAATATAGCATTTCCAATGACATTTCTTTTCATACCTTTCTATTTTTTATTTTAGGTGTTTAACGCTGGTTTCATGGGCTTGGTTCTAAGCAGCATGTATAGACCTTCCTTGACTCTGGTAAGAAACGTAAACTAGTGTAATTGTGCTTCATGAGGCATTCATTCATTCTCCACCACGTTGAATGTAAATGTTAAATTATTTACGGTAGATAGACCAGATACATTTATAATGGTAATTGAACTGAGTAGAGTGTAATTTGGGCTGAAATCATACGCGTGATTTCAAAATTGAACGAGCGCGCAGCATGAGTTCAATTTGAAATCACAAGTATAATTTCAGACCAAAATTGCACAACACGAGGTTCAATTACCATTTTATTACATCCATTTTGAAATCGCCCAAATACAGGACTTGGTCAGTTCAAATATTTATTACTACAATACTGAGCCAGTTTGGAATTAAAGTCATCCATTTTTTGGGAGGAAAAAATAAGAGTTTTGGAAACAAAAGTTGCAAAATTTGCCGCATGATCCTTCATGTCTTTCATCTTCCTGCAATTTGATCGGTTACTTTAAACAAGCCTTGAAGTCTGATTGGTTGTTTTGTTTTTAGTGTAGCTTCCTCTTCAACTGGAAAAAAGATGCGATTTAAAGCCAAAAATGGTGCAATTCGTGAATAAATCGCACCAATTAGAGCCAATCAGATTACAGGGACCACCAGTGATTTCAAAATGGGTGTAATAAATCTTGATACCATGATCAACTTGCGCTGCAAAATAGCTACAAAATGTATTTTAGAGGAATTAGCAACTTTTTGTGACGCCTTTTTAATTTTATATGATTTTTCTTTTCCATGGCTCCTTGCAGATGAATTTCTTGCAGTCTGTGAGCGTAACCTGTGCTACAATATCAGCGATAACCGTGTACCACTACATGTTCGCTTGGTCCAAATTGATAGCTTTGAATTCGGAAGGTTACTTTCCCAGCAATACAAATCGCTATTTCCTGGGAAAAGACGAGGATACAAAATTCACTGGAAAGCAAAAATCCATGGTGGCTGTTTCTTTCCTGATCATCATATGTTCCATCACTGAGATCATTCTCGCGATAGCAGCCATCAGGAGCAGTAATATAGATGTTCAGGGCCCGCAGGAATCTCAAGTGAGAGAAGTAAAGGATTGACCTATTGTTCATTTTTACAGACTCAAATTTCGTTGCAATCGATTTGAAATCAGTTTGATGGTCAGTCAGTCGATCATTCGGTCAGTCGGTCAATCAGTTTGGCAGTCAGTCAGTCAGTCAGTTATCAATCAGTCAGTTGGCAGTCAGTCGGGTGGTCAGTTGATGAGTTGGTCAGTCAGTCAGTCGGTCAGCCAGTTAGGTGGTCAGTCAGTCAGCCAGTCAGTCAGCAAGTCAGTCAGTCAGTCAGGTAGCCAGTCAGTCAGTCAGTCAGTTAACTAGTAGGTTGATCAGTCGGTCAGCCGTGCAGTCAACGAGTGAGCCATTTACTTATTCAGTCAGTCAGTCGGTCAGTCAGTCAGTCGGTCAGTCAGTCAGTCGGTCAGTCAGTCAGTCAGTCAGTCAGTCAGTCAGTCAGTCGGTCAGTCAGTCAGTCGGTCAGTCGGTCAGTCGGTCAGTCAGTCAGTTGGTCAGTCGGTCAGTCGGTCAGTCAGTCAGTCAGTCAGTCAGTAAGTCAGTCAGTCAGTGAGTCAGCCAGTCAGTGAGTCAGTGAGTCAGTCAGTCGGTTAGTCAGTCTGTCAGTCAGTCAATTGGTAAGTCAGTCAGTAAGTCAGTCAGTTAGTCAGACAGTCAGTCAGTCGGTCAGTCAGTTAGTCATCATGTCTTTATTCATTTTCAGGTAGGCGCTCGATATGGCCAACTTGAAGCTGGTCAGGTCCGGGTCCATATGCCAGGGCAGTCGAATCCAACTACACTCCAACCAGAAGTGGCTACTCCAGAATCAGGCGAACCCCGACGTGCACCGTGACTCAATAAATACCGTGAACGTTCCAATTAGCCCCAGAGAGGGAGAGAGGGGGAGGAGATAATCAAATTCCAAATTTGTAGATGTCTTAATAACTAGTTTGACCCTCAAAATTGACATAAAAATTTTTTGTAGTACGAGAATTAATAAAAAAGCATACAAATCATACCCGTTTTGGTTTAACATTATCTTTACTAAAGCCTCAGGGAGTGTTGGTAATTTTAAAATATCTAAGCATTTACATGTCTAAACATGATCTCGTTCTCAAAGCCATCGTTGGCCCAGATAAGCGAAGAGAAACCGGCGATCATTGCGACAAGTCTGAGAAGGTGATATTGTGCATGTTTCACTGATTCAGTTTTTAGCTTAAACGTCACGGAAATATATTCAACTAGACGTGGCGCTCAGCTCGAAAAGAATTGAAAATCATTTCGATTATTCAGCTGGTAATGGCTGCTATCCTTTTTGCACTCGGCATTGTGGACCATTTTGAAGTACGCTACATATAGCAGCTCTTGTAAATGCACAAGACATCGAACTACGGGTGTTTTATTGCCTACGCTCATGCTTTTGACAGTTAACATTTGAGAAATTCAAGTTCACGGGGAAGATGTAAAACTCCTTTTTCTGGTGGTTCTCTTCGTTTCAATAATCCGACCACTCCGACTAAATTTCTCAGCTGCCTTTCATCGGGGAAAGTAGTTTGAGAATGGCGCTCAATATTTAGTTTAAGAGCTAGCGATAAGTGCTACAAGGTATGGTGTTCATAAACCGAATACAAATATTATTACAGCTGCGAAACTAAGATAGGGAAGCGAAATCCGTTATTCTAAGAACGGTGGTTGAGACATATGAAAAGTCAAAATCGAGACTGCAGAACGAAGCTTGAATTGTTTTATTCTGCTGTAGAGGAATTAATTTAATAAGCTGATAGGTCGTGATACCGCACAAAATTAATCGACTGTTCCAAGAACTGCACCACAAATGGGCCAATTTTTTTTAAGAATGTGACTTCTACCAAACTATAAAAAACCTTGCTAAACGTACAGAACATCTTTCCACTTGTTTTCAAACTTCTTATGATCAATTTCCGCTCCTGTCGGCCCATTTGGTTTTTGACCTGACATTGCTTGACTGTATAAAGTACGGCAGTAGTCTTAAACAAGACATTTAATTCATTCGCACCAGGAGTAATACTAAGATGAAGTTCGATAATTTGTTCAGGTACTCAAACGACTTCGAGTGCAATTAGGAACACAGTAAATAAGCACGAGTAGCTAAACATACCATAGAGTTACCTTTTGTACACAGAATTATCTCTCTCTGGTTTTGTGTTACCTATAAACTGCACTTTTATGAGTCTCTGACTGAATTTTGTAGGTATCTTATTTGATATGAGATGTGATGAAAACATTTATGGAATACATAAACTATTAAAGGGGAGGGGAATTAACTATTTTTTCACAACAAGAGCACGCCGTTTGAAATCAAGTCGTCTTCCTGCCGTATCGCACGGAAAAGCTTATTATACTGTAAACACTGCGCCGAATCCAAGTTATAGGTAATTATGCTCGATAGAAGAGCGGCATTTGGATCAGTTTAGGTTGGGCTTTGTCGCCACAATCCAAAAGGAGGCCGCTCTGTATTTACGATGTTTCGAACCATGCATAATTTATTACAATGTTTTTCGATGCAACGTTTATGATTTCCGTATAATTGAGTGGTGAGAACGGCCATGGGGAACTTTATTTACCCAACGTTAAACCTAAGCAATTACAATATCATGAATGTTAATATAGATACCAACACTAATTTCTACCAATACTCTGAGTATTCTCAGATTATAAGAAGTAAGGTCGTTTCTCTCGATGAAAATTGGATCGTAAATATTCTTGGGTATAATTGTGTAACGTTATATATATCAAAATAGATTTACTGATCATACGTTGATGATTCATGTTTCTCCATTCGATACCATTTCACTTAATTTCAGGAGGCCTGAATAGAGGACGAAAAGCACGGCAACAATATTCCCTCGGGTTTTAAAACTCGTCCGTAACTATACAAACGAGCTTGTAACGGTTTTGTAAACAAAGCTCTTTTTTCAGGCATTGCACTTGATTTCCAAAACCTAAATTTTGCTTCTTACTTGGATAGGTATTGCCAACGGGCATTATGGGATTTATTCTGGCAATCAGGTCAAGACGTTGAATAATACAGTGCAGCAATTTTGCTCGTGCTGCAGTATTCAAAACTCGATAAATTCAAAAGAAGAACCCTCGGTCGTTTCACGCCTTACCGGCTCCTGACATTTCCAAAAAGAAAAACTCGCTTAAATTATATTTCTATCATAAACCGCAGTTGTTAAGCTTTCTTCAGATATTTAGTTTGCTACGGTTTTAGTGAAACTTGCGCGCGCACGAATTTTCTCCCGAAGGACACCCGCGAAGGTGGAAGGTAACCTTAAACTAACATTGGCTAAAGTTGTATTGAAGCTCAGAAAATGATTGCGTTCTCTCCTGATATAATGATTTCAGATAAATTGGCTCACTTCAATTAGTATTGCCTCTGTTGTGGTTTCTGCGCTGGTACTTCAAGCATATTCATGGGCTCTGAAATCTTTATAGGGTTTCAAATACGACAAATACGATAGTCCAAACTACGGCAATGCAAGTTGTTTCACTACTTTTGTGCTTAAGACGCAAAAATCAAGTTTGAAGACCAGGAAAACACCATGATAGCCATACATGCCTTGATTGTCATATTTACCATCTGTGAGATCATTCTCGCCGTGGCAACTTCTCAGAGCAGTGAAACTGGGCGTCAGTCGCCGCAGGAAAATCAGGTATGTTGCGCTACTCAGAGAAGAGTTATTAACCTTTTACACCTTAACATCAGAATACATTTTCTCCATAACATTCTTTATACATTTCCTATGATATTGACAAAGAGAATTTGTTAAACGATTAAGAGCCTCTTTAGTTATGGATCATTTCCTTTATTCTCATGACCTCAATGTTTGTTTTAGGGGTGATACTGAGAGGAGAAAATAGTTACTAATCAGTCTTAATGGTTAAAGGGTTAATCGAATAGGGCACTGAAGTCTAAAAGCAAGGGTCCTCACTTCATCTCCCCTTCATCATCCTTTGCTTTCGCTCGACTTACTTTGACTTTCTTCGTCTCACCTTACCTCCCTTGTCCATTGTTTCCATCCCTCTCTCTCCCCCCCCACCTCACCTTCCTCTCTTTCTCTCTTTGTTTCTCCCTCTCTTTTTCTCTCTCCTGTTCCCTCTCACTTCTACCTAATGTTTAAAAGTGGCCTCCTAAATTTCTTAGTATTTTTATACAAACGTTAATTAAAAGCTATATTTTTCGATCTGCGCGGTAATAAAGTTTTAAAGAACTGCTCATGAAGAAAGGCTCAGTGGCCTTGTAACATCGCTTTTTTCAAATATCATATTTAGCTTAAAAGCAATAGTATGAGTGCATAACCAACGATGAATCTGCGATCTCGTGGCAAAAACTTACGTAACGTAAAGAAACGAAACGTAACTGTCACCTAACGTAAATGAATTGTATTTCAACAAGGCTTCAGAAGCTATGATGTCGTAGAAATACTGTGGCAAATAACATGTTATAGAAGAAAAAAAGTGTTGAGCAATAATAATTGCTTAGGGTTAGATCTAGTGCAAGTGACTAAGTATTAGTTATCAGGCATTTAATTACACCCTAGAGGGTTTAGGTCAGAAAAACATGCAAAGATATTGAATCTTGCTGTTCTAAATAAGCATCTGGTCGTTACGATGTTCTAATTTCGTTATTTTGGGACAGGATTTTCTTCGAAGCTTAAAGTAAAATCCTGTTCAAATCCCTCATCCTACAAATGTCGGAAATCGAAAGTGGAAAAGTACCGATCCAACTACAGGCTTTTCCAACACAACCTATGATGACCATTCCGATCTCTGAAGCCAACTAGGATTGCTAGCTTCCAGCGGTCACGGCGCATGTAGTCACTGAATGTTAGTTTTTTTGCTCAGCGACCTTGTAACATTGCTTTTTTAATATATCATATTTAGCTTAAAAGCAACAGTATGAGTGTATAACTACCGATGAAGCTGCGATCTCGTGGCAAAAACTTACGTAACGTAAAGAAACGAAACATAACTGTAACGTAACAATAATTGTATGCCAACAAGGCTTCAGAAGCTATTACATATTAGAAATAAAGTAGCAAATACCATGTTATTGAGGAAAAAAAATGTTGAGCAATAATAATTGCTTAGGGTTAGATCTAGTGCAGGTGACTAAGTACCAGTTATCAGGCATTTAATTACACCCTCCCTCCCCCTCCCCCCCCCTTCCCACTCAGCTCCGTTGCTTTTGTTGTTTTACTTCAACCGAGGCTTTGTTTTCTTTGATATTTGAGTGACACTTGCTGGATAATTCTTCCCAGATCAATTCATGGTCAGCGCAGCCTATCTCATTATTACTTAGAACCGCTCGCAGAGGGCAGTCAGTTTTTTAAATTGCACCTATTATCGTATAAACCGTGGTGTTTTACAAGGATTTCCAGCCCAAAGAAAAACCGTAACAGCACAGGTGAGAACATCCATGACTTTGTATTTACCTATCCCTCCCTTGTTACATAACCACGCAAACAGCTGTTAAGGTCCTGTGGAGTCCATTGACGTCATCAGTCGTATAAATCGTTGTTTGAGTTTGCCAAGGAGTCCTGCGAAATGGCGTCCAACAGACGAGACCTTAAAATTATCTCGATCGCTCAGCTTGTAATGGCAGGTATCCTCTTCGTGCTCGGAATGGTTGACCATTTTGAAGTTCGCTACATGTATGCCAGCCTTATATTGATGCCAATTTGGATTTCTCTTCTTGTAAGTACATTATATTTCTCAAAAGAATGCAATTACAAAGTTGTGCCTAAATTTACATTTTCTAACAGAGGGTTTAGTTCAGGAAAACATGCAAAGATATTGAATCTTGCTGTTCTAAATAAGCATCTGGTCGTTACGATGTTCTAATTTCGTTATTTTGGGACAGGATTTTCTTCGAAGCTTAAAGTGAAATTCTGTTCAAATCCCTCATACTACAAATGTCGGGCAAATGTTTTACGTAGAATTACATTTTACTGGATAATCTGAAACCATTAGGATTCATAACCCTTCCACCTGCAAATATCTGGTCCGTAATTCTTTCGATAAGAATACAACTACACTCTCAAACTAATTCAGGATATGATGACATTGGAGACATAGAAAACAAAGTTCGCCCCTCAAAAGCGAATCGGTCGTCTGTGACTTGGGAACATTCAACTTTTGTTGTTTTTATTTGTTGAGCGATCGAAGAAGTTCGAAGATTGAGATTTATATTGCAGTACTTCGATAAAACAGTCCGCATCATTCTAAAGTTATTTTAGGACATCTCTCAGTTTTGTCGCACAGTCAACAAAATAAACATTGCGCAAGATGTTTTACACTAGCGAAAGTCGATCAGAAATGCAAATGATTACATTGCCAGACGAAGGGAACTCGATGATTTGACCTCGAATTTCTCTTTTAAGAACAACCTAGGCGGTTTTTTTTTTAAGACAGAAGTTTTAAGAAAAATCTGTCGATGAAAGTGTTTTTGGATTCAATACACCTTGGATTGCGTGGGGCACTAAATCGAGGCTGTCGAATGAACTTAAAGTGGTGAAAATTTATGTTTCTTCAACTTTCCTTCGAATGAGTTATTGAGATCTACATGGATTGCCGCTACAAGTACTTCATAGATAAAAAAAACTGCTGGCTGAGTCCTCCATCGAAAGGAATAGTCGATCACTAAAAACACGTGCATATAACAGCTCATCGGTCACCACGCGACTTTTACCTTGAAATCTAGCCCTTCATCTCGCCTTGTAGTGGCAATCCATTCCGATCTCAATAAATCATTCGAAGGAATGTTGAAGAAAGATAAATTCTCACCACTTTAATTTCGTTTGTCGTTACTAGAGAAATTAACGCAGCAATGATCGTGGGCCATGCTTTCTTGTAGGCTTTTTCTGCAACGTTAAAGAAATTTGACGCCAACGGCTCCCAAAAGTTACCATAGGTTAGGTAATTAGATTGCATAGACTTAAGTCACACTAGCTAAAGGTTTCTATTAAGTGTCTACAATCAGTGTGTATGACATCTGTCAATCAAATAAAGCCGGAAAGCCAACATTTTACAGAAATTGCTTTTCTTCCACATTAAATTGAAGACATTTGAATAAACCTACAATGAATCTACTGCTTCGTTTGTCTCTATTCCTAATCCTACTTCAATGTCTCTTTCCACTTTAACGGTTATTACTAATTTACAATTTTACGACGATCAGTCGAAATGTGCTCTATCATTTCTGTATTCTTATCGATTAATCGATGTCCTTCAAGGACTTGCGAGCTGGAATAAAGAAATAAGTACCTTCTCAAAAGTGACAATATTGAAATCAACTCCGATATTAATAGTTTACATTTTATAAATATTGATCGAGCGGTTGAATGTTCTTCTAACTGTTTTTTTAGGTCTTACCCATTGGCATCATGGGATTGGTTTTAGCCGTGAACGGGTCCAGACCCTCTTCTGCTTTGGTGAGAATTAAAGTAGCATAATACTTTTAACAGACTTCCTTGTTTATTTTTATCATTCTTTGCTTCTCCTTGATATTTTTCCGCCGATCGTGCCCTTTAAAGAATATTATGGCGTTTGACCGAGAACTTTGTACCTCTAAAATCTTAACGTTTAAAACACGAGTGATTTTACGCCATGAAAACTTAGCTTCCCGTGCCATTCATTGTTGCAGATGAGCGGCCTGAGGTCAGTGAGCATTGCATGTGCCGCTCTATCAGTTCTAACCACATTTACCTATGCGATGGCACTCAATAGCATATTATTCATCAAATATATGGAGGCAAAAACTGAATACCAGGAATCTCCATGGTTTGCTGACAAAGGTGCAAAAATCGAGTTCCGGAAAGAGGAAAAAACAATGGTAGCTGTACATGTCTTCATTATCATATGTTCCATCCTCGAAATTATACTTGCCATAGCAAGTGTTCGGACCGCAAAGGCCATGGCTAAGGAGCCTCAAGACACCCAGGTTTGTGCAGTTACTCTATATGCAAGTAATAAGTTAGATATGACCATGATAAAAGAACTTATGATCCGAAAGCACTACATCAAAAACTTCAGTAATGTTACGTACTCCTGATGTAAACAATGTCATCTTTGAAAAGATCATTCAAGTACTCATGTAATTTCTTTGTTTTGCAAACGCGAAATTTTTAAATTCAGAATTGCATTACTTTGAGAGGATTTTAGGAATCATTCATTTTTTTTTCAGCTAAGGGGACTTTGAGGACCCGAGGGTTTTGTTTATTTTACAATAAAATTTACCACACTCCCCCCCCTCAAAAGGCTCTTGAGTATTTTCATGATCCCCCCTTCCCTTATTCGCGGTCAATTGTCTACAGCCTTCCCCCCCTTTATACTCTGTTAGCGACGACTGGTCCACCCTCCATTCCCCCTGAAAACCATGTGACCCCCTGAAAGACCTCAGACCACCCCCAGCGATGAATAATGAAGTTGTTTGTCACTTAAGGGGACTTGGGGGATCGGAAGGTTTTGTTTGTTTTACAATAACAGTAAACTCATTCCCCTCTAAGGCACTGGACGATTTTTATGATTTCCGCCTCCCCTCTCCTTATTGGAGGTCAATTTTCTACAGTCCCCCCCTTTATACTCTATTAGCGATGACTCTTCCTCTCCGTTTCCCCTCAAATCCTAGTAATCTCTCCGAAAAACCTCCCACCCCTACCCCATCCCCCCATCCCAACGTGATAAATATTGACAAGTACCTTACGTAAAATATTTTTCATTATATCTAAACAGCAGGAAAGCGCTGCCTATCGTGTAGTGGCAGAGGAAGATGTCCCTTTGTTATTCTCGAGTTCAGATCAAGAGGCAGCTTAGATGGCATCAGTTCCATACACTGCTGTACAGAGGGCGGCCTGATGTAATTTATCGCTTTTTTAACGCCATGATAGCAAATTTATTGTTACGACCACAAATCCGAGAATGTTATTAGAAGTAAAATTAGCATTTGATTTTTTTTATATTTTGATATTAATTATTTTTTAATCTTCTTTTTAATCTTTCTTCCATTTTTTCTATTCCTTTTATTTTTCCGTGGCGTACCCGTAAACTAGTTTTTTAGCTAAGTGTACTGACCACGTTAAATACATAAATTGATTGATTAATTGCAGTAATTTATGTCATTTCGTGCCCCAGATTTTTGCTAGATATCTGAAGATAAAAATGTGTTTCGTAGATTGAAGAAAGCGTGAAATATAATTAACGAGTAACTTCCACGAATGTAGAAATACTGTCATCAACTTCCGACTTTTTTTGCAGCTTCACCGCATGAAGTGCTGCTGTTTATTTGCTTGTACATATTTGTATCTTGAAGGGATTAAATCTGAATAGTTCTAAGTTACTTTTGTTTTTGTTTGTCGTTAATTTTCGGGATCCAATATTCGGTACCCAGTTTTCGTCTGGTCCAACATGGCAAACGTCTAATCCAATAAGATTCTGCCATGCGTGCGTTCAAACGAACAGTTTATGTCGCGTCTCCCTTAGCTCTCTAAGTAAGTCGTCTATATGAGCGCCTTTGGTTGGGTTGAGTAGCCGAACTAGCCTCCAAAAGCTTCCCTAGAGAACGAATACGACTTACCCAGAAATCTATGGGAGACGCGAAAAAAGAGACTGAATCTACTGCGAGAAGCATAACAGCCACTCTTTCGGCAGATGAGGCCAGTAAAATACTTGAAAAGATCAGAGTTAATACCCAAAGAATATTTAACACCACGAAAGGGTTGAATTTCGCACTAACTCCATCCAACATCCCAGCCACCGAAATAGTCACCAAAACGCTTGATTCAGAGCAAGCAGACACCGTAAGACGAACTATAAACTGTATCCTTCAACAGGGCAAACCACCCAAGCTTAACATATCGAAGGATATGCAAGAAGCCGTTAAGAATCTAAAACAAGACGACACTATCACTATTCTGCCAGCGGAAAAGGCCACACTAGTGTAGTCCTAGACACACTTTACGAGAGCAAATCTTCTGATGAATTGTTTATGATATACAAGTTAAATTTATTTGACTCTTTTTGTCGTTCTTATTTCGTGTTATGGCTCCGTCACTGGTTCGGCCCCTTCCCCCGCAAGAAATTGCTTCCTAGCTTTTAAACACTCTGTCGCGAATAATCAAGCTTTGGCACCCTCTCAGTTAGGTATCGCTTAATAGCAGTAACCAGTACACAAAGGCCATCACGCCCTTAATCGTCCCCGTCTTTCGTATGAACGTGGCCTCTAGTTTGTAAGTTAATATACTTTCCAAGATCTCTAGACTGTTAGCCAGTTGTTTGTGCTTTGTCGGGTGTTTTTTTCCTCACCACTGTCCCTCCAACTCTGAATTCAAACGTTGTTACTTTTTCATTACTTGTCTGCCACTTTGTTTTGTTGTTCTTTCACGACTTTGTTGTATACCAAATTGATTTCAACTTTTTACACTCAATTTCAACTGTTCGCCCTCACAATCAACTTCCTGCACTGCATGGGATAAATCAAAGTGTTCGCAGCCAATGAGCGTGCTGAAATTTTTGTATGCATGCCATTAATTAAAAAACGTTACCTTAATTGAACTTCTTAAGCCAGACTGACTCTATCTTTTGGTTTCAGTCAAGTTATATTCTAGAAAATGTCACCGTATGTCAGTTCAGCAATCGGCAACATGCATGGGATATATCTGTTTGACAAAATAAATATGTCTCATCGATCTACAACATGTTTGTTCAATGAGGGCACACGCGGCAATGCTATTTGGTAACTGGTGTGAAAAAAATAGCATTTCTAATGACATTTTTTTCATACCCTCCTATTTTTTGAGTGTTTAACGCTGGTTTCATGGCCTTGACTCTGAGAAGCATGCAGAGACCTTCCTTAACTCTAAAAAACGTAAACTAGTGTAATTGTGCTTCATGAGGCATCCATTCATTCTCCACCAAGTTGAATGTATATGTGCAATTATTGACGGTAGATAGACCAGATACCTTTATCTTGATACCATAATCAACTTTCGCTGCAAAATAGCTACAAAATACATTTTAGAGTAATTAGCAACTTCTTGTGACGCCTTTTTAATTTTATACCATTTGTCTTTTTCTTGACTCTTTGCAGATGAATTTCTCGCAGTCTGTGAGCGTAACCTGTGCTGCAATATCAGCGATAACATTGTACCACTACATGTATAGTATTATTTGGTCAGTCTGTCAATCATTCAGTCAGTCGGTCGGTCGTTCAATGCGTTGATCGACTATCATTAATATTTTTCAAAAATACTTCCTGAACCTTTGTTCTTTATCTGTCAGTGCATTCACAAACAATATCATCATGCAATTTTTTAAGCTTTACAATTACTGATCATCTCGTAAACAGCCATGTAGGAAAACTTTGATTGCCCAATTGCCTTGACTGCACGGATGTATATAAACGATATATCACAAGATATTCCTCAAATCTTGCTGAAGCACATTGGATCCCAAGACGTGTTTAGAGGGGAGGAGATATTCAAATTTGTAGACGTTTTAAATAATTGGTTTGACCTTCAACTTGACCGCTCAAAAGGCTGTCACGTAGTACGAGAAATAATAATAATAAAAAAGCCTTACTAACAAATCGTACTCGTTTCAGTTTGAACATTTTCTTTCCCAAGCTCCAAGGAGTGTTTCTAAATGAATATTTGCTAATTCACTGTAGTTCGCTGTCGGTAAATGACTAAACATGATCTCGTTCTCAAAGCCATCATTGGCCCAGACCGGCTGTCATTGCAACAAGTCTGGGAACGAGATATTGGGTATGTTTCATTAATTCAGTTTTGGCTAATAATTAAACGTGTCGCAAATATATTAAACTAGACATGGCGTTCAGTCGGCAAGAATTGAAAACCATTTCGATTATTCAGCTGGTAATGTCAGTTATCCTTTTTGCACTCGGCATCGTGGACCATTTTGAAGTACGTTACACATACCTCAGCCATTTGTTGATGCCATGCTGGATAGCAGCTCTTGTAAGTACACGTGCCCAGAACATCGAACTACGGGTGTTTTATTGCCTACGCTCATGCTTTTGACACGGTTTAAATACGAGAAATTCGAAGCTCATTGCGAAGATGTAAAACTCCTTTTTGCTGGTGCTTCTCTTCGTTTCAATAATCCGACCACTGAGACTAAATTTCACACAACCCTCACAGTTACCTTTCATTGGGGAATGCAGGTTGATAATGGCGCTCAATATTTAGCTTAAGAGCTAGCGATAAGTGCTACAAGGTATGGTGTTCATAAACCGAATACAAATATTATTACGGCGGCGAAAATTAGATAGGAAAGCGCAATCCGTTATTCTAGGAAAAATAAAAGTTGAGACTACAGAAGTAAGATAGAATTGTTTATATTGCCGTAGAGAAATTAATTTTATAAGCGGATAGGTCGTGATACCGTACAAAATTAGTTGACTGTTCCGAGAATTGCACTGCAAATGGGCCAATTTTTCGTATTTCTGTTTAGAAGGCCAATTTTTTTTTTAAGAATGGGACTTGTACTAAACGATGAAAACCTTTGCTAAACGTACAGAACACCTTTCTACTTGTTTTCAAACGCCTTATGATCGACTTCCGCTCTTGTCGACTCATTTGGACTTTGACCTGATATCGTCTGACTACATAAAGCACGACATTAGTCTTAAACAAGATATTTAATTCATTCGCACCAAGACGTTATATTGAGATGAGTTCAGTATCAGCTCTCAAACGATTCCGAGTGCAATTAGGAACACAGTAAATAAGCAAGAGTAGCTAAACATGCAGAGTTACCTTTTGTACACTGAATTATCTCTCTCTGATTTTGTGTTACCTGAAAACTGCATTTTTCAGAGTCGATAACTGATTTTTGTCTGTATTGTATTTAATATGAAATATAATGAAAAAAATCATAGAATACATGAACTATTGGGGGAAGGGAAATTAATTATTTTTTCACAACAAGTGCACGCCGTTTGAAATCAAGTCGTCATACCGCCGTATCGCACGGCAAAGCTTATTATATTATAAACACTGCGCAGAGTCGAAGTTATCGGTTATTATGCCCGATAGGAGAGCGGCATTCAGATCAGTTTAGGTTGGGCTGTGTTGGCACAATCCAAGAGGACGCTGCACTGTATTTATGATGTGTCGAATCCCATGCATAATTTATTGCAATGTTTTTCGATACAACGCTTATGATTTCCTTAGAACTGAGTAGTGAGAACAGCCGTGGGGAAGTTTTTTTATCCAAGTATAAACCTAACTAATAACAGTATTAGTATAGGTAATCAAATGATTTCAAGTGCAATTTAGAATAAAAAAGCACGAGTAAATTAAATTTTTTCAAAGACTAACAAAATTGTAATCATTTTGTGGTGCAATTTGTGGTCTTTGAAAAATTGTGCTTATTTATTCCAAATTTTCACGAGAAAAATCATGTGTTACGTATTAATAATAGCGAAGCTCGAAGAGTGTAGCCCCATAATTATACAAAATAGTAGTAACCCATCAAGCCGAAAAAATTTGGATGTACGACCGTACGACCGTACAAGGTGCTACTTTTAACATGCGTGGTCAACTGTACCGCGGGCACGCCAACACCACGGCTTTGTTCAGTAGTCCAGTGGTCAGTGCACTGGGTTCCGAGTCGAACGACCTGGGTTCTAGACCTGGTCGGGGCAAGGCGTTGTGCCCTTGAGACGTGCGGGAAAAAAATGCGAGCTCCGCTTTTAGGCTTGGCTAAATCTTTATATTATACATGAAAAAATACGAGATAGCTTATCATAATTATGCAGAAGCAAAGCGCACGCATTAAGTGCAAAAATGATTTATTCAAACCCTGCAAGTGACATTATGCGTTCGGTCGAAACAACCGCGTACGATCAAAACAATAATATACTATGATATTTAACATCTTTCAGGCACAAAAAAGTTCAAAGTCTGACTTAACAGTTCAAGGAATTGTTCAGTCTGGTTTGTTACTTCTTTACACTGAATTGACACTCTTCTGCAACGAATTACCTGAAAACTGCATTTATCTTAACCAATCAGAACTGAGTAATTTTTTCATGTATCTTATTATGAATGTAAATATATATATACCAATACTAATTCTACTTAATACAATGTTGTATTTCTACCTATACTCTCAGTATTCTCAGATTGTAAGAAGGTCGTTTCTTTCGATGAAAATTGGATCGTAAATATTATTGAGTATAACTGTGTAACGTTACATATGTCAAAATAGATTTACTGATCATGCTTTGATGATTCATGTTTCTCCATTCGATACCATTTCACTTCATTTCAGGAGGCCTGATATAGATGATGAAAAACACGGCAACAATATTCTCTCGGGTTTTGAAACTCGTCTGTAACTGTACAAACAAGCTTGTAACGGTTTTATACTGATAAAGTTCTTTTTTTTTCAGCATTTTGCTTGATTTCCAAAACCTAACTTTTGCTTCTTACTTGGATAGGTATTGCCATCGGGCATCATGGGATTGATTCTGGCAGTCAGGGTCAGACGCTCCCCGATTCTGGTGAGAATGATTACAAACGCATATGTTATTAGATTATAATAATAATCATCTTTATTGAGGAAACTTTTTCATAAAAGATATGGTTTTCAAAAAGGACCTCAAAACTAGATATATATAGTAAAAACAAAGCTATAAAATTGCAAAGGGATTAAAAAGATACAAAAAATGCACAAAAATTAAAAATAAGTATAAGTAAAAATTAAACGTAAGTAGCTATATTAAAAACTTAAAAACATTACGTTTAAAACTATTTACATTCCTTGAGTCTTTGATCGTCTGACTGAGGGAGTTAAAATCGGAAACGGCATGATATTGTGTTCTTTGCTTCCCCCAATTTCTTTTGACACGTGGTAATCTAAAATTGCCTTTGTTACGTGTATTATGCCTATGAAGTACGTCTTGTCTAATCAAGTCTATATCGTGATTAATTAAACCATTGATGCATTTGTATAGTGTACACACCTTCTTTGAAATCGCCTTTTCTCTAGATGCAGCCACTTGAGAACGGCTAATGCCTCAGTGGAGAATGAGTACAATGGTCTATTTAAAATAACTTTAGCGGCCTTATTTTGCAAAACTTGCAAGCTAGACATAAGGGTAATAATATGTTTATCGCCCCACACAAGATCAGCATATTCAAAAAGGGGCATAACAAGACTTTTATAGAAAAGTAGACGCGCCCTGAAAGGCAATAAATGCTTTATACGCTTGAGAAGCCCAAGCCACTGATTGATTTTCCCAGTTAGGTGTTCAATATGATCAGTCCATGTGAAATCCGAAGATATATGTATACCGAGGTATTTAAAGCTGCGAACATTACTTATACTATGATCTAAAATTGAGACAGTCAAATCTACTTTGCTTTCGCGTTTCCTATTGCTACCGATAAGCATGCATTTAGTTTTGTCCAAATTTAAAGTCAGTTTGTGATCATGAAGCCATTTCGCCACACCCAGTAGATCGTTATTTAACTTATCACTCAACTCATTTGAGGATGTACCATAGCAATAAATCACAGTGTCGTCTGCATAAAGTGACGCGTAGCAGGAGTTAAGCACATTTGGCAAGTTATTTATGTAAATTACAAACAACAGAGGCCCTAAAATGCTACCCTGTGGCACCCCATGCGTGACTGGAAGTTCCTCAGATAACTCATTTCCACATGAGGTGCACTGTTGTCTACCAGTTAAGTAAGAACGGAACCAATGAAGAGCTGTTTCAGAAAAGCCGATCTCGGATAGCTTGCATAACATTATTTGATGGTCTACCGTGTCAAATGCCTCGGTTAGATCGATGAACACGGCCCCGCAAAGCTTTCCTTTTTCCATGTTTAAGAGCACTTCATCAGCAAATGAGGTCAAAGCTGTTGTGGTTGAGAAACCCTTCCGGAAACCAAACTGCTTGTTGGACAATAAATTATTGGTCATCAAGTACTGATACAACTTCAAGTGTACCGCTCTCTCCAAAATCTTGCTTAGTGTAGGGAGGATTGAGATGGGGCAGTAGTTGGAAGCGTTAGTCCTGTCACCTGACTTAAACAATGCCGTGATTTTCGCGCATTTCCACAATTTGGGAAAATGACTAGTGCGAATTGAGAGATTCAAACGTTTAACAACAGATGGTGCAATTGTATGAGCTGTGATTTTAAGAAGTCTTGCGCTAATTTTGTCTAGACCAATCGCTTTGTTTGCTTTCAATGACAAAAGCTGCTCAAGCACAAAAGATTGATCCAATTCAGTCAACTCGAACTGGAAAAGCGGGTGTTTTGAAATGGAATTTAAATTTAAGACGGAAGTCTGTATTCTACTTGCTAGAATTCGGCCAATGGAAGCAAAGAAGCTATTCATTGAAGAAGCAATGGATTGGGATGTTATATGCTGAACACCATCAGAGATAATACACTGAATACTCTCTGAAGATGAGTTCCGATTGCATGCTTCGTTCACTGCTTTCCACACCTTTTCTGAGTCACCCTTGGGTTCCTCGATCATGTCACAGTAATATTTAGACTTGGCAGTTCGTACTAAGCCATTATCTTTATTCCTAAGCTTTGCATACATTGACCAATGACGCGCCGAGTTCGATTTTCGCGCCTTTCTATGCGCCCAGTCACGTTCTTTTATAGTATCACTTATTTGACTGTTCATCCATGGAAGAGGTGTTCCCTTGACACGCCTTCTTTTTACTGGTGCGTGTTGATCAGCAGCCTCCGAAAACATTTTATTCCACGTAAACAAGGCATCGTCGACGTTGTCCTCGTTTTCAACAATATGCCAGGGAATATTCCTAAGATCATCATTAAATAAAATCGGATTAAAATTCTTATAGGAGCGATACTCGAGTATTCTCGGTTTAGTCTTTGTTGTAATACCAGCTTTGAGCGGTAGCCTTTGCCTTTAGCCTTTGTCGTAATACCAGATTATTTATGCGAAGAGAAAAAAACATAGATAGGAAAGTGATCTTCGCAGTAGTGAACATCACTTGAGCAGTAAAGAAAATAAGGCCTGTTAAAAAGTCAGGCCTGTACGGGATTTGATCTTACTTAATTCTACGTGACATTTAAAACGGTTGTTCACCAACGTGAAAGTGAAGCACTCAAGGTTAATTCCCGCCTTCGGAGGCCGAAAAAATCGTTTTTTCTTTTATTTTACTTAACTGGATCCAAACATTTAACCTAACGTTCCCATAATCTTTAAAAGCACCCGAGTTATTTAGAAAAACGTATTTGCGAATGAAAGTTATTAAATAAGGAGGGTGTAATAATCTCGTACCAGGGTGAGTCCCCCGCGGGAATTTTCGCGGCAACCGCTCATCTTTGGGGCTCGTTTTTCAAGTTATTTGCATATTTTGTTTGCATCGCGCACTTCACAAAATCCACGTGTGGGTGCTCTTTGTTTATGGAAAATTTTTTGCTTATGGAGAAATCAAAAGTGGAAGAAAGTCCGGTATATAAAAAGACAACCAACCGGGGCAAAAACAGAACCCAAAGAAGAGAGAAAGAGTACCATTCTGTCGAGAAAAGAAAAAAAATCCTTTGTGAAAGCGACTGGTACTGGCGGAGCTCCACGCTGGCGTCTAGTTCAAATGTTCAAAATGAGGTTTCCTTTTCTATATGCAAGAACTAGCGCTGATACAAAAACATTTACAATCGCCTCGAATCGTAATTTTGAAAGCCGTCTGTCGATTCTGTCTTGCTTCTCAGCACATTTTCCGGTTTTCCATTTGTGCCACGGGTTTTTCTTTTGCCTTCGGCAACTTTTCCATTATTGTGTTGCCCTCCTCAACGCTCCACTAAACGATTGAGATTAAAAAAAAAAAAAAAAAAAAAGTGTGTGCAATGGGTTACTTTTCCCGGACAATCTTGATTCATCGTAATTGACGTCAAGGGGGTCCCGTCGTCCCATTAGTTTGGGGTTTCAAGAGGCAAAATAATCTCCTGGCTTTCAAACCTTTAAGAGTAAATGTCAATAAAAATCACAGATTATCGAAAAAGTCGCGGACACGGTCAAAAATCGATTTGGTTCATTTTTTGCCTGTGGGTAGCCTTATCTAGTAAACAAACGGAAATGGGGTTAGATTTTTTAAATATGCACTTTAACGGGAATAATTTGTTTTAACATTTCCGGGGGTAAATAGCTCAAATTTCACCAAGCGCGATCCTGAAATTATGCACTTTTCGGGCACTTGTCATGCTAACAAAAATGTAACGGAAAAAAAAATGTAACGGAAGGACTTTTCTAGTCATAGAAATATTGAGTTGGACTTGTATTATCGAGACAAAGTGATAGTTTTTGTCTAATGTTATTCTTGGAGGAGCTACGTCTCTATTAAGAGACGACATCTTCGGCCTTTCGAAATTAAGGCAAAGGTGGCCTAGAATAGCTTGGCAAAAATACATGTGGTAGCGTCTCAAAGTTTACAATAACACTACCAAGAAGCCTTGAAAGATAGTTCTTTACGATGTGGGTTTTATTTCTTTGGGACCTTTGACTATCAAAAGATGACCAACAGCCGAATTTCGGTTAAATTACCATGACGCCATAATGAGTGCATAATAACAAAATTAAACGCGTCGGACACAAATAACTGTTTTAGTCAGTTATATCTTCACTGGCCGTTAAAATGACTAGAAACATATTAAAATGTCTATAACTACACTTGATTTTTATATACGGAGACAGGTGAAACAATTTTCGACTTTTGCTACCCTTTGAGAATCACGCCATAATTCTGCATAATTCTACACACAACAGGTTAAACAGTTCAATTGCACTCAAAAGGTTAAATTTGGCACAAAGCCGTTAGTGTCCGTTTACTCCTCATCCGGTGAACATGGATTCGAGCATTTGCATCCCTTCTGCGCCTTCTGCACTCGCCAGTTTCGAATTTACTGAAAATCGTCCAACACAAAGATAAGGAGGTTTCACAAGCAGTGGTGAGCTCGAGTGACTAAAATCCGATATGTAGGACTCTGCTGTCACGCAACGCCTTCATGTAAATAATACACGCACCGCTTTTATAATCAGCAGATCAGTTCTTCGTAAAACGTTCAGTGCTCAGTTACTTGGAAGAGCAGGTACACTCCTGGACTAATTGTGTGAGTCGTGCGATGAATGGCTTTTTCCTCTTCTGAGGTGAAATGTCAGAAATATCCAGCCCAAGGTCGATGCACATGTCTCTTAGCCTATCCACTCTTAAAGTTGTGAGTGTACGTTTTTGTACAAGTTCGCAGATGTTTAGATCGAAAGATACAATCGAATGTTGAATAGCCACATCTCCATCACATTTGCACACACTGCAGATAGATGACTCTCAGCTTCGGCGGAAATTTCGTCCTTTTCGACGCTCTCCATGTCCACTTCTGAGATTTCACTAGCTTTTGCTCGGTTACCGGCGGCTGTAACTTCTAATCGCTTCTTTGCTGAAAGATGGCTGAAGAAGCCACTAATCTGCTGCGACGTAAGGACTTCATCAGGTTGAAATCGACGTCCTCCCGCTTGGTCTCTTGCTAGGCTCATGGTTTTCGAAACTTCTTGTGGATCGCTTTTCCGTCCACTATGCTCTCCTTTTTGAAATTGGTCAGTTAAGAATTCGGTCTGTTTCCTTGTAAAACGCACCTTTTTCTTAATTGTCTTCAGGGCCCAACCCATTGGAAGAGGCGGCAAGCCGTCTCTCTTTGATTGTGCAGCAACTTGAACGCTTGGTATTCGACTGCGTCCCTCCATCAGCTTGGAAGAATATTCTCTTTTAGCTTTATCGTAGAGAGTTTCCTGTTCGAGCATCATTTGGTGTTTTCCAGTATCAAGGTGTGTCTGGAGGTTTGCAAAGCGACTGCAGGCTTTTACACATCCTTCTTCTGGACACGGGAAAAGCATGTCATCAGGCTTATATTCCCCAATACAACTTCGATCTTGGTTTTCGCTTTCAGTTAAGAAATTTGCTTTGACAGAGCTTTCCTTAATATGTCGGTGTCTCACAATCTTGAACGTCGGTGCGCCACTTGGACTCTGCGATGGCGAACCTAGGATTTCCAATTTTTCGGGCTACTTCATGACTCCTTCGAACTTGGCCCACGGCACTACTTTACCGGAACCCACATTGAATGCTCTCCACACTCGTGTGTCACTTTCATCGTACTCAAAATTGTTGAGTAAGCTTATGCCATCCCATTTGATATTAGAGGTGCTTGACGGTTTGGCAGCAACATAACTTGCTTTCTCTCCTGTGGTTTCTTGGCTAGATTCAATGGCTGTTTTGAACTGTAGAGCGTTGATGACATCATTGCCTTCGTTTACGTACCTTCCAACATACCTTCCCTTGATTGTTGCCGCTTTGCGATCACATACCTCCTTTCCACCTTGAGGGTCCGAAAAGTCGTTTCTTACAAAAGCCACTCCCATGGCATCACTGGCCAGCTTAGCTGAGATGATTGAATTTCCGCTGTGATAACAGCCAGCGTTATCTTATTTGTAATAAGCCATTTCCAGCTCTGGAATTTCCTTTTTCAGGGTAGTGAGGCAGTCAAGCATAATCGAAGCCACAGTCACACTGTCTTGGGCGCAGCTTTGAAATACATGAACAGGTGTCTGCGATTCAAAGTGCTCAGAACCCTCTGACCGTCTTATGGCAACGCTAATGTGCCATGGCAATCCTCGCTTCGCAAACCAATCTGACTGCGCCTCTCGATATTTTCGGGGCATATATTTCATTGCCCAGTCCTGGACTAACAACACTGATCGGCTGTCGAATTTGGCTAAAACTAAATGCTTCGCCTCAGCTTGGTGGACTGAACGTAGCTGATGGGCTTTCCAGCAAATGATATCATCCCTTGCCTGTTTGATGGTAAGTTACATGTCAGCTTGATCTTCTGCAGACGAGAGCGCACTTGAACACTCATCTTCTATGGCACACAATACTTCCTGTAACTCATAACACTGCTCATATGACTCATTGTGGAGATGGTCGCAGGAGCCCCGAAATTCAGCATTGCTCGGATCACTTAGCGCGTAAATTCGACAATGATCGGGAACCTTTAAGGCCTCCACTGTATGTACCTAAAATAAAAAGTAAAATGACAAGCGCGTGATTCAATGTATATTTACAAAGCATTGCATGCGCATATGATCGACATTTCAAAAAGATTACTTAATCGATTCTCAGCGTTGTGTACATGTGTGTAAGCGTATTACAGTGAATTGTAAACTGTTGTTTCATAAATTAAGCATAAAGAAGACTTGGAGAGAAAGAAAGAGGTAGCCGTGAATCATAGTAAGAAGTTTACTGCATCACTCTGCGAAGGCAACGCATAATTATAAAATATGCACCCACCTTGGGTGGGTGCATATTTTACGTCTTGCCACAGTCAACAAGCTTGTCTACGAGTTTTTCTATAGCATCAACTGCTTCCATTCCTGATGCTGAAAAGTTATCAAGTCCTTGCAGAGACTTGCGAACAGATGAAGAACACACGGCCCAAACTCTCTGTAGAGTTCTCTTACTCATAGGCTCAAAGTTGGTTTCACAGCAGTATTGTTGATACTATTGGACAATACGCTCTGGTATCATTGTTCTGATAACATTGGGTGTTTTTATGATCACGCCAGTCGACAATTTTAGAAGTTTTTCCCCGAAAGGAACATCTTGAGTAACGTGTGGACTCGTTATGAAAGAAACAAAATGTTCTAATCTTACAGGTTCAATTCTCATTCTCCTTTTCTCCTGGTTTGGAAGAGGAGCAGCTCTTCCGTGTATCAGGCTTCGCGAAAATCCCGCTTCTTGCTAAGATAAGTTCAATCTCTGTCTCAGCACCTGAAAATTATAAAAAACGCTTGTGGCTTCCTCTGCGCCACACACGCCACCTACAATATCATGTAAAGATTAAGACATTCTTTTTCTGCTGGAGTTAAAGCAACCGTTGTCTTTATTCCCTTCACCGACGATTATTACGCTTTTGTTTTTGTTTACTTTCGTTAACCCATCACATTTGTTTTCCGTGGGAAAATTGTACTGTTATTTTCGTTCCATAAGGTTTTCACTGTACGGTTTATATTTGTGAAATTTTGTAAAGTCTATTTCTTTGTTGTATCGTTCTCGTTCATGATGGCAATATATTTGTTTAGATCTTATATGTGAGGCAGAGTGAATTGTTTGTTGATCTCGTTACGTGACAGATTATCATATGTCACGCAGAGTGACGGGAACCTGTGAAAAATTAAAATCCGGCAAATCGCTAGCGTTACCTGCCGTTTTGTACGGGAACCTTTTTGTGTGAGACGTCAATAAAACCAAAATTAAGATCAAAGTAGACTAAACGTAACTGGGTTGTGACACGCTGTAGAAAATGACAACAACAAGTAACTTTATTTTACTCATCCCAGCTCAGTGGCTTCAATGAGTTAGCCGGTCGGCCACCTTCACACCAAATTGCAAAGGACAGTATTTCGAAAATATCTTCCAAGCGGAATAACAAGGGCCTATAAAAGATTTTTTGAAGCAAAAATAAAAAGCTAAGTGCGGCTGCGACTCAAACAATAATTTGCTTGTGTCATTGCAATGTTGATTTTGTTCATTTCAATATGGCGCCATTTACAATTTGGTTGGTACATCAAAACAGCGGAAGATACCAGAAAAATGAAACGATGAATTTGAAGACCCACCTTATAAGCCCTCGTGATAGTATTGCTGGAGATTTTGAGAAACTACCACATGCATTTTTGCCACACTACATTAGGCCGGGTTTGGCATGAATTAAATATGGCGAACACGTCCACTGGTAATTAACCCGTGGTTTCGTCAGGAAGGACACGATACAAAAAATATCACTATATCTTGGTAATGGAAGGCCACATGTATATATTTATAGCTAGAGAAGTCCTGCTGTTGCATTTTAGTTCATGCAAGGACGGCCTGAAAACTGCATAATTTAGAGCTCGCAGGCACTCATTTTCGATCATGCAATTAGTATCGGTTTATTTCCGTTGAAATGAATATTTACAGAAACTAACCTCACTTCACTTTAAGTAGTACCTATAGCTACCTGTAGACAAAAAACGGGACGAAATGATTTTTTTACCATGTCCGCGATTTTGTTATTTTTCTTTGATTTTTAGAGACATTCACTCTTAAGAGCTAAAATCCCGCAATTTATTTTTGGACGAATACGTCCGCTTTGAGAAAGTTTATAGGGGATTAGATTTGACCGATTTTCGTCAGATTTCGCCAAAACATTCCAGGAATAACGACAAACGAAAACTTGTCGGGAAATTTAGTTATTTGAAATATTTGTCTCTTGGTATCCATTTACGCAAAACGCCTCGCATATTTTTAGCTACTCCAACTTCAGTTGCCGATATCTAGACAACCAATCAAAATATTGGAAAAGCCGGACACACTTCTGTTGATTGATGCCTTGTGAATAAGACTGTGCAGCCATTTTGCTCGTGCTGCGGTATCCAAAACTCGATAAATTCAGAAGAAGAACCCTCAGTCGTTTCACGCCTTACCGGCTTCTAATACTTTCTAAAAGGAAAACTCGTTTAAATTATATTTTTATCATAAACTGCAGTTATTAAGCTTTCTTCTGATATTTAGTTTGCTACGATTTTAGTGAAACTAGCGCGCGCGCGAAATTTCTCCAGAAGGACACCCACGAAGGTAGAAGGTAACCTTCAACTAACATTGGCTAAAGTTGTATTTGAAGCTCAGAAAATGATTGCATCCTCCTCTGATATCATAATTTCAGATAAATTGGCTCACTTCAATTAGTGTTGCCTCTGTTGTGGTTTCTGCGGTGGTACTTGAAGCGTATTCATGGGCTCTGAGAACTTTATTGGGTTTCAAATATGACAAATACGATGGTTCAAACTACAGCAATGCACCGAGTTTCCCCTACTTTTGGGCTAAAGACGCAAAAATCAAGTTTGAAGACCAGGAAAACACCATGATAGCCATACATGCCTTGATTGTCATATTTGCCATCTGTGAGATCATTCTCGCCGTGGCAACTGCTCGGAGCGGTGAAACTGGGCGGCAGTCGCCGCAGGAAAATCAGGTATGTTGCGCTACTCAGAGAAGAGTTATTAACCTTTTACACCTTAACATCAGAATACATTTTCTCCGTAACATTCTTTATACATTTCCTATGATATTGACAAAGAGAATTTGTTAAACAATTAAGAGCCTCTTTAGTTGCTGATCATTTCCTTTATTCTCACGACCTCAATGTTTGTTTTAGGGGTGATACTGATATGAGAAAATAGTTATCAATCAGTCCTAAGGGTTAAAGTGTTAATCGAATAGGGCACTGAGGTCTAAAAGTAAGGGCTCTCACTTCATTTCCTCTTCATCATCCTTTGCTTTCGCTCGACGACTTACTTCCTACGTCTCACCTTACCTCCCTTCTCCATCCTCCATCCCTGTCGCCTCCCCCCCCCCCTCACCATCCACTCTTTCTCTCTTTATTCCTCCCTCTCTTTTTCTCTCTCCTGTTCTCTCTCCCTCCTTTCCATCTCTCTCCAGTCCTCCCTCCCTTTTCTCCTCCTCCCATACCTCTTTCTTTACCTCCCTTCTTTCATTTCTTCCTCTTTTCTTTTCAACCTCTTCTTCTATCTCTCTTCCCTCCATTCCCTTCATTTTTTCTTCCCAGACTTCTCCCTCCATTCCTCCGTTTCTTTCTTTCTTCCTTCAATTCTTCTTCTCCTCCACCTTCTCTTCCATCCCTCCCTTCCTTCGTCTTTTTGTCCTTCTCTTTCTCTCTCTGTCTTTCCTCCTTCCCTTCATTTCTCTCCCTCTTCTTCCCTGTCTATCTTTCTGACCTTCCTTTCTTTTTGTCCCGATTGTGCCCGTAAAATGCTAGAAGGTTGCTCTCTGGACACCAAAAAGGAGCTAAAAAATTGACAAAAGTTCAAAAAGTTGTTACCTAATGTTTAAAAAGTGGTCACCAAAATTTCTTGGTATTTTTATACAAACGTTAATTAAAAGCTATATTTTTCGATCTGCGCTGTAATAAACTTGGTTTTAAAGTGCTGCTCGCGAAGAAAGGCGGCCTTTAACTATTCATTTCTCAACGGTGGTAACAACTGTTTGACTTGATGAAATTAGGAGATCCTCGCAGCTAAGAACACTACTGAAACGAGTAGTTGTAAATAGGACCTGAAAAAAATTTTCAGGCCCGTACGGGATTTGAACCCATGACCTCTGCGATACCGGTGCAGCGCTCTACCAATTGAGCTAACAAGCCAACTGGGAGCTGGTCAATGAATTGGGTCCAATTACTGGTAGTACTGTTTGACTTTTTGGCACTTTTTCAGCAACGTTTTCGTTGTGTTGTTCAGCAAATAGCTTTCAAGCATTTTACGAGCACATCTTCCCTTCTTTACCCTGATCCATTTTCTCTCCCGTTCTTTCTACCTTCCCTTTTCCTTCAGCTTCTCGAGCTCGTTATGCAACTTGACATTTCTATTCTCTATTTTAGTCTGGCTATCCGTATCATCATATCGGAAGTGGACAAGTACCGATCCAACTGCAGGCTTTTCCAACACAAGCTATGATGACCATTCCGATCTCTGGAGTCGACTATAGGAATGGTGGCCTCCAGCAGCGCATGTAGCCACTGAATGTTCGTTTGCTTGTTCAGTGGCGTTTTTTCGGAAATATCATATTTAGCCTAAAAGCAATAGTATGAGTGTATAACCAACGGTTAAGGTGCCATCTCGTGGCAACAACTTACGTAACGTAACTGTAACGTAACGCAAATGAATAGTTTTCTAACAAGGCTTCAGAAGTCATTATGTAGTAGAAATACAGAAGCATATAGCATATCATTGAGAACCAAAAGAAAGATTAGCAATAATAATTGCTTAGGGTTAGAGCTAATGCAGGTGATTAAATCCAGCTACATCCCACCCCTCAGCCCAGTTGTTTTTGTAGTTTTAACTTCAACCGAGGATTTGCTTTCTTTGATATTTGAATGACACTTGCGGATCATGAAGAACTAACCCGCAGACGGATTCAAGGTCAGCATAGCCTATCTCGTTATAACATAGACTGACTGCCCGCTTAGGGTAGTCAGTTTTTAAATTGCACCTACTATCATATAAACCATATTTTCACGTAAACTGCGGTGTTATACAAGGATTTCTGGCCCTGAGAAAAGCTGTAACAACACACGTGAAAAAATATCCTATTTTTTTTGTTCTTACCATATTTTGACGTCATCTGTGACCTATTTAACAAATAGATTCCAAGTTGCCGTGCGTCTGTTCAGTAATAGATCACAGATGACGTCAAAATGTGGTAAGAACAAAAAAGTGGCACACGAAGCTCAGCCGAGTGTGTCACTGATGTTCTTAACACATTTTGACGTCCTTTGTGGTCTATTACTGAACAGACGCACGGCAACTTGGAATCTATTTGTTTTATATAATAAAAAATTAAAATATACGGGGGAAAAAGTTTTAATGATGACGTCATCTATACGTCTGTCCTCCAATAGATCATAAGTGAGAACCAATCAGAATGCGTGTATAACTGAGCTCATTACATAATACTGAACAGAAACGAACGGAATCTATTGTTAATTAAACTGTGATGTTTTAAGCCCAATTGACTCCATCTTTTGGTTTCAGTCAAGTTTTATTCCAAGAGATATCGCCGTGTGTCAGTTCAGAAATCGACAACATGCATGGAATCTATCTGTTTAACAAAATAAATAAGGCTCATCGAACTACAAGATGTTTGTTCAATAAGGGCGCGCGCAGCAAAGCTATTTGGTAACCGGCGTGAAAAAAAAAAAAGCATTTCTAATACTTTTTTTTTTTTCATACCCTGGTATTTTTATTTTTTAGGGATTTAACGCTGGTATCATGGGCTTGACTCAAGTAAGAGAAGCAAAGGATTGATCCATGCTTCACTTTAAGGGCTCAGATTTCGTTGTAATCGATTTAAATCAATTTGATGGTCAGTCAGTCGATTATTCGGCCAGTCAGTCGATTGGCCAGTCAGTCGATTGGCCAGTCAGTAAGTCAGTCGGTCATCTAGTCAGTCGGGCTATCAGTCAGTCACTCAGTCAGTCAACCAGCTAGTCAGTCAGCCAGCTCGTCAGACGGTCAGTCAATCGGTCAGTCAGTCAATAATCAGTCAGTCAGTCGGTCGGTTGGTCGTTCGGTGCGTTGATCAACTATCAAGTCAATCAGTCAGTCAGTCCGTCAGTCAGTCAGTTAGTCAGTCAACCAGTCAGTCAGTCAGTCAGTCAGTCAGTCAGTCGGTCAGTCAGTTAGTATGGTCAGTCAGTTGGTCGGTCAGCCAGTCAGTCAGTCAGTCAATCAGCAAGTCAGTCAGTCAGTCAATAATCAGTCTGTCAGTCAGTCAGTAAGTCGGTCGGTCGGTCGGTTGGTCATTGATTGACTACCATAATGTTTTTGTTAATATCTCCTGAACCAATTGATTTTCACTGGGTATAACCTTTGTTCTTCCACTGTCAGTACAAAGTGCATTCATAAACAATATCGTCATACAATTTTTCAAGCTTTACAATTACTGATCATCTTATCAACAAACAAGTAGGAGAACTTTGATTGCCCAATTGCCTTCACTACATGATTTATATAAACGATATATCACAAGATATTCCCCAAATCTAACTGATGCACATTGGATCCCGTGACGCTTTTAGAGGGGAGGAGATATCCAAATTTGTAGACGTTTTAATAACTAATTTGACCCTAAAAGTTCTCACATAGTGCGAGAAATAATAATAAAAACCCCATACAAGTCATACTCGATTTAGTTTAACATTTTCTTTCCCAAGCTTCACGGAGTGTTTCTAAATGAATATTTGCTAATTCACTGTAGTTCGCTGTCAGTAATTCTAAAATATCTAAACATTTACATGACTAAACATGATCTCGTTCTCAAAGCCATCATTGGCCCAGACCGGCTGTCATTGCAACAAGTCTGGGAACGAGATAATGGCATGTTTCATTAATTCAGTTTCGGCTAATAATTAAACGTGTCGGAAATATATTAAACTAGACATGGCGTTCAGTCGGCAAGAATTGAAAACCATTTCGATTATTCAGCTGGTAATGTCAGTTATCCTTTTTGCACTCGGCATCGTGGACCATTTTGAAGTACGTTACACATACCTCAGCCATTTGTTGATGCCATGCTGGATAGCAGCTCTTGTAAGTACACGTGCCCAGAACATCGAACTACGGGTGTTTTATTGCCTACGCTCATGCTTTTGACACGGTTTAAATACGAGAAATTCGAATTTCATGGCGAAGATGTAAAACTCCTTTCTGCTGGTGCTTCTCTTCGTTTCAATAATCCGACCACTGCGACTAAATTTCACACAACCCTCACAGCTACTTTCATTGGGGAATGCAGGTTGATAATGGCGCTCAATATTTAGCTTAAGAGCTAGCGATAAGTGCTATAAGGTATGGTGTTCATAAACCGAATACAAATATTATTACGGCGGCGAAAATTAGATAGGGAAGCGCAATCCGTTATTCTAGGAAAAATAAAAGTTGAGACTACAGAAAAAAGATAGAATTGTTTATATTGCCGTAGAGGAATTAATTTTATAAGCGGATAGGTCGTGATACCGTACAAAATTAGTTGACTGTTCCGAGAATTGCACTGCAAATGGGCCAATTTTTCGTATTTCTGTTTAGAAGGCCAATTTTTTTTTAAGAATGGGACTTGTACTAAACGATGAAAACCTTTGCTAAACGTACAGAACACCTTTCCATTGTTTTCAAACGCCTTATGATCGACTTCCGCTCTTGTCGACTCATTTGGACTTTGACCTGATATCGTCTGACTATGTAAAGCACGACAGTAGTCTTAAACAAGACATTTAATTCATTCGCACCAAGACGTAATATTGAGATGAGTTCAATATCAGCTCAGGCACTCAAACGATTCCGAGTGCAATTAGGAACACAGTAAATAAGCAAGAGTAGCTAAACATGCAGAGTTACCTTTTGTACACTGAATTATGTCTCTCTGATTTTGTGTTACCTGAAAACTGCATTTTTCAGAGTCGATAACTGATTTTTGTCTGTATTGTGTTTAATATGAAATATAATGAAAAAAATCATAGAATACATGAATTATTTGGGGAAGGGAAACTAATTATTTTTTCACATCAAATGCACGCCGTTTGAAATCAAGTCGTCATACCGCCGTATCGCACGGCAAAGCTTATTATATTATAAACACTGCGCCGAGTCGAAGTTATCGGTTATTATGCCCGATAGGAGAGCGGCATTCGGATCAGTTTAGGTTGGGCTGTGTTGGCACAATCCAAAAGGAAGCCGCACTGTATTTATGATGTGTCGAATCCCATGCATAATTTATTGCAACGTTTTTCGATGCAACGCTTATGATTTCCTTATAACTGAGTGGTGAGAACAGCCGTGGGGAACTTTTTTTAACCAAGTTTCAACCTAACTCATTACAGTATTAGTATAGGTAATCAAATGACTTCGAGTGCAATTTGGAATAATTAAGCACGAGTAAATTAATTTTTTTTTGGAAGACTGACAAAATTGTAGTATTTTTCTGGTGCAATTTGTAGTCTTTGAAAAATTTACTAGTGAAGAAATGTAAAATGGTTTCCGTGTTTACATAGCCTGATGTAAACACGCGGGAGGTTGGGAGAACACGAGATAAGCGTAGGAAAGCAGCTTGTGCGTTCGATCAAAACAACCGCGTACGATCAAAACAATAATATACAATGATATTTAACATCTTTTAATAAATACTCCCTCGGGTTTTGAAACTCGTCTGCAACCGTATAAACAAGCTTGTAATGGTTTTGTAAACACAACTCTTTTTTCAGGCATTTTACTTGATTTCCAAAACCTAAATTTTGCTTCTTGCTTGGATAGGTAGTGCCAGCGAGCATTATGGGATTAATTCTGGCAATCAGATCCAGACGTTCCCCGATTCTGGTGAGAATGATTACAAATTTATATGTTATTAGAAAGAAACTATGGTGCTGAGTCGGTGGGAGAGTATAGCAGGTAATTTAGTGTTAACAACTAGGTTGAAAACGTAAATTGGCCACCGTAAAGAGTAAAAAAGCTGACGTTTCGAGTGTTAGCCCTTCGTCAGAGCAATAGGAGGAATCGTGGGTTGTGTGTGGGTTTATGGTGGCCAATTTACGTTTTCAACCTAGTTGTTAACACTAAATTACCTGTTATAAGATTAGTTATGCGAAAAGAAAATAACATCTTACTTAATTCTGCGTCACAGTTAAAAAAAAAAATTCGTTAAAAAGGTTGTGGTTATTCATCGTGGTGAATAATAGTAAAATGCCAAGTTTTCCGTTTGTCTCACGAAGTAGTCACGTGTGATGTAGATCGCGACGTTTCGACTGCATACTGCCAGTCTTCTTCAGGTGATGAGTTCGACTGGTCATGCGTGATCTTATAAAGCATGATGCTCTTCTGTGATTAGTTGTTTTTCAACAGCTCTGATTGGTGCATTTCTATCCTTGCTGTTTCACTCAGTGATATGCTCCCTCGGCGGTCCGCTGTCGCAAGGCTCTCCTGTTCTTGTGTTTTTTAATCGTGGGCATCCATGCTTGTGGAATTTCTTTTCAACTATCCCTGTTGATGTTGTGAGGGTGAAGTCTTATATGGATTGCCTCTTTGACCCTGCGCGTGTAGTAATAAGGGTCACGATCAATAAACCTTACTTCGTTCCAGCGTGGCTTGTGTCCGGTGTTGTGAGCATGCTCTGAAACGGCAGAGGTCTCGGTATGGGCGAGTCGGATGTCTCGATCGCGCTCCTTAACCGCAGTAGCTTTGAACTCGCTGGTGGGTTTGGCACTGTTGTTTGGTTTTCCGGTCCTGGTAAGTTTCTTCAATAAAGAAAAAGGATAACCGTTAGAAACCAGAACAGATGACAGATATTTTTTTCTCCTCGGAGATGACAGAGGGTTTTGTTACGAGACGTTTGGCGCGCTCGTGAAGGCACCTAGCAATACCACGTTTTTCTGATTGAGGGTGGTGTGAATCATACGTTAAGTATTGATCGGTGTGCGTGGGCTTCCTGTATGCGCTGGTAGTGAGGCGGCCGTCAGGTTCTCTTAAAACTTCGGTGTCTAGGAAGGCGAGTTTGTTGTCATTCTCTGTCTTCATGGTGAAGCGGATGGAAGGCTGCTGGTTGTTTAGATGCTGTAAGAAGTCATCCACGTTTTCGCGATCCAGGATGGTAAAGGTATTGTCCACGTAGCGTTTTCAGATCCTAGGCTCGTAAGATGATGTAGTTATCGCCTATTCTTCGAAACTCTCCATGTAGAGGTTAGCTAATGAACAGCGGAAACCGGACTCCCCATGGCGGCGCCGTCTTTTTGCTCGTAAATCGATCCGTTATACTGGAAGTATGTGGAACTCAATATGAAGGTCAAAAGGTCAGCGATCTGTACAGGCGTTAGCGTGGTGCGGTCTGCAAGGCTAGGGTCGTCCTCGAGTTTCTGCAGTGCAGCTTGTACAGCGGCGTCGATAGGAACGTTGGTAAACCGCGACTCTACGTCGAAAGATACCATGATCTCGTTGTCTAGGATCATCTTATTGCTGACGGTGGATACGAAGTGAGCTGAATTTGTCACCGTATACCCTGACTTTCCTGTTAGAGGAGACAAGATGTTGGCTAAGTAAGCGGATACATCATATGCAAAGGTGTGTTTACGCACGACACAATAGGTCTTAGCGGTATATCGGCCTTATGGATCTTCGGTAAACCGTAGATTATAAGCGGCTGTTTGTGTCGGGGTCTGATCTTGTTGTAAACGGCCTCTGATAGATTTCCACTTCGCTTCAAGCTAAGCAGCTTTTCCGATAACTTGCAGGTCAGACGGTCTGTCGGATCTTTGTTAAGGAGCTGGTATGGTCCGTTCTCAATGAGCGTAGACATCTTAGCTCGGTAGGTGTCGGTATCCATGACTACACTAGCGCGCCCTTTGTCTGCCGGGAGAAGACTAGAAGTATGCAGTCGAAACGTCGCAATCTACATCACACGTGACTACATCGTGAGACAAACGGAAAACTTAGCTTTTATTTTTAAAACAGTTGTTCACCAACGTGAAAGTAAATTTCCAGCACTTAAGGTTACTTCCCATCTTCAGAGGCCGAAAAAAATCGTTTTTCCTTTCTTCCTATAAGAAATCGTTTTGAAATCTTTAAAAGCACCCGAGTTATTTAGATAAACGTATTTTCAAATAAAAATTATTAAATCAGGAGGGTGTAATAATCTCGTACCTAAGCAAGTCCCCTGGGGGAATTTTCGCGGCAACCGCTCGACTTGGGGCTCGTTTTTCAAATTATTTGTATATTTTGTTTGCATTGCCCACTTCACAACAGAATGGTACTCTTTCTCTCTTCTTTGTGCCTGTTTTCTCTCTGTTTGTTTGTTTTTTTTGTTTTTTTTATACTGGACTTTCTTCCGCTTTTGATTTTTCCATGAGAAAAGATATTTCCATAAGCAAAGAGCATCCATATTTATATTTGAAGCTCAGAAAATGATTGCCTTCTCCTGTGATGTCATGATTTCAGATAAATTGGCTCACTTCAATTAGTATTGCCTCTGTTGTGGTTTCTGCGGTGGTACTTGAAGCGTATTCGTGGGCTCTGAAAGCTTTATTGAGTTTCAAGTACGACAAATACGATAATACAGAGGTTTTTTCCTTCTTTGGGGCTAAAGACACAAAAATCAAGTTTGAAGACCAGGAAAACACCATGATAGCCATACATGCCTTGATTGTCATATTTACCATCTGTGAGATCATTCTAGCCCTGGCAACTGCTCGGAGCGGTGAAACTGGGTGTCAGTCGCCGCAGGAAAATCAGGTATGTTGCACTACTCAGAGAAGAGTTATAAACCTTTTACACCTTAACATCAGAATACATTTTCTCCATAACATTCTCTATACATTTCCTATGATATTGACAAAGAGAATTTGTTAAACGATTAAGATCCTCTTTAGTTGCTGATCATTTCCTTTATTCTCATGACCTCAATCAGTCTTAAGGGTTAAAGTGTTAATCGAATAGGGCACTGAGGTCTAAAAGTATAGGCTCTCACTTCATTTCCTCTTCATCATCCTTTGCTTTCGCTCGACGACTTACTTCCTACGTCTCACCTTACCTCCCTTCGCCATCCTCCATCCCTTTCGCCTCCCCCCCTCCCCCAACCTCACCTTCCACTCTTTCTCTCTTTATTCCTCCCTCTCTTTTTCTCTCTCCTGTTCCCTCTCCCTTTTCTCTCCCTCCTTTCCATCTCTCTCCAGTCCTCCCTCCCTTTTCTCCTCCTCCCATACCTCTTTCTTTACCTCCCTTCTTTCATTTTTTCCTCTATTCTTTTCAACCTCTTCTTCTATCCCTCTTCCCTCCATTCCCTTTATTTTTTACCAAATTTCTCCCTCCATTCCTCCGTTTCTTTCTTTCTTCCTTCAATTCTTCTTCTCCTCCACCTTCTCTTTCATCCCTCCCTTCCTTCGTCTTTTTGTCCTTCTCTTTCTCTTTCTGTCTTTCCTCTTTTCCTTCATTTCTCTCCCTCTTCTTCCCTGTCTATCTTTCTGCCCTTCCTCTCTTTTTGTCCCGATTGTGCCCGTAAAATGCTAGAAGGTTGCTCTCTGGACACCAAAAAGGAGCTAAAAAATTGACAAAAGTTCAAAAAGTTGTTACCTAATGTTTAAAAAAGTGGTCACCAAAATTTCTTGGTATTTTTATACAAACGTTAATTAAAAGCTATATTTTTCGATCTGCGCAGTAATAAACTTGGTTTTAAAGAGCTGCTCGCGAAGAAAGGCGGCCTCTAACGATTCATTTCTCAACGGTGGTAACAACTGTTTGACTTTTTGGCACTTTTTCAGCAACGTTTTCGTTGTGTTGTTCAGCAAACAACTTTCAAGCATTTTACGAGCACATCTTCCCTACTTTACCCTGATCCATTTTCTCTCCCGTTCTTTCTACTTCTCCTTTTCCTTCTTCTTCTCGAGCTCGTTATGCAACTTGACATTTCTATTCTCTATTTTAGTCTGGCTATCCGTATCATCATATCGAAAGTGGACAAGTACCGATCCAACTGCAGGCTTTTCCAACACAAGCTATGATGACCATTCCGATCTCTGGAGTCGACTATAGGAATGGTGGCCTCCAGCAGCGCATGTAGTCACTGAATGTCCGTTTGTTTGTTCAGTGGCGCTTTTTTTAAAAATATCATATTGGGCTGAAAAGCAACAGTATGAATGTATAACCAACGATAAAGGTGCCATCTCGTGCCAACAACTTACGTAACGTGACTGTAACGTAACGCAAATGAATAGTATTCTAACAAGGCTTCAGAAGCCATTATGTAGTAGAAATACAGAAGCATATAACATATCATAGAGAGCCAAAAGAAAGGTTAGCAATAATAATTGCTTAGGGTTAGACCCACCCCTCAGCCCAGTTGTTTTTCTAGTTTTAACTTCAACCGAGGATTTGCTTTCTTTGATATTTGAATGACACTTGCGGGTCAGGAAGAACTAACCTGCAGACGGATTTAAGGTCAGCATAGCCTATCTCGTTTTATAACACAGCTAACAGAGCCGTGCCATCAAATTCAGTATACGTAAGCGTGCTCGAAATCCCGATGGTGCACGCTGATAGCGTGAGCAAATCGCTTGGCCAGAATTTTTTTTTTTTCGCGCGAGCGGCCATTGTTAGCACGGGGAAAAATAATATATTTCGCGACAATAATGGATACAAACGGACACTCCGCCCACCAGTCCCAAAACGAAGCCAATTTTCCGACCTTTTTCCTTGGGCTAGAGTTCTTAAATGAGGCAGAAAAAGAGAAAAATAACGGAAAAGGAGACTCGGCATCAGCGCCGTCACTAAATTTGGATCAAATTTTAGCCACTCTTGTTAACATTTACTGTCATACTGTTTTCAGTGCTTACTCAAACCGTTTTGCAACGATCTATTTTCGGTAATCGATGTACTTTTTGAAGCATTTTGACTTATTTTGACTCTTTGCTCAAATTTTGAGCGAACTGTACGTTTTCTCACAGAAACTGAAAATGTGGCGTGTTGTAAATTAACCAATAAAAACGCACGTTTTCTTCTCTGTAGTCAAGAGAATTTTGTATTTAATCAGGAAATAATTGTTAAATATAAAGTGCCATTCTTGAGCGTGATTTCTTTTTTAAAAATAAAGAATTATTTTTTTTAATGCAGTAAAATAAAACTTGAGCTTTCAACAGAAAATTCCTATTTGATTAATATTTCGGCTTACCGCGAACAATCACTTCTGATATTGTTGTCCGTTTTTCGTGTCGGATTTGATGCACAATTCCACCGGCTATGTTATAAAACAATTGGTTCATGCTTTTAGCTGTGTATTATCGAGTTATGGAGCACGTGGGAAGTTTGGAGAGCACCCAAGAAGCTAGAGCCTTGTGATTTCAAATCGAACTCGCGCTGCGCGCTTGTTCGATTTTGAAATCACGCGTATGATTTCAGCCCAAATTGCACTCTACTCAGTTCAATTACCATTATAAACACTCGAAGAGAAATTCCATATCTACGCGTGCCCATGTATTATTCTCTATTAAACTGTGGTATTTTACAAGGATTTCCAGCCCTAAGAAAAAACCGTAACAGCACAGGTGAGAAATTGCGATGATTTTTTACGTGTGAGATATTTTTCAAAGGCTTACCAAGCCTTGAAAAACTGCCCGTCAGGCGGGTGCAAGTTGTAGTCTTTAAAAAATTTACAAGTTCTGATTTGTCCCAAATTTTACGAAAGCAAATCTTCTGATGACCTGTTTATGATTTACAAAATTTATTTGACTCTCTTTGTCGTGCTTATTTCGTGTTATGGCTCACTGGTTCGGTCGCTTGTCCCGCAAGAACTTCCTTCCGGCTTTTAAACATTGTGTCGCGAATAATCAAGCTTTGACACTCTTTTTCAGTTTGGTATCGCTTAATGGTAGTAACCAGCACACAAAGGCCATCACGCCGTGACTCTGAGCAGCATTCCAAGACCTTTCTTAACTCTGTAAAACACGTCAACTAGTGTAATTGTGCTTCATGAGGCTTCCATTCATTCTCAACCACGTTGAATGTATATGTGCAATTATTCACGGTGGATAGACCAGATACATTTATCTTGAGACCATATTCAACTCGCGCTGTGAAATAGCTACAAAATGTTTTTTTAGAGGAATTAGCAACTTCTTGTGATGCCTCACGATTTGTCTTTTTCTTGGCTCTTTGCAGATGAATTTCTCGCAGTCTGTGAGCGTATAGCCTATGCTGCAATATCAGCGATAACCGTGTACCACTACATGTATAGTATTATTTGGTAAGTCAGTCAATCAGTCAGTCGTTCGGTCGGTCGTTCAATACGTTGATCGACAATCATTAATATCCTTAACTGTCAGTGCATTCATAAACAATATCATCATACAATTTTTTAAGCTTTGCAATTACTGATCATCTCGTAAACAGACAAGTAGGAAAACTTTGATTGCCCAATTGCCTTGACTGCACGGATGTATATAAACGATATATCACAAGATATTCCTCAAATCTTACTGAAGCACATTGGATCCCAAGACGTGTTTAGAGGGGAGGAGATATTCACATTTTTAGACGTTTTAATAATTAGTTTGACCTTCAAATTGACCGCTCAAAAAGCTGTCACGTAGTACGAGAAATAATAATAATAAAAAAGCCTTACTAACAAATCGTACTCGTTTCAGTTTAACATTTTCTTTCCCAAGCTCCAGGGAGTGTTTCTAAATGAATATTTGCTAATTCACTGTAGTTCGCTGTCGGTAAATGACTAAACATGATCTCGTTCTCAAAGCCATCATTGGCCAAGACCGGCTATCACTGCAACAAGTGTGGGAACGAGATAATGGGCATGTTTCATTAATTAAACGTGTCGCAAATATATTAAACTAGACATGGCGTTCAGTCGGCAAGAATTGAAAATCATTTCGATTATTCAGCTGGTAATGTCAGTTATCCTTTTTGCACTCGGCATCAGGGACCATTTTGAAGTACGTTACACATACCTCAGCCATTTGTTGATGCCATGCTGGATAGCAGCTCTTGTAAGTACACATGCCCAGAACATCGAACTACGGGTGTTTTATTGCCTACGCTCGTGCTTTTGACACGGTTTAAATACGAGAAATTCGAATTTCATGGCGAAGATGTAAAACTCCTTTTTGCTGGTGCTTCTCTTCGTTTCAATAATCCGACCACTGCGACTAAATTTCACACAACCCTCACAGCTACTTTCATTGGGGAATGCAGGTTGATAATGGCGCTCAATATTTAGCTTAAGAGCTAGCGATAAATGCTACAAGGTATGGTGTTCATAAACCGAATACAAATATTATCACGGCGGCGAAAATTAGATAGGGAAGCGCAATCCGTTATTCTAAGAAAAAATAAAAGTTGAGACTACAGAAGTAAGATAGAATTGTTTATATTGCCGTAGAGAAATTAATTTTATAAGCGGATAGGTCGTGATACCGTACAAAATTAGTTGACTGTTCCAAGAATTGGACTGCAAATGGGCCAATTTTTCATATTTCTGTTTAGAAGGCCAAATTTTTTTTTAAGAATGGGACTTGTACTAAACGATGAGAACCCTTGCTAAACGTACGGAACACCTTTCCACTTGTTTTCAAACGCCTTATGATCGACTTCCGCTCTTGTCGACTCATTTGGACTTTGACTTGATATCGTCTGACTACATAAAGCACGGCAGTAGTCTTAAACAAGACATTTAATTCATTCGCACCAAGACGAAATATTAGTATGAGTTCAATATCAGTTCAGGCACTCAAACGATTCCGAGTGCAATTAGGAACACAGTAAATAAGCAAGAGTAGCTAAACATGCAGAGTTACCTTTTGTACACTGAATTATCTCTCTCTCGTTTTGTGTTACCCAAAAACTGCATTTTTCTGAGTCAAGAACTAATTTTTTTCGTCTGTCTTTTATTTAACATGAAATGTCATGAAAAAATTTATAGAATACATGAACTATTGGAGGGAGGGGAATTAAGTATTTTTTCATAACAAGAGCGCGTCGTTTGAAATCAAGTCGTCATACTGCCGTATCGCACGACAAAGCTTATTATATTACTAGTTATAGTTCTCACTAGAGCTGCCCCCGCCCTACAGTACTATTTTCTTTTTTTTTTTTTTGAGTTGGGCTTGTTGTTTACAGTTGTGTAATTTTTCTGTTATGCTGTTACAGAATTGCGGCTCAGTACTTTGGTGTTAGTAATTTTGGATCTCAAAATACTACAAGTGTACAAAATGTAGTTTTGGGAAGTGCTTGGGGTTTTTTTTTTTTTGCTGTGTGGTTTAACTTAGGATTTGTTTGTTCTTCACGATCAAGAAGAAGCAGAATGTAGGGACTTGGGTGAGTTTTAACATTGGAATGTTATAGGTGGCATTGGAGAACAATTTATAGACAGCATTGAAGAACAATTTATTATAATATAGTTATTAGACACAAAATTATACCTTAAGAGGGCCTACATTCTCTCTTCTCCAGTCTTCCTCTATACTAGGACAAATCTCGTGTCAAAGACGCCGATCCTAAAAGTCCTCGCGCGCGTGTCTTTTTACTGGCAGCCCATGACCATTTGCAGGAAAAACGTTGATACCTTGCGGCCGTGCAAGCGATCAAATCGAGATTTTTTCTGGTTATGATCTACCGAAAATACCCACATTCTCTCTTCTCCAGTCTTCCTCTATATTACACGGGGAGTCCTAAGGTGCCTCCTCGGGTTTTTGGCCCTCTAGGGCCAAAAACCCTGCGGGGGCAATAAACTCTGCGCCAAGTCGAAGTTATCGTTACTATCCCCGATAGGAGAGCTGCATTTGGATCAGTTTAGTTTGGGCTGCGGTGCCACAATCCAAAAGGAGGCCGCACTGTATTTATGATGTGTCGAATCCCATGTATAATTTATTGCAATGTTATTCGATGCAATGCTTATGATTTCCTCATAATCGAGTGGTGAGACCGGTCATGGGGAACTTTTTTTACCCAAGTTATTATAGTATTAGTGTAGGTAATCACATGATTTCAGCAAAATTGTGGTCTTTTTGTGGTGCAATTTGTCGTCTTTGAAAAAATGTAAAAGTGCTTATTTATTCCAAATTGCACGAGAAAAATCATCTGGTTACATATTAATAATATACATGAAAAAATACGAGATAGCTTATCATAATAATGCAGAAGCAAAGCACGCGCAAAAAGTGCAAAAATAATTTATTCAAACCTTGCAAGTGACATTGTGCGTTCGGTCAAAACAACCGCATACGATCAAAACAATAACATACAATGACATTTAACATCTTTAGATAAATATTCCCTCTGGTTTCGAAACTCTTCTGCAACCGTACAAACAAGCTTGTAATGGTTTTGTAAACAGAACTCTTTTTTCGGGCATTTTAATTGATTTCTAAAACCCAAATTTTGCTTCTTGCTTGGATAGGTATTGCCAGCGAGCATGATGGGATTTATTCTGGCAATCAGGTCCAGACGCTCCCCGATTCTGGTGAGAATGATTACGAATTTATATGTAATTAGATTAAAGGGGGTAAGTTTCTAAAGAAACTGTGGCTCTGCATCGGTGGGAGAGTGTAGCAGGTAATTTAGTGTTAACAATTAGGTTGAAAACGTAAATTGGCCACCATAAAGAGTAAAAGAGCGGACATTTTGAGCGGTAGCCCTTCGTCAGAGTAATTGAAGGAATTGTGGGTTGTGTGTGGGTTTACGGTGGCCAATTTACGTTTTCAACCTAGTTGTCAACGCTAAATTACCTGTTATTAGATTAGTGATGCTTAAAGAAAATAACATCTTACTTAATTCTGCGTGACATTTAAAACAGTATCGTAAAAAAGGTTGTGGTTTGAAAGTGATATCGTGGCGACATTTTCTGATAAAAAAATCTAAAGTTGCGAACTGGCCCTCTGGGGGAGTCCATTTAGACTTTCGAATCTGAAGTGTTTCGAAAGTATCTTTTTTCGAGGTGTTAGAATCATCCTCTTTGTCATGAAAAAAGGTTTTCAACTGAACGCGGCGAAATACTTCAGGTTCGAAAGTCTAAATGGACTTTCCCAGAGGGCCAGTTTGCATCTTAAGATTTTTTTATCAAAAAGTGTCGCCACGATATCAACAAACTTAAATTCAATCGTAACACCAAATTTTCTAATCTTTCTTCGGACGACTGGTCGGCACTAACAGGTCTAACAAAACGCAAAGACAGAGGTCACTAAAGCGGCCGACAAAGGCGGCGTAGCTGTTGTTTGGCGGGCCGACCTCTGCCAAAAAGAATCCATTAAGATCACTGATCACTTTTCGAGTACCTCCGCCAATGTCATTTACTGCATAACTTGCACTTATTGCAATAAGTTATACATTGGTGAAACACTAAGACGACTAGGTGACCGATTCCGAGAACACCTACGCGACGTGGAAGGAAATTACAAGGACGCATCCAAAAACAGTCGCTAGACACTTTAATCTCCCTAACCATTCTAAACAACATATGGCAATTTGCGGCCTTTTCTTACATCTAGGCAGTTCTAATCACAGCAGAGCATCATGCTTTATAAGATCACGCATGACCAGTCGACCTCATCGCCTGAAGAAGACTAGCAGTATGCAGTCGAAACGTCGCGATCTACTTCACACGTGACTACATCGTGAAACAAACGGAAAACTTAGCTTTTATTTTTAAAACAGTTGTTTACCAACGTGAAAGTAAATTTCCAGCACTTAAGGTTACCTCCCTTCTTCAAAGGCCGAAAAAATCGTTTTTCCTTCCTTCCCATAGGAAAAAAGTTCTGAAGTCTTTAAAAGCACCCGAGTTATTTAGAAAAACGTATTTTTAAATAAAAATTATTAAATCAGGAGGGTGTAATGATCTCGTACCTGGGCGAGTCCCCTGGGGGAATATTTGCGGCAATCGCTCGTCTTGGGGCTCCTTTTTCAAGTTATTTGCATATTTTGTTTGCATCGCGCACTTCACAACAGAATGGTACTCTTTCTCTCTTCTTTGGGCCTGTTTTCTCTCTGTTTGTTTGTTTGGTTTTTTTTTTTTATACTAGACTTTCTTCCACTTTTGATTTTTCCATGAGAAAAAATTTTTCCATAAGCAAAGAGCATCCATATTTATATTTGAAGCTCAGAAAATGATTGCCTTCTCCTGATATCATGATTTCAGATAAATTGGCTCACTTCAATTAGTATTGCCTCTGCTGTGGTTTCTGCGGTGGTACTTGACTCGTATACGTGGGCTCTGAAATCTTTATTGGGTTTCAAGTACTACAAACACCGTAACGATAATACAGAGGGTTTTGGCTACTTTTGGGCTAAAGACACAAAAATCAAGTTTGAAGACCAGAAAAAACCAGATCCATGTAACCACTGAATGTTCGTTTGCTTGTTCAGTGGCGTTTTTTTGGAAATATCATATTTAGCTTAAAAGCAATAGTATGAGTGTATAACCAACGATGAAGCTGCGATCTCGTGGCAAAAACTTATGTAACGTAAAGAAACGAAACGTAACTGTAACGTAACGCAAATGAATTGTATTCCAACAAGGCTTCAGAAGCTATTATATATTAGAAATAAAGTAGCAAATAGCATGTTATTGAGGAAAAAAAATGTTGAGCAATAATAATTGCTTAGGTTTAGATCTAGTGCAGGTGACTGAATACTAGTTATCAAGCATTTAATTACACCCTCCCCCCCTCCCCCCACCCCCACCCTTCCCCTTCTCACCCCCCCCTTCCCACTCAGCTCCATTGCTTTTGTTGTTTTACCTCAGCCAAGGCTTTGCTTTCTTTAAATGATACTTGCGGGTTAGCTCTTCCCAGATCAATTCATGGTCAGCGCAGCCTATCTCTTTATTACATAGAACCGCTCGCAGAGGGCAGTCAGTTTTAAATTGCATCTATTATCGTATAAACCGTGGTGTTTTACAAGGATTTCCAGCTCTAAGGAAAACCGTAACAGCACAGGTGAGAACATCCATGATTTTCTCTTTCACCTACCCCTCCCTTGTTACATAACCACGCAAACAGCCGGTAAGGTCCTGCGGAGCCCATTGACATCATCAGTCGTATAAATCGTTGTTTGAGTCTGCCAAAGAATCCAGTGAAATGGCGTCCAACAAACGATACCTTACAATTATCTCGATCGCTCAGCTTGTAATGGCAGGTATCCTCTTCGTTCTCGGAATGGTAGATCATTTTGAAGTTCGCTACATATATGCCAGTCTTATATTGATGCCAATTTGGATTTCTCTTCTTGTAAGTACAGTATATTTCTCATAAGAGTGCAATTGCAAATTGTAAAGTAGTCTGTGATTGCATTTTCCAACAGAGGGTTTGGGTCCGGAAAAGATGCATTGATATTGAATCTTGTCGTTCTAACTAAGTATCTAGTCGTTACGGTGTTCTAATTTCGTTATTTTGGGACAGGATTTACTTCGAAGCTTAAAGTGAAATGCTGTTTAAATCCCTCATACTACAAATTTCGGGCGAATGTATTACGTAGAATCACATTTCACTGGATAGTCTGAAACCATTAGGTTTCATAAACCTTCCACCTGCAGATATCTTGTCCGCAATTCTTTCGATAAGAATACAACTACACTCTCAAGCTGGGTCAGAATATGATGACATTGGAGACGTAGAATACAAAGTTCACCCTTCAAAAGCGAATCGGTCGTCTGTGACCTGGGAACATTCAACTATTGTTGTTTTTATATGTTGAGGGATCAAAGTAGTTCGAAGATTGAGAAATATATCACAGTACTTCGATAAAACAGTCCGAATTATTCTAAAGTTATGTAGGGATATCTCTCAGTTTTGCTACAGAGTCAACAAAATAGATATTGCGCAGGATGTTTTACACAAGCGGAAGTCGACCAGAAATGCTAATGAGCACATTGCCAGACGAAGGGAACTCGATGATTTGACCCCGAATTTCTCTTTTAGGAACGACTTAAGCTTTTTGTTTAAGACGTGGTCACCTTCCAGATGTCTTACATACGCTGATGATACCCAACTGTATCTATCGTTCAAACCGAATTCAGATGTAGATCAGCACGATGCTATTACTGCTATGGAACTATGTGTGAAAGCCATACGTAATTGGATGCTGGCAGAAAAACTAAGGTTAAATGATGATAAGACGGAATTTTTGATAATTGGAACCAGACAGTAGTCGACGAAAGTCAAAGTCGACCATCTACCTATTGGTAACGTTAGAGTAACTCCAACAGAGTGAAGAACTTAGGAACATGGTTCTATGCGAACACGAGTCTCACTACACATATCAACAACACATGTAATGCAGCATTTTATTTCTTATATAATTTAAGGCGCATCAGGAAATATCTCTCTAGAGAAACTGCGGAAATATCAGTTTCATGCGTTAGTAATAGGAAGAATAGATTATTGTAATCGCCTTCTTTTTGGAGTGCCTGACATTCATTTAAATAACCTGCAAAGAGTTCAAAATACAGCAGCCAGGTTAGTTTGCATTGTTCCTAGATTCTGTCATATAACACCAGTTTTACGTTCTTTGCACTGGTTGCCTGTTAAATTGAGAATTAATTTCAAAATTTTAGTTATTACTTTTTTATAAGGCTATGTTTGGCTTTGCTTACAGACAAATTAAATGTCTACAATCAATGTATATGACATCTGTCGATCAAATATAGCCGGAAAGCCAACATTTTACAGAGATTGCGTTTCTTCCACAATAAATTGAAGATGTGAATAAATTTACCACGAATCTACTGCTTCGTTTGTCTCTCTTCCTAATCCTACTTCAATGTCTCCTTCCACTTTACCATTTATTACTAATTTACAATTTTACGACGATCATTCGAAATGCACTTTATCATTTCCGTGCTCATGTCGATTAATCGATGTCCTTCAGGGACTTGTCAGCTGGAATATAGAAATAAGTACTTTCTCAAATAGTAATCTTATTGAAATCAACACTAGTATTAATCGTTTACATTTTCTAACTAGTGATCGAGGGGTTGAATATTCTTCTAACTCTTTTTAAGGTCATACCCATTGGCATCATGGGATTGGTTTTAGTCATGAACAGATCTACACCCTCCTCAGCTTTGGTGAGAATTAAAATAGCATAATACTCTTAAATATCGATCCAGGTAATAAGTGATGTATGTTTGACTGACCTTTTTGTTTTTGTTTGTTTGTTTTTTTATTTTTCTTTGCTTCTTCTCGACAACTTTCCCGCCAAGAGTGCCCTTTAAAGAATATTATGGTGTTTGACCGAGAACGTTATACCTCTAAAATCTTAACGTTTAAAACACGTGTGATTTTACGCCATGAAAACTCAGCTTCCCGTGCCACTGATTATTGCAGATGAGCGGCCTGAGGTCAGTGAGCATTGCATGTGCTGCTGTATCAGTTCTAACCACATTTACCTATGCGATGGCACTCAATAGCATATTATTCATCAAATATATGGAGGCAAAAACTGAATACCAGGAATCTCCATGGTTTGCCGATAAAGACGTAGAAATCGAGTTCCAGAAAGAGGAAAAAACCATGATAGCTGTACATGTCTTCATTATCATATGTTCCATCCTCGAAATTATACTTGCCATGGCAAGTGTCCAAACCGGCAAGGCCATGGCTAAGGAGCCACAGGACACCCAGGTTTGTGAAGTTATTCTCTATGCAGTTAATAAATTAGATATGACAACGATAAAAGAACTTATGATCCGAAAGCACCACATCAAAAACTTCAATAATGCATCTTGTTCATTTTCAGCCGGTATTTATTTATTTATTTATTAGAAGGAGAAAATAGGGTGACATTACATTCTCCCGATGTAAACGATGTTATCTTTGAAAAGATTGTTCAAGTACTAGTGTAATTTCTTTGTTTGGCAAACGAGAAGTTTTTCAATTCAGATTTGCGATACGATAGGATTTTAGGGATCGGTCATTGTATGTCACTTTACGGGACTTTGAGGACCGGAGGGTTTTGTTTGTTTGACAATAAAATTTACCTTATCCCCCCCCATTAAAAGGCTCTGGAGTATTTTTGTGATCCCCACCTCCCCTCATTCGCGGTCAATTGTCCACAGACCTCCCCCCCCCCCCTTTATACTCGGTTAACGACGAATGGTCCACCCTCCATTCCCCCTGAAAACCATGTGACCCCCTGAAAAGACCTCCGACTACCCCCAGCGATGAATAATGAAGTTGTTTGTCAACTAAGGGGACTTGGGGAATCGGAAGGTTTTGTTTGTTTTACAATAACAGTTACCTCATTCCCCTCCAAGGCTCTGGAGTATTTTTATGATTCCCCCCCCCCACCCCCCATTGGAGGTCAATTTTCTACAGTTTCCCTTTATACTCTATTAGCGACGACGACTGTTCCCCTCCGTTTACCTCAAATCCAAGTTATCCCTCCGAATTGAAAACCTCCCACCCCTGCCCCCCTCCACCCTTAGGTGATGAATGATGACTATTACCTTACGTAAAATATTTTTCATCATATCTAATCAGCAGGCAAGCGTTGCCTATCATCTGGTGGCAGAGGAAGATCTCCCTTTGTTATTCTCGAGTTCAGATCAAGAGGCAGCTTAGACGGTATCATCTCCATACACTGCTGTACAGACCCTGTCCCAATCACACATCACGCTGAATTTCTTTATTAAATCACATATCACGAATAATTTTTTTAACCAATCACGCGTCTCGTGAAAAGGAGTAAGTACGCCAAGCTAATACTGTAAGATTTCAACCTATCGGATATATTATCAAAATCATATTGTATCCAACGTTTTTCAGTCTGGAATGAACTGCGTTTCACTTATCATATTGCTTTTTGCCAGACAAATAAAGACGACTTACTGGCTCCGAGAACGTTTACTCGGGCTTCGTATCGCAATATCAAATCGTACTTTTCAGGTATTGAACATAGTAAAAACAAATTCAAGAATCAGAATATTTAAAACAAGAGTTAAGCCTACGTATTTACTATTCAAGTATTCAATCCTCTTCATCCAGTAGCTTATTGTTGCCTCACCTTCGAAGTTCTTTCCGCGAAGATTTTATATTTTTTCAATTCAACATCTGAGATGTTTGTCTGGGCATCATAGACATCATAGTTTGTTGTTTAATAAGTCAGTAGTCGTTATTTTGACATTGTTTTCATGGTTTGAACTCAGTTTGAACTCATATATGGCTCACTAGTTATCTCGCGAGAGCTAGTATGAACTTTGCTATGAACTTTGTATGAACTTTGAACTTTCCACTCGTGGCTCCAGGAGTCTTGCGTACGAACTGAGTCACGGACGTCAACTCCACCTTTACTATTCTTTGATACAAGGGCAACCTTTAAGTCAAAGCTTTTCCCAGTTCCCTTCTGTGCGCCACTGTCTTTATGTCAGTAAAGGATACAACGTGGCTTTTGAATTCGTTTTGGTCTTTATGGCGACCTTGGAAAAATGTTGTATACCGCTAACTGGTACACAAAATTTTTCTTGTGTACTGGCTCATTGCTTGCCTTACCATCTTCTCGGACGGCATAAACTGACACCAAAACTCTGACGAGTTTTATCCGTTCAGCCGTTTGGGTCGTTTGCGTCGACGTTCTTTGGGATCCTTCATTCGATAGATTTGGATATTTTCTAGTCTTTCTTATTACTTATCACGGAAATCTAATTAGTGAGCCTTGTAAATAACCTGTCACGCGCTTGTAAAATAGCAAATCTCGCATTATGTTGTAATGTCCGGTTCGCGTCACGTAGATAATTTGGGTTCAACCACGCGTCACCCTGCAAATTTTGGGGCCATCACGTGTCACGCAAAAACACTTTGCCACCCTCCTCACAGAAAAGCTTCTCAGCTTGAAACGAAATGGAAATCTATCTTAAACTATCTACAACAAGATCAAACCTAGGAACAAAGAGCCACCCGGGATCTACGGCTTACCTTAGATACACATGCCTGACACACCGTTAAGACCAATTGTATCTTGCACCTTTGCTTACGATTTGTCGGCATACCCAGCCAATATCCTGTCCCCCTTGACGGTAGTTACGAAAACGAAGATCTAAGACCCCCCTACGAAAACGAAGACCCATTACGAAAACGAAGACCCCTACGAAAACGAAGACCCATCACGAAAACGAAAACCCATCACGAAAACGAAGACCCATCACGAAAACGAAGACCCATCACGAAAACGAAGACCCATCACGAAAACGAAGACCTATCACGAAAACGAAGACCCATCACGAAAACTAAGACAAATTATTAAAACAAGTACAAAGAGGTTGGTATCATCTTGTCCACAAAGGTGATACCAACCTCTTTTGAACTTGTTTTAGTGATGGGTCTTCGTTTTCGTAATGGATCTTCGTTTTCGTAAGGGGAGTCTTAATTCTTCGTTTTCGAGGTCTTCGTTTTCTTAACTACCCCCCCATGACAGGCAAGTCAAACTACTCAGGTATTAACTCTAGGCACAAAAATCAGTCACGAGAAAGTACATGATAACGAGGTCATGGTATCTTTTGACGTAGATCGGTCCACATCATGTGTCGACGGTCGAGCCATGAGCGAAGGTCGGATATCGAGTAGGCTTTCGAGGTGGTTAGAGGCGGACAATCGCAATGATTTTTGGCTTGGTTCTTACACGTTTATCTACTTCTAATGTGCTCGAAGCTGGGAGGTGAGCGAAATTTGGAAGTGGAAGAGATTCGGCGAAGTTCTGGAGGCTTTCGGCCCAGACGATCCTGGAAGTTGCACGCCTTGTGTTTTTATCTTGCCTTTGGAGGGGCATCAGTGCATAGGGGAATTAACCGTCCCAAAACCCTGCAAAATCACTCCAGACAACACAGAAAAACGAAGGTAAGTGAACTTTATTTATCTGACTGTCATTAAGCGGATTTTGGGGATGAAATGGCACGATTTGCGGTATTTATGAACATTTCTCGGGATCACTTGCCGAGATCGACCGTTTGCAAATTACAAACAATGTAAGACAACTAGCGTATCACATAACTGACGTCACGCGGCCTCAAACCCACAGAATTGTCTGTCTGTGAGGTCATACGGAGTACGCAAATTCTTAGGGCTGTGACGTCATTAGGCGTAAAAATTATAGTCCGCCTCGCGAATTTCTCGCTTGTTTCTTTGAGTTTGCCAAGGAATCCAGCAAAATGGCGTCCAACAAACGAGACCTTAAAATTATTTCGATCGCTCAGCTTGTAATGGCAGGTATCCTCTTCGTTCTCGGAATGGTAGACCATTTTGAAGTTCGCTACATGTATGCCAGTCTCATATTGATGCCAATTTGGATTGCTCTACTTGTAAGTATATAATATTTCTCAAAAGAGTGCAAATGCAAAGTACTGTCTAGATTTACATTTTCTAGCAGAGGGTTTAGGTCAGCAAAACATGCGAAGATATCGGATCTTGCTGTTCTAAATAACCATCTGGTCGTTACGGTGTTCTAATTTCGTTGTTTTGGGACAGGATTTACTTCGAAGCTTAAAGTGAAATCCTGTTCCAATCCCTCATACTACAAATGTCGGGTGAATGTTTACGTAGAATTACATTTTACTGGATAATCTGAAACCATTAGGATTCACAACCTTCCACCTGCAAATATCTCGTCCGTAATTCTTTCGATAAGAATACAACCGCACTCTCAAATTGGGTCAAAATATGTTGACATTGGAAACGTAGAATACAAAGTTTGCCCTTCAAAAATGAATCGGTCGTCTGTGACTTGGAAACATTCAACTTTTGCTGTTTTTATATGTTGAGCGATCAAAGTAGTTCGAAGATTGAGAAATATATCACAATACTTCGATAAAACAGTCCGCATCATTCTAAAGTTATATTAGGACTTCTCTCAGTTTTGCTGTAAAGTTAACAAAATAAACATTGCGTAGGATGTTTTACACTAGCGGAAGTCGATCAGAAATGCTAATGATTGCACTGCCAGACGAAGGGAACTCGATGATTTGACCTCGAATTTCTCTTTTAAAAACAACCTTAGCTTTTATTTTTAGAGAGAAGTTTTCGGAAAAATCTGTCGATGAGAGTATTTTTGAATTCAATGTAAGGCTCCCATACGTCAATTAGGTTGCGTGACATAAGTCACGCTAGCTGAAGGCTTCTGTAAAATGTCTTCTGTAAAATCAAATAAAGCCGGAAAAACAACATTTTACAGAGAATGCTTTTCTTCCACAATAAATTGAAGACATCTAAATAAATTTACAATGAATGTACTTCTTCGTTTGTCTCTCTTCCTAATTCTACTTCATGCCTCCTCCTATTTTAACATTTACCGTAATTTCGATCATTTACCCGCGCGGCAGATTACCCGCCTCGGTCAATTTTTGCAATGGCGTGAAAAAATTTTCAACAGATAACCCGCACTTGTAAAAATCTGTTCTAAAAAAATGATATCTCGGAATCTACTGAGTCGGGGAAATCGCTTGAAACGGGAAAATACTCTTTATCTGAAGGCAGTGCTAGCCAAGAAAATTCTACTAATGCTTCGAATATTCTGTCGGGCATTTAATTATGCTGCGCCGCGAAATGAACGTGTCGGCACATTTTCTGTGTGAATTGCCCTCAAGTCAGCTTTTTGACAATTAAATTCTTTTATTTTCAAGTTCACTTCCCGGGTAAGCGAGAATTGTTTTTTGAACTTAACAAAGAAACAAGATAAAACCTTTGTTATCGAGTTTTGTAGATACGTTTTCGATTTGCATCGGCTTTCATCGATAGCATTTTAAAAGTCTCTTATTATAATTAGCAATCTGCGCGAAATAAATGAGTTATCACACAGGTTTTTTGAACTGTATCTATAGTGGATCTTATCACGTCTGTTTTTTTTTCCTGCTTAAAAGTGATGCTATTGAAATCAACTCCGATATTAATCGTATCGATCCTATGACTACTGATCGAGGAGTTGAATGTTTTTTTCAGGTCATACCCATCGGCATCATGGGATTGGTTTTGACAGTGAACGGGTCCAGACCGTCCTCTGCTTTGGTGAGTATTAAAATAGCATAATACTATTTAAAGTCGGTCTATGTAGTTAGTGAGGTATGTTTGACTGATTTTTTTTGTTTTTGTTAGCTTGTTTGTTTGTTTTATTATTCTTTGCTTCTTCTCGACAATTTTCCCACCTAGCGTGCCCTTTAGAGAATATTATGGTGTTTGACCGAGAACGTTGTACCTCTAAAATCTTAACATTTAAAACACGAGTGATTTTACGCCATGAAAACCGGCTTAGCTTCCCCTGCCATTCATTATTGCAGATAATCGGCCTGAGGTCTGTGAGCATTGCATGTGCCGCTCTATCAGTACTAACCATATATACCTATGCGATGGCACTGAACGACATATTGTTCTTCAAATACTGGGAAGCACAAACTGGTAATGACCAGAAATTTAGATGGTTTGCTGATAAAGACGCAGAAATCGAGTTCCGGAAAGAGGAAAAAACCATGATAGCTGTACATGTCTTCATTATCATATGTTCCATCCTCGAAATTATACTTGTCATGGCAAGTGTCCAAACCGGCAAGGCCATGGCTAAGGAGCCACAGGATATCCAGGTTTGTGAAATTACTCCCTATGCAGTTAATAAATTAGATACAACAACGACAAAAGAACTTATGATCCGAAAGGACGACATCCCAAACTTCAGTGATACATCCTGTTCTTTGTCAGCATTTATTTTAGAAGAAGAATATAAGGGAACATTACCTACTCTTGATGTAAAAGATGTCATCTTTAAAAAGATCATTCAAATACTAGTGCAATTTATTTGTATGCCAAATGCGAAATTTTTCAATTCAGAATTGTATTACTCTGAGAGGATTTTAGCGATCAGTCATTATTTGTCTCCTAAGGGGACTTTGGGGACCGGAGGGTTTCTTATTTTTTGTAATGATGTTCATCTCACTCCCCCACTAAGGCTCTGGAGTACATTTATGATCCCCAACCATGCGACCGAAAAAAATCAACCGAAAAGCCCTAGTTGGAAGTTACAATAAACAATAAACGTGTCTTAATCTATCAGCGACGACTGAGCCCCCCCCCTCCGTTCCCCCTCAAAACCAAGTAATCCCTCCGAAAAACCTCCCACCCCTACCCATAACTAACCCCCCCTACGTGATGAGTAACGACTGTTACCTTAGGTAAAATATTTTTCATTATATCTAATCAGCAGGCAAGCGTTGCTTATCGTCAAGTGGCAGTGGATGATGTCCCTTTGTTATTCTCGAGTTCAGATCAAGAGGCAGCTTAGATGGTATCCGTTCCATACACTGCTGTACAGAGGGCGACCTGATGTAATCCATTGCTTTTTTAACGCCATGATAGTAAATTAATTGTTAAAACCAAAAAACCGAGAATGTTATTATTTATATTTTAATATTAGTTAGTTTTTAATCTAAACTTATCTTAAATTTATACACCTTCAAAAGGTTTAATTTTTTTTTCCATTTTTGCTATTTTTTCATTTTGCGTGGTGTACCTGTAAACTATTTTTTAGCTAAGCATACCGACCACGTTAAATACATTGATTGATTGATTAATCAAAGTAATTTATGTCTTTTCGGGGCCGAAATGTTTGCTAGATATCTTAAGATCAAAATGTACCCGGAAGCTTGAAGAAAGCGTAAAATATAATTAACGAGCAACCTCCACGAATTTAGAAATGTTGTCATCGACTTGCAGCTTTAACGCCCCACCCTCCTTCCCAATCCGCCTTCGTCATTTCGGATCTTTCTCTTTCTCTCTCTGTTACTACTAGTGTAGAATCTTGGGAATATTATAGCCTTTACACCCCCATCATCAGTATAACATTTTCTTGATACTGTTCTCTTTACATTTCCTATGGTACGAACAAAAGGAATTTGTTTTACAATAAAGAGCCTCTTTCGTTTGGGATCATTTCCATTATTCTCGTTGCTTAACTTTTTAGTCAGGGGTGAAGCAGCGGGGAGAAAATAGACAGAGAGACAAGTTAATAACTAGTTTGACCCTCAAATTGAGGGCTAAAAAAGTTGTCACATAGTGCAAGAAATAATAAGAAAAAAAAGCCTTACAAATCATACTCGATTTAGTTTAAAACTTTCTTTCCCGAGCCCAAGGGGGTATTTCTAAATGACCATTTAAATGAACCAGACAGTAGTCGACGAAAGTCAAAGTCGACCATCTACCTATTGGTAACGTTAGAGTAACTCCAACAGAGTAAAGAACTTAGGAACATGGTTCTATGTGAACACGAGTCTCACTACACATATTAACAACACATGTAATGCAGCATTTTATTTCTTATATAATTTAAGGCGCATCAGGAAATATCTTTTTAGAGAAACTGCGGAAATATCAGTTTCATGCGTTAGTAATAGGAAGAATAGATTATTGTAATCGCCTTCTTTTTGGAGTGCCTGACATTCATTTAAATAACCTGCAAAGAGTTCAAAATACAGCAGCCAGGTTAGTTTGCATTGTTCCTAGATTCTGTCATATAACACCAGTTTTACGTTCTTTGCACTGGTTGCCTGTTAAATTGAGAATTAATTTCAAAATTTTAGTCATTACTTTTTTTATAAGGCTATGTTTGGCTTTGCTTTCAGACAAATTAAATGTCTACAATCAGTGTATATGACATCTGTCGATCAAATATAGCCGGAAAGCCAACATTTTACAGAGATTACGTTTCTTCCACAATAAATTGAAGATGTGAATAAATTTACCACGAATCTACTGCTTCGTTTGTCTCTCTTCCTAATCCTACTTCAATGTCTCCTTCCACTTTACCATTTATTACTAATTTACAATTTTATGACGATCATTCGAAATGCGCTTTATCATTTCCGTGCTCATGTCGATTAATCGATGTCCTTCAGGGACTTGTCAGCTGGAATATAAAAATAAGTACCTTCTCAAATAGTAACCCTATTGAAATCAACACTATTATTAATCGTTTACATTTTATAACTAGTGATCGAGGGGTTGAATATTCTTCTAACTCAGCTTTTTAAGGTCATACCCATTGGCATCATGGGATTGGTTTTAGTCATGAATCTACACCCTCCTCAGCTTTGGTGAGAATTAAAATAGCATAATACTCTTAAATGTCGATCCAGGTAATAGGTGATGTATGTTTGACTGATCTTTTTGTTTTTGTTTGTTTGTTTGTTTTTTTATTTTTCTTTGCTTCTTCTCGACAACTTTCCCGCCGAGCGTGCCCTTTAAAGAATATTATGGTGTTTGACCGAGAACGTTGTACCTCTAAAATCTTAACGTTTTAAACACGTGTGATTTTACGCCATGAAAACTTAGCTTCCCGTGCCATTCATTATTGCAGATAATCGGCCTGAGGTCTGTGAGCATTGCATGTGCTGCTGTATCAGTTCTAACCACATTTACCTATGCGATGGCACTCAATAGCATATTATTCATCAAATATATGGAGGCAAAAACTGAATACCAGGAATCTCCATGGTTTGCTTATAAAGACGTAGAAATCGAGTTCCAGAAAGAGGAAAAAACCATGATAGCTGTACATGTCTTCATTATCATATGTTCCATCCTCGAAATTATACTTGCCATGGCTAGTGTCCGGACCACCAAGGCCATGGCTAAGGAGCCACAGGACACCCAGGTTTGTGAAGTTATTCTCTATACAGTTAATAAATTAGATATGACAACGATAAAAGAACTTATGATCCGAAAGCACCACATCAAAAACTTCAATAATGCATCTTGTTCATTTTCAGCCGGTATTTATTTATTTATTAGAAGGAGAAAATAGGGTGACATTACGTTCTCCCGACGTAAACGATGTTATCTTTGAAAAGATGGTTCAAGTACTAGTGTAATTTCTTTGTTTGGCAAACGAGAGGTTTTTCAGTTCAGATTTGCGATACGATAGGATTTTAGGGATCGGTCATTGTATGTCACTTTACGGGACTTTGAGGACCGGAGGGATTTGTTTGTTTGACAATAAAATTTACCTCATCCCCCCATCAAAAGGCTCTGGAGTATTTTTGTGATCCCCACCTCCCCTTATTCGCGGTCAACTGTCCACAGACCTCCCCCCCCTTTATACTCGGTTAACGACGAATGGTCCACCCTCCATTCCCCCTGAAAACCATGTGACCCCCTGAAAAGACCTCCGACTACCCCCAGCGATGAATAATGAAGTTGTTTGTCAACTAAGGGGACTTGGGGAATCGGAAGGTTTTGTTTGTTTTACAATAACAGTTACCTCATTCCCCTCCAAGGCTCTGGAGTATTTTTATGATTCCCCTCCCCCCCCTCATTGGAGGTCAATTTTCTACAGTTCCCCTTTATACTCTATTAGCGACGACGACTGTCCCCCTCCGTTTACCTCAAATCCAAGTTATCCCTCCGAATTAAAAACCTCCCACCCCTGCCCCCCTCCACCCCCTCCACCCTTAGGTGATGAATGATGACTATTACCTTACGTAAAATATTTTTCATTATATCTAATCAGCAGGCAAGCGTTGCCTATCATCTGGTGGCAGAGGAAGATCTCCCTTTGTTATTCTCGAGTTCAGATCAAGAGGCAGCTTAGACGGTATCATCTCCATACACTGCTGTACAGACCCTGTCCCAATCACACATCACGCTGAATTTCTTTATTAAATCACACATCACGAATAATTTTTTTAACCAATCACGCGTCTCGTGAAAAGGAGTAAGTACGCCAAGCTAATACTGTAAGATTTCAACCTATCGGATATATTATCAAAATCATATTGTATCCAACGTTTTTCAGTCTGGAATGAACTGCGTTTCACTTATCATATTGCTTTTTGCCAGACAAATAAAGACGACTTACTGGCTCCGAGAACGTTTACTCGGGCTTCGTATCGCAATATCAAATCGTACTTTTCAGGTATTGAACATAGTAAAAACAAATTCAAGAATCAGAATATTTAAAACAAGAGTTAAGCCTACGTATTTACTATTCAAGTATTCAATCCTCTTCATCCAGTAGCTTGTTGTTGCCTCACCTTCGAAGTTCTTTTCGCGAAGATTTTAAATTTTTTCAATTCAACATCTGAGATGTTTGTCTGGGCATCATAGACATCATAGTTTGTTGTTTAATAAGTCAGTAGTCGTTGTTTTGACATTGTTTTCACGGTTTGAACTCAGTTTGAACTCATATATGGCTCACTAGTTATCTCGCGAGAGCTAGTATGAACTTTGCTATGAACTTTGTATGAACTTTGAACTTTCCACTCGTGGCTCCAGGAGTCTTGCGTACGAACTGAGTAGACGTCAACTCCACCTTTACTATTCTTTGATACAAGGGCAACCTTTAAGTCAAAGCTTTTCCCAGTTCCCTTCTGTGCGCCACTGTCTTTATGTCAGTAAAGGATACAACGTGGCTTTTAAATTCGTTTTGATCTTTATGGCGACCTTGGAAAAATGTTGTATACCGCTAACTGGTACACAAAATTTTTCCTTGTGTACTGGCTCATTGCTTGCCTTACCATCTTCTCGGACGGCATAAACTGACACCAAAACTCTGACGAGTTTTATCCGTTCAGCCGTTTGGGTCGTTTGCGTTGACGTTCTTTGGGATCCTTCATTCGATAGATTTGGATACTTTCTAGTCTTTCTTATTACTTATCGCGGAAATATAATTAGTGAGTCTTGTAAATCACCTGTCACGCGCTTGTAAAATAGCAAATCTCGCATTATGTTGTAATGTCCGGTCCGCGTCACGTAGATAATTTGGGTTCAACCACGCGTCACCCTGCAAATTTTGGGGCCATCACGTGTCACGCAAAAACACTTTGCCACCCTCCTCACAGAAAAGCTTCTCAGCTTGAAACGAAATGGAAATCTATCTTAAACTATCTACAACAAGATCAAACCTAGGAACAAAGGGCCACCCGGGATCTACGGCTTACCTTAGATACACATGCCTGACACACCGTTAAGACCAATTGTATCTTGCACCTTTGCTTACGATTTGTCGGCATACCCAGCCAACATCCTGTCCCCCTTGACGGTAGTTACAAAACGAAGATCTAAGACCCCCCTACGAAAACGAAGACCCATTACGAAAACGAAGACCCATCAAGAAAACGAAGACCCATCACGAAAACGAAGACCCATCACGAAAACGAAGACCCATCACGAAAACGAAGACCCATCACGAAAACGAAGACCCATCACGAAAACGAAGACCCATCACGAAAACGAAGACACATTATTAAAACAAGCACAAAGAGGTTGGTATCATCTTGTCCACAAAGGTGATACCAACCTCTTTTGAACTTGTTTTAGTGATGGGTCTTCGTTTTGGTGGGGGGTCTTCGTTTTCATAAGGGGTCTTCGTTTTCGAAGGGGGTCTTCGTTTTCGTAATGGATCTTCGTTTTCGTAAGGGGGTCTTAAGTCTTCGTTTTCGGGGTCTTCGTTTTCGTAACTTCCCCTGACAAGCAAGTCAAACTACTCAGGTATTAACTCTACGCACTTCGTGTCAAAAATCAGTCACGAGAAAGTACATGATAACGAGGTCATGGTATCTTTTGACGTAGATCGGTCCACATCATGTGTCGACGGTCGAGCCATGAGCGAAGGTCGGAAATCGAGTAGGCTTTCGAGGTGGTTAGAGGCGGACAATCGCACTGATTTTTGGCTTGGTTCTTGTACTTTTATCTACTTCTAACGTGCTCGAAGCTGGGAGGTGAGCGAAATTTGGAAGCGGAAGAAATTCTGTGAAGTTCTGGAGGCTTTCGGCCCAGACGATCCTGGAAGTTGCACGCCTTGTGTTTTTCCCTTGCCTTTGGAGGGGCATCAGTGCATAGTGGGGAATTAACCGTCCCAAAACCCTGCAAAATCACTCCAGACAACACAGAAAAACGAAGGTAAGTGAACTTTATTTATCTGACTGTCATTAAGCGGATTTTGGGGATGAAATGGTACGATTTACGGTATTTATGAACATCTCTCGGGATCACTTGCGTCTTTCCGAGGTCGACCGTTTGCAAATTACAAACAACTAGACCCTGTGAGCAGGGTAACTGGGATACCTGGATGGTACTGGATCCGTGGAATCAAGTGTAGTGATACTACGCGTGTCGGACTAGTATACTGAAATAGTGAGCTCAAGTCTGGCCAAGGGCATACACCTGTCTCAAAACATAGGCATGCTATACATGCAAGAGTTATTTTTTCTAGGGTGGGTAGATAACTTGAAACATTGTAAGTGGTTTACATTCTTACAAAAAGGAAAGAAGATTATTAACGCGGGAAAGAATGAAAATGTCGAATTACCCCACACATAGGTATTTTGTGGTAGATTATGTGTGTTGTGCGAATAAATGTAACCAAAAATAAACTGTATTTGTGCCACGGATACCTGTTAGTACAAAATGTAGACAGCAGACTGCAGACCGGATAATAACATGTCATCTTACAGCTTACCGAGCGTCACGCAATCGCTTTTCCGCGATCAGCCTTCACGATTATTTGCACTATTGTGGAAAATTCCTGGCCCATTTCTTGATGAAAATCGATCGTAATATAATTTCAAGCCTTCAACATAGTCTTCTTACTTTGCGCGCGAGTTGGTTGGTGTGACGTCTGTACAGATTTTACCAATGTAATAAAAGTAGATGACGTGAATAATAGTGATGGTAAAGCAAGCTTAAAACGGCAACAATCGCCAGAAACTACAACGGATACACAGGGTATGAGTAAGTTTTATTGATTTTTCGAGAAAAATCTTCATATTTCGAAATATTTATCGTTGTAAATCGACCATATTTCGTTCCCTATACTATTCCTTATAACGTGTTCAAATTTTCAACGGTTCCTAGAATAACTTACTCTGAGTCACACAACGCGTGACGCGTTCGTGAATTAATCGTTGGCTCTTTCTCGAAACGTGACCTTGGGTCGCCTGTGACAAGACAATTGCGTAAACAATACTTAACATAATAACATTATACACAAAAAACACGGGATTTTGGATCATGTATTTATTAAAAAAGAATATCCATACAACTACAATGAATACAAACATAAGATTCACCTTTCTGATCGTGAAATTAATACCATTCGCACTGTTATCGTAGCTACGTTCCCTGGCATCAAGTGAATCCAACATGGCGTCTTTCTTCATTAGCAGTTTGCATCCATTTGAATTTTGTTCTTCAGTCTCACGGTAGTAGTGTTGTTCAATAGATTGCATAGAGTTTATGCAGTTTGGTTTCAGATTTCAGATTTTGCTTTTTACAACGAGTTTACGTTTTCAACTAAGACATTGGCATACTTGGCATACAAGACATAAAAGGCATTCAATGCTTTCATGGCTTTCAAGCGTTCGCGATTCTGTCCGATCCAAAATTACCGCTCAATAACATCTTTTTGTGTGGATTGGCCGCGAACAATACGACTTGTGTATGCGTCTATAAGTATTTTGAGCGTTTGCCCCATAATGCTCCAGATGATCGTAATCCAATTACGTTGAAATACAAAACGACTGACAAAATAGTTTTATGGGCAAAAATCTCGTGTTCGTCATGTGACCCGGCCCTGTCCGTGCATGACAACGTCAATCATCATCAAGATAGCACGCGTGATCAGCATGTGAACACCTCATTGTATCACAGTAAGTTGTCATGGTGTTGAGGGCCCAATGACCTCTGGATACTATTGCGCAATTTTTCCATTTTGTGGCGGAGGAAAAAAAAAAAAACTAGACCCTGTGAGCAGGGTAACTGGGATACCTGGATGGTACTGGATCCTTGGAATCAAGTGTAGTGATACAACGGGTGTCGGACTAGTATACTGAAATAGTGCGCTCAAGTCTGGCCAAGGGCATAGACGTATTTCAAAACATAGGCATGGTATGCATGCAAGAGTTACTTTTTTGTAGGGTGGGTGGATTACTTGAAACATTGTGAGTGATGTCTATATTCTTACAAAAGGAGAGAAGAATATTAATGTAGGAAAGAACGAAAATGTCAAATTACCTCACTCACAGGTATTTTGTGGTAGATTACGTGTGTTTTGCGAATAAATGTAACCAAAAAAAAAAACTGTATTGGTGTCACAGATACCTGTTAGTACAAAATGCAGACAGCAGACTGCAGACCGGATACAAAATATAGACTGCAGACTGCAGAGTGGGTACAAAATGCAGACTAAGAATCTGAAGAGTTTTTACGTCTGGTATATAATAACATGTCATCTTACAGCTTACCGAGCGTCACGCAATCGCTTTTCTGCGATCCGCCTTCACGATTATTTGCAGTATTGAGGAATATTCCTGGCCCATTTCTTGGTGAAAATCGATCGCAATATTATTTCAAGCCTTCAATATAGTCTTATTACTTTGCGCGCGAGTTGGTTGGTGTGATGTCTGTACAGATTTTATCAACGTAATAAAAGTAGATGATGTGAACAACAGTGATGGTAAAGCAAGCTTAAAACGGCAGAAATCGGCAGAAAATACAACGGATACACAGGGTATGAGCAATTTTTATTGACTTTACGAGAAAAATGTTCATAATTCGAAATATGTATCGTTGTAAATCGACCATACTTCGTTCCCTGTACTATTCCTTATAACGTGCAGTTCCTCTCGTAACTTAACACCGAGTCACACAACGCGTGACGCGTTCATAAATTAATCGTTGGCTTTTTCTCGAGACGTGAGCTTGGGCCGCTTGTGACAAGACAATTGCGTAAACAATATTTAACATAGCAACATTATACACAAAAAAACACAGGGTTTTGGATCACGTATTTATTAAAAAAGAATATCCATACAACTACAATGAAAACAAACGTAAGATTCACCTTTCTGATCGTGAAATTAATACCATTCGTACTGTTATCGTAGCTACTTTCCTTGCCATCAAGTGAATCCAACATGTCGTCTTTCTTCACAAGCAGTTTGCATCCCTTATAGCTATGTTCTTCAGTCTCACGGTAGTAGCGTTGTTCAATAGATTGCATAGAGTATATGCAGTTTGGTTTCAGATTTCAGATTTTGCTTTTTACAACAAGTGAACATTTTTCAACTAAGACATTGGCATACTTAGCATACAAGGCATTCAAGGCTTTCATGGCTTTCAAGCGTTCGCGACTCAATCCGTTCCAAAATTACCGCTCAATAACATCTTTCAGTGTGGATTAGCCGCGATTAATACGACTTGTATATGCGTCTGTAAGTATTTTGCGCGTTTGCGCTATAATGCTCCAGGAGATCGCAATCCAAATACGTTGAAATACAAAACAACTGACCTAAGAGTTTTATAAGCAAATTCTCGTGTTTGTCATGTGACCCGGCCCTGTCTGTGCATGACAACGTCAATCATCATCAAGATAACACGCGTGATCAGCATGTGAACACCTCATTGGATCACAGTTAGTTGTCATGGAGTTGAGGGATAACACGCGTGATCAGTATGTGAACACCTCATTGGATCACAGTTAGTTGTCATGATATTGAGGGCCCAATGACCTCTGGGTAATATTGCGCAATTTTTCCATTTTGTGGGGGAGGAAAAAAAAAAAAAAAAAGAAAAAAAAACAAAGGCATTTTATGACTGGGCTACCACAGGTATCCCAGTAAAAAAAAAAAAAAGACGACAAAAAAACAAAGGCATTTTATGACTGGGCTACCACAGGTATCCCAGTAACTAATTTGTAAGACAACTAGCGTATCACATAACTGACGTCACGCGGCCTCAAACCCACAGAATTGTCTGTATGTGAGGTCATACGGAGCACGCAAATTCTTAGGGCTGTTGGCGTCATCAGGCCTATAAATTGTAGTCCGACTCGCGAACTTCTCTATTGTTTCTTTGAGTTTGCCAAGGAATCCAGCAAAATGGCGTCCAACAAACGAGACCTTAAAATTATCTCGATCGCTCAGCTTGTAATGGCAGGTATCCTCTTCGTTCTCGGAATGGTAGACCATTTTGAAGTTCGCTACATGTATGCCAGTCTCATATTGATGCCAATTTGGATTGCTCTTCTTGTAAGTATATTATATTTCTCAAAAGAGTGCAAATACAAAGTACTGTCTAAATTTACATTTTCTAGCAGAGGGTTTAGGTCAGCAAAACATGCAAAGATATTGGATCTTGCTGTTCTAAATAAGCATCTGGTTGTTACGGTGTTCTAATTTCGTTATTTTGGGAGAGGATTTACTTCGAAGCTTAAAGTAAAATCCTGTTCCAATCCCTCATACTACAAATGTCGGGCGAATGTTTTACGTAGAATCACATTTGACTGGATAATTTGAAACCATTAGGATTCACAACCTTCCACCTGCAACTATCTCGTCCGTAATTCTTTCGATAAGAATACAACCGCACTCTCAAATTGGGTCAAAATATGATGACATCGGAAACGTAGAATACAAAGTTCGCCCTTCAAAAGCGAATCGGTCGTCTGTGACCCGGGAACATTCAACTTTTTCTGTTTTCATATGTTGAGCGATCGAAGTAGTTCGAAGATTGAGAAATGTATCACAATACTTCGATAAAACAGTCCGCATCATTCTAAAGTTATATTAGGACTTCTCTCAGTTTTGCTGTAAAGTTAACAAAATAAACATTGCGTAGGATGTTTTACACTAGCGGAAGTCGATCAGAAATGCTAATGATTGCACTGCCAGACGAAGGGAACTCGATGATTTGACCTCGAATTTCTCTTTTAAAAACAACCTTAGCTTTTGTTTTTAGAGAGAAGTTTTCGGAAAAATCTGTCGATGAGAGTATTTTTGAATTCAATGTAAGGCTCCCATACGTCAATTAGGTTGCGTGACATAAGTCACGCTAGCTAAAGGCTTCTGTAAAATGTCTTCTGTAAAATCAAACATTTACCGTAATTTCGGTCCATTTACCCGCGCGGCAGATTACCCGCCTCGGTCAATTTTTGCAATGGCGAGAAAAAGTTTTCGACAGATCACCCACACTGGCAGATAACCCGTACTTGTAAAAATCTGTTCTAAAAAAATGATATCTCGGGATCCACTGAGTCGGGGAAATCGCTTGAAACGGGAAAATACTCTTTATCTGAAGGCAGTGCTAGCCAAGAAAATTCCACTGATGCTTCGAATATTCTGTCGGGCATTTAATTATGCTGCGCCGCGAAATGAACATGTCGGCACATTTTCTGTGTGAATTGCCCTCAAGTCAGCTTTTTGACAATCAAATTCTTTTATTTTCAAGTTCACCTCCCGTGCAAGCGAGAATTGTTTTTTGAACTTAACAAAGAAACAAGATAAAACCTTTGTTATCGAGTTTTGTAGATACGTTTTCGATTTGCATCGGCTTTCATCGATAGCATTTTAAAAGTCTCTTATTATAATGAGCAATCTGCGCGAAATAAATGGGTTATCACACAGCTTTTTTGAACTGTATCTATAGTGGATCTTATCATGTTTGTTTTTTTTTTTTCCTGCTTAAAAGTGATGCTATTGAAATCAACTCCGATATTAATCGTATCGATCCTATGACTACTGATCGAGCAGTTAAATGTTTTTTTCAGGTCATACCCATCGGCATCATGGGATTGGTTTTGACAGTGAACGGGTCCAGACCGTCCTCTGCTTTGGTGAGTATTAAAATAGCATAATACTATTTAAAGTCGGTCCATGTAGTAAGTGAGGTATGTTTGACTGATTTTTTTTTTTGTTAGCTTGTTTGTTTGTTTTATTATTCTTTGCTTCTTCTCGACAATTTTCCCACCTAGCGTGCCCTTTAAAGAATATTATGGTGTTTGACCGAGAACGTTGTACCTCTAAAATCTTAACGTTTAAAACACGTGTGATTTTACGCCATGAAAACTTAGCTTCCCCTGCCATTCATTATTGCAGATAATCGGCCTGAGGTCTGTGGGCATTGCATGTGCCGCTCTATCAGTACTAACCATTTATACCTATGCGATGGCACTGAACAACATATTGTTCTTCAAATACTTGGAAGCACAAACTGGTTATTACCAGAAATTTAGCTGGTTTGCTGATAAAGACGCAGAAATCGAGTTCCGGAAAGAGGAAAAAACCATGATAGTTGTTCATGTCTTCATTATCATATGTTCCATCCTCGAAATTATACTTGTCATGGCAAGTGTCCAAACCGGCAAGGCCATGGCTAAGGAGCCACAGGATATCCAGGTTTGTGAAATTACTCCCTATGCAGTTAATAAATTAGATACAACAACGACAAAAGAACTTATGATCCGAAAGGACGACATCCCAAACTTCAGTGATACATCCTGTTCTTTGTCAGCATTTATTTTAGAAGAAGAATATAAGGGAACATTACCTACTCTTGATGTAAAAGATGTCATCTTTAAAAAGATCATTCAAATACTAGTGCAATTTATTTGTATGCCAAATGCGAAATTTTTCAATTCAGAATTGTATTACTTTGAGAGGATTTTAGCGATCAGTCATTATTTGCCACCTAAGGGGACTTTGGGGACCGGAGGGTTTCTGATTTTTTATAATAATAATAATGGTCATCTCACTCCCCCACTAAGGCTCTGGAGTATATTTATGATCCCCAACCATGCGACCGAAAAAAATCAACCGATAAGCCCTAGTTGGAAGTTACAATAAACAATAAACGTGTCTTACTCTATTAGCGACGACTGACCCCCCCCCCCTCCGTTCCCTCTCAAAACCAAGTAATCCCTCCGAAAAACCTCCCACCCCTACCCATAACTAACCCCCCCTACGTGATGAGTAACGACTGTTACCTTATGTAAAATATTTTTCATTATAACTAATCAGCAGGCAAGCGTTGCTTATCGTCAAGTGGCAGTGGATGATGTCCCTCTGTTATTCTCGAGTTCAGATCAAGAGGCAGCTTAGATGATATCCGTTCCATACACTGCTGTACAGAGGGCGACCAGTTATCCATTGCTTTTTAACGCCATGATAGTAAATTAATTGTTAAAACCACAAAACCGAGAATGTTATTAGAAGTAGTATTAGTAGTATAATATAAGTAGTATTTGAATTTTTATATTTTAATATTAGTTAGTTTTTAATCTAAACTTATCTAAAATTTATACACCTTCAAAAGGCTTTATTTTTTTTTTCCATTTTTGCTATTTTTTCATTTTGCGTGGTGTACCTGTAAACTAGTTTTTTAGATAAGCATACCGACCACGTTAAATACATTGCTTCATTGATTGATTGATCAAAGTAATTTATGTCTTTTCGTGGCCGAAATGTTTGCTAGATATCTTAAGATCAAAATGTACCCGGAAGCTTGAAGAAAGCGTAAATATAATTAACGAGTAACCTCCACGAATGTAGAAATGTTGTCATCAGCTTTCGACTTTAACGCCCCACCCTCCTTCCCAATCCGCCTCCGTCGTTTCGGATCTTTCTTTTTCTCTCTCTGTTACTACTCGTGTAGAATCTTGGGAATATAATAGCCTTTACACCCCCATCATCAGTATACATATTCTTGATACTGTTCTCTTTACATTTCCTATGGTACGAACAAAAGGAATTTGTTTTACAATGAAGAGCCTCTTTCGTTTGGGATCATTTCCGTTATTCTCGTTGCTTAACTTTTTAGTCAGGGGCGATGCAGCGAGGAGAAAATAGACAGAGAGACAAGTTAATAACTAGTTTGACCCTCAAATTGAGGGCTCAAAAAGTTGTCACATAGTGCGAGAAAAAAAAGCCTTACAAATCATACTCGATTTAGTTTAAAACTTTCTTTTCCAAGCCCAAGGGAGTGTTTCTAAATGACCATTTGCTAATTCATTGTAGTTTGCTGTCGGTAATTCTAAAACATCTAAACATTTAAATGACTAAACATGTTATCGTTCTCAAAGTCATCTTTGGCCCACACCGGCAATCACTGCGACAAGTCCGGGAATGTGTTACTGTGCATGTTTCACTAATTCAGTTTTAGCTTATAATTAAACGTGACGAAAATATATTAAACTAGACATGGCGTTCAGTCGGCTAGAATTGAAAATCATTTCGATAATTCAGCTGGTAATGTCACTTATCCTTTTTGCATTCGGCATCGTGGACCATTTTGAAGTATGTTACACATACCTCAGCCATTTGTTGATGCCATGCTGGATAGCGGCTCTTGTATGTACACTTGCCCAAGACATCCAACTACGGGTGTTTTATTGCTTACGCTCATGCTTTTGACAGTTAAAATATGATAAATTCGAAGTTCATGGCGAAGATGTAAAACTCCCTTTTGCTGGTGCTTCTCTTCGTTTCAATAATCCGACCACCGAGACTAAATTTCACACAACCCTCACAGCTGCCTTTCATCTAAATATAAGATGAGTTCATTATCAGTGCAGGCACTCAAACGATTCCGAGTGCAATAAGGAACACAGTAGATAAGCACGAGTAGCTAAACATGCAGAGTTACCATTTGTACCCTAAATTATCTCTCTCTGGTTTTATGTTGCCTGAAAACTGCATTTTTCTGACTCTTTTTCAGGCATGTTACTTGATTTCCAAAACCCAAATTTTGCTTCTTGCTTGGATAGGTATTGCCAGCAAGCATTATGGGATATATTCTAGCAATCAGGGTCCAGACGTTCCCCGATTCTGGTGAGAATGATTACGAACGTATATGTTATTAGATTATTTATGCGAAGAGAAAATAAAACCTTACTTAATTCTGCGTGACATTTAAAACAGTTATTCACCAACGTTACTTCCCATCTTCAGAGGCCGAAAAATAATTTTTCCTTCCTTCCCATAAGAAAAAAGGTCTAAAATCTTTAAAAGCACCCGAGTTGTTTAGAAAAATGTATTTTCAAAGAAAAGTTATTAAATAATGAGGGTGTAATAATCTCGTACCTGGGCGAGTCCCCACTTCACAACAGAATGGTACTCTTTCTCTCTCCTTTGGGCCTGTTTTCTCTTTATTTGTTTTGTTTTTTTAAACTGGACTTTCTTCCGCTTTTGATTTTTTCATGAGCAAAGATTTTTCCATAAGCAAAGAGCATCCACATTCATATTTGAAGCTCAGAAAATGATTGGCTTCTCCTGATATCACGATTTCAGATAAATTGGCTTACTTCAATTAGTATTGCCTCTATTGTGGTTTCTGCGGTGGTACTTGAAGCGTATTCCTGGGCTCTGAAATTTTTATTGCGTTTCAAGTACTACAAATACGGCAATGCAGTGGTTTTTCCCGACTTTTGGGCTAAAGATCGCTAGACGCAAAAATCAGGTTTGACGACCAGGAAAACACCAGGATAACCATACATGCCTTGATTGTCATGCCCTGATTGTCATGCTCGGAGCAGTGAAACTGGGCGTCAGTCGCCGCAGGAAAATCAGGTATGTTGCGCTACTCAGAAAAGAGTTATTAACCTTTTACACCTTAACATCAGGATACATCTTCTCCATACTGTTCTCTATACATTTCCTATGATATTGACAAAGAGAATTTGTTAAACGATTAAGAGCCTCTTTAGTTGCTGATCATTTCCTTTATTCTCATGACCTCAATGTTTGTTTTAGGGATGATACTGATAGGAGAAAATAGTTATTAATCAGTCTTAAGGGTTAATCGAATAGGGCACTGAAGTCTAAAAGTAAGGGCTCTCACCTCATCTCCCCTTCATCATCCTTTGCTTTCGCACGACTTATTATTTTGACTCCCTTCGTCTCACCTTACCTCCCTCCTCGGTATTGACGACTCTCGACTCAAGTGAATCAAGTTAATCCCCTGGCACTTGATCTATGGGGAGTGCCTAATCATATATCTTTTCGTCTCACATGTTACTGGTGAAGATTGCGTTGTTGAGTCGCTGAGAGGCAAGTAATTGTTAAAGGTAAGCCAAATCTGGTTTTCTTGGTTTAGGAATGAATTTATAATCACAGAGAATTCTCTGAGATAAGATGCATCATTCTTCTAACCTGAGACATGCTACATGATTATCGGCTGTAAATTTGAGCGGTGATTTGAGACATTATCTTGTTTATCGTCGCAAAATGTTGAGTAAACTAGGTTGAATACTTTTGCGCGATACCCGTGAGCAAATGTGTGTAATGGTCATACAAAATGACCTTATTTTAAGCAGCAATTGACCCATTAACAAGGATTCCCCATTAGGACCCATGTCATGTTCCCCGGGCACATGTTGAGGCCATGTCAATTAATTGTCCGTCAAGCAATATTCAAGTTACACTAAAACTACGGAGTCGAACATGCCCAAGTTACCGGCTAAAAATCTCTCGAATCTTCATTAGGTTTTTACCTCATGGTTCAGGACTTGCATTCTGTCATTCGTGGTCATTCGTGGTCATTCGTGGTCACTCGTGTGTGCTTTTAGACATGATCAGGGGATTCGCCAAGATCCAAGATTATAACACCTTCCTAATTTACTAACTTTTGTTTGAAGAAACGTTTTTCTAAATAACTCGGGTGTTTTAAATATTTCTGATGGAAACGTTAGGTTGAATGTTTGAATTCAGTTTAGTTAAATAACAGAAAAATCGATATTTGGGCCTCTGAGGGTGGGAAGTAACCTTAAGATCGACGAGGGCGAAGGAAACAGCCATACAAAACTTTGCGAAATCTCCTTGATTTAAAGTCAACAATGTATTCTTCACATGTACAGCATGTTATAAAGTTCATGTCTGGTTCAATCACGTCGCTGACTGTTAGTAAATCGCAAATGGTGTTACTGGAATAGTCCGCTATATTACAATAGCCGACAATTTCCGATAACCACCCGACTCCCCCTAGGGAAGATAGAAAGTACAGATATCCTCTTCACTAGGGGCATCTAGCTCAAAAGTAAGTGATCTTGGGGGCTCTCCGAAAAAGTTTTCTACAGCAATAACTAAGCTCTACAGAAGCATACAATGAAGACAAAAGTTGTAAAAGAATCAATGAATTCTTTAATTCTTTTTCCCTCCCAGGCCAACCTATTGTACAACTCTCATGACATCTGTCCCAGTTTCATCAGTAAATTTTTTAAGCTTCAAGCTTTTCCTGCAATTATGTACTTGTTCTTGAAGCTGAAATTAACAAGGTTCCTGTAAATTAAGTTTACATAACAACCTAACAATTTGTGAAAATCACACAAATCCCAAGCTATATCCAGGGTTATGCTCTAAATAAAATACACTTTTAAAGCAAATTGGGATTTTTCCCTAGTTCTTTTTATTTTTTTTTTGTTACTTTTGAAATACATTTTTATAAATAATGCTCCCCTGACTCTCCCCAAAACTTTTAGAACAGATGCAAACTCTTAAGAATGATCAAGCTTTACCTTATTATTAAAAATTTTTACATCTGGGATTACTAAGTTATCACAGAGGTTTTTTGGTACTTTGACCTGTTTAACACCTAAAGAAGTGCACATACATAACACACACAATCAGCCAGGTCAAAATGTGCTGCAGCCAACAATTTAGTCACCCACCTACATTGAAATAGCTGGTAACTTCACACATGTCCGACTTCTATTCAGGAAAAGATTTGGCCTCTGCTGCCTATTACTATTGCCAGCTTGCCTGCCACTCAAAATTTCAACTGAGATTATACATACACACATGTGGGATTAGGTTACATGAGCTGACCTGCACTATTGAAAGAGATCAATGAATTATAACTCAATGAAACATTGATAAATAAAATAAATGAATAGAAATGACAAAAATTAAACTAAAAGCAGACAGTACTGTTTCAGCCTTCTGGGCCTGGTCAGTGCAGTGATCTTTGATTAAGTGCTTAATCTGGACATAAAACCAAAACTTGATATGGTGAAATATTATTATTTTTCTTTTAATATTCCTATTCCAGCTGATGTATATTATTTGAATTAAAGTCTTATTAGCATGTTAAAATCACCTAGGGGCAAGGCATACACTTGCCAAAATTGCTTTGCATCAGGTACATCATCTAGAACATCATTACCATCTTCAGGTATTTCTAATTTACTTGTGAAAATCACACAAATCATAAGCTATATACAGCATACAATCAGCAGCAAATTATTAGAAAGGAATACAGTAATCTTTAATAATAAGATTACCTAGTAGCTAAATAACAAATAGCCCAGTCAAAATGTGCCAGTAGCCAATGCAAGGCTTTGGCCGTCTACAACAAAATATCTGTTAGGCTTTTAGTCTGGACAAGGTTTGGCCTCTACCATATAGACTATACTATTATACTACTATAGCCAGCTTGCCTACTTCTCAAAAACATTTTGACTAGGCTGAAAAAATGTTTGAGAGAAAAATGGCCATAACAAGCCCACTTACTGCAAAATAAGAAACATAAAAGTAACACTTCAAACTAATACAGAATATAAGCCTTGCAGGGTTTGGCTCTCAATAACATTAGTTAAAATAGCCAATGTTGAGTTTCACTGCTCATTCAAAATGGGCACACCTTTCAGACTGCTTTTCAGGAAGAGGTTTGGCCTCTGCTGCCTATAATTACTACAGCCAGCTTGTCTACTACTAAAAAACATTTTGACTGGGCTGTGCAAGTGTTACTAGCATATAAAAAGCACCTTCAGTTAGATTAGAGCAAAGCAGACTTTGTACCAAAATGTTTTGCATTAAGCACATCATTACCCTTTTCAGGTATTTCTAGTTTACTTGTGAAAATCCCTCAAATCACAAGCTATATTATATCATACATTCAAGTTGACAAAGCAATCAGGGGTAAATTTTTCATAATAGGATGCAATGATCTTCAGTATCAAGATTATTTCGTACCTAAAGAGTAAAATGTACGAGAGAAGAAATAACTGTAAACATTTTTTCTTTCTCATCAGCATCGACTTCCAAAAATGATGGATAATGACCACCTAAAACAAAGAAGAAATAAATCATATTTGTGATTTCACAGGTTTCAATACGACACAAGTGTGCATATTTTTATTTTCTACAACTTACAAGTGGCAGGAATAGCTGAAATGGCCTTCAAGTGAACACAACAGAATCCTCTGCGTGTATAGCCATGTAAAACTATTTATTTGGTGTCGAAATTACATCCCAAATGTCATGATATTTGACTGAAACTCAGCTTACCCATCTTTCGTTTAGACTTCGAAACTTGCTGCTTTTTTTCTATCGTTTCAATGTTTTCTTGTTTTTCAAAAGGTGGTAGAGCCATTCAGGTAGTGATTTTTTTTACTTGAGAACCAGATCTCAACACCCAAGCCTTTTCACGCTAAAATATTAAACTACTGGATTCCCTTCGCCGCCGTAAGCCGCCATTTTATCTTTCCCTGAAAACTAGTTCCCAAGCTTCGAGCCCGAAGGTCTCACACATGCCATGAAATAATGCTCTTCATTATTTCAGGGCCAATTAAGAAGTAACGATAATCATTATTTCGGTTTCGAGATTATATTGAGCGTATAGCACGCCTGGGCGTATAGATAGTAGTCCGTGTAACGACCTTCTCTATTGTTTCTTTGAGTTTGTCTAGGAATCCAGCGAAATGGTGTCCAACAGACGAGACCTTACAATTATCTCGATCGCTCAGCTTGTAATGGCAGGTGTCCTCTTCGTGCTCGGAATGGTAGACCATTTTGAAGTTCGCTACATGTATGCCAGTCTCATATTGATGCCAATTTGGATTGCTCTTCTTGTAAGTACATTATATTTCTCATTGGCTAAATCTATAAATTATTTCTCATAAGAATGCATTTAGAAATTGTTAAGTACAGAAAGCCTCAAAAAGCCCAATAATCCTTTCAAAAGATTGTTGAAACGGCGTGTTATTCTGTGCGCTTTTCAAAATTCGAAAGTGCAACGAGACAAAGAAATATTCTAATGCGTTCAGCTGATATCTGATTGGCTCAATTGTTTTGTTGCTAGGTGAATTTCATGCTTTATTAATTCCTTCCGCATGAGTCGTTGAGTCATAAAATTGATAAATAGGCCTGAAATGAAATTCCATCTTGTTATTGATTCAGCACGTTGCCTAGCACGTGACTAAAATCTACCCAGGTGGAGATCCAAAATGACGGTGGCAGTCTTGGCTTAGTTATATCTCTCAAAACTCGTTCCCGTTTGTCTCATTTGATAAAGAGGGGATCGTTAATGTTTTCATTAAGACAGTATTGCCTTGCCTCAAAAAGTAACCCAGTTGAAATCAACACTGGTAGTAATCGTTTACATTTTATGACTACTGATTGAGCAGTTGAATGTTCTTCTAACTGTTTTTTTAGGTCATACCCATTAGCATCATGGGATTGGTTTTAACCATGAACAGGTCCAGACCCTCCTCTGCTTTGGTGAGAATTAAAATAACATAATACTCTTAAAAGTCAGTGATGCAGTGATGTGTGTTTGACTGATCTTTTTTGTTTTTGTTTGTTTGTTTATCATTCTTTGCTTGTTCTTGACCATTTTCCCACCGAGCGTGCCTTTAAAGAATATTATGGTGTTTGACCAAGAACTTTGTGCCTCTAAAATCTCAAGGTTTAAAACACTTGTGATTTTACGCCATCGCCATTGATTATTGCAGATGAGCGGCCTGAGGTCAGTGAGCGTTGCATGTGCTGCTGTATCAGTTCTAACCACATTTACCTATGCGATAGCACTCAATAGCATATTATTCATAAAATATACGGAGGCAAAAACTGATTACCGGGAATCTCCATGGTTTGCTGACAAAGGTGCAAAAATCGAGTTCCGGAAAGAGGAAAAAACCATGATAGCTGTACATGTCTTCATTATCATATGTTCCATCCTCGAAATTATACTTGCCATGGCTAGTGTCCGGACCGCCAAAGCCATGGCTAAGGAGCCACAGGACACCCAGGTTTGTGAAGTTATTGTATGTGCAGTCAATAAATTAGATATGACAATGATAAAAGAACTTATGATCCGAAAGTACTGCATCCCAAACAGTAATGCATCCTGTTCTTTGTCAGCATCTGTTTTAAAAGGAGTAATAAAGGGAACATTATGTACTCGTGATGTAGACAATGCCATCTATCAAAAGATCATTCAAGTAGTAGTAATTTCTTTATTTGGCAAACGTGAAATTCTTTAATTCAGAATTGCATGACTTTGAGAGGATTTTAGCGATCAGTCATTGTTTGTCACCTAAGGGGATTTTGAGGACTGGAGGGTTTTGTTTGATCTATAATAAAACCTACCTCACCCTCTTAGGGCTCTGGGGTATTTTTAATTGACCTCTCACTCATTCGCGGTCAGTTGTCTACAGCCTCCCCTTTATATTTTGTCAACGATGACTGTTCCCCCTCCATTCCCCCTGGAAAGCATGTGACCCTCTGAAAAACCTCAGACCACCCCCAGCGATGAATAATGAGGTTGTTTGTCACCAAGGGAACTTGAGGGATCGGAAGGTTTTGTTGGTTTTACAATAAATTAACCTCATTCCCCTCAAAGGCATTAGGTATTTTTATGATTCTTCCCTTTTTCGCGGTCAATTTTCTACAGTCCCCCCCTTATACTCTGTTAGAGACGACTGAGCCTCCCTCAATTCCCCCTTAAAACCATGAAACCCGTCCCCCCCCACCCCGTCCCTACGCGATGAATCATGACTATCACCTAACGTAAATATTGTTCATTACATCTAATAATCAGGCAAGCGTCGCCTATCGTCAAGTGGCATTGGATGGTGTCCCTTTGATAGTCTCGAGTTCAGATCAAGAGGCAGCTTAGATGGTATCATCTCCATACACTGCTGTACAGAGGGCGACCTGATGTAATTCATCGTAATTTCGTGGCCGAGATTTTTTCTAGATATCTGAAGATCAAAATGTACCTCGTAGCTCGTAGTATTAGTAGTATAGTATAAGTAGTATTTGAATTTTTATATTTTAATATAAGTTAGTTTTTAATCTTAACTTATCTTAAATTTATACAACTTCAAAAGACTTTAATTTTTTTTCCATTTTTAATGTTTCTTTTTTTTTCGTGGCGTACCTGTAAACTAGTTTTTTAGCTAAGTATACCGACCACGTTAAATACATTGATTGATTAATCAAAGTACTTTATGTCATTTCGTGGCCGAGATTTTTGCAAGATGTCTGAAGATCAAAATGTACTTCGTAGCTTGAAGAAAGCCTAAATTGTAATCAACGAGTAACTTCCACGGATGTGGAAATTTCGTCATCAACTTTCGTCTTTAACGCCCCACCCTCCTTCCCAATCCGCCTCCATCGTTTCGGATCTTTCTCTTTCTCTCTCAATTACTACTCGTGTAGAATCTTGGGAATATAATATCCTTTACACCTTCATCATCAGTACCGGTATACATATCCTTACATTTTAATAATTGAAATATTACATTTCCTATGGTACGAACAAGATAATTTTTTTTTACAGTAAAGAGCCTCTTTCGTTTGGGATCATTTCCGTTATTCTCGTTGCCCAACTGTTTGATTCAGGGGTGAAGCGCCGAGGACTGATAGATAGTGAGAGAACTCAAGATCGAACATGACCGCCGACCAGAAATCGCGGTTTCAACTTTGCCGTTTGTCGTTTGCCGTTTGCAGCTTACCTCCTTTGTGTATTAAGAATCCTGTTAAAATCGAGCATGTGTTTTTCAAGCCACTGTATCGGATTTCACGGTTGTGCCTTAGTTGATGTTCAAAGCTCGTAAGGACAAAACTTTTGTCTTATTAATGTTTAAATTTATACGAAATGCAAATCACTGAAAGGCAAACGTGATATAACAAAAACATTCATGCATATAAAAGTTTAGGTGAATAACTAATCCGTAAGATTTTACATCAGAAAATTTATCCTGATAGAATTGTTTTATTTGTGAAAAGAAGAACAGCCAAGAAATGGAAAATTATGGTCTAAGAGCCAACCTTCCAATCAGCAAGAGTTTTTAATCAATATTCAAAATAGAAAATGCATTCACCTCGAACAAAACGTAATTAACGCCAAGTTACATTAAGGAGCACTCAATCATTTAGAAGACAAGCGATTGTTACGTTAGCCAATCATGTTACTGAGCTATGGAACGTGAGGAAGATTAATTATTAACACAAAAATACGTGTCCAGTTGAAAATTAGATACAAACAAAAACATCAACAATAAACTAGCGGAGGCTTGCTTCGAAGTCATGTTCCTAGAGGAAGAAATTGATGTAGAAACAAATTGTTTGGTACGATGGTTGAATTTAACCCGTGACAAGATGAAAAAAGAAAACGTTTTCCAGGGAGAAGACTTTTGGAAACCATGGGCATCAAGCGATCTGGCATTTCTAGTGGAAGGACAAAGGTTTCATGTCCATCGATGGGTTTTGTCACAGTGTTCACCAGTCTTCGAGAAAATGTTCATATCAAATTTCTCGGAAAAGGACAAAAGAGAAATAGTTATGCCTGGAAAGAAAATAACTGAGTTTCACGATTTGCTATTGATGGTGTATTCACTCGCGGAGCGCTCAATAACGAGCGAAAACTGTTCTTATCTTTTAAAACTCGCCGATGAATACCAAATAGGACTTCTTCTCGAAAAGTGCGAGGATTTTTTAATGGCCTCATCTGGGGATATTTTCGCGGGTACTTTGAGCTTAAAAGACATTTTTAATGATTTTTTACTTGAGCAATCCGCTTCCAAGAAAGAGCAAGTATTAGCTCTGTTGATTCTCGCACAGGAGTACCACTTGGAAAATCTAATTACGACCTGTGTTTTAGAAGCGCGTAAATTTAGCTTGACGGAATTGAAACAAGATTATAGAGAGCTGTGTGATCTGCTGGAGCCAAAAATTTACTGTGGGATTCTGGAAAGGATCATTGAGCGAAGATTTGTTGTGTTTTGATATCCTCTTCTCAGTCGTCGAGTTGTTGCGAAAGACAAAAAAGTAATCAAAAATTCTCCAACAGAGTTCTCGAGCACCTTGGATCGTTCGCGATCTTTGAGGGAGCTCAATGAACATGATAGGAGGCAGATCCGCGTTAACATACATCGGAACGTCGCAAGCCTCTTGTGGCTTCTGTCGCTACTTGTTTTTGCGGCTTCACCGCTCAAAGAATTGGTGCGCACGCAAAACCGCTCGCAAAACCGCTCGCAAAACCGCCCGCAAAACCGCCAGCAAAACCGCTCTCTTAGGACGAAGGTAACTGTCCTCGCACACAGACAACCCAAGCTCACGGTGTGCACTTGAATTGATTAAAAAAGCAATTCAAGAAATACGCAGCCGATACAAGTATATTGAGATACGAGTTTCCAACCTGACAAATAATTTATTTCATCTCCTAAACAACCAGCTTATGACTGCTTGTGTTGCAACAACATCATACCAAGTAGCAACACTTTGTCTCAGAAAAATCTGACACATGAAATGCTGCTGTTTATTTGCTTGTACATATTTGTATTTTGAAGTGATTAAATCTGAACAGTTATAGCTTACTTTTGTTTTTGTTTGTCGTTAATTTTCGGGACTCAACATTCGTCAGGTCCAACATGGCAAACGTGTAATCCAATAAGATTCTGCCATGCGCGCATTCAAACGAACAGCTTATGTCGAGAAAATGTACCATAAACTTGAGTCTCCGAAGAAGAGCCGAAGAGTCCCGATTTAAGTCAACTAATTATAACACAGCATAACCTCTCCAATTGCCATCACGTCACGTGTTCCGTTGCTTAACTTTTCCAACAAAATCCGTGTCCTCGACAACTCTCGGTAACAAGATCAAGTACGTAACCTGCCTCGGTTTAATGACACCAAAGAGTCCTACTACTGCTCTGGATTCTGGACTCTAAGAACGACTGGCACAGACGTGCATGGAATCTTTCCTACTTCCGTGATCACCATGGAAACAAAGTGAGGAGGAGTGACGTCGTAGACTAAGTTTAGAAGGTGAAGAGAGTTGACGTCTCGCCAATCAGATAGTACATCCGGGCTTTCTCTGTCTAAAGGAACTAAATCATCCGGGTCACCTAAAAAAAACGAGAAGATTATTAGCCTGGATTGGCCTTTATCACTGGCCACTGTCGCTTGCAAGCAGGTCCTCGTGTTTGGTTTTCGCCTCCCAGCCCCTTTTCTGGCCACAGCCGCCTCTTGTACCATCGGCAGCCGCAGTTATAAAAAGGTATTGAAACTCCTGCAGGAGTGAAGAGAAATAAAATCCACTCATAGAGGTTTAAGGGTAAAAAAAAAAAAAGACGTGTCTATCTAAGACTTGAGGTTCACCTTTCTGAGAAACTTTCATTTACTTACTAAGTTCGTTGGAAACAAAAGAATCTGTTTGAACTCTATCACAGAACTTGTACGTCTCACAGCATACCAGCACTGGGACGTTGGAGGCCTGGGCCATCATCGCCACCATGGAAGAGCCAACACGTGACTTTACGTAGCCATTGGCGAGTAGGGCATGAGCACCAAGAAAGACTTTTGATACCTTCAGAAATCGAATAGAAAAAAACAGAGAGTTAAAATAGCTAATCACCCAACCATCTAACGACTAACATTTCGATCTTGTACATTTAAAATGCACGATAAGAACACAGAAGAACAAAGCGACAATTAGATCATAATGGAGTGCTTAGACCAATAAATACAATATTTCGACCAGGGCCGGGTTGTTCAAAGCTGGGTTAAGATAACCCAGGGTTAGTGTGAAATCTGATTTCAGGTCTAAAAGCTGTAAAAGGAAATCATCTTTTTAGTTCATGACTATTTGACACTTTAAATAGAACAGAAAATATCCCAAAAAGGCTTTTAGATTAAAATTTAAAATTTGCATCATCTTTCATGAGTTTCCCAGAACTTTAGAAATTTGCTGATCCTAACAGTACGTAAGACAACCAAGTCACGTACAATACTGCATGTCATATGTATGAACCTAATACACATGTAAGGCCTGCATGTTGCTCTTACGAAGAGTTTAGAAGCTCAGTTGGCAGTGCATCCCAAGGGTAGTTAAACTATTTCCAAAAAATACTAACCTCTTTGATAACGTACGAGATAGCACTGATCAACACGTAGGAGCATCTGATTCCTTCTTTCACCAACCTCCTTAGACATTCTCGTCCTAACAAGAGAGAAACAAGTGGCAGTGTGAAAAGGTTTTGAGACTTAATGACGCATGTGCAATCAGGGAGGGCCCAATAATAAGCGCTCGTCTCCCACCGCAGTGACCTGGGTCCGATTCTCGGGCTTCTCGTCACGTTTAAGAGAGTTACAAGTACATGTAAAAGTTCATTCTGAATAAATTGAGCAGTGAGTCTTAGTCAATTCTCAAAAAAGTTCAAGCCACTGCTGTGAGCAAACCTCACCTTCAAACTTTGGTCTCGAATCAACAACCACCACTCGGAATTTTTTCCCAGCATTATGCGCATCTTTTAAAATCTTCAACACCAACGAGGAACTAAAAAACAAATTTCAAGAGAAATTTCTCCTCATTAAAGTTTTCCTCATTATCTTTGCTTGGGAAATAGACTATACAGGGAAGAATCCCTTCGTAGACATTCTGCAGTGAGAGTGATGAGAAATCTTTTGAGGTTTATAAGAAGAAAAAATTTTTGCAAACCAATATAATGTTGGTTTCTGACCGAAGAACCGTAACCAGATCGCCAATTTTGACCCCTTCAGCCTTTTTCTTTCAAGAGTGACAAATGAGTAAGTTTCCTTATAGTACCAATGCATCACGATTATCAAACAGACAGGTGACAATTATCAAAAATAATATCCGCTGGGCTTATGATAAGATCTGGCACTAAATTCTGTGAAGTTGAGTTATTATTATGGCAAAAATATGGCTATCAGTGTGAAGAAATTAAGATGACTGATTCTGGGAGTACAAACACTCCTTACAGCTTTTTCGAGTGGATGAAAAATTTACAGATGCTCTAAGAGAGCCTGGTAACTCAAGTCAGCTATAGAAAAATTCAGCCATACCAAGCATATGTGAGTATCACATCACCATCATTGATCTTGGTTCTTGCATATGACTCAGAGATGGCTACACCAGCCAAAATAATTCTTTCTTGGATAAACTTATCAATACTCTGGATAAGATTCCTCTTTGCCTATACCAGAAAAAAAAACAGGATGATTGCAAATGTGATATAATCTGAAGTGAGTTTTATCCAACAGGTTTTGTGTGTGCAAATAACTTGACCCGTTATGATTTTCTACTCGTAGTAACCTTTGAGCAATGTTAGTAAATTATATACATGTATGACAAGTTTGTTTCAGTAAAAAGGAAGAAATCAAGAATTTAATTTTTCATGCTGCAAGAGGGTTAAATTGTCTAGAGAGAGAGAGAGAGCATAGAATACAGGAGTCAAACCCAAACACACAGTGTGATATACATGTAATCTTGCCCATTCCATCTCCGACACCTGAATTGTCATGATCACAGATCAACAGACAAACAGACAGGCAGACAAACAGACAGGCAGACAAACAGACAGGCAGACAAACAGACAGAAAGAGAGTTATCCAGCCTCTTAAAGTTGATTCACCTCAGGAGGGGTGAGCCCTAAGACTGAACCAAGTGGCCCCTCTCTGCCTGAGCTTATCCCCATTTCCCACTACAGTTAACAACCTAACACCCCAGTGAATTTCCCTTACAGTTCTCCTGGGTGCAGAGGGGCATTTTAAAGAGTGAAGAGCTTTACCCAAGAACACAATACAATGATGCGGTCAGTTCACAAACCCTGACCTCTCAACTTCGTGTCCTGCACATTAGCCAGAACCACATATCTCTCACAAAGTCTCCTACAAAATTTACCTGATCTTCTGCCATGTTTGGTGGAGTGTGAGTGATCTGTAGCTTCAGATATTTGATGGCGTTACCCATGCTGACTGACAGAGGCCGGCACTGTGTCAAGAAACTAAAAAGAAACAAAATATAAAATTTAAAAAAGATTGTTGATAATTAAAAATGCTGCGCGATGCATAAGCCATCATGTTCTGTAATGGTCTTTCTTCCAGGTCTAACATAAAACATATGTCAATCAAAAAAGTGAAAATTGTGTATGAAAAAAATAGTAATAATTACCTTATATTTGGTTTAATTTTTGCATCCAGGTCCCTGCAGAGTTCTTTTTGAGGGGGAGTAACATAGTCAGCAATTAGCTGTTGAAAATAAAGTGACAAAAAATTAATTCAATGATTTGATATCTCTTACATATGCTGTCAGCTGAGAAAAAAGAGTTTACAGCATAACCAGTCACATATATACACTGTACATTGTAAATGCACACATCAGTTACATCAATAACACTCAAGTTATCAGTTCATGTAGTCAAAGTACCTTTTTGAAAGCCAGAAGTAAAGCCACACATCTTGCATTCGATCCACAAATTATTCCTTTAGCATACTGCACACCAAGTTTGATGACAGCTGGGTGAATGGGGGTACTCCCTGATCCCCCAAAACTTTATATGCAAAATTAAAATTAAAAAAAAGAAGAAGTTAGTTGTGTTTCAAACCTCACAGTGCAAAGTAGTAGTGTCCTGAATGGGTTAGCAGTGGCCAGCTGTTTGCACATGCAACCAATGAATAAAGGGGGTAAATTTCTGGAGAAACTCTGGTGTTGCATCTTGAGCAAGGAGAAGGAGGGTGTTTCAATAAAATTTAGTTTTATTAACTGAGTTGATAAATAAATATGAATTAGATTATGATTAAACAGGAATAAAGCTGATATTTCGAGAAGCATTAGCCCTTTGTCAGTGCAACAATAAAGGAATATAGCTTGAAATGTCGAAGGTTAAATCTTTCTTTGGTGGTTAATTCACATTATCAACTAAGTTTAGACAACTAAATTTGTTTGGATACAGTTTTCTGGTGGAAAGATTTGGCCCCAGATCCTTTGCCAAGATCATGGTGCAAACACTTCACTCTCACAATTTTCATCGGCACCAACAGGTATAAAAACAACCAAAAAAATTGGGGAGGTGGTGGGGAGAGGAATACCTTAAAATATTCCAGGGTTAATCTGTTAGGGGTAGGTATCCCATTTACAGAAAGAGACGGTTTGTAGAAATATTCCTTGTTGTTTCAAGTTAATAAACTTGAAAACCTCTGACAGCATATAAATGTGATTAACTCTGACAGCGTGGGCCTTTTGGCTGGTATCTAAGACTACTGTGTTGATAATCTAGTGATCCACCTTTTTGTACAAATCACAAACCTTATTTCTTGGGTTAAGGACACATCCTTTTCATATTGATGCAGATGGGAAAATAAACCAACTTTCTTTTGAGGTGTTGTTCGCTGAGGAACCTGGCATTAAAAAAAAAAAGGAAATATGACGTCAACATACATGCTTGAGTTACATGTACATCACTGAAACAGAAATTATTAACATAGTGAAGTTTTTCAATAGGTTAGGCAGTATAATTGCTGCTCTGACCTGCTGTCTTGCTAGTTTCTTGGCCACTTTCTTTTGGACCTTCTCATCATCAGCTTGAAGGTCATGAGCCACTTTCATACGATTAGTTCCTAATCATACAGAAATAAAAGAAAATTAATATATTAAGAGGTGAAGAAACAAAGACAAATTGTTGAAACCAAACTTACTGATCAAAGGTGTTCTCTTAGAAGACTCACCACAAACAAGGATCCTATGTAAAAAATCTCGGGTGCTGAGCTTTTAAAAGCTATCACTCTTTCACTCTTAGGATCTCATTGGTAAGTCTCCTTTATGTCTGCCATACAACTCTTATTATGCTAGCTCATACAATTTTGTTTTGTATCAACTTATAATCCTCTACCTGATACTTTTCTTTATTCTTGTCACTCATCTGCTTGATATTGCATTGATAACATAAGGAGAAATTCTGTCTTGGTCATTTGTGGGGTTAAAGGGTAAATGATTTTTAAACCATGTTTTTGCTTAAAAGCAAAGTTATACAAGTCACCTCTATGTAGAGAGGAGAGAAACCTAATCATATGAGGAACCTGAACTCAACTCTTTAAGACCACAGCTCTAACTAATGATTTCATTTTGTTTCTTTTATGCGTAGAATAAAATCAACTGAGCGAAAAATACCACCCAAATAAAAAAAATCCAAATGGGAAAGGGACAGTTGGGAAGGATGAGGAAGCAAAGAAGGAACATGTAAACAAAATGACCCATAACTCCTACAATACCATCAGTGCTTGTCTTGTGTTTTATTCCAGCTTCTGCTTGTTTTTGAGCCTTTGCTGCTCGTTGCGCTTCCTGTGAAAATTGAAAAACAGCACCAATAAGGTTACAACAGCACATTTCCCAATAACAACCTGGGCCCAATTGTTTGAATGCTGGATTAACTGTATCCAGTGGATGCCACAGTACATTTTTTAGACTTTTATCTGCTGGATAGCTTATCTCTTGGATAATAGTATCTGCCCTTTGAGCAACTGCACTTCAAACATATTATTCAGGAATCCTTGGGAGAATATGATTTCCATTGTTTTCAAGAAAAGCAATAATTAATCATTTGATAATCATAAAACAACCTGACAGTATTCCAAAGACAACAACAACAACAACAATAATTACAACTTTATTTTTACCAAACAGTTAGAAGTTAATAACATTAATTATAAACAATGTAGAGAGTGAGAGCTGCTTTTTATAATCTTAGAGGAATAGAAAAATAAGGCAACCACTCTTAGGGGATTAATGATGGAAATTAGGGTAAGGTACCAATCATGTGCACACACACCACACACCACATAAAACACAAAAAGCAAAAAGGTCAATAAGATGAAAAAAACAAAACAAAACCAAACAAAAACAACCACGCACCTGAACAGCTCTTCTCTCAGCTTTTAGCTCAGCCTTGGTCTTCTGTGGCTGTTCACTAGCCTCACTTCCTGGCGTGGCTGGCTTCTCATCCTTACCAGACACTTGTTTATCAACCTTTCCTCCACTGGGCTGTGCACCTGCCTTTTGTTGTTGTTGTTGTTGTTGTTGAGGTTGCTGTTGCTGTTGCTGTTGCTGCTGCTTCTGTTTTTGTTGTTTTTGTTGTTTCTTGCCACTCTTTTGTTGTTTGCCTCCCTTTCCTTGCTGCTGACTTTTTGATTGGCCACTAATAGGACCCTAAAGAGAGTGTGTACAATGAAAAATAAACTTTACACCCCCTTAGAAGTAAGTTCTAAAAATATTTGACCAAAGGTGATGATAATTTAAGTAAATTTATCAGCTAGAGTGAGTTATCTTAATAGAACACCAAAATCCCCCAACTTAGTTACAAAGGAATCAATAGCTGGTTGTAGGGAGAATTAAGAATCAGATATTTGGAGCTAAAAAAGTAACAGGAGAATTTAGAGGAGAGAAAGAGCATTGTTAGTTCAAATTCAATATAAAGGTGAAGATAAAAATAACGATATAGGGTACATCTGACGTTGTAGATATTACGAGGTCTTCTAAGGAAGATTCCGCCACTGTGACTATTTGTTTAATTGGAAAATTTTTCAGTTTTCTTTTCAGAATGCGTGCAAAACTTTAAGAGATATTTTTCAGTGCGAGTAACGATCAAAACAGATTTAAAACGACGTTAAAAATATAATTAGTTATCGAATGAAGTACTTATTAGATATCGAATAGTTAAATTTTTTCGTAAGAGGCAAGACAAGTACTCACAGTTTCTCTTCCTTCTGTGGCACCTGACGACTTCACTGGCTGACCTTCTCCTTTCTTATCTGTAGGAAAACGAAGAAAAACAAACGTTACTCACTAAACTCACCCGTTCTTTAAAATGTTCACATGATGCAACGAGAAAACAACCTTTCTCGCCTTGTGAGGGGCCTTGTGCGTCCGCCATTTTGGATCAGCGAAACCGCTGACTGGGTTGTATTCGCAGGCTCTCTTGAAAGATGATGTAATGGTAGATTGGTTACCATGCTCCCATCTATGATCAAAAAAGTTCTAAAATCTTAACCCACGACTCGGCTATCCGTCAATGGCCGTAACATTTTCCCCCCTTCCCCAGGCAACATTTATTGTGATATATTATTTAACTAGCATTATTGCACTAGGTACCCTCTCAGCCAGTGAGATGCAACAGGCAAAACAGATTGCAACATGGTTGTAGGCGTTTTCCCGAGCATGAATCGCTGGTTTCGTGACCTTTGCTTTGATTGGCTGAAGCCAATTTTAAGGTTACCGTCAGCCAAGGGCGTTCTATCGCGTGATCACGGGAGACCTTGTTTTTTTTCAATTACGCGAGATCACGGTAACTTGTTGAGGTATAAGAATCGTGATCTTGTTGGTTTAACTTAAATTTCTGACTTCTTCTTTGAGAATCGAAGTACAATGAAGAAGCTAACCCATTTAACATGACTGAGTATATATTTCTAAGTTTTTTCTCTGCATAGTTTTACCTCTAGACTATGGTAAATAAAGCCACAATGGGAACTGGAATCATTGTCGTTTTGAATTACTGGTACCGGCAAAATTTCCTCTCAAGATCAACACAAGAGCAAGGACTCTATTGGTCAACAGTCGTAAACAAACATCGAGTGATCAATGAAAGCTTGTAAATAATTCTAAGCTAGGATGTCAAAACTATTTCAAAGATGTCGCCGCTAATACTTCGGTCATCTTAGGTACAAGATAATGGGATAAATTCAAAGGTACGTAGTAAAATATATTTCCATTTGTCCTACTTATTGACCGGGCCTGATACATGTGACAACTCTTTTGATTTGTCATCGAACGAGAGCTTCACTGGTGCGGGGCAACACGACAAGACCGTTCTGAGTTCATATCTGTAGAATTCGACCATCGTGTGCAATGTCTGGCGAAAAAAATTTTTTCTCTAGGGGTTTTCTTCATAGTTATATAGTAAAAGCCAAAATCTATAAAGAGTTCCAAGGCTAACTAAAACTTATGTCACGAGGCGTATTTAATCAGAGTTCGACTCGACGCAATTATCTTCTCAGATAATTGTTTTACTGAGATTTGCTCCTTAGAGGACGTACACATGCAACAGAGAAAGGTTTAGCTTTCTAAGATAGATCCATACGATGCGATGGACTATGAGAAGCAGAGACTCAGATCCCCTGATATAGAGCTAGCTTTTTAACTTACCATCTTAGAATAAAAAAAAATTGCAGGCTTTTCCCAATGGCGGGCTCAGACATGCGAGTGTATTTCATCATTCCGTAAACCCAGGTCTGAACTTTTGCTATCTTAATTTTGATCAGCGATTTTTACTTCCAAGTCTTTCTTCAAGATTTTACTATTTTATACCATGAATTTTTTTAAGATGACAAAGGAAACAAAGTCCCTTCCGGAAAAGAGCAGTGAGGAACATTGCATCCATAAAATCACAGTTGAACCTGTGATATTTTGTTACGCGTTTGGGATAATTCTTCACGTCCCAGTCATTCAACAGTATATCCACCGACGAATCGCCGAGGAGAAAGGCATTATCTATAACACTACAGCTAGTCTAAGTAATTGCGATTCTATGCGAGCCACTCGAAATGGAGAAACTTTAAAAATGCAAAAAGAAGTTCAGTCCGAAGCTTCCTTTATGCAACTCGGCATGGTGTTCTCTGCCAGTGCCCCGTCACTTTTGGTCGCGCTGTTTTTAGGGGCATGGTCCGACCGCGCGGGGCGAAGAAGAGTGATGGCTTTGCCCATATTTGGAAGTGCAATAGAGTCAGCCATAATATTATGGGTTATCGCGTTCAATCTTCCCATCCAGACGTTACTTTTAGCAGGATTTATAAATGGGTTGTGTGGTTTCTTCCCAACAATGGTTTTGTCGGTGTTTTCGTATATGGCAGATATTACAGAAGAGTCCCAACGTGCTTTTCGACTCGGAATCCTAGAGGCAACTGCCTTTATAAGCGGTATGCTCAGTCATTTAAGCAGCGGTTGGCTGATAAACAAAACAGGTTACAAAGCACCGTACATGATGATTTTATCGCTTCACACTTTCGCGCTGTTTTACGTAGTTTTAAAACTTCCTGAGTCAAGAGCGAAACATTTAATGGAGAATTCCAACGTAAAAGTGTTCAGTTTACATCACATCCGGGTCATCATATGCATCTTTACAAACCCTCGATCTGGCGAAAGATGGCGCATGTGCATACTTATGTTTACCTCTGGCCTTATGATTGTGTCCTCGATTGGTTTTGGCAGTGTCATTGTACTTTACGCCATCGATCGTCCATTGTGTTGTAATTCTATCCTGATTGGCTATTACCTAGCAACGAGCTTCTTTGTGCAAGCTGTTGGAGCCATTCTTGGACTGAAATTTTTAAAAATGATCTTATCAGAGCATACTCTTATGCAAGTAGGAATGATATCTGTGATATGTTCACTGGTTATGATGGCATTTGTTAAAAGCAAGAGAGCGTTGTTTGTTGGTAAGTTTGGCCCAACTTGCATAGCTGACACTATCTGTAAATTCTGGGTGGGAGGAAAAGCATTTGAGTTTTGGTCCTATAGTGAATTAGTGCAGTGGACTTCATAACGCTATCGAAGAGATAGGTCACTGTCCAATGGATAATTGTTAACAACACGTACTGTGCTATTCACCTGATAAGGATTAATCCAGTACATAGCGTTGTCCTCCCTTCCAACAACCGGGATTAGATTGGAGGGATTGGGTTCGAGCCTTACCCTGAACTAACCAGGAAAGACGATTTATCATGCTCATACCCATTGCCTTCTTTTTCCCCCCCCCCCCCCCCCTTGCCAGGAAATTTAAAGTGAATTATAGTTTATAGTCAATAGTAAAGGAAATGCTAGAGAAGGAGGAATTTTTTTTCATGACTACAATCTTAACAAAGAAGGGACCGGCAAACTTTTTGGTCGTTTAACTCTCCTGAAAACTAGATAAGCTCTTAGGGACTCTCTGGCGGTCATTCTCCTACGCAGACTGCAGTAGTGAGAGCACTCGCCTCTCACCACTGTTGCACGTTAGGTAAAGAGCTAAAACTATAACATGTGAGCATGATATGGTCATAGAGAAGTATAGCAGCACGATAATTGTGCCTTTATAATACGCTAAGGAGCACTAAACTTCTTGAATGGGCGTTAGTTCCTTTTGTAGCCTGTCTTGGTGGGATTCCAACTCCAGTTATCAGAGCCATGATGTCCAAAATGGTTGATCCAGATGAACAAGGTAAACAAAATGCATAGCTTAAGAATTTATCTACGACTTATACAAATATTCTTTCATCTGCCGAACTGGCATTTCGGGAAAAAAAAGACAAATCCTTCTGCATACGGCGAACATGGGACTAATCTTAAAATAGTGATTAACGATGAATTATTTTGGAAAGGGGCTTTGATTTTGAGGAGAATTCACCCGCTTACCTTGTTGCTCTCTTGTCTGAGACTATAAAGATTATTTAGAGGAAAAAATTTGGAACTTTAAGATTTACCAGAAATCAAGGAAAAGAGTACGTTGTTACTTGCCGAATCCCAACTTCCACGTTATTTTGAAAAATTCCTCTTGTTTTGCTTTCAGGTGCATTGTTTGCTGCTGTTGCGACTCTGGAGACAATTTGCACTCTGTTTGGCGCCGCCCTATTTAACTCCATTTATCCTTTATTTTTACACATTGGATTAAATGGGTTTTGTTTCCTTGTCATGGCATTTCTGATGATAGCTGCCCTTATTTTGACCGAGTAAGTCATCTATTCTATTTTCATTCATCTATTTTTGTGGCATTTTTTCTTCTTCAATTATTAATTATCAAGTCCCCTTTACTGCCATATCAGTTCAAGTTAAAGCCTTTGTCGTAAATGATCTCACGACAAACAATCACACTGGTTTGATGGACACTATTTTGTTCTCCTACTCACTAGTAGTTCTGATCTCACAATCAATCAACCCAAATCACCTATCATATTTTTGTTCTTCCGTCACGAACCTATCAACAAATTCAATATAACGCTTCGGTCACGACGGTCTTGTTCTACACTGAAGGCTTCCTAGGTTTACCGATCGATGTAGGGTCTTGGGATTCACCGCCGATTTCTCTATTTTTCCCTTTTTTTCATTCATGATATAGTATAATGTTTCTTCACAAAGAGGACAAAGAACCTAAAACCCCGCCCTCACCCCCCCCCCCCCCCCACGTCTTATTTTTCCTTTATTTTCAATACTAAATGGAGCACGTTTTCGATTTCTTAATAATAGGATCTTAAAGCGCAGGGATCAAAAATCAATGGATCACCAAAAGGAAGAATGTAAGCGATAAAACGCTTTTACCTTCAGAGATTAAAATTACCAAACCATCATGAATCTCGACTTGAAATGGATGGGCGATTTAAATGGCTTTCGAAACGTAAATAGTAGATCTGTTAAATTACTGACTTCAATTTAAATTTTGGAAAATGGCTGATCCGTGATTATTCACTTAAGCTATGAAGAAAAGGAAACTTTTAAAGTGACTTACAACCGCGCACCGTTCTCGTCAGTGCTACATGTACCTATAGATAATACATTAGAAAGTAATACTGATCATTCTTCCATTGCATTTAATTAAAGGTCTGAAGCCCGAGGAAGTTATCAACGATGAAAAGAAAGACCAAGACTGCCCTTTAAATGAAGATATAGAGAAATAGCTCTTTCAAAGAACCTTGTCTATAAACACGGATCAAATATATGGGAATTGATATTTTGAACTGATACTTTTCTTCAAAAACTACTTTATTAGAAAAACTATTCTGGTACGAAAAGCCTGCAGTTGTATTCTTACCATTTTTTTTTTTCAATAAAGCAAAGAACTACGCACTCTGTCTAAGTTATGATTTTTGATAACGAAGACTTTGAAATATATTTTTGCGATCAGTTTGTATCATTGCTCTCGCGGGTTTCTCGGGGTTCCTTAAAAAGACCAATTACAAGCCAAAAAAGTAGGAATGACGTAAGATCCTAAAATTTTTTTCAAAATTTATTTTGCCTCAGGAATACAGATCACACGTGTTTTCTTTCCTCCTCGTATTACATCTTCCTTTTCTCTAATTTATTACACATGAACATTCAGTCAACACTGAAATACAGAGTTATTTTTTTGTGCCCTAAAATCTATGTTACCTATCATATTTCAAAAACCTTTCACAAACTGAATACCGGTTTAACTTTGCGGTCAATCCGGCTGCCTGAGGATGAAACAGAAAAGGCATTACTTTGGAAAGAACCTTTTTTCCAGTACCTCAACGAGTTTGTCACCGGTGAGATCAGACAATTTAGAATTCGCCTCGTCTACACCGTAAGTTTTGTTAGTCAGATATCGGATGTGAGGCTTGGCCGATAGCAAGATCTCCTTTATGGTTTCAGCGATTTCTTCTGATTTTTGTCCCTCGTTGGCTGTCAGCTCTGTCATCGTAGCAATCACAGATTGCATCAGCTGGATCGACTTTTTGTCAGCGGTTGAGAGGTCCACTTGACTTACCATACCCTTCAAGTTACTGATGAACGAAGTGACAACCGGTCCTGGCTCAATCAAAGAGATCCTGGCAAATTACAAATTGATTTTAATGTTACAGTATAATGAAACTGAAAAACCTCAATCAATAGAGCATTGTAACTCAACATTCACCTCACATGAAAAAGTTGAAATACTGTTTACGTAACGAGGATTCATGAAATAGCACCACTTACCTAATATTGAACTGTTTCAATACAGGTGCCAGCGACTCTGTCAATCCTCCCATTGCAAACTTTGCTGCAGAATACATGTCGTTAAATGGTCCACCCGTTATTCCAAAAATACTGCTGACATTAACAATGTAACCATCCTGCCTCGCTTTCATGCCTGGGAGAACAGCCTGGATCAAACGAACGGATCCAAAGAAATTAACGTCAAACATTTGTTTAATGTGTTCCATTGTCATGCATTCCAGAGGCGCCACACAACCAACACCGGCGTTGTTCACTAGAAGACAAAAAATTGTTACAATCGGTTGCATAAAAAAGACCCGTTCAATAGGCCTTGGTAATCCTCCAACCGGCTTTGAAATTTGGTAACCATTAGTGCCTAGTCTCTAGCAGTTCTTGAGATGTCACGCAACACCAAGAGAGCATTGCATGACACTTGAAAGAACAGCTGCGAAGAAGGCTAACTCGCACTTCTCGGTCCGGTTCCAGTGCCCTAACCAGCATGCTACAGAGTGGAACTACAAAACACTTCTTGAGAACAGTTACGACAGAAAAAAACCCGAGACGTTATTTCATACAGTGATTTCAATTTTTACTTATATCGGTGGCCTTGTTGGTCAATATCGCAAGTTTACAATTTATATGATTATATATGGGTTATATTTCTTAATGCTATGCATGGACAGTGGTGCGCAGTCTTCCGAAAATAAAAGTTTTCAATATGCGGTCGTCTTGACATTTTCAGCTTTCTTTACCTTTCTTTTGTTGTTCACACTAAGGATTTAATTGTGCTTCAGCTGTATCCTGGCAATATATTTTCTATTCAACGCAGCTTAATTTCCATATATAATATGTGAAGACGTTTTGGAATATCATTTAGCACCTAGTTTCAAATTACTTTCTTTCCCAAATTTATAACTTCAAGACTCAATTCCGTGTGGAAGATTTCAGCGCAGTTGTTAGAAAACAGTTACGAGACCTAAACTAAATGAATGCAAAGATATGTTCGCAAAGTGTAAGCACATTAAGGAATAAGGAAACAATTTCTTTAAACAATAATGTTATATTCTATCGCTTGAAATTTTCTGGTTCAATTAACTTATTGATAGGTAGTCAGAGTTGTGTTTGCCTTGTTAGGGGTGAAATAAGAGAACTTGGATGGTCTACAGCCAGTCGAATTCAAGACTATGCGGCAAGTGATATCGGTCCTTAGCGAATGGCAGTCTAAGACTAAGAATCCTAGTATGAAATAAATGGAAAATTCTAGACGTAAAATTCTAGACGCAAAACAAAACAAAGAGCTCTCGCAATTCGCATAAATTGGGTAACTTCTGTTTACGAATAAAGCAGCTTAGGTGAAGGCCACGAACATGTATCTGGTTGTAAAATGGCGTGATTATAGATCATCGACGTTAACTTAGAATTTGAGATACTGTTATTTTTTCGTTTGGTCTGCTCGCAATTCACTCCGCAATCGCTATCATTTACTTATTCATCATGCAATATGATCATAATATCCTAAAGCACCTCGATTCGTTGTTCCTGAACTGCCGTTCGTTCTGTTTTTTCTGAACTTACCAAGAACATCGATCTTCCCCTCCTTCGCAATGATTTCTTCGACCACACTTTTCACAGATTCATCACAGCTTACATCCATGTACATAATGACCAGTGTTTCACCGAGTCGTTCCTTTCCTTCCTCTTCCAGAGAGGTCTTTTTCTCCAGATTTCTCATGGTTGCGTACACCTTAAAACGTTTTTCGGCATCATTAGCTAAATGAAGTGCGGTGTGAAGGCCGATACCAGTTGAACAGCCTGAGATTAAGACGATCCTTGGCGACGCCATTTTAATTAACCTCTGGGCTAAGTTATGCTCTGACAAAAACAAAGAAGGAATATGACCCCATCAAGTAACCGGAAGTAAATCGTTCTTTGGCCACCGGAAATAGGCTTCCGTTCAGAGTTCACCGGGCAAGTTGCTCTACGTATTACTGACTGATAACCCATCTTTGGTCCTCACTGGCGTGAGCAGGTTACCTCGTGATTGCAATTTTCATATTCGTAACTTCAGGCATTCAATTTTGCGATTACGTGACTTTGAACTTTAACTGAGGCTTAGCCCTGGAAACCCTAGATATTGCTGTGTCACGCCAGCCGCTTTTGATTGGTCGATAGAATCTTCTTTGCTGTGCGTAACTGATAACAGAACAACGACCTCGCCCACGCAACGCCTCGATCAACATTGTAGGCGCATCACAGTCACGGAAGAACGAACGAACGAACGAACGATCGCAGCAATGGCTTCATTTCGTGTGGTTTTAATCTCCGGTTGCTCCACTGGCATTGGCCTAGAAACTGCCGTGCTTTTAGCCAAAGATCCCGAGAAACGTTTTAAGGTGTACGCTACGATGAGAAACCTGGACAAAAAGACGGCCCTTGAGAATGAGGGAAAGGATGCACTTGGTGATACATTGATTATCAAAGCCATGGATGTGAGCTCTGACGAATCTGTCAAAAGTGCCGTTGAGGAGATAATTGCTCAAGAAGGAAAAATCGATGATCTCAGTAAGTGAATTTCGAGGTGTCCTTGATGTAAACGAGCTAAGAATTCTGAAAAACTCAGATGTGTTACATTTTATTTTGTAAGTGTATTCACGCACCATTTCAGGTCGCATTATTTACACAGGGGTAGTCATGAAAAATCTCTGCGCATTATTGAAAGCTCCACCACGAAAATAATCGCATGTTTGTTGACATGTTTATGCTAGCACCACTTTTTCATCTCGCAGGATTAATTTTGTTTCAAATTAACAAGAGATGAAACCGATATCGTAGATGCAATAAAAGCTAAAATGATTTGCATATCAGAATACTGAAAATGATGAGTCAGAACAATAGAGCCCTGAAAACAAAAGAGCAGGACAAAGCGTATTTATGATGAAGCTTTATCAAATGACTGTGAACATATGAAAATCATAGATGTGAACTGCGGATAAAGACGTGAATTCAACGGTATCATACAGGTTATGGGTTCAAATCCCGAACAGGCCAAAGGTTTTTGTTAGGCCTTATTTTTCACTACTGCTCAAGTAGTGTTCATTACTGCGAAGATCGCTTTAATATTCACGAAGCTTTATCACTTGGGAAAAAGGGAACTTCTTGTCACGGCATCTGAGAGTGCATTGCCAAATAAAAATAAACCTCAGAATGTCAATGACTGTCAGATAGAAAACCATTAAAAGCGAAAAAAATTCATCAAATATGAGCTGCAAGAATATTGCAAACACAAAAGAAAAATTCATAATATTATGACAAGATTTACGAGAACTATTTTTAGGTAAACAAACGGCCCTGATCAACCTTGTGTAATCTTAAAAATAGCCTTCGAGCAAAGTTGAGAATACATTCATTAGACTTATCTTAAATCGACTACTGCAGAAAGATGAATAAATAAGAGCATAGAGCATAACATTCATCTCTAATGTATTTCCTTGTCTCGCTTTAGCTGCTTAATTTGGCCAGAAATAATACAGCCTGCTCGCTCGTTTTTCGCCCCATGCCGTTAATGAGCTAATTAGCCTACGTGTAGCCGTACCCTCCCCCCCCTTAGAGTTTCACCTTGTGTTGTGCGCGGAGGGTACGGCTACACATAGGCTACTCATGAGCTCCCGCTTCGATGGAAAAGTAGCAGAAGAGATTGGTACTCAGGTTAGCTTGCATGGCTCTATCTGACCTGCAATCAGTCGTTCAGTTTATTTTCCTCGGTAAAGGGGTGGGGGGGGGGAGCACCATTGGATCTTACTTCATACTAAAGGTGGGTTGGGATCTTTCATGTTTCACTCTGTCCGTTTTCTGTTTTCAGTAAACAACGCTGGTGTTGGTTGTGTCGGTGTTCTGGAGTGCATGCCTATGGATCAAGTCAAACAATTATTTGAAGTGAATTTTTTCGGAGCTCTTCGTTTGATCCAGGCTGTACTCTCTGGTATGAAAGCGAGGGAGAGTGGGTACATTGTGAATGTCAGCAGCATGGCTGGGGAGTTGGGCGGACCGTTTAATGACATCTACTGTGCGTCAAAGTTTGCTCTGGGAGGACTCACAGAGTCACTGGCACCTGTGTTAAGGCAGTTCAAAATCAAGTAAGGATCTGTCCTTTTTTTTTTCGGATTTGCGACGATACATTGCAATTTCAATCAGAGAGCGGCTCAGAAAGACAAAGTGACCATCATTATATGATCATTTTAAATAAATTTTTAAATGATTGATAGTAATCATTTGAAAGTCTTTTAATTAACTTTGACCAAGAACAAACAGTGGCCTAATTTTAAGCGCACTTGTCTCTGCATCGAAAGGTCTGGGTTCTAACCCTACCCGGAGCATCATGTTGTCATCACACTAAAGATACCTCTCTCCACCCTGGAGAGGGGTATAACATGAACGTGTCGGGGAAACTTGACGAGTCACAGGAGAGGGGAGAGGAGGATCAGATGAAATAAATCACTCTCTCCTTCCTCCAGGGAGGGGAAGGGGAAATTATGCATCTCTTATTTGCTTCAAATTCATTTTATGGAAACCAGGAAATGAATCATAACAATCGACCAGCGTTCGACATATGATGACGCGAAGAATAGGAAATTTTTTGACATTCAAGTCTGAATTTTCGGTCAAATGGAAAGCAGTCACTTATTTCCTCTGTTATTTTTTATTTCTACTCTAGGATCTCATTGGTGGAGCCCGGACCTGTTGGCACTTCGTTCTTCGCTAACATACAGAACATAGATTCCTCCACCGCTGACCAAAAAACTGTCCAACTAATGAAGAATTGGTTTAACTATATAAAGGGGGCACTTGGTCCGTCAATCTCTCAGAAAGGGGAGGAGATTGCCCAATGCATCAAAGAGGTTCTCCTTTCAGAGAAACCTCACTATAGATATCTAACCAATGATAAATGTTTTGTTGAACAGATAAGTGCTAAGCTGGCCGATTTTTCAGGCGATAAGCTCCAAGAAATAATGGGAAAACATTGCTTCGGTCAGAATGAGTGAGAGAAACAGAGAATGTGAACAATGTCTTAACTATCTTTTCTCAAGACAACTGCCTTTGGTTTTTGGTAAGGAGTAACGTTGTGGTAAAGAAGCTGATAAAGAAGCGCCTTCAAATAATTTTATGCAATAGTTTGTTAGTTAGGAAGATTACGTAGACTGTAGAAAAAGAAATGATTGTATATCTACAGTAAAGGGGAAATTAATTTCATGATTTAGTATTTGCAAAATGATTCCTGTAACAAGAGCTTTGATCTCAATAAAAGTGTGCTTTTAAACTTCATATTATTCTTCTTCCGTGAGAGTGTGCCTGCATGGAAACTGGATGAATAAAAGAGATCTTCATTTTCATATTTTCACATGTATAATTCTATTCCAATAATCTACATTTTCGAGCCTCTGGCAATTCCTCCGGCGAAGATAAGTGGGTGATTCAAGAATACATTTATTGATAGAAAAAAGGCATGTCCAGCTTAAATTTTTGTTGGTTTATACTCCTTTTGGAAAATGTTAACCACGTACCGGACCGGCGTAATCAAATAAGGGGGAAATAACGTATTAATTGAAAAACGTAGACCATAGAAAGCCAAATTAGAATGTCTAGGAAATTTGGTTATTTGTAAGAATATTTCAACATAATGCTGACCTTATGACACCATGCATATTAATATTCTTATCCACATTTTCCGTTGTAAACGTATTGCTTGGAAGCGGATCATTTAACAATCTTGCTGCATTGTGGTAAGTCCAATCAACAAATAAGGGAATACATGGACTAAAGGATTTAACTTCATTAACTTCCTTTCATCAATGACTGCATGTTAGGATCAGTTTGACAAAAAACGGAATTAACAATTCCTACTTTCTCGTTAGCATTAAAGTTCTTCAGTCCTATATCGAGGGTCATTTGGTAAAACCTTCTTGTAATACAGTACTTTAATTTTGAATTACATTGGCGCTCTTGAATAGAAAACCACACTATTTAATTATCAAATGGGCAGGTGGGATACGCCTTAATTGTTGGGTATAAGACCACCTTAATTAGTCGTACATCCTTTTTGGATCATAGAATAAGGCATTCGATGACGTATTAATCTGCACCCCTGTAAATTAAACCAAAAAGTTGATCCCATCAGAAAAGGGAAAAAGGGACATGTGCTAAATTTTCATTAGATTTTAATCTTCCATCTCTTTAGAGCCTTCTGAAGCTGAGGGATGTTTTATTATGTAATGGGTTACAAGCGCTCTTATTCACTATTATTGTCGTCTGGCAAGGAAGGTTGAACTCTGCGTTTAAAGCCAGGTAAAATTCTGCTCAACATAGTAAACGCTCTGAACTTTCAACTGCCTTGAACTGAAATCATTGTGTTGCCTCAAATTATACAAACATTTATACATTTCTTAAACTTGTATAGATAAGCTTAAACTTATACAGATATATTTAATAATCTACTTTTTGATGTATTTATTCATTCATTTATTTTGTCGAACAACCAAAAAAACATATCGTAGCAAGAGGCTACAAGCGATGTGAAAACAGAACTGCTGGAAAGAAACCCATCGGAAAATGAAAATATATAAGAATTCATTTACGGTACTTCATGAGGCCAAAAAAGCAACACAGTTCAAAGTTACAATAAATTTTTCCAAAGCAATATTGCATAACGCCGATAAACATAAAAACTTTAAATTCATTTTTTTAACGATTTAGAAGTAAAAATTAAATATCGGTCAATATGACGATTTTGGGATATGGATAGATTTAAAATTCTCGACGCAAAAAAAGAGCTTGGCTTCTTCATATCCATTTTACAATTTTCTGCCTCAAAAGCTGAAATACTTCTCTCTATTCTTTCAGGGAGGATCACACACATTGGAAATTATGACGAATACAAACGCTACAATTCGATTTAAATTTTCACAACAACATTCCAAGGTGGCGCTGTACAGTAAGGAAGCTCTCAAGAATGGTAATGAAAGCACATCAAACTGCTGCAGCCTTTCACAATCCTTGGGTATGCAGCAAAAAGCTTGATGATTCATATGTATTAGATACGATCGCTTATTGCGCTAGTAAACCATAAAGATGTAACGTTTCAAAATTAAAAAAAGTTTATAACAATAAACCGCCTTTCCAACTTTTTACAAGCACGTGTCAACTCCCTTAGGGCTTAAGAAAAAACACTCGGGAAAGTTCCAGAAGCGAGGAATTAAATTTAAAAAAATTACTTTCAGGTTGGTTTTCAAGGCAAGCTCTACCACATGATTTACGGTTGTTTAAAGTTGCCACCCCTGGAAGCCTTCGGTATGGCGTTTTCTGTGGCCAGCTTCCCATCAGGAAGGGCACGCGCTTTGGGCCATACACAGGAAGCGTCGTTCGTTTAGAGCAAAGAGATTCCGTTCAAAGCGAGTTCATGTGGGAGGTACGTGATTTGAAATTCATAAGCTTTTCCTTAGAACTTTTTTTACTTCTTGGATTATGCTTTTCGCTGCGAAACCAAGGAAACCGCTAAGCCTCTTCTAAATTCTTAGTCAGAGGAGACGAATGCATAACCTAGCTCCCCTCCCCTCTTGAATTATTTTATCATTCGTGCAAACGTTTTGCTCGTTTCCACAAACTAGTTTCCTGTGTCAGGCGTAATAAAATTTCGGCATTTTCCAGTTGTCAGGCCAAGAAGAACTTAGAAATTTGTACACCTTAATTGACGACATTAGACGTTTTGAGAAAGCAAAATGTACTGATTATCACCCCTCTTATAACACTCTAGATATTTATCGAGGGTCGCCTTGGCTACTTCATTGATGGAGCTGCAAATCCGAAAAACTGGATGAAGTTCGTTGATTGCGCCTACCATCCAGCGGAGCAAAACTTGCAATTAATACAGCAAGAACAGTTTTTGTATTACGAGGCCATAAGTCTGATTACGGAGGGGGAGGAACTGAAAGTGTGGTACGGTGAAGGATATCGCATGTTCATGGGGATACCTTTAGGAATAAAGAGTGGATCAGATTGTGAGTGAAGCATTAGGCGTCGTAAAACTAAAACTAATGCAATAATAGCCAATCAAAACAACGGAAGATATTAGAAAGAGCCAATGAGAATTCAAACCAAAAACAGGCAAACTCTTGATTAGAGTGGTGCGAGTTTTTCTTTACCGATCACATGATGACGTACGACAAAAACAAAGCAATTCAGGGTTACTTTAAATACCTTGTATCGAATTGCTCGATCAAGGGACGCGTTGACACCCTTCTGGTGGTGCTATTAGATTGCTTCTTTTTAAAGCTTCAATAGCGCCAACTTAATACAGATATTTGGGATACCCTTAGTAATAGACAGGAATGAAAGTTCACTCGCTACTACGATAGATGGATATTCGAATCTCTATGGGGCAACCCGTGGGAATAGCATACTTGAATAGCATGATATTTGCTAATTCGATAGTTTGATCTGATAGCTGGAGAGTGATATCCCTCGGTGTTCAAAAGCAAACAAATTTGGGAAAGCCTCGAACGTTCATGGGGATATGTCGAACCCTCTTGGAAATTCGTTCGGCTCCAGATACAAAATAGATAAACAAAGAACATTAAAGTGACTTGATGCAGCGCGCTAGGCAAAGCTCAATAAGTTCAAAGAATGATATCTCTTTCCGATCAAGATTGGAGCTTCTGAAAACTGAAAACGGTCAAAGTTATTTCAATAAAACATTTTTCTTTTTATCGTGGGGCAACTAAAAATCCATAAAATGCAATAATGATAGATAAAAATGGATTGTCTAGTCAGCAAATTCTTCATTGCAGATGGTTCAAGTTACCCCTGCCATTGTTGCGGAAAAGTTTTCTCTTACAAATACTACCGCGATCGCCATCTTAAATACACAAGCTGCGTTGACTTGGGTGACCGGAAGTTCCCCTGCAACCTGTGCAACCGCTCCTTTGAGAAACGCGACCGTCTCCGCATCCACATACTCCACGTTCACGAGAAACACCGTCCACACCAGTGTGCACAATGCGGCAAAAGATTCTCCCAGTCTTCAAGCCTCAACAAACACACACGAGTTCACAGCGGCGAAAGACCCTACAAGTGTCCCTATTGTGCCAAAGCCTTCACTGCTTCCTCCATACTGCGCACGCACATCCGTCAACACAGCGGAGAGAAACCCTTCAAGTGCAAATATTGTGGGCGTGCATTTGCATCACATGCAGCGCATGACAGTCACGTGCGGCGAAATCATCAAGCTGATTGTAGCGATAGGAATAAGGCTCTTGAGTTCTCTCGCCTATTGTAACTTAGCAACCAGTATCTTGAAATGGCTTCATCTTAAAAATAATGAATGTAAACAACAACTTTCACTTCTCACCTTTGCTCAAGACAGTTCAACCGTCTTTCATTACATTGATCAATTTACACACCTGTAGAGAGTAGTTCATTTCCCCGAAAACAAATATGGCAAAATATTAAAAGCTGAACATAAATTTCTAACATTATGTACTCGCTGACATAAATTTTTTTTGAGCGTATCAATTTGCACGAATAAGACGGTTATAAACAGAAAATTAGGAATAACTGCAGTCTTAGTTGTCTCTTTCAGCGCTCAGTTTTATATGGCGGACTGTCTCCGACGAACAGGTTTTATTCGAGTCCCAAGCATATCCTCTTGAAATTTTTAATTGATCACATAATTTTTTTCCTTACAAAAAGCATCTAGGTAACTTTTTCTCATCTATATATGATGTAGCGCTACTGTTAAAAATGGATTTTAATTTACCTTTTTATTGACATACTACTGTGCATACAAAGCAAATTAACTTTTCTCACGCGAAAGGCCTTGAGATAAGCAAAGGTTAAATGCTACATCGACATCGATGAGTTTCATAAAAAGACGCTTCCAGATGCACCAATCAACTTTACGAAATACTTAAGTACAAATCCAAATCAGAGTTGCGTTTAAGGTAGCAAATTAAATCAGGCTTCTACTTGTAAATAGATTGGAGTTATTTTGATTCTTATAACGACAAGATTTTTTTTCCTATCGATTTATGCAAGAACGTTTTTCGTTTTATTTTTTTAATGGTATTCATTGCTTAAAATTGACACGGACGTATTATAAAAAGACGTATTGAAGACTTTTTTAAACATTGATGCCACCTGCGTAGCAATATCACCACCATACTTGTTTAACCAATAGGAATCTTTTAATTTTTAGACTTCCATCAAAACCATGCCTTTAATTATTTGTTAACTCATCGTTGTGGCGCAAAAAGCAAATTAACTTGCGTCGAAAAGTTTAGTATGTCACCTTGCGCGAAAACCCTCGTGTTCGAATCGGATAATATCTGGATCGAGTGCTCACTGTAAGTAAGGGGAGAAAAAACAACCAAAAGAACCAAAGTTTTACGATTGAAGATCCAGAAAATAATATGCAGAAGTTAAACTCGCAATTGAAAAAATTGTTCTTTGTATTTGGGCTAATTGCCTGCGCAATTTACTGCTCGCTTGGAAGCCAAAGCCTGGTAATTAACGTGGACATCTTCCTCGAGGAACAAAATTCTGATTTGACACAAATTGTACAAAATGCTATGCAGCGTTTTATGAATGACCATAAGAATTCTTCAGATTTAAGTTTCAAGCTTATCAGATATAACAGGATGATCTCCGATATATTGAGCTTGGATCAGGTAATGGATCTCAATTATAACCAATCTAGCTCGCTGCACGTGGCAATTTTTGTTCATATTTCGAGTCATGAGCTGGCTTTGGCTTCCATCTTGGAAAATTCAGATATTCTTACTGTCGGCCTGTTCCAAACAAATGGAATGTCTAGGACACAGGTAAGAAGGATTGCTCTTTTCTTGATTAATTGTATTGTATTAGGCATAGATCCATTGAGAAACACTGCATTATTCAATTGTGACTCACCTTTATATTTCCGATAAAATCTACGTCATATTTGTCATATAATTTCCCCTTTTTTGGCTTCGCTTTGTCAGCACAGTACGTTGCGTTGAATCTTTCACAAAGCCACTTCAATAAAGACATATGAATTCTTTTTTTGAAACAGAAGGTGTTTATAAAATCAATGGACTAATTTTCGATGTGAAAAACACTTGTTTTGACTATTGCGTTTGTGAATTCAGCTGCATTTCGTCTGAAAGAATTAATTTCCAAGAATTATGTGTCAACATTTTGGTTTACCACGGTTTACAAGTACTTTAAATACTGCACCACAGAGGAGAAGCTTTTTCCGATTCAACCATTTCATTACATTTCTTTTCCCGAAAATTTCACCGATTCGAGAATGGAGTCTCGTTCAAGCCTCGCCTCTCTAAAATATCCGTTAGGGAATAAAGCAAATTCACTCAACCCTTGTTTTTTTTTTCCATTTGCAGTAAGTGCCAGCTGTATTATTTCTTCAACAAACGCAAAGAAAACCATAAATGATTTTTCGCTATTTACGAATCGCTTCTTACTAATATCTTCGGTTACCAATGTATCAAAGATGACATTTCCTATTTTGAAAGTGACTCTTCTTTTGCACAAATTGGCACAGCATTGATTGCCATAAGCGCAAAAATAGAAAATATATCTTAACACACATCGCAATTTCTACAATTCCCCTTGACCTGGCGTATGGGTATATAATATAAATGTAATATGACAAATTTTATTTCATATAAAAAGAACAAAATGATAAAATAAGAAGATATATAAAAGTGATCAGTTGGATATTTATACTAAAGGTAATGAAAAAATATCAACTAGCTTATCATGGTACGTCAGCGCAAGCTCCGTTTAATTCTGAATAGAGAGCACTTTGTCACTGGAGACGGCAAACATTCACCAGCTGAGCACCCACGCATATAATTTTATATAAATAATGTATCAAGTAATATAACAGAACTTATCCTACACTTTTTGTAATTCCAGTGTTGCGTATACCTTAAACCGGGGCCGGAGAAATAATATTTGAATTTTAACACTACGACAGATTATTGAGCTGTAATAAACCAACCACACGGTACGCTCTCGCAAGGCGAGTTGGGTGATTTTGTGGTTAATTGTCATCCACTGCAATCGATCGACGAAAAAAAAAATGTACCACTTACATGTAGTTCAAGAGAATGCATAAACTATCGCATGAAAATACTGCTATAAAAAGTTAGTCCATTTGGTATATACTGTTGTATCTAGAAATTAAGATCGACACCGATTGTTGGAGTTAATTTAAAGAGATTGTGCATCTAAACTTATTCAATTGACAGTATTTACTTTCATAATAGGAAAATCCAGCTGCTTTTACTAGAGTGGCGTCCCCATCGATGATACACTACGCGTGTACCATCCGAGACCTAATACAAAAAATGGGCTGGCGCACACTTAGCTTTGTATTGTCCGCTGACTTAGAAGGAAGAGTTCTCTCGGACGCATTACTGATATCCTCAAGAGAACTGAAATGGAATATTCTATATACAGCTTGGCTATCGGGAAATAAAAATGTCACCGAGCTACAATCTTATATCAAAAGAGTCATGTCCAACCTTAGCGATGCTGTCATTGTCCACGTGCGTGACTCATATAATGATGATTTGTTCCGAATAGTCCAAGCTCAAGGTGTCAGTCACCTCAAAGCTTCTTGGGTGCTGACAGACATTGCTGCACTTGGGGTGTCGGACAACGAAGTGTTACCCACCGGTTTTATCAGGATATCTCCATGGAAAAGTCCACAACATGATTTTATGGAGGATGCTCTGTATGATGTGTTTCAACTGATCACAAAGTCGGTAACCTCCACCGTTGCTAAGACAGCTGGGGGCGACACATCAGTGGAACAGTCTGCACAAAAAACACCAACAGAGTTTCAGACGGTAAAGGAAATGAAGAAGTAGGTAGAATTTTGAGAAAGTTCACGTATCTAACTAGTTCGTCACCGTATTTCTCCTCCCCTTCCCTTGCCTCCATTCTTTCCATTCCCTTTTATTTCCTCCTTCGTCTCTTCCTCCTTTTCATTCCATTTCTTTCCCTCTTCTCTTTCTTTCTTGTCCTCTTTTTTTCTTTCTCTCTTTATTTCCCCACTCCACCTCTCTCTCCCTCTGTCCTCTCCTCCGATTCAATCTCCTTTCCATCTCCTTCCTCCTCCTTCTTCCTACTGCTTTCCTTCTGCCCCTACTACACCTCCTTTCGTCCATTCTTGTGGCATCTCTGTCTAAACTTCCCTCCACATTCTTTCCCTATTGCACGTCTACCTCTTCCCATCCTCTTCTCATCCATTTACTCTTCTACCTCTTGCCTGCCTTCCTCTTCTCTATTTCCTTGTTCCAGATCTCCCTCTATTTGTCCTGCTACGCCTTCTTCTTCCTCTTTCTCCTTCTCTTTAACCCCTTACTCACGAACCATTCTCAGTTTTCCTTCTTTCTTCCTCCTCTTTTCTCATTCTTTTCCCTTTTAAACTTTATTTACCAATCCTAGTTTGTAAAAAAAACTTTTTCTTGGATTAGGAAACTGAAAGACATTTTCTTCCCGGGGAAGTCGTCTTTATTCGAGGATCCTGAGTTATCTAAGGGACCTTTTGCCACCATGGGTATTTTTAATCTGCAAGAAGATGTTTATGGATCCAAACACTGGGTATCTGTGGGTCTAAGGACTTATTCAGGAATGGCATTAGAGACATTTTACGCTCCAAATGGGTATCACGTTTCCCCAAGTGTTACAGTTCCGAGACCTATTGTGCGCGTTCCTGTGGTTTCGTATCCGTCTTGGGTAGAGGCCGAGATGCCACAGGACACTTCAGAGAGTAACATTTCGTGCATGAAAAGAGGCTACATGTGTTGGAACAAAACTGACACAGGAGTTGTCCAGCTTTGTTGCTTTGGATTTTCTATCGACTTGTTGAGATCTCTTGAACGCCAGCTTGGCTTCGTTCCCGAGATTTATCTCGTCTCCGACGGTCAGTACGGAATTATTGATGAAGAAACGGGAAAATGGAATGGAGTCACGAATGAGTTGCTATCGGGAAGAGGTGACTTAGCCTTAGACCTGGTGATGACAGAGACACGGCTAAAAGAAATCTCGTATTCAATTCCATATCTTCCTCTTGCCTTGAATATCCTGGTGAAGAAAGATGGGCCGCTTAAAAACGGTGAGTATCGTTTACAACAGTTGCATCGTGTTAAAGATCTTGAGTGATAATCCAGTTGTTACATTGGTGGAATGTGAATCCCGAATCCTCAATTCTGAGTTTGAGCCACAACAAGATCAATGGGTTGTTCTTATTTGATCAAGACTGTTTACTCACGCAACGGATTCTCCACCCAGAGGTAAAAATCGGTACTGGCCAAATGCTAGGAAGACCCGAGGATATTCTGGGAATAACTACCCCTCAGCTATATGAGTCAGGAGTCATTTGTTTGTTCTCAGGTACCCGAGGCAACTCCCCAATCTCCCCCCAATCCCCCTTCCCCCCTTACATCGAGCCATCGAGTTACCCTGGCTAAGTTACCTAAACTTCTATGAGTAACGCAACCAAATGTTACTGAGGAGACTCGTAACGGCCGGAAAAATTAAATGGGCGTGTTTTCATGCCTGGATAAATGGAGGACAACCCTGGCAGGCGGGAGAATTTTCTCTTATATATAGTTCGGAGCACAAATTTGTCGAAAGTGTAACTTGCCTGGCGGAGACTGATGTTCTTCAGGGGGGCAGGGGTTTTTTAATTACCCGAAACTATATAATTAGGGCCTCTTTTTCGATTGCTGACTTTGCCATGTTGCCCAATTGTGTTCTTTTCTCACAGGTAATGCATTGCACTCCTGGTTACAGCCGTTTAGTGTCTACCTGTGGGTGGCCATCTTGGGAACATGTAACCTTATCTTAATGGTAGTCTGGTGGCTGGATAGAAAAAGTCCATCAGGACATCATCGTATTTTTAAGGAGAGTGACGAGAATGGATTTACGATGCTAGGTTTGTGACCAGTAACCACTCTCAAAATTTAAGATTCTCTTTTTTTTCGTTATAAGTTAGCAGTGACTCCTAGTGGAAGGGAGCTAGGTAAGGCAAAACAGTACCCACCCCACAACTGAACAGAAATCGTGGACTCGTCATCAACATTAGAAAGAGAATTCAATTGACTTAAAATGTCGTCACCTTAGGAACCTCTCCAAACTTTATCTTTAAGTTAGGAGGAGCGGTGTCTCTGAATATTTATCACTGTTGTAGTCAAACGTTAATTAAGCGGACACTGTGTACTAAGTGAGCATCAACTTAAGTTTGACGTCTCATATTTACTCTGAATTAGCCTCAATCCAGTGGACATGGACATTGAAAATAAGTATTTTTGTGATCCTCAGCCTGTATGAGACTATCGCCAGCAAGCAGGGTCCCATAGGTGTTTGGGTTGTACAATTTTGACTCTGTTACTTCACTATAAGTGAGAGGGGAAAGGGGGCGGGGTGATACTTAATTAAGGACCTCCATCGTGAAGACCGTTGTTTTAATTTTTGCTACTGCAGACGCCATGAGCTATGTTTGGGGCGTGGCATTTAGTAAAGACATCGGAGCAGAGAGGACCCCTCGCAGTATCAGTGCACGATGTGTGTCCACAGTATATGCGTCCATGGCTTTGATCCTTGCTAACACATATTGTGCCAACATGATGGCTTTTTTGGTTGAAGATCATTACACCTTGCCGATTGATGGAATAACAGACCCTAAGGTCTAATCTTAGTTTTTGTTGTTGTTGTTATTGTTTTTTCTGTTTTGTGTAACGTGAAATCTTCAATTCATGAAGCAAATTAACAGATCACCATTTCATAAAATGTTAGATATCGGGCGTAGTAAAGCTACTTTATCCTTTACGCGAGAGAAATGGTTCAGTAGCGAAGGAAATATTTTTTCCGTGATTATAGTCCAACGAGGATTACCCGCATTGTCTACAGGAGGAAGTTAGTTTCTCATTTATTCTCCTTGAGGTTGAGAAAAAGTCATTCGGCCTGCCCTCAGTTGGACCACCGACTTTTTGACCCAGAGTAAAATGGGCCTCTCTCTGAATATTCTCCTCGAATCATGATGCATTCTTCATCTATTTATTTTCTAGTTGGTAGACACATCCTATTATCCACCGGCTGGGTTTCAGCTTGGTATTCTGAACGATTCCTATTCGGAAGCGTATTTCAGGAATCATATAAATAATGATATCCGGCAGTTATACGAGACCAACATCAAAAACAATCTGCTGAACAATTTAACCGAGGGAATAAACAGACTTGAAAACGGGTAAGTGCTTGGTGAATTGAAAACGAGAGCTTTGTCTGACAATGTGCGGCTGCAACCTCGGCTACTTACACTCAACCCCAGTTTTTCGCGCGTACTCAGAGTTATAAAGCCAGAACTATTGCTGATATGAAGTGATTTCTTTCTTCTTAACAGTGAAATAAACGGTTTTGTTGACGATTATTTGTCATTGAGAAAGGCCAACAACAAGATTGCTAATTGTCATTTTGGATTAGCTGGACCGACCTTCTACACCTCTGGGTTAGCGTTTGCCATGCCCAAGAACTCTCCTTGGCTGGAAGAGATCAATAAAGTTGTCTTCGATATGAAACAAAATGGAACCATAGACTTGCTGGAAAAGATGCACTTTGATGAAAAGATGTGCTCCTCTTCCATTGCTAAGGAACTCAGTGTCTTGAATTTAAGTGGACTTTTTCTGGCTCTCGCTGTGACCATTGGGTTTTGCTTTCTAGCCCTTTTAATAGAAGTGTTGGCGATATTCTTGTTGGTGAGATTTAGGCATCATTTAGGAGCACTCGGAAAGTTCGCTGTGCGATTGTTGTTTGACGTTGAGAAGGGCGAAGAACATCTTATAATGCTGCAGTATTCCTCTGAAAAGAAAAGAAAGTGTGTTCATTTGGATGTAGTTAAAATGAACGTAGCAACTCATAAGAGCCTGCGAGACTCCATCAATACAGTGACTTCTTTGGGAACACCTCAGTTGGAGAGAGGCTTAGAGGCAGCCGAGAGAAAAACACGACAGTTAGCTAACGGATCTTTTGTTTCTAATCTAACCTCTGATAGTATGCTGATGCCGTTTACAAATGATGGTTTCTATGGCGACAATTTAACCTCCACGGTAACGCCCCTTTAACAGTGCTAACATAGCATATCACACATTCAGCCAATCTATTCCCAGAACCACTCTTTCAACGAATGGCCGAGTAAATAGAATAAAAGAAGGACTCTGGGAACGAGAATAATTAAAAGTGTAAACGAAGAATGGCTTGAAATTGTTTCGAAAGGTCAAGGTCATTTTTGATAAATAAAGCGCTTTTGTAATGATAATAATTTTCTTAAGATAAGATAAAATTAAAGAAAATTAATTTCATGTAAAATGAAATCGTCATAGAAGCAAACTGAAGTCATGCCTTGACTGCCTTGGAACTAAAATTGTTTGACATTTATAAATTTGTAAAACAGCGAAATAAAACCTGAAATAAAAGAATATAAAAGAAGATACCTACAACGGTGGGGATTTGTAAATTAGAGACGTTTCAACCTCAATGGAGTACATTTTGATTTCATAAATTAGACAAAGTACAGCACAGCAGAAATTTGGACGGAAAATCTTGCATCCACATTAAGCATCCTCAACGAATGTAAGAGAAGAAAATATTGCCTAATAATGAACAAAATTTATTGAAAGATTATCTTAGATTTAGCTGCCTTTATGCAACTTTCGTTAATAATTTTCTTATTTATTTTTATGTTCGTGGTCATGCAGGTTGCGAGTCAGGCTCAATTTTAAGGCTACTTAGCACCTTTGCGGGTGTCCTTCGGGTGCGAGATTATAACACCTTCCTGATTTACTAACTTTTATTTTAAAATACGTTCACTAAATAACTCGGATGCCTTTGAGTGTTTTTAGTTGTTACATCACTCTTTACTAACAAAATGAATGACTGTTAGGTATTCTTTTCTCAAAATAGCAATACCTTGTTCATGCAATACCTTGTCTTTTTTCTAAAAAAAAACCAACTAGAAGATTTTGTCCGATTTAACACCAGATCTCCATGACTAACAAGGCTAAAAAAAGCATGTCAGACAATGAGGAGAATTCACATGGTTTGAATCTTGGTAGAGAAAAGATTAGAAAAAAACATTTAAAAAAGTATATATATGTATATACATAAAACGAAATTTCAATTTTTTTTTTAGTAGCAATTCAGCAGCATTCAGTTTTCAATTTATTTTTCCAAGTTGGAACTAGAACACCACGATTTGGTCACGCGCAAATGGACAACACGGTAGTAAATATTTGTCACGAGGTAAAACGAGCAAAACATGCCCCATACAGTCTGTTGTTAAAAAACGTTCATGTGTTTAGACATACACGAAGCGATAGTTCAGTGACCTTCTGTTCCCATGGGACATTTTAGGCTCAGGGGCCTTTGTTTACGAGTTGTTTCCCGCTGAGAACGCTTGATGCGCGACATTTAATCGCTCGTAAAGGATCAGAGAATCATCAGGCTTTTATTTTCGTCATTCATCTATTTTCACAATTATTTATATTTTCCCTCTTCTCTCTTACGCACTCATTGTACGCTTGAACAATAACAACTACTCGGCAGAACGTAGAACTAAGATTTTCAATGATCAGTTCCGCTCCCCTCTCACGCCCCCTCTGACGCCCCAACATCTGTTAGGTCAGCGGTAATTTGTTTAAAAGAGAACAGTTCAATGTTTATTTGAGTTTGTTTGTTATTATGGCTGAAGAAATACAGAGCTTCGCGTATAAATATTGCCTGTCCTCCATGGCTGCGACTGTGGCAGAAACAGGTAACATTGTATTCCACATTGAACTGATTGAATCTCTGAAGTTTTTTGGTTGTAAAGTTCTCCTCAGATTTTTTACGATTTGAGTAGTAGACGGTTGTGAAGAGAGGCACGTTGAATAATATTATATAGCATAAAAATATAGATATTTTACAAAGCGACATTGATATGGGAAAACTTATACCACACTTCTGTTTTTTATTACACTATGTCATGGCTATATTCACGAGAAATTCGAGAAGGCTGCGAAACTTATGCTATCATCTTGCATGGTAGCTTAATTTAACGCTTTCAATGCTTATCGCCATATTTGCATTTAGGAGTTATGCGTTCTTTTATGGACGTCACACTTTTTCCGGTTGTTATGGCACTTTAACAATCTCTCGTATCTTTTCAATAAATTAGATTAGGTAAATTAAAAGTAGACTAAATTTATGTCTTATAACATTTTTTTTGACGCGAAAACCTCACCGCAGACTAGATGAATCGTGCAACCAGTCGCTAAAATCGGACTTTGAACATCTCGGTCAAAGTTGAAGATTACCTAATGCCATGACTAAGCTTTTTCAATTTTCCTCTTTCAATCTGAAGCGCATATTTTATCTTTTGATACAAATTTCGATAAAATGAAGGCTAACTTTGGTTCGATAATGCTTTACGGTGTAAATGATTTACTGACGAAAATCGAATTACTTTTTACGCGATATGTGATACATAGCAAAGTTGATTATGAATAGATCGCTAAATAATAGATGATCAAAACTAAGTTTAACAACAGGATTTAAAGCTTTACCTTATTTATTATTAAAGAAAAGGTTTTGAAAGATTTCAGCCTTTTGGCATAGATTCCCAAGCTTGTCAAGGTCAATGAATTAAAAGAACTAAACAAATAGATTTATCTCAGTTTGGGATCCTTGCACTCTTGAGAATAATCACAATTGAAAATATTGATAGCGTTTGGATATTTTGGAAAACTGAAGGAGTGTAAAAAGGGTTAAAATTTGTATTAGGTATTTTACTTCACCTGATTTGAAAAAAATTGTTCATACTTGTTTATATTTGGGGCAAGAATGGAAAATTTTGATTTGATCAAAAAAGGAAATGATTGGAAAACAGCCAACTTAACTGATCAACAGCATGGCATATTTGAGTCACTGGGCTTAATCCATGCAATTACTCCTCAAGTTGCTTGTCAATACTTAAGTGTTTTTAAATAGACTTGATACCACCATGAGAGGATAATTTATTTGTCAGAGATTTTCAGTGAAGTAATTAACCCTTTACAGTCCCTAACATCAGTATACATATTCTCCATACAGTTCTCTATACATTTCCTAGGTTCTAACAGGGAGAATTTATAAAACTATCAAAGAGCTTTGTCAGTTGCTGATCATTTCCTATATTCTCGTGACTTAAACCTTTTATTCAGGGGTGATATTGTAAGGAGAAATTAGAACCTTGTCACTCTTAGTCATTCACAATCCTAATCCCTTTTAGCAGTAGAAGTGATCAGTGCTCATCAAATTTCTCCCCACAGTATCTACATATTATCAACGAAACAGTTTGCAGGAATAAAGGAAGACCCTCTCTCTCAAAGAAATAGTCACCAAAAAATAATTGCCCTGACCTATAAATAACACATTATCAAGGTTGTTTGTTCTAGAAAATCCATGTGTGCCATTCAGATGAATTTATATTTTGACTATATGTATTAAAGGGTAAAATAAAAAACTTTTTTGAATTGCTTACAAGATCCTCAGAAATAATATTTATAGTAAGTAAGAAATCTCAGCCTCTGGATTTAGAGAGGGAGCAATAGCAGGTGTTAAGATATACTTAGCCAGTGGTTCAGTTTATCATCTGATTATGTTTTGATTTATTTTTTTTAATTTAAGTGACCTTTCCACTGGACATAACAAAAACCCGACTTCAAATCCAAGGAGAGAGAGCATCAACCATTCAGTCTACTACAGCTGCTAATGTGCCTTACCGGGGCATGGTGAGGACAGCAGTAGGCATAGGTGAGAACTTTGAGCCTGCTAAAAAATGCAGTCCCTAATTTGTGGGACATACTGATTGAACTAGATAAAGTCCTCTTAATCTTAAAGCAGCCTACCCTTTTCTTGATTTTGACCTCATTTATGCGAGGAACTTTTGTGGGCCAGGAGACTAATGTAATTGCTGAATAAAAGATATCATTAATTAACACTGATTACATCTGTGATCTGACTCACAGTGTTGCTAGGCAGGGAGTGTCAAGTTACACATAATTATTATGTCTCCTGTTTTTCTTGATTGCATAGACTGAGTTCTCAATGCAGTGCTTTACATTTCTGCCCATGGCATCTCTGTCTTATCAGGTGTTGTTGTTCATGACCTTTGAATACATTCTCCTTACCTCCTTTTAACCCCTTACCTCCCAAGATCTCATTAGAAATTCTCCTTACTATCTGCCATACAGTTCTTATAATGTTAGTTTGGAGAATTTGGTATTGGATCAACTTATAATCCCCTAATTAATATTAAGTTTTTTCTTTATTCTCATCACTTGTCTGCATGATATTGTATTGATAATGTAAGGAGAAATTCAGTCTTGGTCACTCATGGGAGTTAAAAGGTTAAAGCAGAGTTGTCCCAACAGAGACACTGTAAAGATTTGTTCTCAAATTTTGGTTTCCTGAAGTTTTATAACATTTATGTCTGAAATATATGTTAGGTACCATTATTGTTAATGCTTTTGCCTGTTTCTTTTCGTGTTTCTTGTTATGTACTCCAGTTGAAGAAGAAGGATTAAGAAATCTCTGGAGTGGTGTCACCCCAGCGATTTTAAGACATATTGGTAAGTTGAATCACTCAAATACCCCCATTGCTGCACTGTTCTCTTGGGTCAAGGGGATTTGGAAAACTCTCTACATTCACTGAGGAAAGTTTACATGTCATAGAACAAAATTTGAGGGTGAAGAGTGTGTGTGAAGTGTTTTGGAAGTTTTTAGGAGGCCTAAAAGTGAGAGATTTGGAAGAGAGTTGACAATGGCCACTTGTAAGTGGAGGTGATATAACTCCCCACTCATTGTTTTCCTTGGCAAACTTGCATGTTGGTTTTTATGCTCTGTTATCATTTTCGTTCCAGTGCAATGAATTTATCAGTTGTGTTGATAATTTTTTTTTAGGTTAAGGTTTTGAATCTTTTTTTTGTTTGTCAAGATGGCAAACTTATCATTTTGTTCTTTTTTATAACATTTTACAGTTTACACAGGCTCAAGAATGACAGCCTATGAATTCTTGCGAAATAAAGTGTTGAAAAGAAATCCAGACGGAAGATTTCCCTTATGGCAAGTTTCTGTGTCATTCTTTTTAATTTTGTCTTTTTTTAAATTTAAAAAAAAGTGACCAACATCTGTAAAACAAACATAAATAGGTTATTTGAGATTACTGAAAAGAATAATATTTCAAAAATGTTATTAACCATTTAACCCCCAAGGATGACTGGCATCTAATTTCTCCTTACAATATCACCCATGAATCACACAATGAGGTTAATAATATGAAAATCAAAGAAATGACTATCAACTTAAGAAGTTCTTGATTGTAAAACAAATTCTCCTTGTCAGTTTTTCAGGAAATGTATGAAGAACAGTATGGAGAATACACCTACTGATGTCAGAGTGTAATGGGTTAAATAGCGCACTTGACAGTAGCATTTGATCTGATCTCAAATCCTTTCTATCCAGGAAATCAGTGATTGCAGGGATGAGTGCAGGTGCCTTTGGACAGTTCATAGCCAGTCCAACTGATCTTGTTAAAGTTCAAATGCAGATGGAAGGAAAACGAGTTATTTTAGAGGGACGTCGACCGAGGTGTGTTCCATTCAATCAGGTTACCTTGGTATTTTTTGTCAGCAAGCATGCGAGGACTCGTGACTTGTGCTTGCCAATTTAATTGCACCCAGTTAAACCTTTAACCCCTAAGAGTGACTAGCATCTAATTTCTCCTTACAATATCACCACTGAATCACACATTAATGTCATGAGAATAAAGGAAATGATCATGAACTAAAGAAACTCTTGATTGTTAGACAAATTCTCCTTGCCAGCACATTGGTAAATGTACAAACAACAGTATGGAGAATATGCAAACTGATGATAGGGTGTAAAGGGTTTATCTGAACAGAAAACAATCATCAACAAAATTGATGACAGAATTATGATTGAGATATTTTGGAATTTCTTACCAATTTTTCCCCTGCGATTGTACAACGTTGAATGGAGGAAAGGGAGTATTGTAGCGGGCTGAGGTGGCTACTCGAATGTTATGTGTCAGTCACCAGTAATCTGGTTGCAAATGGAGGTACCTTACCTTAAACTTTTAACTTCCAAGATCTGATTGTTAATTCTCTCCTCTTGCTGCTACACACTTCCTTGTAAATTAGTTACGAGAATTTGGTGTAAGATCAAGATAAAAACTGCTTCCTGATAAGTTTTTTTATTCTCATAAACCGTTTGCTAGAAAACTTATGGATATCATGGGGAGAAGTTATATGTTAGTCACAGAGGTAACGATAACGCGAATGCTTAACGGTAACGGTAACGATAACGATAACGATAGCTTTCAACAGGAACGGTGACGCTTACCATTAGTTTATCAGTCGAAACGGTTACGATTGTATTAAGCATTTACCGCCCCCACGGTAAATGTCTCAGTAAAAGTCAGGCTATGGTAAAATCCGACGATCACGGACCTTTCTGTAACGATCAAGCAACAAAGATAACGCAGGTACAAAAGGCTTCAAGGTTACAAAATGTAAGCGTTCAGTTTTCTTCTGATTGATGTCTTATCTCGATTTTATTGACGCAGGGTACGAAACACTGTACACGCTTTTTCAACCATTGTTCGTAAACATGGCGTCCGAGGGCTCTGGAAAGGTTGGGCTCCCAATGTACAGAGGGCGGCCTTAGTAAATATGGGAGGTGAGTGACTTATATAATTCGTATCTCTTTGATTCGATAAAAAAACGTCTAAAAGTTTTTCTGCCATCGTCTTAACTTTTGTACCCAATTCAGGCCCCTACCACACTGCTGCATTTTCATTTGAAAACACAAAGTCTTCATTTTGATGCGTTTTTGTCTATCGTCCACACTGAAACAGCCGAAAACCCAAATGGAAGGGGCAGCTCATGTGTGTGACCCATTTTTTCGAGAACGTCCACATAAGAAACGAAGTTGTTAAATAACGATACGTTTCCAAAACACTCTCGCTTCTTCAGAAGACTCCGTTTTCATTTGCGCGTTCGTGTGTTTTTCGTGCGTTTCGTGAGCTCTTGGTCGTTTTCGTGCTTTGCTTTATTTTTCCTTACTTCGCCCTTTGATTGGTCCATCAAACTCGCGCCACTCTCTCATTCAATCAGATGAAAAACCAAAACCAATTCCAAGGCTTGGTCAGCGGCTTCTTCACGCGTGACACTCAATCAAAAAGCGTCGTTGTTTTCTTTCAGTATGGTGGCTATATAACAGGTTACTGTGGGTTCGATTTTATGTATTAATAACCTATAAATTTACTAATTTATTACCTTACAGATCTTACCACTTACGACACCGTGAAGCATCTCTTGCTTCATCACACAAGTTTGGAGGACAACTGGGTCACACACACTTTTTCGAGGTAAAATGACATTCTAGTATCCTCCAACGGATAGGTGTTTTTATTCTCATCACTGTTTTGAGGATAATGGAAGGAAATTGTGAGGAGAAATTTCATGTGGATCACTTCTAGGAGTTAAAAGGTGAACGGGCATCATTGTGCACATAAAGAGCGAAAAACCTCGACGTACTCTTAGGAAACAAGAGAAGAGAAAATGAGAGAACGTATTCCCAATACCCACTTAATCCTTTCTTGTAGGAAATTGATGTTGGAAATTCACAATTAATCAAAGCTTAACTCTTATGTGACCAAGACAAAATTTCTCCCTACAATATCATTTCAATATCAAGCAGATTAGCGTTGAGAATGAAGATAAATATCAATTAGGGGATTACTAGTTGATCCAATACCAACTTCTCTGAACTTTGATCATGAGAATCGTATGGCATATAGTAAGGAGAATTACTAAATGAGATCTTAGGAGTAAAAGGGTTAAGCGTTGTTTTCGAACGACTACCTCACAGGAAATGTAATTATTTTAAACAATGAACATATTTTTCATTTCCTTTTAGTTGTTCATTGTAATTATTTTTTTTTTCCTAGTGGCTGCTCAGGACTGATCGCTGCAACAATCAGCACTCCAGCAGATGTGGTCAAAACAAGAATAATGAACAATCCTAACGTGTATAGAGGATCCATAGACTGTTTCTTGAGTGCGGTATGTAAGCTGCATGTAGACTGCTATATGACTGCGAGGGATATGTACTCTAGGGAGGGACGTTTTAGGGAGAGGAGACACAAATGATGGAACACGCATGAGAGGAGACACTCAAAGAATGGGACCCTCGAAGGATGAGATACTCGAGGGACGGAATACTTGAGGGATGGGATACTCGAGGGATGGGATACTTGAGGGATGGGATACTCGAGGGACTTGATAGTCGAGGGATTGGACACCCGGGTGATGGGACACTCGAGAGATTGGACTTGGAATGAAACTCAACAGGGACGGCATGCACGAGGGACAACAAGCGAGGAATTTGACTCACGAGGAGTGGGAAACTCGAGGGAATGACCATGTGAGGAATATGCGAGCAATGTGGGAAACGCGAGTGATTGCAAGCGCAAGAGTTCTTTCTATTGGGTAGAAGAGGATATCCTAGTATCATTGCTCGAGTTGGGGACTGAGGATTGCTTTTCTTGAGTGTGAAAGAAGTGAAAACTGTTTCATAACCTGTGCTTGTTTCAAGATTCGGGTGGGATTATTTTTTTTTCGCCATAGGTTCGTGAGGAGGGATTCTTTTCATTATACAAAGGATGGCTGCCAACTTGGAGCAGAATGGTAAGTCTTCTAAATAGCTATCTTAACCCTGAAATCTTAGTAATTCTCCCTACTCTCTCCCATACAGTTCTTGTGATGTTAGTTTGGAGAATTTGGTATTGGATCAACTTATAATCCCCTAACTGATATTTTTCTTTACTCTCATCACTTGTAAGTAAAGATTTGGTAAAGCATTTGACAATAAAAATCTGCGATAAAATATTATAAAACATAACACGACGTTTCGACGTTTCCAGAACGTCATTATCAAGTGAACTAGAATAATAAAATCGAGTATATATATAATGAAGCGGTGAATAAATTACAAAGCGTTAAGAGTTAAACAAAGAGTTTGGCCCTAATGGAATCGCTCTGGGTGTTTAAATTGGGCCTTATTGTTCTTATGTACAACATTTCATAAACAAGACAATCCCATTTCGTCCCACATTTTTTAAGCATTCTAAACTGGCTCTCATTGAGTAAGTCAATGTTCCCATGGGCATCTCTCAGGTGGCGACCAATGGCAGAGTATCGATGATCAGCAATGCGTTGAAACAAATGGCGCGTCGTATATCCGACGTAATTTGAATCACACAAATCACATTTAAAACAGTAAACAACGCTATGCTGACTTACGATGCATGGCTTGATTTCTTTAAGCTTTAGGTCCTGCTCAAGTTTCTTACTGGTGTAGACTGGTTGTACATCAATGCCGATTTTTGAACTGAGATCGCGCATTTGTCTTTTGGCAATGTTCGCTGAGACTTGATCTTTGAAAGGAATACTGACTCTTAAAGTTTCATCAGATTTTGTCTTAGTATCTGGTGTAGAGGAATAATCACATTTGTCGATAATACAGTTCACCAAAGAACTAGGGTAACCAAGGCGATGAAACATAGATTTTAGATGCCTACGCTCATCGACGAATGCTTGATGCGTAGAGGACAATTCCTTTGCACGATGAACCATTGTTTTGACAAGACACTTCTTGTAGCGCAAATCGGTTTGACTTTGAAAATGAAGTAAAAGGCCCGTGTTCGTAGGTTTACGATAGACCTGAGTCTCCAACTTGTTGCCGTTCTTTGTTCTCAACGTTCCAATAAAATTTCATTGCCTTGGTTACCTTAGTTCTTTGGTGAACTGTATTATTACCAATTTAAACACCCAGAGCGATTCCATTAGGGCCAAACTCTTTGTTTAACTTTTAACGCTTTGTAATTTATTCACCGCTTCATTATATATATACTCGATTTTATTATTCTAGTTCACTTGATAATGACGTTCTGGAAACGTCGAAACGTCGTGTTATGTTTTATAATATTTTATCGCAGATTTTTATTGTCAAATGCTCATCACTTGTCTACTTGATATTGTATTGATGTTGTAAGGAGAACTTCTGTCTTGGTCACTCATAGGAGTTAAAGGGTTAACAGGCCTGCTGTGGAAGGATTCGCTGTATATCAAACTTCATTAAGCGTTTTTTCAAAAAATTTTCTCTCTAGTGTTCGTTTATTGCCCGTCCAAGGCGGATATAGGCATAGGCATAGTATTTTCTTCTTTTTCTGTCTTCTTCCAGGCTCCATGGTCGTTAACATTCTGGCTTGTGTACGAACGGATTAGAAATGTGGCAGGTGTTTCGGGATTTTGACCCGATTCTGAGCTGTTCTTCTAAAGTACCTTGGAATCGAGTGAAATTACCGAGACATGGTTTCAAAATCGTTATGGGGTCGACGCGACGGGAAAAGACATAATTTTGGACAAAAATTTGAAAGCAAAGAAGACCAAAAAAGTGGGGGAAAATTTTATTTACCAATGTCCGCTTACTTGGGGCTAAGAGATTCCAACTGAAGTATTCCTGCCAAGGTTTGGGGTGAATCAGAGGAACCAGTGATAGAAATTTATGCGGAATATAAATTCAGAGAATAATCGCCCCAATTAGGAAAAACGTATCAAAAACACATCGAAGATTTTTAAGATCTTTTTTTCCCACTCGATGATTACGGGCAAATTAATTTACGACTGTGTGATCAAACCGTTTTTCCATGGCATGATCCAAGCTAACAACAAGAATATGAGGAAGGCCAAAGGCTACTTAAAAAAACTACAAAATTTCACATCTATCCTACTGGTCACAACGTAGTTGCATCGTGGTTTAATGGAAATTTAACAAAAATTTATACTTTTATTTTTGGACAGGATTTAAGTAATTATTTATTGATGTAGAAGAAATTTGACCTTGCTTCCAGGGAGATTAAATCAAAAGAATATGTCTCTATTTACTAAGTTATTAACTTTTGAAAATAAATTAAAGAGGAAAAGGGGTCTTTACACGAAATGGAGTTCTTACGCGATATCTACGTGCGATACAATCGCGATACAATCGCCATATACCGAGTGTTGAGACTCCTCAGACGAATTCTTTTCGCCAATTTGACAAACACTTGCAACCAAGCACGATCAACTCAAGATTTCAAAACGCGGAAAAGCCCTTCCAGCAGAGCACCTGAGCAACATGGTCACGGCAAACAGCACGCTATTCGGCGTTTCTGGCACACCTAAGCCAAAGTATCGTGCCTGTGTAATCTGCCTCAGCCTTCAGCTTTAGCAGATAACTCAGACCTCGGCATTGATAATTCACGATATCAACCTCGTCCAATAGTTGCTTATTCTCGCCATCGACAAGGACTTAGGCTAAGCAGTTTTTGTTTTGAGTTTTATCTTGCGCCGTGATTTTACACCAAGACCAGTTCTCGTTTTTATTTTCATCGTCCTTTGCTGAGGAACTTTTACCTTGGTTTTCTTCTTCACTTTGAATCCCTAAAAACAACAAAAGAAACAAAAAGATAAAGATCGAGATGGAAGTGGATATCAAACACTGTTAACAACGGATCGCTCTTAGAAGTGTACATCTAAGTGGTGTTAGTGGGGAAACGTGTATACGTACATAATTTTGATATTGGGAATTTCCTATTACACTCGTTTTCCGACTCGTAAAAAAGCTGCTTCACACAAATCAACACACGGGAATTTTACGGCCCTTATTCAATCCAGATGTTTCGCTTCAATGGAACTTGTATTCATAGGACTGATCCAAAAAATAAGGACGCTTTTACTGCCTAACTCTCTCACGATGCGGTTTCCCATCTATAGATATCTATCGCAACTTACTTCGGATGCTCTCTTCGTTTTCCTTTTCTTTGTCGAAATATCTGGCATGACGTCTCCTTTCGTGCGAATCTCGAACTGCTCCTCTCTATCAGGGCTTTTTCTTTTTTTCGAGTCACGATCGCTCATGTCATCAGAGCTTTCATTCTGCACCGTATTTCGATCCTTCAATCCAACCACGTGGCCGTTCTGCGTTGCGCCCCGTACAATATCACCTTCGCTTTCATTTTCAAAATCATCGTGATCACTTGCTCCATTCATCCTTTCGTTATCGCCATCTTCATGAATGTCTGTTCCATTCCCTGTGCTTTTCTCGTCCTCTTCCTCCATTGCTTCATCTGACCGTGAGTGGTCAGGAATGGTGGGCACATCATGCGGAACATCGCTCGTACCTTGTTCCCGAGAGTTGTCATCCAGTACTCTGAGCCTGCTATCTATAGCGGAATCACTTGTAGAAGCAGCCCCTGAAGTGGCACTAACAGTTCTGAGGAAATAAAAACAAAATCCATTGTTTTCATTACAAATTAAAGTTAGCCCACAAATCTTTTTTCTACTCTCATTCGAATTACTAACTTGGAATTTTTTCATTTCATCGAATTACCCAATTCATGTAAGTTGTGAAAGTTTCTCAATCTTTTGAATCTTCAAAATTGGATGTTTCGGAAGGGCGGCATCTAAAAAATAAGTTTTAAAAAACTAAAGCTGTAGTTTCATTAGAATCAAAACTTCACGCATAACTGCATGCAGTGCGGCACTCGTCGTAGTAAAACCTTGGCGCAGTCGTCTCGTTTTTCAGTCTCATTTTACGCGAAAATTTCACACACATCTGAAATTTGCCATGCAAACGTCATGTAAAAAGGCATTTGAAAAAGCGGGTGAAAAACGCTATCCTGTCCACGTAGTGTTGTTACACGCTTTCCGCCTAGCCCACATGTACACAAAACTTACACTCACTCATACACTTTGGAGCTTCGAGAAAGATCTTGAAGGGTTAAAGTATATAATTTTTCCTTTTTCAAAAAAAAAAGACGAAACAAAACCACAAGGTATTGCGGATCATAAAGTGGGAATTGAAGGGTTTAAACAGGGGAAAACGTTCGAGGAATATGATCAATGGAATTGAACTTTGAATTTTCAACAATTAGTCATAAGAAACGTCAAAATGTCTTCACCTGGGTGTGGTCAACATGAGGGGACCAGACAGCTTCATGGATTGCCAAGTGTATTCAATAAACTCCATTTGCTGTCGAATAATCAAGTACATAAATTAGACAGCTTTACAACCGCACTTATGACCAATGGGAACAGAAACTTTCGCTATAATTTCCCTCACTTTGAAAAAAGAGGACACAAATATGGAACACCATCTCCTATTCACAATAAATGAAAACATTTTCACATTACTGCAGAAACAGTTGAAATTGACACCGCATAGGTTCAATTCATAAGTCAATATGTTAATCGTTTCGTCTGTAGCATGACAAAGAAATGGGGCATGAGGAAAAAAAATTGCGAGTACCCATGAGGAATCAAACCTTGGACCTATGAATTTCGCGCTTTAATTCTCTACCAGTGAGCTATGGTGAACTCGATGAACTCGATGGTAAGCTAGGCCGTAACAACGTTAAATTTTAAAGGCCGTTCCCTGGCGTTAACCCTTTACACTCTGAAATCAATATGCAAATTATTCATACGGTTTTCTATAAATTTCCCAGGGTGCTGACGAGGAGAATTTGTTTAACAATCAAGAGGTTTTTTAGTTGGTGATCATTTGCTTTATTCGTGTAACCTCAATGTTTGATTCAGGGGTGATAAGGAAAAATTAGATACTAGTCACTCTTAGAGGTTAAAGGGGTAACGTGTTCTAATCATAATAACAGGAGACAATAGTGAAAGCGTTTTACTCTATTACACATCTTAAGTGTCAGAGAAGTCCGCCGAAAGGAATAGAGAGTATCAGTTGAAAAAGACAAACCTGTAGGAGTCGATCCATCCGTTGGAAATGTTTTTCTGCAAGAGATTCAAATTTCAGACATACATTTCTTGTTATATTGACGATAACGATTACAGAAGAATGCTCTGAATGGGAGGGGGGAGGGGCTGTGGTGGAGGTAAGCAGAGGGAGAGGAGAGGGGGTGGTGATTTTTCTTTCTCTGACTGAAATTCCTCTAAGCTCTTCAGAAATATCACAAGATAATAGGAAACCTCTAAAATCAAAAATCAGATACCACATTAACTGACCACTGTAGGAAAGAAGGGCTTCCATTGTGTCTTTGATGTTTTTCTTCTTCATCAGATTGTAAGGAGAATTGTTCCTTAAGATAATAGAAAGCACTGAAAAAAAATAAAACGCCAAAACGCGTTGTAGAAAGTGACTCGGCAACTATGAAGTAAACAGTCGAACACCAGGGTTTCATCTACAAAGAAACTGAAAAGGTTGAAAACCTCGCATGGCAGAAGATGAAAGCAATGCTCTAAACTGCAAGCAGTCCCTCTTATTTGACGTCCTTCGCGCGCGTAAAAAAAAAAACGGGTGAGAGAAAAAATTGATGCAAGTGCACCGTGCCTCAATCCCTGAGTTCCGCACTGCACGCTAACCTAATTTTTTCCCGACTGCACGATGGACCTCGCCAAAAAAGAGGGACTGCTCGTTGTCTGGTACTCCTCAGTAGCCCCCATTCAAATGGCACACACTAAGCTTTTATCTGCAGATGTTAAAGTTACAGCCTCCTTGTAAACCAGGAAAGTGAGTAAATAATGTCTATATTTAAAGAGGGTGACACACACAAGTTAAAATTAATAAACTAGTGGCCCATTAAAAGCAGCACCATAAGGAAGTATTACAGAGTAGCTTTCATTTGATTGGTTTCACTCTGGGGTTTTATCGACGACACTGATAAATTCGTTGATTCTTATCAGTTTTTAAGTGAGTAATAAAATGATACTAGGAGGAGAAGTTAGATGTTAATTAATAATTATTAATTAATTAATTATTAATTAATAATTATTAATAATAATTAATTAATAATTATCCCAATAGTGAGTGAGAAGGTTTAACTTTACCAGCTTGAGCGACATGGCAGTTCTTCGAGTTAGTGTTCCACTCCACAATAAACCTCAACATAGCATCTGAAACAAAAGCAATAAATCGAGAGATAAAGTTCATCGAGGTTAAACCTAATGACCAGTTGTGGTCAGCATAGCTTCTTAGACTCCACCTGGTGGAATATTTGCAAACAAACACCTTAAGACTGTTCAAGGCGACTGAGCGCCTGGTTGATACACTTCTTACCGAGTTGATCTTCCCTGAATGATTTGATTGCTTTTGTCAACTCTTCTGTTCCATTTTCAGTAAGAAGGATATCTGCATTGTGAACAAAAAGAAAAATACTTTAATAGACGAGGCTCTCCTGCATAAAAAGTACATCAGGAAAAACCCAACGCTTCACAGGATAAGATGCATGTAAGGTACTGTACCTTTAACGATGTTCATAACTCTAAAAGGCTGCTCCAATGTGATGGCTAGACTAATTGCTTGGAGATAGTTCTTGTCAGCTATTAAGTTTGACAGTTCCTGTTGTCTGTTCGAAAAAAATAAAAAGGGTAAATAATATTTAGACGAGACTGACAGTACAGATGATGAGTTATCCTAGCAGTATACTTAAACTTAGTACAACACCACAATGGCAGTTGAATGGTTGGCAGTGGCTCAATTGCAAACTCGTACGCACGTTAATCAGTTCACGAAATATATTTTTTGAGATAAATTTAAAATTTAGGAAGAAAGGGAAATACCATCATAAAGTTGTCAGCGCTTCTTCTGTTGGACGGTATTCTTAAGATGATGGCTCATTTTACGGAACGTGGTATGGATAAAAAAAAAGGCTTTTCATGCAGGTCGCCAATGGTAGTTTTCTAAGACAGTAGTAAAAATTGTGCTACAATTTTCAAATCAATCATCTTATTTAAAGTAACTCACTTTAAAATATTATCTTCGATGACAGCTTGCGCTTGCTCTTGTTCGATCTCTGTGACATCCTAATCGGAAAACAATTCGCTAAAATGAGAAATCAATGTTCCGAATGTTCCGTTGTGTTCTCACTTTTCAGGAGGAAAGAGCTTCACTTAACACATGGAACAACTTTATTGCGGAAGAGGATCATGACACAAACCTTCCAAATATTAATCACTGAGTCTGCGCCTCCTGAAATAAGTTGATCTTGGTTTTTATTCACAGCTATACTCCACACCTAGGGAGAAAACAGTGTTTCGTTTTGGACTGTTTGTTTCTTTTTCCATCAGCACAATAGCTTGAGAAAAGTCAGATTCGAGAAGCGTGTAAACAACACATACTAAAACGAAAGGGGCCCACCTTGTCCAGATGTTGATCAAACGTCTTGACGCACTCGTTTGTTTTTATGGTCCACAGTTTGAGAAGACCCTCAGAGCCACTGAAAATTAGAGGAAGCATGTGGAAAAAGCGAAAACACGGTCATGTAGAGCAGAGGTTTCAATAAACGCCAATTAACCCCTTAGCCCCTGAGAGTGACTAGCATCAAATTTCTCCCAATAATATCACCCCTGAATCACACGTTAAGGTCATGAGAATAAAGGAAATGATCACCAACGAAAGAAACTTTTGGTTGGAAGACAAATTCTCCTTGCAGCACCTTAGAAAATGTATAAAGAGCAGTATGGAGAATATGCATTCTGATTCTAGGGTGTAAAGGGTTAACGACAGCCACCTTTTACACAAACGGCAGCCGCCTATAGAAAAATGTATTAAAGCCCCTGTGTAAAGGCCCAGAGGAAGTAAAGCGAAAACGCACCTCTACGCGACAAATGAACTTCTAAGCGATTCAACAAATTAACGGAGAAACACAGACAGACGTATAGACAAAAGAACAAAATTCACCTCGAGACAAGCTGCATTCCTCTGGTCAAGAAACAGATCTTTAAAACCGAGCTGGTATGTCCCTCTAGTGTCTTAACACATGTGAAGTCAGACAGGGCCCAGATCTTGATGGTTGAATCTGCAGATGAAGTCGCCAAGCACTGGTCCACAGGCGAAAATCTTACGCACCAGATTCCTTTCTTATGGCCGCGTAAAGTGCCCAGAAGTGAACCATTGGATATCATCCAGATCTACAAAACAAGCACCAAACTTCAAGTAAAAACCCATCATGCTACACAACAGTACGATACGTTACGTTACAATATGATACATCGTGTTTTGATATTTTATAATCGATTTATATAACGTTAGGTTATGTTTCGTTACGTTAGCTTCTGTTCCGTTATGTTACGTTACGAAACGTTACGTTAACTTACATAATGCTTCAAATTACTTTTCTTTGTGAAATCTCACGTACGGTACTGTAATAAGCTTCGTTTCGACACAACATAACATAACATAATGTTCATCACGTTCATGTTATCACGTTATGTTTAGCCACGCACTTCACGTTACACAATCTTTTGTTACGTTACGCTGACTCGCGTTACGTTTCGTATCCTATAATTTCTAGTTCGTTTTCTTTACAGTTCAATGGATTGTTCTTTAAGCCCACTTTTCAAAAATCTTGGTTCATTCCGTACCTTTGCTGTTTTATCTTGTGAACCAGTCGCCATCAGCTTATCATTGGGTGAAATTGTGACAGAGTTAATGCCCTGCAGTAAAAGGTGAACAAAACTTAGTACACAAGACACAGCAAGACATTCAACATAATTAATTACCCTTTATTGGCAAAAGTTTTTGACGTTATCTCCAGATCGAAGTAAATCCTTTTATACACAACAAGAACAACAATACGTCAAATGAGTCAAAAAAATTATCCTAAACTTGTTATTAAAGTTATTTATGTCAATCTCAGACCAGCGAGGAAATAATAAGAAAGAACACCTCTCCTTTTTTTTTTACGACTACGTTCAATAATGACAATTCCTTTTCACTCTCTCACTTCACGAAGCACGCTCGAATCAATGTCAGCATCTGAACAACTACGCACCATCCCCTCCACCATCTTACCCAACAACAGTCAACTAGTAACAAGTTGGGGTTAATGTTGGGTCAGGGGAAGGGTTCGTTCGCAGTTGCTCATTGATCCGCACGTTTTCTGTATCGTCGATCTAAGCTGTACGCAGTAGCTACCCGACAAGTTTTCTGCAGCTCGCTAAGCAAGTATCCCACGGTAACTTAAGCACCACCCGAAGTCAGTTAAAGTCCTCATCGGGAATTCTTAATTTCCATCCCCTTCGACATGTCAAATGTTTACCATACTATACTCATTTATTCAAATATAGTGTACATACCTTATCATGTGCTTTCTCGGTTAGCTTGACTGACAACTTGATCGGTGAATCCAGCTGCAAAGAAAAAGAGAGGCAAATATAACCTTGGAAATGTTTAGCAAACATGTGAACAAGAAACGTTCATGTTAGAGTAAAGTACTGAAGACAAGGAAATGGATAATAAAGAACAGAACTTCTTCAGAGCAAAAAATATTTATTACACACATCATCTATTTTTGGTGGTATTTTCCATATCTTGACGGTGTTATCCTGACTCCCACTTGCTACAAAAGACTTGTCAAGCCTGGCAAAAGAAGTTTTGAAAATATTTAGCAAACCACGAAGAGCTATCGGCAGGGTTTAGCTGATCTACACTGATCAACTGGCTCTATGAATTTCCTGTTTGATCAACTTCACTTAGCCGACGGACGAACGGACGCCGTACCGACCGACGGATCGACAGACCAACGGACCGACGGACTAGCTGGCTAACAAGCTTTTTGGCTGTTGACGCATACGCTTCATAATTTACCTGGACCATGCGACAGTGTGGACAGCATGAGTATGTCCCAACCCTGTGCCTACACAACGGAATTCACATTGTTTGTTCATCTGCCAGACACGCACTGTATTGTCCTACAGAAAAATAAACAATCACAAATTAGATATTAAATACGAAAAAAATCAGTAATATCATGGAGCAAACTTCGATTAAGCGTCAAAAAACTAAAATCAAGAAAATCACAACAGCCGGGTAAACTGTCTGATACGTAGGAAAACGCTATGCTGTGCCACCAAACCAATTATACTCGTAATAACTGAAATTATACATGGATGTCAGAATAACCCAAACGACAAAAGGAATGGCAATCCAAATTCTTTGTATCTATTGTAAATCGTCAGATGCTTGTGTCACTAAGGATGCCCCACATACCATTTACCACACAAATTGAGTGTTCTGTTTGAAATTCAAAATTACTTTTTCATGCCTGAAACAAGGCGTGGCTAACTACAGAGGAAAAACTTTTATAACTAGAAAATAAACCATGCTTGCTTTGGTGTTAGTATAAATTTGCTGAAAGGATGAATATTGAGTAGCTTTTATTTTCCACCCCTGTTTTAGTTTCCCTTAAATTTCTACGTGTACTAACAGTACCTTACCTTTGATCCAGTGACCAGCATATCACCTGCACTGTTTATCTCCAGAGCTAAGACAATATCGGTGTGTCCCTCCAATAGCTGGCAGTTCATAGAGGCCAACTCATATATCCGCAACTGACTACTGTTAGTTGCCACAGAAAGATGACTCTCTTTGTCACCAACAAAACTCAAGTCCAAGATCTCATCATTGTATCCTACAAACTACAAGACAATATATGTAAGTGTGAGGCCCGCATCTGGCTTCAGTGCATACAGTGTACAGGCAGGTACTGTCAGATGACAATCTCGAATGGAAACTCAAGGAATAGGTTTGATTTTCAAGTTTCAAGTTTCAATACTAGTGTTAAATTTTCAACGGATTTTTACCAATAATTTTGAAGAAGGGATTGTTTCTTGAAAATGCAATAGAAGTGATGAATAACACAATGACTTACCCTAACAATACAACATACCCAATAATTTACACAGTACATACCTGTTTAGTTCTCTTCAGTGATTCCAGCTCATGAAACACAATGTTGTGGTCAAATGTGACCACTGCAACTTGATCCAGGTTCTTGCATAAGGTGGCATGAACAATCTGTTGATTGCCATCTTCATCATTATTGTTTTCGTTCTTATTACTCCTTCTAGCACTGAGAACAGTCTCAGTAAAAACACATTTACCATCTCGAAAACTCCAAACCCTTAGCTGACCTGCAAAGAAAGAGGGGAAAGGTTAACAACACTTTATGCTTTCTGCTTTGGCACTGTTTGCTTTGGTGAATTTCACAAAAAAGTTTTGACCAACATGTAATATTAACCCTTTTATTACCAAGATCAAATTGTTAATTCTTCCCTCTAGCAGCTACAAATTTTCTTTTAAATAAGTTACAACTTGCAATTTAGTGAAAGATCAAAATAACAACTTCTACCTGATAACTTTGAGTATTCTCATTACCTGTTTGCTGGACAATGTATGGATATTATAGGGAGAAGTTACATGTTAATCACTTCTGGGAGTTAAGGGGTTAAGGAAAATGATTAAAGAGAACATTATTAAGTAAACATGATTATATTTAATCAAGGGTCATACCTTTACTGCCAGCAGTCATGAAATATTCTTTCTCATTATTTTTGCATCCAGGACAATTGCTACCTTTAGGCAGAGTGATTACTGACTCTACACCCTAACAAGATAAAATACAGTATTGGTAACTACTGGTTATCATACCTTTACCAAAAATATTCTTTGTTCTCATCACGGGGGAATGACATGCAGACTGACTGACCAACAGAATGACAGGCAAACAAACAGGGTAATTTAGCATTATCAACTGAGTTGATAACTTAAATTAGCCACCATTAAGAGCTTCAAAAGCTGACATTTCAAGCATTAGTGCTTGGTCAGAGTGAATGACAAAGAACTAATGCTCAAAACAACAGCTTTTAAACTTTTTCCAGTGGCCAATTTATGTCATCAACTCAGTTGATAATAGCAAATTACCCTGTTATACTCTCCTACAGATGGGGTACCACAGTTTCTTTTATTAGAAACTTCCACCCTTTAGACAAACAAACAGACAGACAGATAGACAAATAAATGTAGGTAGAGGAGTAGAATTCCAAAGAGACTGTGGTGCTATAGTTGTGGGGTTATTACAATACAATTTTGTTCTATCCCCTTTGTTAATAAAGTAAATTGACCACATTATTAAAAGATTTTGAGCTGAAAAAATTTCAAGCATTAGCCATTTGTCAAAGCATACCAGACAAAAGGACGAACTGTCAAACAGACTTAAGGAAAGTTGCGTTAGATGATACCTACACCATGGAATAGTAATTTCATACCTCAAAAGCTGGAATTGTCTTCAGCAATTTTTTGTCAGAAACATCCCACATATTTAGCACATTGTCTCTACTTGAACTGTAGAGGAAGGAAAAGATGAATTGTACAAGCATTACAGAATTAGTTTTCTTTATGAGTGATCAATCAAAAGCAATGCTGAACAAAAAACCTAGTTAATTCCAATGTACAAGCATGTCCATACAGCTGTTTAAAGAAAGTTATTGTGGGCAGTTTACATGTTACAATTCCTCAACCTCAGGATTTCAGGGAAATGTGAAAAAAATGTCACCAGAAGGATGAGCCATAACAGGTTTGATAAATCTATTTAAATATCATTTGACTTATTAAACCTCATTGGTTACCAGATATCCAGATTATCTTTTGAGATTGTTGCATGGACTTTTGTCCTTTTTTCTGACAACTTTTCTCGAAACAGCTGTTTTACAAATGAATGTTGTATAACTGATGGATTCCTTTCTCTACCTCAAAGGGGCTGTGCAATGTCTAACTTCAGTTCACATAACCAACTAAAAGTATAAAATCCCATACAGTATAGTACACCTAACCTTATCATTGTCTCTCCGGATTGAGAGAATGCAAGAGAAGTTACAACACTGAAGTGGCTCTCCAAAACAGCAACACATCTGAAAAACAGGTCACAATGTTCTCGAGATTGTAAAAAATTCACTAGACAGCATGTATATTAGCAGTAACTGTGATTAAGACTCTTAAATTGAATGGCTTCTAAATAAAATTCTCCAAATATAAAGCTCATGAAAATGTAGGAAATGATCACAAATTTTAGAAGCTCCTGATTGTTGACAAATTCTCAGTCAGTAAGGAAATGTAAAGAGAACAGTGTGGAGAATATAGGCCTATTACCACAGTACGTCTACACTGTAATTTTATCAAGAAGTTACAGTGCAAGTATCATTTTGCCTAGCAAACATAATTTTCCATATGACAATAATTGATAACTGCCATTTTGGATTTCAAGTACAAGCACGTGTATTGAGTCAGGTGTTCCTATATGACTTTCTTCTTGTCCACTTCTCCAGGTTTTATTTGCTATCAAATTAAATGTACACCTGTAACAAGACATCTAAAAATTCATCTGATTTAGTTCTCCTTTTTTAATGCCAAATTCTCTTTTTATAACTAATTTTCAAGAAAATCTGAAGCAGCTAGAAGAGGGATTTTATAATCACATCCAGAGGTTAATCTTATTGACCTATGAGTCAATACCTGCTTTTCTTCAAATCCCATACTCGTATCTTGCAGTCATCTGATGCAGAGAAGAGCTGAAGAACATTTGTATTGGGATGAAATGAAACTAAACTGTAATAAAAAGAAAAAAAATGTGATAAATGGTATAACCTCAAGTTTGTTTTGCAAGCTAATTAAGGATACAGTGTTTGTTGTTTAATACAGCACACTCTATACTCTTACAAAAGGGCATAGCCGGGATTTTTCAAAAGGGGTCACACTGTGTCTAACAAAGGGTTCTCAACAGTTTTCACCACTTGAATATTAAGGGCTGTTTACTTAAAAAAGGCTTACAAAGAGGGGGTCATGGGCACCCCACAACCCCTTCCCCCCTGGCTACACCCTTGTACTATAAAATGAACTCACTTTACCACTCCTTGTGATCCTTTAAAATTGTGTGTGTAGTATTGTTTAATAATATCCCAGACTTTCACTGTACTGTCACTTGAACCTACAGAATAAAGGATTACACTGTAAATCAATGAATTCAATTTAATTTAATTATAATATTTATCATGAATAATTCTATTTAACCCTTTAGCTCCCATGAGTGACCAAGACAGAATTTCTCCTTACAATATCAATACAATATCAAGCAGACAAGTGATGAGAATTAAGAAAAATATCAGTTAGGAGATTATAAATTGATCCAATACCAAATTCTCCAAACTAACATCACTAGAACGGTATGGCAGACAGTTAGGAGAATTACTAATGAGATCTTGGGAGTTAGGGGGTTAAAAAGAGACCTGTATAAATTGACCAAATAGAGTTGAACAAATGTTAATTTTTTGAATAAGTATTTAGTCAGTAAATCTCGCAAATAGTTTTATAATTATCTACATTCTATATTCACAATACAACTAAAAGTAAGTTGACAGTCTCAACTCAAAATTCTGTCCTCAAAACTAACAAGAATCGAAAAGCTTTTCAAGGATCTTCATCCCCTGTTTCATGGATTTGACATAGTTCTCTCACTTGATTTAAAAGTCTTTTTAAACTCAACTTAAGCTTCAATTCCTCAAAGTTTTTGAAAATTATGGATTGAGGATTGAGTTTCAAGGGACTATCAACTTATTTTTGAGAGGCAATGTATCTTTTCTTCAAAGACAAGTTTAACATTTACTTACCAGTTGCCAAAAGTGTTGATGTGGTGTCAAAAGTCATTGAAACAATAGGGGCTCTATGAACAGCCTACAAGATACAGTTTATAAATACACAACAAGGATGTTTTTAATAGATTTTAAAACAAATTCAAAACTGCTTCAAAATTTTCAAGCTTCATGTTATGCAATTTTTGTCTAGGTTTTGACCAAATCCTGGATTTCATTCATACAAAATCTGACAGAGTATCTCACAAATGTGGATCAACAACATATGAGCTTCAAACAAACTGTAACATACTTACTTTCCAAGTTCGTATCTGCTCACCAGTGTTCCATTCCCATTGTCTCAAAAGCAAACTTTTACTTGCTGTTACACAGAACTGGAAAATATTAAAAAGTGACAATTACAAAAGAGAGCTTCTCTCCACTGGCCACCTTTGGGGAGTTACATTTATCAAATTGAAAATACCTTGTCATCAGGACTTGCAGCAAAGCAGCTTATAACATCACCTTCCTAGAGTAGAAGGAGGTCGCTTTAACTTGTAAGCTGTTTGAGTCTTAATTGTATATATGTAGCTTTGAATAATCACTGATATCATCAAAAATCATTTTAAAACCTCAAACCAGAGATAAATTTCTTAATTTTTCTGGTTACCTCTTGCAGTGTATGAACAACCTTGCCAGTTTCAACGTGAACAACTTGAACCTTGTCATTGCACGTACAGAATAAGTGGTCTTCCTTGGATGAGAACTAGGAAAATCAAGATCAAATCCTTAAGCTTATTATGAGAGAGACCGAGGCAAATGCATGTACGTTCACAGAATATATGGTATTGAGTATGATACTATTAGTTCACAGCTGCAGTAAGTAAAATAACCCATAAACCTCGATCTTAGGCAGACATGCCAGCGAAAGTTTACCTGTACTTTGCCTCCAGTGTAGAATGCATCAATCTTCGAGGAAACCTCATAACTACAAAAATTAATTGATGTGTTAGTCGCTAAGGCCGAAAGAGAACCTCTAAGTACTCTGCAGTATAACAAACGGCCATAACAACACGTGCTAGATGATTAAATATTCTGCTGCCTTTTAAACAAAATTATAAGTTTCTGGTACACTAGCTCCTTGACACTACAGAAGAACTAACTTCGATTTCAGAAGAGCACCAGGGCCAGAGTTTCTCATTTGAGCCATAACGAAAATATCTAATACGTTCTTGTGGTCCGCTACAGGACATTTCTGTCACTCTCGTCCGCCATGTTTTCGTCAAGTTCGTACCCAGGGCCCTGAGTACGGTTATGAACGTTTGTCCATTTCGTTTTGAACAGGTGAGTTTCAATTTTAATTACAGTCCGTGCAAATTATTCAGTTATCATCCATTCAGCTGTATTCCACCCTCATTTTTAACCATTGAGGAATGTTGCACAGGGTGTCATAGTTTTCCCATGTGTGCATATGTTGCTGCCATTTTTAAACCATTGAGGAATAATCCCTATTTCATTTTGCCTCCCAGGGTAATTCTTTTTACTGTCTTTTTCCCATGATGTCAATTTGGAGAATTTGGTATTGGATCAACTAATAATCCTGTAACTGATATTTTACTTTATTCTAATCACTTCTATGCTTGATATTGTATTGATATTGTAAGGAGAAATTATCTCTTTTCATTTAAAGGGTTTTAGCAACCACACTTCACTCCCAAGAAAAGAAAAGAGACGATTCTCCACAAGAGCTTTCTCAACACACGCTTACCCCTAATTTGTTGTGGCTAGTCAAGATAAAAAGGGTTGATTGTTAGGAAAACAAACTTCCATTGAGTCTCCTGCTAGGACTAACAGTGAGTGGCTGATGGAGAAAGAAAGACTAACCTCAAGAGACCAGCAGATATATGGTATAAGGTGTTCACAAAGAAAACTAACTGCAAAAATATTGTTGACGATTTTATTAGTTTACTCAAGAAGGTTGATGGAAACATCATTTTATTTCGCTTTATTCTACACAGGGCTTTAGTTCATCTTGCGAATGAGCTGGTTGATCTTGTCTTCACGGTTTCCATGATCACCTCCCTCGACAAAGTGTGTGGTCATCTTACGGAAACCACCCTTCGGAGAGCTGAGCTTGAATGGCCATAGAAAGTTGTTAGCCTCCTTAAAATGCTCGCCAACAGAATAGATCTCATGAATGAGGTCCTCCACACAGATTATGCCAAACTTTCCAAGTTGCTGTTCAATGATGGAGTTGTCTGTAATGGCAATGCGCTGTTTTCTGATTTTGCCATGACCACGTTTGTAAATCAACTCACGCACACTCTTCAGATTAGGATAACTAAAACAACAATGATAGATTTGATCTTTAAAACACTTGCTTTTGGCATGTGTCAAGTATAATCTGTAATGATCTGTAAGGTTCACATGTAACAATTTCTTGACTGTTACTTGCTTGTCATAAACACAAGGTTCACAAACACACAATAGAAGAAAACAACTGTTTCACAGGGCTAAACAACTGTTAACACTAACTTTAAAGATCTGATTGTTAATTCTCCCCTCTAGCTGCTACAAATGTCCTTATAAATCAGTTACCAGAATTTAGCATTAGATCACGGTAACAATTTCTACCTGATAAGTTTGAGTACTCTCAATACCTGTTTGCTGGATGATGTATGGATGTTATGGGGAGAAGTGACATGTAACTTATTATAGTTAAATGGTTAAGAACATTTTTCAATGACCACCTTAAACAATTATATATATAAATAGTAAAAAAAAAATTTTAAATGTCCATTGTATGGTTTATCGCCCCAGTCAAGGTCACAAAGTGACTCTGGGAAGCACAAGGAATATACAATGTACTACACCAAACAAGTTCCCTAAAAGAGAGATACTGTGGGCAGTTTTGATCTCCAACGACATGGCAAGGAACATACATCATGAGTGATGTGTCTCAAGGACACTCAGCTCCAAAAGCCATTCAGACAGAGCCAGTGAGGGCCAACCCACTAGATGTCACGTTGGATGTTCTTTTCACAAAGAAATATGACTAAATCATGCACAGTACATGTACATGTACTTTATACAGCCAAAAAAAAAAAAGTTGTACCAACCCATAGGCAACATAAGGTTGCACAACTCGCAGCATGTTCATGGTGGCCTTGTTCAGCTTAATAAAAACGCCATTGTGGATCTGAAGCAGACGGAACAACTGTAGGATTTTTCTGACTTTAGGGCTCACGCCATTGATACTGCAGCAAAAAAAAAAAAAAAAGAAGCATAACCCCACTGCAAATGTATTGTCTTAACCCATATTAGCAAATTATCACTAGCCACACATCGACCCAATGAAGAACAAAAAACACTTCATAGAGCAAAAATTACAGAAACTCTTCCTTAGTAACTGTTCATTGCATGGTTTATCCCCCCTGTCAAGGTCACATAGTGACTCTGGGAAGCACAAGGAATATGCAGAGCACTACACCAAACCAGTTCCCACATACAGTGAGGTACTAGGGGTAGTTTTAATCTCCAATGACATGGCAAGGAACATACGTCATTGGTGATATGCCTCAAGGACACTCAGCTCCTAAAAGCCATTTAGACAGAGCCAGTGAGGGCCAGCTCACTGGATGTCCCATTGGATAGATCTATGTAAAACTAACTCACAGTACTGCATTGCAAAAATGCCCCAAATCTACCTTGTACTTCTTATACACTGTTACTGAAAAAGACAACCTACCCTCTGATACGGACAACAAAAGCAAGCTTAGCTTCAGCAGGGACATAGAAGTTTGCATGCTTTCTCGCCATGCGTTTCATTCGGATCTCATCTTTCTCTTGCTGGCGGTATTCTTTCACATATTTCTCAGCTCTCTTAAAGATTTCCTTGCGTTTTTCTCTGCGCACCTATGATTCAATAACATAATGGAGAATGATTACAATCAATTCAATGACAATGGTACTCAGAAATTGTAGATAAAATGAAATCATGAAAAAAAAAACCGGATCATCTATGTTCTACTTAAAATGTCCATTGTATGGTTTATCCCCCCAGTTAAGGTCACAAAGTGACTCTGGGAAGCACAAGGAATATACAATGTACTACACCAAACCAGTTCCCATAAACTGAGATACTAGGGGTAGTTTTGATCTCCAACGACATGGCAAGGAACATACATCAAGGGTGATGTGTCTCAAGGACACTCAGCTCCAAAAGCCATTTGAAACAGAGCCAGTGAGGGCCAACCCACTGGATGCCACGTTGGATCCAAATTTGCAAAATAAAATATATCAAAGTGTTAAGTGATCATACTATACATGCACGCAGAAATTTTCATGGTTAAAATTTGTTCAAACTCAAACTACGTCAAAGAATGTAAAGAAGAATTCATCACTTTGTGTGATATAAAAGGCGTATCTTGGCGAAGGCTTGGAATAAAACGAAAAAACAAATATGGCAGCTCAAGGCCAATCACATCGTCCGCTACTCAACATGCTACGGAAGGACAACTTAAACCGGTCAATTAACTCAACTACAGTTGAGTGTATTGTAGGAAAAAAAGGAACTGCACCAACCTTTTTCTGCGCTAGTTGCGCTTTCGCCCTAGCAGCCTTCAATTGTTCTAAACTCTTCCTCTTCTTGAGGAGAGTTTCGGGGACACGTGGAACCTTCTCTCTGCGAAATTAAACAGCAAAGAACGAAAATCAAAATTCGCCCGTTTTAACCACGGTAAAACATTTAATTCACGACTGAAAGCTAATCTGAGCTACATTATTAAATGGTAATTTACTGGGAACATCACTTAAAAATGAAACCGACACAATTCCTACTTTTCAAAATATCAAAATAGCGATTTTTAGTGTGACGCCAGTTTGAGGTTTGAGGTAACAAACATGACAAGGTCATGACTGTCATTGTGCCCTTTATATCAGTTTTCTCAAAAGAATAACTCAATGAAATCGAAAAGAAATTAATAAAAATAAATTTCTTTATGGAGCTGAGATTTTAAACGTTTAAAAGCAATGCGGATGGAACGGATAGAATCAGCTCCTTGGTTCTCACTCACTTATCAGCCATTGCTTCCCCAGGAAAGAGGGTGAGCATTATGGGAAATGTAGGCCGAGTAGCCTAGCCTTAGTTACGTTTTGAATTCGTGTACGCGTCACAAAATGTCTCTAGTTACTAGTTAGAATGAGGGTATTATTTCTCGGGCGATCCATTGATTTTTGAATGACTATTGAGCTCGTTATTACTCTTTTAGGCTCTGGATAATAATTAGGCTTCATTCATTATCGGCTACTAACTGTTCCACAAATCCAAATCGGTGAGCAAAAGCAACAAACATACGTTTAGGTGTCGATGCATTTAGCACCCAAGTGTTAATTACAAACAGAGTGTATACATAATAGAGTGCCGATTACTAAAACAAATATCCTGTCGGAGGGTAGTCGAATGGCTATATAAACTTGAAGACGTAGTAAAGCTGTTGATCTCGCTACATAATCGTGGCAACGGGACTAGAAAAAGATTTGAGTAAAAGAACTTTAAACTCACAATCAAACGCCCAGAACTGCTTAACGCCGCCCCTGCTATACTTATCGTTCGAGAGGTCAGGTGACCATGTCTGGACAATAATTAGCGTGCTCTATTCTGTTTCTTCATCGTGTACTCTACAGCCCGAAACATTGGTCGAAACGGTACGATGGCATTATTTAACAATAAACTGAAATGTCAGTGTCCTGTTGTCGGAACGAACCCGACTCGTCAAATTGAGAAAAACAAGATCATCCCCTTTGCTTGACTTTAAATGACTGAAGCGGAAAGAAAAACGCCGGAAAAAAATTGTTATACAGCAATTGGAAATTTGGATCGATCTTAAGGATACATTTCTGCAACAGATCAACGCAGAAAGGAAACGCCGATGGAAAAAAAATGTATGCATACTGTATTAATTGCTGTTCGCCTGTAGAAAAATATCGAAAAAGGCCCAGTAACTAGCACACGAAAATTACTACTGGGGTTTAAAGCGAGAGTTTCGAGCAAATGATCATGATTGCTTAAGAGGAGCAATGTTTTTACTGTTTTATGCCAGCCATTCAACTTGGCCTAACACCTAAAACCAATGGGTGAATAAACATGTTTTCACTGCGAGAGAAAACAAAAAAGGATTAAATTGTGCAGCCCTTTGCTAATTACCATTTGTAGGTTTGACGCCGGTAATTGAAGCTCTATTCATGACCGTTGTCACGCTTATCGAATCCTTTTTGTTTCATAAAAGCTTACGTTAATCATCTTTATTTGACCATTCATCAAAAGGCTGTTATTATTTCAGTACAGTGCTTCGAACAGAGTAATCATCAGGCAATGTTTTAGACTCGCCCGTTCCACAATACGCCTTGAATTGAGTTCTTCTTAGCCAAGGTGAGTGGAAAATCACAAATTATTTAGTTAACTCAGCATCACAAATATGTACAAATACAATGCGCTTCTGCTAGGTAGATATCAGTCGAGCAGACAAAAAAGTTCCAAATCGTGATCTCAAATCGATTTAAATGTTCGTTTTCAATAATACTCTCTCGAGCTTTGTTATTCAATACCTACGGAATGAATTAAAATGGTCTAACCAAGTTAGTTTAATAGAGTTCGAGAGATGTTAAGGCCACTTTGGCAGGGATTTCTTTGAAGATGTACATACACTACCTTAAGTAAAAATGTCTTCAGCTTCCATTGCCGAATTTGAAAGTAACTCGATCAATTATGAAGAAGAAATAGCCGTAAGGTACATGTTAATCGTTGATGCATTACCAGTTGCTTCAGGTTTTTCAATCAGTAAACTCGTCCGCTTGTACGTGTAGGTTTATTTTCTCTTCAGTGTTGAGAGCAATCCGATACGTTAACTAAACAATTCAAAGTTGCTCTCAGAAGAAATTGAATGTTAATTGTTGATTCGCGTCACTTTAGCAATGTTTATCTTAAGGTTGGTAATCCTAAGGTTTCAAACGAAGACCGCATTTACACTCCCAAGTCTTCCTTGACGAATATTTTTTTTAAGCTAACACCTTCACCATGTACATCAACGATGAAAACTCGTCAACTGTACGCTCAGGCTAAAGCAAACTTGCTTGAGAAGAAAAACGTGTTTCTAGACGAATCCTTTTAGTCCTATTCAAGTAAGCTAGCAAACATCGTGGTTTTTTTTGTCTGTGATAAGCTAGCTTTTAAGGAAACACCTTTCATATTTTCTATCTACACGGTCAAGGAAACGACCTACCTGGGGAAAACTTGACAATTAAAAGAGGAAACTTTGAATAAATGCCATTGATTCAAAGTTTATACTAAGATTGACCTTTGGCAGTGTTTTATATCTGTTTGGTGTGTCAATCATATCATTGATATTGTCAGTATTTTGCATCACGAATTAGATATTTATCGGCAAAGAATTTTTGAAGGACTCAACGACTGATGAGTGTCTCAGGGATATATAAAGGACAGTGAATAATAATTGCTTTTCAGTAGTTCGATTATAGCCTGTTGGAGAAGAAATAAGTTGCTATATGTTTTTACTCAGTTAGTGTAGAGTATGAATTCAGTTGATTATAGGCTCAATCAAATGGTCTATTTTGTTAATTCCACAAATATCACTTTTATTCCGTGAAGTTTAACAGTCTACTTCAAAGCTTGAGAATGATTTTGCTGCTAATTGAATTTTATCACCTTGTTCGAAACCACAATATCACCAATTAGATAGGTGTGATATACCAAACAATTAAAACTCAAGAAAAATAATCAGCTATTCAGATGTGGTCGCCATAATTGCTACGTTGGTTTTTAATTGCACAATGCATATATAAGTAATGCTTTCAAAACCTCTGCAGCTTTAAATGTTTAATTCCTACAATAAACAGTAGGTTGGTAATGAACGTTTCGCTCGCACTTTATCTCGCTACAATTTTGTTCCACTGTTAAAACAATCTACCCGATATGATATCTCGTGTAACAAGTCGCTCATGCTTAACTGGTTGCACTTGTTTTGATTTTTCGAGAGCATAAAACTAATTCTTGTGACCAGTATAGTGGTTTAGATAATACTGGAACGAACAGTCCATCGCCACCAAGAAGACCTCTGGCCAACGTATGTGAGCAGGCTCTCATGTTTAGGTTCGCCTTGTACCTCCTTTTTTATGCAAAGCCGCCTACTTTACCGTCGCAGCTGTTTAAGGATCATAAGTTATATTGAAACCCTGGCAGTGCCTCGCTCCATCCATCAGTCAGGCCGGGGCGTTGGCGATTTAAGACTGAGTACCAAGATACATAAATGCTTAGCTGGTATCTTGCAGTGTTCAGCGGCTGTCGGCTCTAAGTTAAGGGCTGGTCTATTTTAATAGGATTTAAATCTCTACGTTTACTTTGTGTTTCCCTGAGATATCGTTGTTTAGTATATACCACACAGGTGAATAGTACTTTTCACGCAGGCTGATTAGCAAGCCTCTTCACTCTTCTTCGATGAATAATTGCCAACTGTTTCCTTGATGCTTGTACTGACAGCAGCTATGACCATGAATCAAAGCAAGTAGATGAGCCAGGGAACAAAGCTTAAACTATAAAGTGATAATTTCATAAAGGCGAAATGGTGAAGTGCATGAGTTTAACTGAATATCAGACAGTTTATACATATAAATCATGACAATTGTTTATTTTAAAAAGGCCCATTTTTTCTTTTCATAGTTGCCATGGTAACTTAGTCGTTTCACTTGGCGTGTCTGAGAAAGACTAGATTATTGGTTTATGTCATTAATTTCTTTTTAAATCGATAGCAGAAAGCTAAGATTTGAGCTAGAAATTTTTGTTTTAGTAAAGCTACATTCAATTTTGACTTTCATGTATAATGAGCAAAGTAAATAAAAACGTGGATTAATGAATGAATTTAAAAGAGAAGTCGCCACAGATTAATAACAAATTTCAAATTTTAATTTAGAAAAGAGAGAAAAATGATGGTTGATTCCCGCCTCAGCGGTACCGACTTTTTTTACCGCTAATGAATAATACGATGTACGATCATTATAAGAAACCCCTAACAAGCATTTCATTCATTTTAAACTTCAACCAATCAAAAATTAAATCTTACACGCCAAGAGACACTCAGAACATTTCGCAATTTACACTGTCTTTCAAAAGTCACGGTATTTAAAGTGAACGATGTAACAAATTTTATATCTCGGTGTCATATGGTCACAAAGGCGCTTTCGCTTCCCCTAATGAAAACATCTTGAAGCTTTATCGCATACTCATGACAAAAGACGACAAAACACCCAAATTAAAGTCCAGGAGCAGGAGCGATCGCTTGCACGCAAGCGTAATTACATGAGACATTTGAATGACATTAAACACACATTACCTGTGTTTATAGATCTGTATATAGTTGTTTTTCTTCGAAGTTTGTCCGATTTCAAGCTCACAGCCAATGAACGTAAAGGATTATCTGATTAAGGCTGCGATGAACACTGAAGATCGATGAACTTTTCAAAGAAGAACTAAAACGGCTTTTCTTTAAATGCATATAAGGATCACTGCAACTTGGGTAAGTGCAGTCAGCGCGATTTGCAATTTTAATGTTTTTCCCCTCTGGACAATTAGCAAAAATGTGTTTGCGATTGTCATGTGTTTGGTAAAGCAAACGGAAGAGGGGCAGTAAAAAAGGTTGCTGGTAGCTCTTTATAATTACCTTAAGTATTAAACTAAATATATTTGCGTGAGATTTTCACGGTACTTATCGAAAAGATAAAAATGACCAGGATATATGACTTTCGTGCTTTTATAGTATGGTGACAGACATCCTCAATATAGAGTTATGCGTTAGCGAATCAGTACTAATCAATCTACTCCCTTTTGCTTTATCTCGTAATATGGTGCAAGAAAAATAAAGGAAACTAGACAGGTTGGAAGTTTGTATCCTAAAGTTTGCCTTCCTACCTCTCTATCGAAAACGAAAACTGGACAACGTATGAATGACAAAAGACTGCTAAGTGTGAAATAAAAGATAAAACGTCGGCCGGGCAAGACTTGCCGCCAAAAAAAAAACAATATCATCAAAAGATATGGATTTTTGCGCATTGTAAAGGAGGCGTTGTTCATAAATAATATTTCTTGAAACTTCACTTACACTGTTGAAAAAGCATTTTTCATGGCCAAATACTACGTTTTGACATAGTCCTAAGCCTAAACATACATGTTACATGTTTTTTTGGGGAAATCTCAGCTGAGTGTATGTGAAAGTGGCTTGGGTAAAAGACCCCACAATTTTTGCGTTATCATGTTTACAGAATGGCAAAAAAACTCTATGTTGGCGTATTAAGTGCTATATGTATCTCGCACCAATCAGATTACAGAATTGGAACATAGGTGCACCAATCGGAGTATTGTCCCTCAGGCCAATCATTTCACGGAATTAGAGTGACGCAAAATGTTGCTAAGGAAACAACTCAACATTGAAACACACCAAAAATGAAATTTAGAAATAATTGTAAGCTCATCTATCGAGTGAAATGGTTTACGTCCTTCGTAAGAACTTCGTCGCCATTATTTGTCGGGGTTAAGGAAATTTTTCTATCGTTCAGAAATTAAAACGCGTTTTGTGTACCGCCCCTTTTCTCACTACTTAACCTCCGTCAGCTAAAGGCCTAACACAGCATTGTAACTAGAGCGTTTATTTTGGAAGGGGTAGTTTGCCGATTCAAGTCATACCTATAACCTTATTTGATCGATAACCTGGTTTTTGCTTTTGATTGCTCTTTCAGTGAAGGTTGAAAAGATCGAGCTATATTTACTATCTGATTCGACACCCGTTTCCATGCATGCTTTTGGAAGTTCCCTATGAATCTTCATGTTATTTTTAAACGGCATTTCTCCGAAGAAATGTTATTTTCCGCTCAACAACTTACATTTCATGACATAATCAAGCCCCTCTAAAAAATTTCTCATGGAACAAAATGCTACTATTAGTCAATTTTCCACGCAGTGCTTACGTGCTTTGGCGTTTCTTATTAATCAAATTCTCTTTAAAATTCCTTGGACTTCACCCCATCACGTGTCAATTCCTCGTAAACAACCAAAGCTTCATTTCGTATTCCAAGCATTGCATTTGGGAGTAAAGTCCAGATAGGCACGCAACAGCCCAACAAGGAGCGATACTTTTATCTTCGTTCAATAAATTTCCAATTGTTCGACGAACGGAGAACGCAAAAAATCTTTGACTTGAGACTACTGGAGATAAAAGAGAGTTTCGGTTTTCTTTCCACAGCAAAATTATGGAGGAATATTTTTTGGCAGTTAGCAATAATTGAATAATTTTGATTTTGTGCGCGGTGAAGGAACGGTAGTAAGAATAGTCTTAGCTTGTGACCAGGCGCCTATTATTCGCGTGCTTTTCCGCCCGCGGGAAGATTTAAAACAATTCGGGGAGAGGTTTATCAGAGTCTGGCACTATTTGTCAGGGCGAGACCCTTTGTAAACCTCTCGCGGGCTCGCGTTACTGAAGGAGTTACACTTTCTTGCGAGCGAAAAAACACTCGTGACCAAAAGCTAATAACGAGGGCCTGTTCGCAAGCTTTCGCAATCTCCTTTACAGCCGTTTGTTTATTGGGGGGAGGAGGAAACGGTGGGTAGAGAACACTTTGGGTGACGAGACCTAACAAGTAACAGCTGCCAAGGAGACTATAGTAAGTGTGGCACCAATGCAGTTTAATTTTTGCTCACTTATTCAGAAACCAGAAACCGGTGACACTAGACAACAAAACGCCTATATCTGAGTTTATTTCAGATAAATTGGAAGGATTTCTTTTTTGCTCTCCACCGAACGATACTGTTTCTTCGGAATGTTTTAAAAAGTTCCATCTCAACCCACCCATCCCAAAATAATAATTCTTGGATGCGTAGCATGCTTATATTTAAGTCAGGTCATTTCAAAGGATGCACTTGATATCTGAATCGAGTCAAATTGTAGGATCCACTTCATGTCTGGATCGATGTGATTGAGTTGAAAACCAATTTAATTTCAGCTATGATTCGACAGGTTTTTGTCACTCTGTTTTGATCACATTTACATCCTTTTGTCCATATATTGAATTTGTTCCAGCCAACGTTTTTGACAAACACCTCATTAGGCTCATTTCAGGCTCCTGGAGTAATAAATTATTCTTCAGTGCTTTTGAAAATGAATTCATTTCTTAGCAGCTAACCTGAACACTGTCAGAAAGCCCAGTTTTGAGCCGCGGTTTCATCGGATCCCATTCCTTCGGAAAATCGCTACCTTAACTTCAAAACAAGGCGGGAGATGTTGCAGTTTCGGCAGTTTTTCTTCACGGCTAATATCTTTGTTTGTCTTTTAATAGTGTGTTATTATTCATTTCTTTCCTTCTTTTTTTTCCTCCGTGATGAAATCTCAGAACCAGCAGCATCTGCGAAGTCTGCTGATAATTGATGCTGATAATTGTACATTAATTTTACATATAATTTTATATATTTTCTAGGATGCTTATACGGTTTTTTTTGTTGATTTGACTGTTTTTTTTTTCGTTTTTAATCTTTCTGTCATCATTTTTCGTTTTAAAATTAATCACTACTCCGGTGAAGTCTACAGCCACAAAGCATTTGTAGCCAACCTCCTGTGAGATAGGAGTCTGTTGGCACATTTCCGTGAGCGGCGAGATCAAAGAGCGGATGAGAGTCGACAGTAAGCGACATTTTAATCTACTGAACCTGTATTATGCACGAGAGCTGGACGTCAAGCACTCCTGTTTCTTCTCATGTAAGTCATGTTAAAATTCAAAATTCAGTTATGATATTTTGAAAAAAAAATTAGGCAGCTTTATCTTGGCCCGCCAAAAGTGATGTTAGTTTCGGGAAATATACGCGGGCGAGATTTTCATTCGATTCACTAGGGTGACGTCGGCTCATAACTTGACTGAGAGAGGACTCACTCCTGCCTTAACGTTGTGACATATTATGTAGTCTATTAAGAAGCCATATAAAAACTTATCCTTGTCAAGGGAAATAGTATTGGGAAGCCGAGTATTGGCCAATGGAACACATCGATAAAAATTTGTTGGTAAAACTACCATCCATATATTTTAAACTGAATTCGCAGCCATTATCGAAGAATTTTGAAGATTTTAAAGTTTTAAATGAGATTTATTAAGTGGCGCCTTTTCTTTAAACGACATTTTAAGATCTTAAAACTCAGGAATTTTTAAAGAACCACCTCAAATCGCTTATTTATCTATATTCAGTTATTTAAATTTATGAATCAATTAATGCTTTGACTGCATGACACAAGATTGGGAGATACTGTCAGGAGATTTTAATTCACACAGCAAAGGCCGCGACTATCGCGAACTGAAATTTCATATTTTACAGTGAGAAAATCTAACAAGGTCGAGGTTGCTATGGTAGCACTGCAGCTTGCAAAACATTATGGATAACCTGAAGGTCTTTTCCTAATTTGAGACTTGTTCTCTGAACTCGCGGTTTCCTTTTGGTGGGGAATTTGTTTGGATCCGGAAAATAGGGGGGCATGTCGAAGCTTAGGGCACATTTTAAAGTTTGTAGCCTTCCTCTTCAAAACAATAGCGTACAATGGTCCTTATCAGCATGACACAGACAGTGAATTTTTTCAAAACTGATACTTTCAAGTTGAAGAGTACTGACCTACGATACTTTCTGAAGTTACGGCTCATTTGAACACCTCCGGTAAAATTTATGGTCTTATTTACTTTTAACGATTGTCGTAGCGAACTAGCAGTCTGTTGTCGAAAGTGGAAAAGAGGAATTGATATTTTTTTTACATAAAAGCGGAAAAACCAAAGAAATAGCAAACTTATAGTCTACAAAGAAAGCGCTTTAGTACAGTAACGATAAAAAAATTAAGGTTCCTAATTCACAGCGACATAAATTGTATTTATAAATCGAAAGAAAAACTTCCGAGCGCCCACAGTGCTGCAAAAAAATTATCGAAACTTTTGTAATTCAAATAAAGTTTGAACGCCTTGGGGGAATTGATTTCTTGCCTCATTTGTGGTATAGAAAAAGCAATATTCTTAGAATGATTTTAAAGTCGTCATAGGAAATTTGTCAGAAGGAAATTAAAAGGAAAACATATATTTTTCAATACTTTTGAGCCCACAACAAATTAAGGGGACTTCAAGCAGCCGGCAAAAACAGTGGATATTTCATTCTGGTTCACGTGCAGTCAGCTTCAATAGAAGCTAAAACATCGACACCAGTGCGGGTAAGAGATCGTTTTATGAGGCACGAAAAAAAAAGAAAAACTTCTTCCTTTTTCATTACGTAGTCATTTAAACGGGTTTATCTTTCTCCTAAATTGCATGTGCATTGACTTCAACTGCGCAAAGAGAAAGTCTTTCTTTCTTCCAAAGAGTTTATACAGCCTTAATGGACCGTATCACCGTATAACTCATTGAGTGCTTCTCAAACAATATTCTTTGTAGCTACAGGTCGATAAACTCAGTCTGGATTAAATTTTTGAAATGAAGGACTGATACGGGAGGGTAGTTCAATATTGGCTTGCCGTAATTTTGATTAGCTGACCTCTGGAGGCAATTATCGCAACTAATACAGCTCCTAATTTTCCCCAACTCGTTCGATTTGAAGCAGAAAGCTAAAAATTCTATAATTTACGCTGCTTGAAAATGAAGTTTTTTTAATTTTTAAGGAAAATTCTTGTGCTCTCTCGCCGGTCGCTTCTCTATTTCTTGCTGTCGCACCGTGATCCTGAGACCCAGCCACGTCAAAACAGCTGTCCGTGCGGATTGGGTTCCATCGATTGGAACTTCGATTTCAGTTTGGAAGTTTACCGTGTCGTTACGATGGCGTGTTATGTTTTTCTACGCAGTAACGGAGATTCTGTACTTCAACACAAAGCTCAAATTCATCAAATTTTGAATCAAGGAAATGATCCGCGAAGTATATGAAAATAATTGATCAAAAGCCACGCAAATCAGAGAGGGGGTCGAAAACTCAAAGATATAATTGAAATAATGCGACTTTGATGCGCGCCGAGCTGCGAGTGATTAGTCTTTCACCAGCAATTTCTAAGTGGTATTGTGTTTCTTCGGCTTAATGCATGGAGGTCAATAATTCCGTGATCTAGTATTTACCGCTGATGCCATCTGAGAAATTTGTAAGCAAGGAAAGACTGAAATAAGCCACATCCTGTACTGACTCATAACAAATCTAGCTCCCTAGATGGATGGCAAAGATAGTTGTTTACTGCAAAGGTACACATCTAATGTATTAAATGGGATAATGTCTTAATATCTTATGGAAAACGAAAATAAATTAAGATTTTCAAATAATAGATGAATTGCTAGAACTGGTTTAAAGTACGTGAACATATCAGAATGCTATATTGAATAGTCGCCGGCAAAAGAAGGAAAACTCATTGCCATTGGCTCAGTAAGAATCAGCACGAGAGTGAAACCATCTTTGATCTGAATGTTCTTTAAAGCTTTGAAGAGCTGTTTCCATTGTCCGTGTTTTTCTTAAAAATTAGGAAATGGCCCGCGTGAGATATTGAATAAAAGCTGTCCATCTATAATACATCGTTACAAAGGACCTGCAAGCTGCAAAACAAAAAAAAGTAGAATTGTTCGAAATGGCGACCCAAGAACGTTACATAATAACAGGAATTTCAGTGCAGTTCACAGTGTTACAAGAAAAAAAAGGAAATTCATATTTGCCCAGTTTTCCTTCGTGAATGAAGAGCTTATTTTTGTTTTTTTGTTTTTTTTTTCTGTCTTTTCCGGTAAGCTACATCATGCGCTATTTTGAATTTCTCAGTATATTTGATGTTCCGCCGAGGTTGGCCAGTTTCAGCTTTGAGGATCTGTTTTTATTTTCGATGTTTTCCTTAAAAATCTGACATGGCTCGAGGACCTATCACTCTTCTCATTTGCCAAAAAGTGACATCGAAACCACAAAATAAACAGAGGGAAGGGTAACCTAGGAAATTCTGCGAAATAACAGCATTAGAGCTAAGCCTAAATAATGTGCTCGATCGCTTCATTTTAAATCTTCACTTCCCACGTAAGCTAATTTGGGTTGAGCCAAAGGTTGGGCCTTTTCACACCCTTCTTCATCCCAATCAGAAGGCGGAAAACAAGATTAATAGCGAGGAAAAATATAATCCTAAATCTAGTATTATCTTTGTATAGGAATACTAAAGCAGGATGCGAAGTTAGAGATCGTTTTTCGTTGATTGTCTGTGGCCCAAATGTCAGATTTGGAACAAGGCGGAAAGCGTATTAATTGTGTAAGGAAAGATAATCTGTCAACTTACAATGAGATCATCCGCTATGAATAATTTGCAACAGGGGTACGTCTTGCTGCAAGACGCGGCGAATACCTTCAAGATCTCGGTGCCTCGAGTAGCAGGTTGAACTTTACGACAAGTCAAATTATTTAAAATTTCAATGAAGTCATTGGGGGGAGAGCTGCAAAAAACAGAGGGTAGAAAGATGGAAAAAAGTAACTTAAAATTAAGGAAAAAGACTACCTATGAATTAACTGTGAGGCAGCTCAAGATATTTTGATTTGAAACTGAAATGTTTACGTCTGTAAAGCCTGGTGCACTTCCAACCTCAATAATGTCAAAAAATGTTTTTGGAACATAGCGGGGCGTTCAAGTCTCGCTAATTTCGTATGCTGCTTTGTTTAGACCACTTTTTTTCAGCTGGATATTATTTATCCCAGTCTGACTCTGCTACAGATCTCTTGCTCTCTTAAGAAGTCTGGCCTAATGACAGCCTTGAAAATATGAATGCTTTTCTAGCTCTTAAAGGACAAGGCATTCTGAATTATAACATCGAAATGCGTGTATCAAAATAAGTTGTTATTTATGAGATGCAAATAAGTATTGGAGGCGATTTTCTGAAATCTGGCATCTGTTTGTGTTTCTTTGTTGTTTTTTTTTCTTTCATTTTCCCAAAGTCTGTACGATAATTAAAATTTCATCTCCAGTATTGTAAGACTTTGACACAACAGCGACATAGGGTGCACTTGCACCTCTTTCATTCGTGGCTCACACTTTATTATGAAACAAGTAACAGTAGGGATGACACTTGTCATGATATTTCCATTACCTAAAACAGGTCAATATTTCCACCCTTCTGAATATTCAATATTCGCAACAGTTTTTTTTATGCCAGCTGCAGGAAGCAAAGGGGAAGCTTTTTCTAACGCGTACCAAGGGGCAAGTTCTCCCAGGTATTTTTTCAGGGTATGCATTTAGATACATGCATACTTTGAAACTACGAAACTAATTTGGGCCAGTCACCACAACTTCTCTCGCAATTCCTGTTGTTTCAGACCGTATCCAGTAGAGATTTATTTTTCAACAGAATTTGCAAGTTATGACAGACTAAAAAACGACAAATCAAACGACCCTATAATTCACAAGTTCAGCTTACCATTATCTTCATTAGTCGATTGTCTTTTACCTCTATAAATAGTTTAAAGATTCTTTTATGATAGTCTGCAAAACAAGCCCCTGGGGATGAAAAGGCTAGTTTCCGCATCATTTCAACCTTTCAGTTTCAAAATCTCTCCTTGAGGTCAGACCTTCAAAAACAGATTATTTACCTACGGATATCAAGCTCAGCGGGACATCTAACAAGTCAGCCTATCTTTCGTGTTACAGATAAAATTAGTGACTGCACGAAGTCCATTAACCGAAGCAGCTAACGAGAAAATCCGTCCGTAGACTAACATTAGGTTTTGCGCTTTCGATAGGAGAAACGTGCATTGAAAGGTAAGTGAGCGTATCAACTCAAATTGTTTATGAAACATGTCTACATCTGTGCCGCTGTAGCGAAATTAGTAGAATGTTTTACTTCACGGAGTGTTAAAGTATCCAGTGTAATAAGGAAGAGTAATCTTTGGCATTTTGAAGAGCCTAAAAAGCATTTTTTACAGGCAGAGGCTTATTAGTTGCTATCCAGCCACGTCTTCTACTCAGTATTGAAAGAATTCTAAACCAACTCATGTATTTTATGAATAGTAACACAACGATTTCAAGGTGGAAATTTATCCCCAGCACTGACTCGCTAAACAAAAATAACAGGAATTTAAGGCCATCTTCTTTCGTAACTTGAATAAATTCTTGATAACTTGAATTCCTTCTTTATCTCAGTCTTACGCCTGATTAATAGCTTTGTTAAAGAGATAACATAATCACTTGTTCTGCAAACTGGCTCAGAAGTCTGTTCCGTGATCGCGTGCCGTTTTCTCAATGATGATGTTTCTATAGAAAACATATACTTTACAAGTATCAACAAAAGGCTAATAGCGTTAATGCTCGAGATTTTGAGGTAAACCAGGCATGGCTTGCAAATTAGTCAGGTTTTCCAGACTCTTTACGGCTTTAATGTTTGCTCTAATTGAAAGTAAATTACAGCCTTGAGGGCATGATCTTATTTACTTGAGCCGTAATTCTGGCTGTAATCTATACCAATGCTCTAAAAATTTTTTTCACCTACACTGTCACACTATTGTTTTGATGATCACGAAGCGAGTGTACTGAAACGACGCTGTCAGAAGAAAAGTAATTTCACAGAAAGCTGCTAATTGTAGACTGCTAGTATGATTTCAAGTGCTTAATTAATGTATGGAGACTAGTTCTGTGCACTTACTTCATTTAGATGTCTCAATTATTTTGAATTAAGCGATTTCTTATCATCAACTGATTACATATAAGTTGTTACAAACTGACTGTTTGTCTGTTTATCATTCGGTTTCGAACCCTATCCACATTTACGGTATCGAAAGCACATTTTTGATGCATTTTTCCATATCATCTATCCCGAAAACGTTGATGGAAAAGGAGTTTTTCGAAAGCGGTTCTACAAAGAACTCGGGCCGTTACTGGTGTAAACAAGCAGGACGGAGGCTTCTGCCAGATTCCATTAACGTTTTGGGTTGTTCTTGTATGGACAACAGACGAGAACGTATCAAAAGATAAGTGTTTTTAAATAATAGCACAGCGAGTATGGACAGTGAAGGCGAATATTTAAAAGGGATACGCGAGAGTGCGTTGGAATATTTTGGTTTGCTTTGTTCGAGACAAGAAAGACTCCTACAGGTAAAAAGCGCAGTAGTGCGGTAGGGGCCTCATAAGTGTGTATCACAGACAGCTGTCATTTCATGATTCAATGGCGAGAAATAATGCAGAGCCTTAGAGCGGAAACCGTTTCTACAACAATGATTTGCGTGTTTTCATTATAAGTTGATTTGATGCACGGGTTATCATGAAGTTGTATTTCTAATCTGGTTGCAATATGTAACCTAAACTAACCAATTGATTTTCCTCGTCTTGGCGCTTATCGTTTCATATTTATGGGAGAAAAGACCATTGAAAATAATCGGGTCTTTGAAGTAAAATAAACGACTTTGCTCGGTTTTATCAGTGCGGTTAATCTTATACAAAGTCGAGCTGCTCTCGGAGTTACGTAATGAGATGACTTCTTTTATCAGTTTTGTTTATCAAAGTTATTGGTCGAAAACAGGTTGACTTCTATAGCAACGAGACCAAGGTTTCAGGCATAAAAGTTTAATTTTCATCGACCTTAAATGCAATAGATTTAACCAGCCATGATTCAGTTTAGGAGGCTTATAAGGATATGACCTCTCTCCTAGAGTAAGATAGTGTAGTTACCTCCCGAAATTAAATTCGTCACAGTCGTTCACGAAACATCAGTTAAATTAAATACATATTAAATCCATTTACAAATTCTTAGATAAAGCCATGAGTTGTAATAGTTTTAACTAATGGAAATCTCATGTTGTGATTGGCCGACGTGATATGTTCGTCTATCAGCTCAAACATAGTTTAGTAGAAAAATTCAACTAAGGTTTCGTTTGATGAACCTGAAAACTTCTATGTAGGTGGTATCAAGGATCCCCTCGTCCGGTAGCGAATTTGCTACCGCTGGGTCGATGCTGGAAGAGTTTCCTCCCATTGAAAATATCGTTTTCCTGAAAATAATACCAAATTGGTATTTTTTCCCCGCAATTGTCTTATGAGCTTTTTCAAGGAGTAACTTTTGATCGGTCGCTGTCTAATCAAACAATTTACAATTCATTTTCATGCTTTCAGTATTTGCCGAGGAGCGAAATTACCGGATTGCCTCCCCAGTGAAGACAAACTGCACAAAGAAATCAAGAGAGTCTTTGACATGGAACGTTCTGTCTCTAACACTTCCAACGTCACCACCGACTTGGGAACCGAGCCTCTGGAGCCTGTTCTATTAAGGACTGTGGCATCTTTCGTGAGCGCCTCACTAATCTGCCTTCTGATTATAGGCGCCTTCATAGCAAATACTTTTGTCTGTTTAGCTGTTTATAAACAGCGCTCTGCTAGGCGGATAACGCGGTATTTCATTATTAATCTATGCCTGGCAGATATCTTCATTACAGTTATAAGTATGCCTATTTGGCTGATTTTTCTGCTGTACGGCAGCAAGTCAGCGATTCTTTATCTCGGCGAGACATTTGTCACAATTTGGAGACACGTGGACATCATGTGTGGAACAGCCTCCATTCTGAGTTTGACGTCAATCAGCGTGGACCGTTATATAGCAGTTTCCAGGCCCTACTCGTACGTAGAGACGATAACTACACGAAGGGCGATGCACATTATTGGAGGAATTTGGGTCTACTCCATGACTGTTGCCTTGTTGGTAAAACCACTCAGAGAATTTAAAGGTGGTAAGTGCAAGCGCTCTATTTGTTTTTTTCTTTCTCTTTTCGTCGTCATCTTCTTCTCCTTTAAAACCTGTAACTCTCCTTACTGTCAACCACACTGTGATTCTCACAATGTTAGTTCAGAGAATTTAGTATTGGATCAACTAATTATCCCCAAATTGATATTTGGTTGATATCTAGTTGATACTGTATTGATATTGTAAGGAGAAATTCTATCTTTGTCACTCAGGGGAGTTAAAAGGTCAAAGGCGCGAATGAACACAAATGCCGATTGAAAGAATAAGAGCCTTAAACTCTGTGCACGGGTTTACAAAGGTTAAAGGCTGTTTTTCGTATGTCGGGAAATTCCCACATGCATGGTCGATAGGGATTTCACTGCTCTCCAACCTCTCAGATTTTTCCAATAAATTAAAACTCCAAATTATAGACATCCCCGATTGTCTGGGATTGTCGGCGACAGATCGGGAAAGTCAGGAGCGTTTCCAATTTCCCAAAGCGTCCCAGATTTCTCGGATGATCTGCCATCAGATATATGAAAACACCTAATTTTCAGTACCTTCGGGGATGTCGGTGATAACTAACTCGCTATGCTCGCGAACTATCTCCTAATTGCTTGGCTCCAGTGTCGTCTGCAATTCAAGGAGAGAAACGTCTGACGATTTACCAAAACCTCGGCGAAATCTGAGACGATCGGTAAACGGTGAATAGCTGATCGTCTAAGATTCTCCCGATGTACGAAAACCAGCCTTTAGACGATTTAAATACTGGACGATTAGTTAGCAGATATGCTGGACTCCCATACGCCTGAGCGACTAAACTACCAGACGACTAAATGAATGGAGGACTAGACGATAGGATAATTGGTTAACGATGATGCGTATCTTTCCTATCCAGGTTACGCCATATTTGTCATGTTTGCAAGTTTCCTTCTTCCCTTACTAATAATCATTGCAGCTTATGGAAGTATGTTTCGCGTTGCTATGCGACACACACGTGGCCTGACCCGCAGAGAGGAAGAGGCAAATAATCATCACCACTGGCATAAAGAGATAAAGAGACACCTCAAAGCTGCTAAGACTGTTGCCTTTGTGATTGGAAGTTTTCTGTGCTGCTGGACGCCATTCATCATTGTGAGCGTTTGTTTTGCGTTTTATACGTTGAACCCTACCGGAGCGAGTGTCACAAAGTGGCTGGCGTATCTAAACGCTGTTTTAAATCCTGTGGTTTATACCTGCGTCGATAAACAGTTGAGGAGACTTGTGTTGAAGCGACTTTCTTTTTGTTTTCGTGGAAGGTTTTGGATGTTTTTCAAAGAAGATCGCTTTTCGCGCTGTGGGACAGAAAACTCTACGCATATGAGTTCTGTGTAAATAAAATTTTTACTAGTATCATAAAAAATAGAAGAGGAAGCGGAAAATGATGACGATGATGAAGAGTAACAACAACAACAACAACAAGAAAAACTAACAACAGTGGGATACTTGTCAACATCTTTAGCAAATAAAGAGCGACAATTATTGAGCAGCAGCAGAAAAAAAAGCCATCAACAACTAACTGTTATCCTGACAACATTTTAAACAGCAACAATACAGAGGCAAATTAGTGGAGTAACGCGTAAAGAACACCTTAATAATAGCAATAACCACAAGGAACTGTGCGGGATACATAAATGAAGCAGATATCAGATCGTGAATTAAATTAACATCAGAACAAACGGCAAGAGAAGCTAATCACCGCTAAAAATAAAAAGAACAACAACAACAACAACTAGAAAACACTAAAAGTAGAAACAGTGACAAAAAATAGCCTTTCCTTTAGAGAGTCTGTTTGGAGTGGTCTGTACGATTATCGACATTGATATTCGTCATTACAGAGGTCAAACTATTGTGAATTCACAAATTGGTCAGTCAGATTGCGATGTTACTTCCAACTGTGGTAAAATATTTAATTTTCTTAATATAAAGAGGAATAGCAGAAGAATTGTGAAAATTTGAGTGAAGCACTTCTTTTTAGTCTGTCTTCTCCTCGTTTCGTGAAGAACAGCGTTTGTCATATCGCAGTAGTCTTCATGAACAGGTGCGTTATACACCATTTACACTGCACCATATTGACTGTTGAGTTCTGTTGACTTGCGAGGAAAGGTTTCAAGAAAGAGCTCAGTTTTTAAGGGGATCAGCACTAGCTATTCCAGTAAAATACTTCAGGACTAAGGAGTGATTCTTCTCGTTTTAGCTTCAGCCGCCCTGTTTCGTGTTTCAGACAATACAGAGTTAAGCAAAGAAGTCAGTCACTCCTTTAATATGCTGAAATATGTCTTCAGAATGGCATCAAATTAATCCAAATTTTTGCATCTTGTTCACCTTTGTATTACTTGATTGGATACATCGTATATTTGCATGTCAGTTCTTTATTTATTGCTCGAGAATCCAGATTGGTATTGGTAGAAGTCCTTAGAAGGGTCTGCAGAAAGTGTTATTACTTTATTTATCTATAGGTATTTAGTAAATAACCCCTTCAGGCGCCTTGTATGTCGGTTAATAATGTTCGCGGCTGAGATATTATCCAAAAAAAGGAATATTTGGACGAGAAGCGAAGCTTCGAGGGCAAACGTGAAATTTTGAGGACAATCTCTCAACCAAGGACATTATCAGCTGACATACCAACAACCCAGAAGGGGTTTATTCATTTTATAATCCATCCACTCCCTATCACGTGTCGACCGCAAGTTTTGTTTAATTTATTATAGCGGAGCTCTAATCAGACCCGGAGTCGGACGACCCGGGTTCTGGTCCTGGCCGGGGCAAGGCGTTGTACCCTTGAGACGTGCGGGAAAAAAAAATGCGAGCTCCGCTTTTAGGCTTGGCTAAATCTATAAATTACTTTTCGAAGTAGCTTTGGAGATTACCTTTTTAATGTCACTGCCACTGGTTTTTAGAAACGAGTTTGTTTGTCTTCCATGTTAAGTAATAAAGAAAAAAAAGTGAAACTCTTGGGCCTGCCTTTTTCTCGATCGCGACTTTTTTCGTTTTCGACAGAATAATCCGAGGACAAATATTGACGCAAACGAAGGTTATTGCATGGCAATTGTCCTGTGATTCTCTACCACGTGATGTAAAGTAGCCAATAGAATCGCGCGAAAATTGATGGGTGGGTTATTTTGCCTTCATCTGTCATTGATCTGTTTTCTTTCTATTGTAAAATCAATAAAGGGGGCTTGTTAAAATTAAAGGGTATTTTCTCTGTGAAAATAAAATTTTTATCATTAAAAGAGAAGTCAAATGGAACTCCAAAGTACAGTTTCCTTGCGTAAGGGTGTCTTGCATTTCTCACGGTGTTACATTGAACCAATACTGACTAAAATGTTTAACTTCTACACCCTAACATCAGTGTGCATATTCTCCGTACCGTTCTTAATGCATTTCCTAAGGTGCTGACCAGGACAATGTGTTTCACGACAGAGCTTCCTCAGTTGGTAATTATTTCCTCTCTTCTTCGTGACCTCAATGTTCGATTCAAGGATTATATTGTAAGGTGAAGTGCAATGCTAGTCACCGTTAAAGGGTCAAAGGGTGAACAGATTGTTTCTACTCTTCCCACATGAGGAGCCACTCTCTAACCCGCTGAGCATAGGCCTCAACCTTACTCTTCCCCACGTATATCGAAAAACTTGGCAATTGGCGCGCATTTCTTGGTGCATTACCACATAGCCTCGACCGACATATTAGGGAGTTTAACAACCGACGACGGCGACGCCGTGGACAACTTCGGTTAAAAAATAAATTTCTTTTTCACCTACGAATTTTGCGTTACTCTAAAGTCATTTAGTTTGTTTTCTGCGATCAAAACTGCCTCGAAACTGAATGCGGAACACAGCAGTAAATCAAAAAAAAGAATGAAAAAAATTAGCCATCGCCGTTCGCGTTCTCCTGACAACGCAAAATTGGGTCATTTCACGTTGCTGTTTTGTAAAGGACGCAAAGAAATTTAAAAACATTTTAAACGCACTTAACTACGTATTTTCATGAGGTACATGAAGTGGAAACAAATAAAAATAGTTTCAGATGGCTGTAGAGATGAGCGTGCTTTCCACGAAACCTCCGCATTTTTAGAAAGGAGAGAAATAGGGACGAGGTCATGTCAAACGGTTCTTCGCCATGTCTTCGAAACTATTCGAAACATCCACGGAAGTCCTCGGATACGATCGATATGATCGGGGTTACACTGAATTTTGTAGAACAACGATGAGCAAAGGGCAAGAAAGTGATGAAGGCAAGCCAAATAAACAAATCACTAACTGGTATTCTGTATCGAAACCCTGTGTGGACTAGAAATATCCCAAAAGACATTACTGGCTTTTCTAATATATACAAATAACTCGGTGAATATCCCAATTACGATAAACTACTAACTTCCTGGTTTCTCTTTCCCGTTCAAAAATTGTAATGAAATCATGATTTCCCTCGACGTGCGGATGAAAATCAAGCAAAGAGATAATCCACGCAAGTTAAGGGGACAGCAATTTTAGCAATCGCTGAAAATAGGCTTGAAAATTTACCCTTCTGCAGGATTCAAATCCGTGCCTCCCAGTTGGACGCTATTAACAACTGAGCTACGAAGCCACATGTTCATTGTTGATCTTTCTTTGTCGCCACATGTTCAGTCCTTCCCTCCTCTATTCATCATTTTTCTCTTTATTCTGTCCCTCTTCAGTTCTCTTATCCTCCTGCTCTTCTCCTTTATAAACAGGCAACAAGGTTTTACAGCATAAATTAGGCATCTTTATTAATCCCTAGTTTGATGCTATTTTAGTAACTTGCGTCCTCACTGTGTTGATTACTATTCAATGTAGCTGAGTTAACTCTAATCCTCCTTACAGTGGACAAGGCTAGTAATCTGAATTTGGCCTAGATAAAGTGCACAATCGATCAAAAAATAAATAAATAAAGGAACAACGATTTTTCTCAACAACACAAGTAATTTTCTAGGAAAGAGTATTTCTCTGCATAATTAGCCTCGACACAAAGATTTCGAAACATCACACCAGGGAATTTTCCCGGAAGTCAACGTCTGTCACGCAGTCTTCTTAGTGATATGCAATTCTAATAGTATCATAGCGTCTCAACATTCGATAACTTTCGTTTCCAAAATGGCGGTGACTTAAATGTTTTGTGATCGGACCTCGTGGATGGGTTTCAGACCCTGAAATAAAGCAAGCAATGGAGGTTGGTTTACGCGTTGTTCGTGGCCCCGATTGGATGTGGGGTGATCAAGACGGAGGCGAGGGAAATGTTGGCACAGTCGTCCATCTTGGCGGCGACGGAAACTTCCCTGAAGACACTGTTTTGGTGTATTGGGATACTGGAAGGCAGGCGAACTATCGGGCAGGATATTCTGGAAAGTTTGATCTACGAATCTTCGACAGCGCTCAAACTGGCAAGTGAATTATTAATTGATGTAAGAATTCAGAAATACATGCGAAAGTTAAAGAGAAAGACGTGGACTAACAACTTGCCATGCTATGCTAGAGCGAGTTGAACGATGTTGTTTATATTTTTGAAAGTGTTGCAACGCCAATCAGACCCGGAATTCTATCTGATATTCGTCGATCCCCTTTGTAAAAGCGGATTCGAAGGCCAATATTCGATCGAATTTAAGGGCTACGTGAGATAAACGTTCTCCACTTCATGACTACTACGACTTGAAGGCGGAATCGAGATCACAAGTAACCATCGACCATATTTTTGTCCAAACAAATGACTGAAGAAGTTGTTGATCTTAATATCCTCAGTCCTAGATACTTGAATTTGTATATTCCACATACTAAAGTTTATTACGAACGTTTTTTTGTGTAATAAATGTGAGTTTTCTTGTGGTGATGGCAAATTTAAGCATCTTGCATACCACAGGAAAACAATTGTAAAGGGATGTAATGAAAATAACTCAAGTGAGTGATATTTGACTCACATTTGTTCAGTAACTTTCCTTGTAAGTTAAATTAATTATGAAGGCCGCATATTGCTGAATATTAGGTTTCATAGCGAGGTCTTTCGAATGCATCACTAACAAGTAGAGGATAGAAATTGAGACACAACGATTTGAATTATTATACTTGTACTGCCGTTTAACAGGTTTAAAGCACCCTCATGTTACATGTGATGGTTGTAAGCAAGCCCCCCTAGCTGGAATACGATACAAGTGTGCTAACTGTCCAAACTATGATTTGTGTTCGACTTGTTTTGGAAATGATGTTCATGATATGCAGCATGAATTTTTGCGATTTGATCAAGTTCCTCAACAAAATGGGTGAGTCTCCCCTGCATCACTCTTTCTCCTCAGCTCTCTAGTTGCCTCTTGTTCCCTCATCTATTTTTAAGTTTTAATCATACTTTATCTTTTTCCTTTCCTCCATTTTTCCCTTTTCCCTCCCTTCCCTGAGAGCCCCTACTTGAAGTATACTTAACCCTTTCACTCCCAAGATCTCATTAGTAATTCTCCTTACTAACTGTTGTACAATTCTTATGATTTTAGTTCTGAGAATTTGTTACTGAGTCAACTGATAATCCCCTAATTGATACTTCTCCTTATTCTTATCATTTGTCGGCTTGAAATCCTACGGGTATCGTAAAGAGAAACTCTGTCTTGGTCACTAATGGGAGTTTTAATGACTGATGTTGTAAGTTCTGAATTCAGAATAAGAACTGTTTTGTCGACTAGGATAATAAGACTGATGATGATACTGATGATAACATGTTGGGACATTTGTTATCTTAGTAATTCTTATTTCTAAAAGTAATTTGATGGATTGTTTATGAAAAAAATCCTTGTTAGAGCTCAGGAATGGTCATAGTGGTACAGATATAAATGTATTTTCAGGCAAGACTGTTTGCCATGATTGTATCACTCACCCAGAAGTTGTGTAAATGACACCCATGGCCAGTTAACCTTCAGGGAAGCTTGAAATTTGAGCAAGGTTTTACATGATGGACTAGCATCCAATGGTGAAGGGATAGTGCTCATTACAAGAATGTCCTAATTCCCTTCTGCTATGAAAACTGGGATAGACTCTGACTTGGAGTCTACCAGTAATATTCTTGTAAGTCTTAACCTAAAGTTCACCATCCCTCTTATCTTGTTCACTTTTATTTTTTCAAGAATACCTGCTGGTAAGCGCGCTGGTGCTGTTAAGGTACAATCCAAGGGATTTTTTTCTGGAGCTAAGGTTACTCGAGGAAGAGACTGGAAATGGGATGACCAAGATGGGGGCGGTGGTAGGATTGGTACATTGACTGAGATCACTGCTTGGAGTAATGTGGAGAGGGCAGGAGCTAAAGTCATCTGGAATATACTTAGGAATAACACATACCGAGCAGGATACCAAGGATCAGTAAGGATTATTCAGCCTTTTAGTCTTTGATAGGCTTTCGGTCTGGGGAAAACTATTGTTTGACTTGTAGTAATAGCCCCAAGAAGAACCAGTGATTGCACGAGGGCCAGAAAAGAGTGGGTTCACTTTGCCCTTACCTGATCACCCTGACTAAAAGTCTGGCAAAGTATAATGTTTTAAAAAAAACATGTTACCTAAGTTAATGTATTAAGGTAATCAAAATGTCTTTAACCCTTTAACTCCCAACACCCAACATCTGATTGTTAATTCTCTTCTCTAGCTGTTATACATTTCCTTTTGAATTAGTTAGGAGAATTTGGCATCAGATCAAGACAACAACTTCCATATTATAAGTTTCAGTATTCACATTACTTGTTTTCAAGATGATGCATGAATATTATAGGAAGAAGTTACATTTTAATCACTTCTGGTGGTTAAAGGGTTGAGTTACTATAAATTTCTTTCCATTCCTTCCCATCTGCACTAGGACTTACAGTTGACTTGCTGGTGGTGTGCTTTTCCTGTGGTGCTTTAAAACTTAATTGGACATTACACTGATTTAATGATGTACAGCTGGGGAGGAGGAGGGTACATTTTTATGCCAAAATGAATTTAAGAATCAATGCTACCCTTCTTTAATGCATTTTTGCAATAGGTTATTAATATTATCATGGTAGGTAGGTTCTATACTTTTAGATTCAAAGCCAGACTGCATGGAGTTGTGATCTACCATTTGAAATGTTTAAATATGAGGAATTTCTCATTTCTTTGGAGCTGTATCCTAATAATTGCTGGATATGTTATGTTTAAGGTTGACCTCAAATGTACAACTCCAGGAAATGGCCCACACTACTATCGTGATTGTCTAGGGAGAGTTGGTGATAAACGGCTTCAGAGAAACCGATTGAGGGTTGGAGACAGAGTCATTGTGAACCTTGATGTGGAGGTGCTTAAAGCAATGTCCCAAGGGCATGGCGGCTGGGTTGATGGTATGGGACAGGTAAGATTGTAATATTTCCTTTAATATGATTATGGTCTTGCTGTAAATACTCTATGCAATTTCATTTGTTTTTAATTAATTTAGTTTTAGTTATATATACTTTTTTTTATTATTGTATTGTCCCTGTAAAGCCCTCATGGAGAGAGGTCAATAAAATAATGTATTGCAGTGTTGATATGATTTTTCTGAGTGGTTTGTTTATCTATTTACTCAGTGCATAGGAAAGGTGGGTAAAATACATAAAATAGACGATGATGGTGATGTCCACATCAGGTATGGGCTCCAGTCATGGGTATTCCATCCAGATGCAGTCACCAAGGTAACTACATGATAAATGCCCCATTCACACAAGCAAGACATGTTCCATTAAACCAATTTTACTAAATAAAAATCAGTTATACAAAACTGACTGACTAAATTTTACAAAGTATTCACGAAATCACTAACTTTCTATTTTCATTGTGCTAACTTTTAAGTCCACAAACATCAGTTTAAGCAGCCTTGATATTTACAAAATTTTCAAACAGTGTTTGGCAAAAGGCTTTTTAAAATACGTTTTAGCTTTGGTGTGATTAGAGAATAAGTTTAAGTCGATGGAATCTAGAACTATCTCATATGGTAAAAGATCAGCTAGCTGCTCTTCGGAAAATCATGTTTTTGCCCAAACGGCCGAGAACGCGGGTGAATCTGGAGATAGTGGGGAGTTAAGGGTTAAACTCTGTCTGGTTCAAATTTCAGTGATAAACTAATGCAAGCAAAAGCTGGCGGAACAAGCCTGGGCTAAGTTCGCGATATTTGGGATTGATGACGTGCGAACAAATATAGGGTACACGTTTGACAATTTTGTGGCTCACATGGACGTCTGAAGATCCGTAATCTCATTTTTTTTGTAATGAAATTCCGAAACGATGAAAACATGTGTCCAGAAAAAGAAAGTCATATAAAGGTCCTCTGTTATTTTCTTTCAGTTTTGTATTGGTGATACCTTTAAGCGTCATAGCATGTTGTCTCAGGTGCTGAGTACCAGTAGTATTAACAAATTAGTCTCAAAATAATTATATATTTTTTTTATTGTAATTGTCAACCATCCAGGCTGGAAGCGTAATAGCAAAATAGTCTCAAAATAATTATATTTTTTTTTGTTGTAGTTGCCGACTTTCCAGGCTGGAGATAAAGTAAGAGTGTTGAAAAATAAGCAAGAAGTTCAGAAGTTACAACAGGGGCACGGTGGCTGGAATGAGTCTATGACGGCGGTGGGTATTTTTTACAAGACTTTAAATGTAATAATTGGAACGTAGGAATAACAATACACCACTTAACTGATACTAACGTACAAATTAAAACCGGGATCGGCCAAACTAGTCTCAGGTCCCTTCCATCGATTGTTCTAAATAAATCGTCCTTGTCAGCTTTTCGATCCGCTTGAATGTTTGCTGTGGTTAACTATTGTTTTGAGGACTCGAGACTTACAGTTGTTTATTTAATATTGTAGGCTTTGGGTAAAGAGGGAAAGATCTTAGAGGTGGACAGCGATGGTGATGTTGTAGTTGTGGTAGGAACGGATCTCTGGCTGTTCAACCCAGCAGCTCTGGAGGATCTGACGGGAGGGGAGGCTACGGCGCGACGGGGCGAAGTTGCAACGGGATCTCCAGGTTAGAAAAATGCACACCCAAATATGAATTTCAAAAATTAAAAGTGAGTTTGGTTTCTGTAAATGTCCTACTGAACAAAGGGAAATGAAAACTCTTGTCTGCAAAGCTTTTACTTACGGTCAAAGAGCTCACTTTTCCTTAAAACTTGTTGGCCATTATTATTACTAGGCTTTGGGTTTTACGACTTTATAACTAGTTTCTGAACTACTTTTTCTTTCCGATTTATTTTCTGAAGCAGACAAACTAACGGAGCTACAGGACCTTCTTAAGATGATGTTAGTAGAGGCGACTATGAAAAGTGGAAGTGATCCTGGAGACAGATTAGTGAACGCTTCATCAAATGGAAACCTACAGGAAGTCCGGGAAATCCTGGAAGCAAATCCCGATAAGGTGACGTAATCAGCGTATTGGTTTAATCACGTGACAAACGGACTGTAAATTCGCAAGCCGCTATGATAAACAATTACGAGCGCAAGTTTGATATTCTTTTCTCCATTCGTAGATCAATCATAAAAGAGCAGGCAAAACCTCTCTGCATGTAGCTTGTCATCAAGGTCGAACTGAAATTGTTAAATACCTTGTAGGCAAAGGCGCTGACAAAGATGTCAAGGTTAGCATTTTATGATACATACATATTGCCTTGACCCTTTACCTCCCAGGATCTGATTATTTAATTCTCCCCTCTAGCTGCTAGGAGTTAGATCAGGACCACCAACCTCAACCTGATAAGTTTGACAATTCTCATTGCATGTTTGCTGGATAATGTACGGATATCATAAGGAGAAATTACATGTTAATCACTTCTGGGAGATTAAGGGTTAAAAAAAAACTGTTAAAGTTAAAGAAACTGTGATGCCGCATCGGTGGGAGAGTATAACGGGGCAATTTAGTGTTAACAACGAGTTGATAACGAAAATTGGCCACAGTTAGGAGGGTCAAATTTGACGTTTTGAGCGTTAGCCCTCAAGACAAGCTCAGGTTCGACATCTTTTGATATCTTTGCATTTTAAGGTATTTGTGGCCTCGATAATTGAGCGCCCAAGTACGAAATTAGCTTAAGCTCGGCTATTCTCTTTACTCATGAGGCTTTTGACATCGTTGATCGTAGCAAGTGCAAGATAAGTGTCGTGTATGACCACGGTTATGGCTTAGCTTAGCCTGGAGATCTCTGTAGGTCAGTGGTAGAGCATCGGAGCGGAGAATCCGAATGGTTGGGTTTCATGACGACTCCTGAAGATGTTGATTTTGTTGCACGCTTTTGACGGGTTAATACACTTTTAATATCTCTCTTCCCTTTTGTGGTGTTAGGACGAACAGGATTACTCAGCGTTGCATCATGCGGCTTATGGGTAAGTTTGTTGCTTTCTCAATAGTTCACGATTCATTCTTCGTTAAAAAAAATCAAACCATCTGCATCACATTCGCCGATATTCTTACGTTTATATTCTGTAGTTTCAATTGAATGCCGAAAGAAATCAGGATTGCTTTAGTTTTGCTTTTCTTTGTTTAGGTTTTACTTAACTTCACTGTGTCTTTGCTACGTAAAATCGCGCCATCCTATCAACCAATCAGAGGGCAAACCATTTGTTCTTAGCCATTCTCCTTTTTCCGCACTTCAGCCAATTTGCTTGTTTTTTTTCTTCGAGTTCCCCTTGGCTTCCTGTCATATTTATCTTGTTTTGATTGGTCATTGAATTTAAATACAGAGATAAGAGTGGCCAGGCTGTGACAGCCATGTTAGCCACAGGAACAAACGTCAATGTTTGTGATAACAAAAACAAAAGCACGCCGCTACACTTAGCTGTCAATCAAGGAAACGAAGCTGGTGTTAGGGCTCTGCTGTTGTCAAGACACTGCGACGTCAACTGTCAGGTAAGTCGTTTGCATTATGCTGGCTTTCATTTGAAATGCATTTACATTGATAAAACATCTTATTAGCGAGTAGTTTACAAACAAGTCGGTCCTAAACCACTTGGGGCCGAATTGCCATGGCTTAATTAACTCGGACAGTTAAAACTCAGTATCAAGCGTACACGGATAGTTGTTAACTTCTCCTTTTGATCTACAGGATTTGGCCGGTGATACAGCTCTACACGACGCTATCTCCAAAGAAAAGAATGGAATTATAGATCTCATTCTCAATAACCAAAGGCTGGATATCACTGTTTCTAATGGCAGAGGGTTCAACCCCCTTCATCAAGCTTGCATGAAAGGAAATAAAAAGTAAGTTATTGTAATTGATAGTTAATTAGCCTTATTTACGATTCCCGCCAATTTTTGCACTCACTTTGGGGTTCGAGGCTCACAACAGACTGATAACCGAGCTCTTAAAGTAATATATGCTGGCTTTACGCTGATTTTAAATGGTTAGACTTTCAATTATGAAGCGGAGTTTAAACCGTTGGCTTTGCTTTTTAAGAGACGTAAGAGAATCTTAAGGCTAATCGCAAACTGTAGGGATCGGAGTCCTCAGTGCTGTGTCGTGGTCTTTGCCATACCAGCAAATCGGAGCCATACCAGCATATTACTATTATTTTATTTCATTTCATTTACCAGTGCTGTTGAAAAAATCGCAAGGAAATTCCCTGGCCTCATTGAGATTCCAAAAGAAGACGGATTTAGTGCCCTTCATCTAGCTGCCTTCAATAACCACTTAGAAATCGCAAAGGTTCTGCTGTTGTCGGTATGTACTTGTTCATCGTGATAAGAGGATAAAGTATAAAGCTGAAAATCTTTGTTCACTATGTAGATGCTTATTGTGTCTTCTGGGTGGTGTTGTGGAATGGTGCAAGAGTGTGTTTGGTGTCTTTACTGTAGTTTTGGACTTGCTGCGAAGATTGCTATTTGTGGTCGCGTCACAAATACTTTGTCTTGCTTGTTCAATAATAGGGCCACTGTGACATCAATCTACGCAATAGAAAGAGACAGACGGCCCTGGCTCTTGCTGTCTCTGAAGCTTACACCAGCATGATAGAACTATTGATTGAACATGGCGCCGATATAAATGCTGCAGACGAAGATGGAGACACCCCTTTGCACTTGGCTGTCATACATCAAGCTGTTGGGAGTAGTGGCTTAAGAGGGGTACGTTTATTCAATCAAAAGACGCCGAGATGAGATAGTTTCAGTTGATAACAAACTCAGAGTTATCCGCAAAAGCAATCAAACCTTTGAACGTCATGTTTCGCGATACACTACCACTTTACCACGGAGAATTTCATTCTAGGCCACTTCTACGTTAATATCTGACAAGTGGCAAGGAACGTAGAAAATAATTTTATCGTAAAATAGTTAAATGAAGAAAGAATAAACCAAAAAATTTTTTTTTTATTTGCGACACCGATATGATAATTTACTTTTTGTTTCGGTCAACTTTTTTTCGGTCTTTTTGTTTTACGTAGAAGTTCCTATAACACAAGCGACTAATAGTTGTGTCAAATCATTGTTTTCATTTTAGCTCTTGCAAGGACTAGGGGTCGACGTCCCAGCCAGCGGCACAGACCAGCACACTGGCTCTGCCATCGCTGTATACTTAGCTCTTCATGGGGCAGATATTAACTTTTACAACAACGAAGGTAAAACCCCACTGGATATGTGCCAAGACCCACAAACTGCCAACCTGATTAAACAATTTGCGAGGAATACTCCAAGGTAACCCAGCATTTTCTATGAGTTCATTATATTCTTTTGCGCATCATAAGTCTGTTTATCAGTTTTTTTTTCAATATAATTTCCATTGCTTTCCTGCTTTCCTCTCTCTACTTACTTCCCCATCAACATTCCTTCTTTCTTCGTCTCCTTTCTCTCTTCTCCTTTCTTTCCCTCTCTTTTCCTCTTCCTTTTTACAATCCTACCTTCTTCCTCCCTTTAGGCGCTCCCCCCCCCCCTCGACCCCATCTCACCACCCTCTTCTTCCCCTCCCTCCTTTCTACCTAACCTCCTTCTCCAATCCCTTCCCCTCCGGCTACCCGCTTACCCATCCGCCTTTATCCTTCCCTGGACCCTACATTTCTTTTGCTTCTCTCCTTCCCATCATCCCTTACTCTCTTTCCAAACTACTTCCACGAGGCTTTAATTGTAGAAACAACCTTTTAAGATACTCTTTTATTTTTCTGTCAGGCGAACAACTATGTCGCGTCCGGCCACATTCACTCAACCTCGACCACAGCCTGTGCGTTCAAAATCGGGGCCTGCGCCTGCACCTACTGGTACACCTAAACGTACCCCAGTACCTCTCCCAAGGTCAACTTCAGGGCCATCAGCGGTAAATTATTGGTCGTTTATAATTATCTTTTTCAGTCATTTATTTCGTAACTATAGTGGGAAGCGAGAGGAGCGAGATACGGCTGTACGTTTTTCGCGCGTGTCCTACTACACGCGAGCTTTTCTTCCTCTCTCGCTCGCCTCGCAAAGGGTGGGACAAGTGTCTCTTTTACAGGATACACTTTAGAGAACTCCTGTATTCCTAGTTCTTCATTCTAAACTTGTAAAATCCACTTTTTGCTATATTATATTTCTTTTACTAACCAGACTGCAACAAGATCTACAGCACCAAGCCAGAAGAAGATACAAGATAGTGCAAAAGGAGCCGATGTGAACCGAGCCAGTGTCACCGGAACAGACTGTATCATCTGTACTGAAAACACTGCTACTGTCACCTTCAAGCCGTGCGGTCACAAGATAACTTGCTCAGGTAATATTTATGTCCCGTAGATTGTTTTCAGCTCGCGGGGGACTCAGAGATCACTTTGTTCCTCACTCGTGACAAATGAGATAATATTTCTCTATTTAACGCCCGAGCTAAAACTTTTCCTCCGTCATAATCTAATTGCACACACACAACACTTCCGACATTCCAGGTTCCTGATCACATTTTTACTTCGTTCCTCATTCGTGACAAATCAGAAAATTTTTTCTCTGTTTGACGCCCGAGCTCAAAATTTTCCTCCGTTATAATCTAATTACATACACGCGACACTTCCGACATTCCTGATCCTGACAGTATGTTGGGTGAGTGTCAGAAATAAACCTATCACTTGGCGCAGGTCACTAACGAGGTCTCTGGGCTCGGTGGTGGAGCATCGGACCTCAAATCTCGAAGGATCTAGGTTCGAATCCTTAGCTTGTAGAGGACTCAGATTTGTTTCTTTTTTTTACCACACACACTGATGATTAACATCTTCCTCTTAAGCCCTGGATTTCTATGTTTATCTTTCGATCGATTTTGTGCAATTGCTACCTGACTTCCTCTACACCCCGACATAAACATCATCAGTCAGTCACCCCGTAACTCGTACGAATGACTTATACAGAATTTCTCCTCACAATGTCGTTACAATATCAAGGAGAGAAGAGACGAAAATAAAAGAAATATCAGTTAGCGAGATTATCAGTTGATCCAACACCAAATTCTTCGAACTAACATAAGAAATGTTTAGCGGACGGTAAGGAGAATTACCAATGAGATCTTGGAATTAAAAGGGTTAATGGTTAGTACCATTCATTCGTTCGTCCGTCCGTACTTACGTGCGTACGTACGTCCGTCAGTGTGTCAGTCGCCCGTCGGGAAGTCGGTCGGTCCGTCGGTCGGGTGGTCGATTGGTTGTGAGATTGTTCCTCTTCAACTCGAACAAGATACATTGATCAATGTTTTAATTACATCGAACACTTAATTGTTCAAGCAATGTGTTTTTTCTTGATGGGGAGTAACACTCCCTGATTAATATTTTCTGTTTACTTGCCCGGCAGGTTGTTCTCTCAAAGCAAAGCGTTGCCTTTCGTGCAATCAGGAGATTCAGCAAAAAATTGCAGCAGGTATTTTGTTTCGTTCTTTAATTTTCCTTTAATTGTTTGCTTTTGTTGTCGTCTCCTTCCAACTTCTCATGTTAAACAAAACTTTGATGTTAGATAGGTTCGTGTTTTCCTTTCCCCTTTTCATTAATAACTGTTTTACTGAGGACTTTCCAGTTGCACACTATGCACAACCGGGTTGGGGGGGGGGGGTTTAACAATTTGAGGGGGGGCTGCGGAAGTTTCGTTCTGGAGTCACGAGTTGTTGTGAGTCGGTGGTAGAATTAGCAAAAGGCTTAATGTAAAAAGCTTGCAAGCTCCCTGTGATAAGCTTGCATTCCATGCAGTAGATATGCAATAATCATAGTCGCTTTGTGGTGACAGACGGTCTGGGGATGAGCAGGCTGAACTGCGGATCTAGAGTTCTGAGCTCGAGCCCAGCCTGTTTCGTTCTATTCGCTCTTTGGCAAGACTCTATGTATTCCCAGTGCCCCTCTTTACTCTGGAGATTAATTGGCAGCCTGGAAGCTACAAAGAAACCTGGAGATAATTTGCTGTGGACCAGCACGCCAACTTGTAACAGTATCAATACTCTCAGTCGCTTCATGCTACAGATAGCGAGATATGCTCCGACAGGAATTCGCTTTTACGCTCTTCACCCGTGTCTGAACCGATTTTCTGAAGTGATCTTTTAATTGTGTTGCAGAAGGCGCGCCAATCAATGCACCAACCTTGATGGACTCAACAGACGACCAAGATCGGGTGCGTTTTCTTGAAAATCAATTGCGCGCCATGCAAGACGACAGACAATGCCATATATGCTTTGAGAACGATAAAAATGTGGTGTTTTTATGTGGACACGGAGCGTGCAAGGAGTGCTCTGAGAGACTGACGGTTTGTCATATCTGCAGGTTATCTATTCAGAATAGAATACAAACTTACTGAGTTTACATGTTCGAAATTATTAGGCAATTCTTGTAACTTGCCTTTTATGCCAGTAGTTAGGATAATGTAGAGCTTTGAGCATTAGTTGCGTTAACGGGAAGCAAGTTGAAGTTCAAAATGCGTAAAGGCAACGGCATGGTCGGTAGAGGGTCTCAATAGGGTGATGGCTTTTACGGCTGACGGTTAAGACCGGCCATTTTTCGTCTAAAAGTTAACTTCTTTTCGTTGCTGTTAACTTTTTCTTTAACTGACGATTAAAAAAATTGGCCATTGTACGTGTAACGCTTAATTTCTTTCCGCTGCGGTTAAGAAAAACATTTTATTTTTAATTTTTCAGTTTTTACGTCTAACATCTTTTTTTTTTTTTGTTATCCCATTGAGACCCCTTTCATATAAAAGTACTTCAACAACAATGACATTTGTAAAGTGAGCTTTTTCGTTTCATTATCCTCTCGAAACTACAGCTCCTGTTACGCATGCGCTGAAAACATCGCTTAGTTAATTGCATAGGCTATTATTATTTGAGAGAAACGTTTGCCTCCCTTACCACGTACCCAGGGCTACTGCAGCTGTTCATGGTGCGCTTTGACTTGTGGGATTCATTTTAACGTCCTTGCTATTAATCAGTCGAATACTTATGTATTTTCCCGTGGTGTGGGAACAATGGAGACACAGACCGCAACCTACTGTTAATTATAATGGGGGAACTAATGAGATTTCAAAGTAAAAACAAGTAAGGCGCGGGCGACCAAGTCGTGATTGGCCATAGTTTTGAATTGGATTGGCGAATAAAAGAGCCTAGTAAAGCAAAGCCAATGCAATCCAGTATTGGAGCAGTTTTCAGTTGAGTTTCGAAAGCCAAAACGTAAGTAATCACCGTTGCCAATCGCAACGAAAGTCGACATCATCATTAGCCAATTTACACTCAGAGTAAAAACAGGCAAACTGCACGAAACGCGGAAAAACGCGGGCGGCCAAATCATGATTGGTTTTAATTTGAAATCCGATTGGTCGGTAAGGTGGAGAAAGTAATTCTGGTCCAATTACAGAGCGAACTGAGTTAGGCAAAATCAAAGCAATCGTGGTAAACTTTCGTACGGCGATTGAAAACTGCTCTACTTTTGGCACTTAATATAACATTAATCTAATTACGTTGACTAGTGTTGAGACATTTATCTTTTCCTGGAAGTTATGTAATATTAATACTCAAAATTGTAGGTGCACTAAGGAAGATCTCGATGCGTTTCACATGGAGAATTTGATAACTTAAGTTTACAAAATTTAAGGGTAAGAAGAGTAGCTTAATAAACAATTGCTGAAGCGCCATCCAGGCCTCAAGTCCAAAACTTTTCCGTGTGTATCTGTTCTCTTCTCCATTTAAAAAATTTCACAACTACGTGCGCCTAGCGACGCTTATATCATGGTCAAATCGCTTTTACTGAAGCAAGCAAATGGGATGTACGTTCAACACAACTCAATAACAGATCAACCTTCTCGTTTTTACCAGGCTGCAACATTCCCCGTGGCTCGAGTGTGAATAAGTAAACAAGAAGAAATTCTACGAGATCAAAGTTGCGATGCATTTTGGTAACTTTTCTGTTTGACAACTCAGTGAGTGATTTCTGATCGACAACCGTTGAGCTTAATACCAGTCGCGAGAGGAGATAACGCCATAGTTAACGAAGGAATGACCTCATCCATCTGGAAAAAGAGCTTCTTCCCAGTCGTCTGTGGAAAATGTTTCAGAATTTTTTAAAAAGAAATCTGAGGTGGCGCCTTACTGTTCCTACGGTTCCTACCTTATCTTGTTTTGCTAACAGGGGATCACTTATTATTTATTTCAGTTAATAAAATGTCTGCACCACCTCGTGATATTGATAACCCTCCTTCCTAACAACACTTTGCGGATGACCCTCGGCCGTGACATTATGAAGTTCACACAACCTAGATCCACGAATGTCCGAACTCTGTATCGTGAAAGATACGCATGCGCTGTTTTGACCACATTTGAGCCCGCACTCAATCACACCGGCCACTCTTACTTTAAGAAGAAGGAAGCCTTGAATAGCAATGTCTCGGGTAGACTTTGGTGTCTGGAAGTAACTCTGTTTTTCTGTGGAAAAAAAGGAAGTAATTTTAAAGCCTTATTTTAATTATTCTTTTAACGATTGAAGTTATTAGAATTATTATCGTTATTATTATTATCCCTATTATTATTATTATTATTATTATCATCATTATTATTATTTTCTTGGCAGCTGGACCTATTCACTCCACACCATGTGGTAGGGGGAAGGGGGGGTGAGGTAGCAGGGGGTCTTTTTTGTCATGACCTAAAGTTGTGCAGGTTATTTAACCATGACAGCTAATATCTACCCATTTCCTAAAAATGTAAAAATCCGAGATCTTCATGGCCTTAGTTCCACTTTTACTTTTCTCTTGGATTGATTAAGAAATTTTCTCTAGCCTCCTAATCATTCAAATGCAAAACTCATAGCAATGGCGACCTAGTTCCTCTCGATTCCCCACCATCGTTTTCTTGTTTTTTGCTTCAAGTTTTCATTTTGTTTGCAGTCAGTGTTAGTTTATGACTGTTAATGAAAATGGTCTGGTCGATGCGAATTTCTAGAATAATAACAAACCTTCTGTGCATTCTTTAACAAGCTTATGCCGACAAAAAACTTCAGAATCATTTTTGTTGTCGCTTGACCAGATCCAAGCAGCTTTTTTGTCAATGCTGTCTATATTTCCCCAAGGAAAAGTGGAAGGGCTGTTAGCTCCATGTGAAGTTGCCATCGGCCAATCATCATCGCGATAACTTCTCATATTCCATCCATATTCAGCTGATGTGGTGCACCTCCAAGATGTGTCAGTCACCAGTCCGTTCTCAAATGAACCCAATATACCCCCTTGCCAGGGTGGGGTGGAAGCTGTGCAACGTACAGCGACCACGTGACTGTGCGGCATTATTTCGTTGGTCAAGTAATGCTTTTGTTTAGCATCTGCAACATCGCCACCCAAATATTTGCCATCCACGTACAAATATAAGTTCCTGTCACAAGTTATGTTGACAGTAATTGCTGAAGGAGTTCCTTTTCCAAGTAAAACAGATAAAAATAAATTGATTGCCATCATAAAAAGTTTCAATTGAGGGTTGAAATTTATTCACTAAAGCGCTTATCATTTTCACCAGCTGAAATTTGCGCTGTGAGAAAAATTTGCTTTAGTTGTTGCACCTCGACTAAACGATAAAGATAAAAAGAAAAGATATGAAGAGTCTACCATTAGCGGTCATTGTTCAGATTGGCTAAAATTTTTCAATTAACAGTTTTCAGCGACGCGTAGCGCGTGCAATTCATCATGGACGCTAATGGGCTTCGCGAACCCTCCCTCAATCATAAACGTCTCCAATTAATAGCAGTAAAATGTCATTGGAGGTAATTCTTCTTTAAATGATTACATCTAGGTTTTGTCAAATAATTGGTCATTTCAGCCGTAAGGAAAAGAACTTACGAGAGCTGCTCAATGTAAAATTAGAAAAAAAAAGCGATCAAACTCAGTAAAGCCTTCTAGTTGTGCTAACGTACGAACGATATTTTGACTTGACTCTGTCTGTCTGATTTATGATCCTTTGATGAAAAAACGTCATGGATCATACCGTCTAGTTGTTGCATAATGATCAGTAGCTATAGGCTTAGACGAAAAATAAATTAACCTTTGCCAACCATTATTTGACAATAATTCATTTTGGCATTTATGACTTCTGGTAAAATAAGAAATATTTTTCTAGGATCCGACCTTGATTCAAAAGTTATGAGATTTCGAAATCGTTGATATCTTGAATAGTGCGTTCGTGAAATTTTTAATAAATGGTTAAACTCCGTGAACTTTATTTTGCTCTTAGCATTTTGAAAAGGTGGATTAGAAAAATCATTCTCTAGTATAAGGAAGGATAGTAACGCAAAACCAACAAATGGTCTTAATCACGTAGCCAATGTTAGCCTCATGCTGTGCAAAACGCGAAAAGAAAGATGGCTGTATCATTTAAATTCTATATAATTAACATTGTTCTGTGAAAACTTAGCTAGATTTCATTTATAAATCAATGCAACAAGAATTCGAACCCGTTTACTGTGAAGTACTTAAGTTAGAAGCTCCGGTCGGTTTAACATTAGCGAGCAGATTCCGGGCCATGTGCCATGTTATCTCGGAACACTATTTTCGCTAAAATGGTGACTTAATACCTTAATTATCTGAGCTATTCTCAAATTCAAACCTTTGTCGCTGCAGCTCGAAGAAAACCAGCATTCCAAAAGTAAAATTATCCCACAATAGACAATCTCTGTTAGTTTAGACATTTTTCCTCGTCCTTGACCGTGTCACACTGAGAGGGCGGATGTCTTTTCGTCGATTTTAATTAAAAAGCCTCGTTTTCTATGAACAAATAATGCAAAAACGCATGCATCAAAACCTTCTACAGAGCATGATGTCGGTTTTCAAGGATGTGACAATGTCACCATATGTCGCAAATCACATAAGTATTCTAAATCGCCAAGTGAGATCTTTTGTCGTCGCTTGTTTTCAGGGTATAGTGAAGTTGATAATTAAGAGGTCTGTGGCCAATGGTCTTGAAAACTGTAAACATTGCTATAACATTTATTGACAGGAAAGGAAAAGGATCTGTAAACATTATCGGGATTGTTGTTCTCAAAGAAACTTACTTTAAGAAGCGTTAAACCACAAAATGTACAGTTCTTAGATCAAAACCATAGTACTCTGTAAGACTATTGACTTACCATCAAGACCTTTTTTTCTCAATTCGAAGACTGAGACATGAATATCCTTTAATATGCTGTACCGCAAACGTGCTCTAGAATCTAGTTATTTCTTTTTTCTCGGTGTTTGCGCAATTTCCAAAAAGCTCTCGGACTGATTTCTGAGCGCACCTGCCAAATATCTATCGCACTCTACAGAAAGTACGTGCATGTGATTTTTTTTAAAGATTTTGTAAACGCAAAAGTAAAATTAAGATCACAGAAAATCGGCGGAAGATCGAAATGATTAAATAAATATTATGAAATTAAAATAAATCCTTAATGATTTTTTTTAATCATCTTACGAAGAACTGTATACAGTAACTGATCAGGCGATATCGAAGAGACGCTCGTCTTTTTTTACTCATTATTATTAACCATTTATAAAGACAAAATAAAGTTTTTCTCTTACTGCGAGATGTTTTACACACGAATTATGTCGCAAAGTATTATGACCGGAAGATTTCATTCCGCTGAGAATCGTAGAATTTTCCGGGTAATTACGAACAAAGACACGAAATATGGCACAAGCCGACTATCTGCCGGATCTATTAAAATGAATCAGCAACGATTAGTCTTGGACCAATGAAACATAAAAAGTTTTAATCGCCGTTGATTAGTTTGCTACTTAAACCAAATAAATTAAATTCTATGTTTGGATGAACAGTGATATTAGAACCGAAAACACACGTCCTTGTTTCCTTTTGTATCGGCTGCCAGAGTTAAAGCTGTCGTCAGATTTATTGTTAACAAGGGGGAAAACCGACTCTTTGAATGACTTATTTGTTGACCAAAAACCAGAGCAATAAGTAAGATAAGCCAGGGTCGTTAAACTTAAAAACCAAACGTGCCGACAAATTTTAGAAAAATTATGTTTTGTTTTCTTCCTTCGTTCACTTTTCGTTTAAATTTCCAAAAATTATGGTAGCAGTGCACCGTAAGTGCGGATTTTTTTTCCAAAATTTTCCAGAAATATGTATCTTGAAGTGGAAATCATGTAGCCCGTTTTTTAATTCCAGGCAAATAAAGCTAAAACTAGGGGTTTTCCAAGAGGTTGCATTCGTAGTACCGTTAAGGTAATCTAATATGTCATAAAGGTGAATAAAAAATAATGCAAAATATTTAGAAATTTGTTGACAACAATTTATGGGAAACAAAAGAAAAGCTGTGAAAAGAAAATAAACACAATCTGAGCCACCTTAATATTCAGTGACTCTGTCATGTTTTTCCGCGCGAATTCTGGGATAGGGTGAGTGAATTCCGCCATATTGGATCTAGTTGGATCTAGCAATATTTGCCAGGCGTCTCAGGGAGTCTCGCTCGGTTTAGTTCGTGACCAGGCTCCCATAATTAGCGAGCTTGTTTTTGTCCGGGAAGAGTGTGAGGCCTGGAGCAGCGGGAGTTCTGCAAAAGGGTCTAGCACTGATAATGATTAGTGCCAGACCTCCGGCGAACCTCTCCCCGATTCGTCCCAAATCTTCTCGCGGGCAGAGAAACGCTAATAATGTGGGCCTGTAGGAAAGAGTCACCACTCATTATAAACTGCAACACCACTTTTTGACGACGCATGCTCTTTTGTTTGACCTCGTCCGTCAACCAGGTCTAGTAATTAAACGTCTTTATAATTATGCAGCATGTTGGCTCGCAGCAATTGGTGCGTTTTCGTGCATAGTGGGATTGTTTTACCTTGTGTGTGTCAATCAAACTTGACGTCTGAATTTGTTTCATTGACATTTTCTAGGTTTTCTATCTGAGAGTTTCTTCAGCTTTGTTTGTCTTGTGAGAGAGACTGTGAGTAAAAGAATCGTCCATTGTCATGTTTGTAGATTAATAAACTTTTAAGGTACAAAGACTGAATAAAAGAAACACGAGGTGAAAATGAAACTCAAATCTGATTAGAATTTGGAATTTCAGAGGCTGTGCTGAACCCCTTGTAAGTAAGTACATAGCCTAATTTTGCTCCTAAAACTTAAAAATGACTTACAGTAACATCTACACAGCGCATGTAAAACTTACACTATTTGGAACACAAGAAAATTCTATCTTGTTTAATCACGAGATGCTCGTTACCTTTCGATTTTTTTTAGGACAAATTTGGTGCTTTTTGATTATGTCTTTGGGTTTTTAACGCCAAATTTAAAAAAAAAGTGACTCGTGGCCCGTGAAATTTTCACTTTTCGTAGTATCTAAATTCAAATACTTCTCTGCTGAATTTTGGTGAAGCGTTTTATGTGGTAGCAGCCTCAGTCGTACCTGATTCACACTTCGATAATCTGGGACATCAGTGTTGTTTTGGCCTCTCTGACATTTTGAACAAACCTGACTTGGTTTTTTAGCTGAAAGCAACCATCTTATCATTTTTTGTAGACATTCTGCCATTTTAAACGAATCGACTCGAAGTTTTAAAATATGCTTTATAGCGCGAGCTAGACGTTAATGGCCCCGCTGTAACTTTTAAGCTTTATCTGTTAATTGAATATTACTGCTAGGCCATTTGGAGTAGAATTTTTCACCTTTATTTTTTGTCCTTGATAATTATATTTCCAAAGTTGCAAATGAACTTGAACTAAACCAAAAAAGAAAAAGAAAAAAAACTTTAACAAAAAGGCGTCAATAAAATTCCTCGCATCCCAAGGTTCACTCTTGGAGACATTTACGAGAAGTGGTTTTTTGAAAATTGTGACCGGCTTAAATGCTATATGCCAATCGTTGGTTTTGCTCTCCAAAATAAATCTACGGTTTAGTTCAAAAAGGTTTAACAACTGTTTTTGTTCCTAAAAGCCTTTTGTTTCGGCCAGACCTTGCGTAAACCTACGCGACAACGTGAAAGAACGGCCGGCCATGTTTGTTCAACGCCATCTGTGTTTTGTTTCACCCTAGTTTGAATGGGTCACGACGCGTTTTTTAGGCTCAATCTGCGCGGTCAAATATCGAGACACGGTTCAAAAACTGGACGTAACTCATTTGTAATAATATGACTAATTTATTAGATGAGAATTTACGCTATGAGAAAGTGGAAAAAATGGCTGCATTTTCCGAAAATTAATTGAGCAGCGGGATGTTAATGAAGTAACGTCGTAACAAAATGTCTCTTGCAATAGTTTGATTGATATTTCCCCTAAAGAAAGTCAACATTGTTGTCAAGTTAATTGCTCAGTGCTAAAGACGCCGGGAATTGAAGAAATACTGCAGGAAATTGAGGCCTGTTAGCAAACTAAACAATATATTTCAACCTTATTGTTTGAAATCGATTAGTCTGTCTGAAAATTTTCTATCTAGGTGTTTAAGCGGCATTGGATGGGAATCCGATCCATGAGGAACTTTAAGTTTTTTATTGACCTCTGTCCTCTTTTAATTTCCTTTTTTGCTTACGAACCAACGCGCTAAAATTACATGCAGAAAATTTTGTTTTGCAGGGTTTTTGTTTTTATTCCAAATATCCGCTTCTAGTATCAATTTCTACCGCTAGAATCAAAGTCGCGTCAACCTCATCCTCTTGTCTTTGAAAACTTCAAGAGAAAGCCCTCCGAGTTTATCCTTAAAATAATTTTTGACAGGCGCACTGTTTGAGTTTCGTAGTGAAAGTCAACAGGAACTCACTCGAAAATTCATCGATTAAAGTAAGTAATATCCTTTGTTGCCTTATGTAATTTTCCTTTGTTTTCATGACTTTTCAGTTCTCGAGCCATTAAGCTTCCCAACTTGTCAAGAGGTGCCCTGAAACGGGATTCGAACCTGCATCGTCTATTTGCTTTACAACTGTTTGGTATCGTGCCACCGTAAATTTGCTCTTCAGCTCGCAGCCTGCTGATCTTTTCGGCGGACCCATCAGTCGAGTTTTATCAAAATTGTGCAGCCTTCGTCTGACTAACGGTAAGTTTTAATTTCCTCTGTTTTATTAGTCTGTATCTTATTGAATGTTTCCCACGCTCGTTGCAATTCATTAGCCCCTTGAGACGTTATTCTTACGGCTGATATTCCTGTGAATATAAAGATCGATCACACTGTCTATGTGGTATAGTTGCATTTGGCAGTTTCAGTTATTTTTCCTCATCATCTGAGAGCTGAGGTAAGTTACTTACGGGATTAGAGTTCGAAATTCTTGAATTTTTAGTAAAAGAAAAACTTAATGGTTTTTGGGGGTTCTCGACCAATGGGTGCAATTTTCGCATACTGAGTCTTTCCCATTCTGGAACCGTAAATTGTTTGAATTGTGATACCGCATTACAAAGTATGGCTTAATCTACACATCGCAATAAATCTAGGTATATCTACAAGAAATGATTTCGAGCAGAGTTGCCAGTGTTAGTCATCAATCACCCATCAAGATTGTTAACTGGTCGGATTTTCCTTGTAATCAACTTACCTGCATTTAAGTTTTACTGATCCGTCTGAACAGAACGGCTGTCATGTTCCTGAGATCATGGCCTGAGTTTTACATCAAATCTGAAACATATAATACGAAAACATTGTAGAGGCAATACTTTTACTAACCCAGGAACAGACACATCGAAAAAACAAAAGGCAATTCACCCTCTTCTCTCTCATATTTACCTAGATCCAAATGTACTCATCACAACTGGAGAAAAGTAGAATGCACTGGAGTGCACTTTTCAAAATTCTTAAATGTAAAACTTCAACAAAAATAGAACCTGAAAACTTGGCTCTATTCCTTTATCAGCTTGTTCGGAATTTTTACCGAAAAGGCAAGGGAAGAAATGATACATTGTTAGGAGCCCCCGACATTCTTTAGAAAGGTTGTTCCATGACATATTTTTTCTCTTTTTTGTAATCTTCTCCTTTTTCATTTCCATCTTTTAGCAGAAAATATGCAGTTACTTCAAGTAAAGTCCTTTTTCATTCTTGAGGTTACATTGTGTGTGTTATGGCACGTGGAGGTCGATGGAAGAAGTCAGTATACTCCATTTAGATAAAAAACAATTTTCATAGGAAATTGTTTGTGTATGTGTGTTTTTTTTTATACAGCATAGTAGCTGTATCATAAATAACTCGCTAAAAGCACGTCCAATCATTTTCCTCAGGATATAGAATCAATTTTAGTTTCACTAAAAATCGCGACCTTCAATATAATTTATAATAGTTCTTATCGTTACCATGATGAAAAAACACGTCTCCTATCACAATTGAGTTATTCAGATTACCGAGTAAATCAGTAAATTGTTAACGAAAGCTCTTAATGATCTTTTAGTTTTCAACAATAGAAACTCGCCGTGGCATGTATCGCTCAATAGTTTTTTCCTCCCTATGATAAAAGTTAACGAAAGCTTTCAGGACTGCCTGGAAGGGTTCTCAACTTAATCTTAGCTGTAATGAGGTCGAACGACAGGAATGGCGCGACGTGTCGTGGTCAATAAAGAGAGCAATTTTAAAAAAAATCAGAATATTGATTTTACCCCGAATACAGTTATCTCAAACTCGTCAGTTTAACCAAAAGTCAATAAAGAAAAGTGACTAAAGAATGAGTATATTTGAAAACTATGGGAGACTAGTTTACAAGTTCAAAGATTTTCGAGATCTAGAACAGTTCATGGCAAGCAGCTAGAATCGAGACCTCAAAGCGTTTGACAGTGCTGCTTTTTGTCAGTTGATAATAAAAGACGGTTCAACCCCGTCGAGACCTCATGTTAGTGCCTGTCAGTGATAATAAAAGATGAAGTTTTTTTTGTTTTTCTACTACAGCTAGCATACAGGTCGCAGTTGGATGCTACCGAGACCGCAGTGGAAGTGGTAGAGCTATGCCTGATCTCCTGGCGTCTTACAGAAAAAACGGTTTGGTTTGGTCAAACCTAGACGAAACAGTTATTCAAAAATGTCGTAAGGAAGCGGAAGAAAGGGTAGGTTTGGAGGGTGATTGTAAATTAAATCCTCAACCACTCAGTATTTATTCGTAATTTTCCCTTTCAGTAGCTCTCGACAGGATCGCAGGTTTCCGCAAATCTGTGAATAGCCAATCACGACAGCTCGTTCCCAGGTCCTCTCTCCGTCTTCCTGATGAGAAAAAAACTTGAGAACAGAGTTGACGTTTGGTTCGGAGAAAGGAGGCAAGTGTGATGCGAGACAGAGCGAAGCACGCGAGGCGAGTTACACGCGAGGGGCGAGTCACACGCGAGAAAACGGAGGAGCTTCCTTTTTGCGCGTGTTTTAAAAATAACCATGTGCTATACGGAAATTTTTCTTTTGGTGATTATCTTTCAGGGATTTAAGTGTTTTGGCATTCAGTTCTACGGTGAATGTTGGTCTGGCCTTAACGCATGCGACACGTACGACATATATGGCCGATCGGATGAGTGTTTCTGCACAAGTGATGTTTCGTTAAATAACACCTTTCCGAAGTACCAACTGACTGAAAATTGTCGAGGGCCCGTTGGAGGGCGCTGGGCCAACTTTGTTTACAGGTTACGTGAGGTATAAAGCTTTTTTCAATCGAGTGTCGAAGGCAAAAAATAACTCTAGCCACTTTCTTAACCGATCAGATCGCCCATGTCCCTACCAACGTTAAGAATGTAAATTTGTTATTGCGATAAAAATGTACATACTTCTTTTTGACATTGACCAGAAGCTTTCATTTTTGTCCCTTTACAAGATAGATAGAAGCTCAGTCCATGAGACATCTTTGGCACTAGAATGTTGTTATATTATTTCTTTCTTGGAATGAGTGCTCAAAGAGTTAGAAACCGAAAAGGCATGCTCTAAAGACTTCAAAACAAGAGCTTACCTCAAACATACAAACTATTGTCCCGCTCTCTAGCACGCTCGCTTTCTACCAAAACTCCCAGATGTAGATGTCCTCGATGAGATACCGCTGGACAAGTATACACCAGTGCTTTATGCGAGATTTTAACAGCAGCCCGAGTTATTCATTCATGTCGTGTTTTAATATACTTCTTCGTAGCGTCTCTGACAAAGAAGCCTGTGCCAACCTGAAAGACCAGCTGTAACTGAGTGGATTTCCTCCAGATGCAACGTTTGCTAGGTTTTCAAATTTGTAAATTAAAATGTACTTTTAATTCCGAGTAAGAAAACAGGAACAAAACATTGATGTATCTGTGTGTTGTAATGCATTAATAAAAGGCAGGAGCCCATTACTCAATAATGGGCTCCTGTAAAAGGTCATTTCAAGCGTCGAATGACAGTCTTTTTGGTCGATTTCCCCTCGTTCTGAGAGTGTTCTGTAACAGCTCGATTATCTTTTAAATTTTTTACTCACCTGGAGCGAAACTGTCATAGTTGAGCACACTTGCAATCAAATAGCTAAGCTCGATTTCCGCTGTTCTTTTGAAAAGAGCGTGGGTTCATTTTCCAAATAGTTATTTGTTGTGGAGCCCAGCAAAATTGCAGGAACCCTCGCAATCTAAGGGTCAATCGAAGTCTAAAATAAACACAAATTTATGAGCAGCTCACCGAGGTACATGTGATCGTGAGGTTGAGAAAAGAGGCTAGAGAAGATGATACTCAATAATTTTAGGACTCCCAAGCGCAAGTATTTTAAACGCTTGACCTGCACGGATCTTTCATACCGGGTAAGCTGGGAATTAGTTCATCTCTGACGCATGAGCAGTTTGATAATGACAAATACAAAATGGACGGCAATAAAGATGAGGCACAAAAATGCCGTAGACTTGCTGAGAATTATCTCAAAGAAGGGAACAAAGAGAGAGCTTTTAAATTTCTCCATAAGGCACAGAAGCTTTATCCATCGAAAGAAGTTGAAGGTAGGTGAAATTTGCGCGGAATTTGGAATAGAAGAGTGGTGAAAGAACTCATGATACGATGTCGTAACCGGCTAAAATATCATTATTTTAGTTTACTTTCTTGTACGAGCCGTGAAATTTACCAATAACCTTTAAGGAAGAGAGAAAAATATGTTAAGTTTGATTATTTCAACTCTATCCATCAGGATGTTTGCAATTTTTTTGCGATGGTGATCGTCACTGAACATTATTCAGAACATTGGCATTACGGAAGCTTACATGAAGTCCGTTTTTCTCATGCGATTAAAGTTGAAGCGACGTTTAGAGTTATATCAAGGAATCAAAAATGGAGTTACATACTTTTTATTTTTCTTTAAGCATTAACGTTCGGTTAGGACACTGTAGCCGCGACGATTAGATGTTTGAATTTTATGTTAGATTCAAGCGTGTAAGTTGTATTCGGTAAAATTAGCTGTCATCGTGAGAATTGCATGTTGTCATCCTCACGCTATAAGCCTAGGTTTATTAGATAAAGGTAAAATAACATTTGCGTCACTGATTTAAGTATGAGCCGGAGCAGTTTATTTGTTTAAAGAACTGAGGTTCAGCTTGGTATGATAGCCTTTGATTTGATGGATGTAATGAATAGAAAAGACATATCCTAGTATGGATGCTTTGTACAATAATGTTAATACAGTGTTTGATTTCCTGATGACCCTGAAATTATTGCTGAAGTTTTTTCAATGGTAAATAAATTTTTCTCTGAGAGGTTATGTGGCGTATCACACTATGTTGGATGATCACATTATGTGAGGAATATACTCTGTAACTACATGTAATATTTTGGTTCACAACCTATTTGATCAACTGACTAGGAACTTACAAACCTACAGAAACTATCCCAAAAGGTGTTTGAACTTATCTGTATATTCTAGTGAGTGAGAAACTGTAAAGAAGAGAAAGGCAATAGACACATTTGGAGACTATAAAATAATTCTAAATGAGTCTTACAAAACAGATGTCATGTCATTGTTGTCGTCAGCTACAATCTCTTTTTTAATACTTTGTTTAAAAAAATTAAGTAATGTAAATTAGTACTTGTCCATCTGCACAATTTTTGTGTTTCCTATGAGATAGTTAAGTGCAAGTGTTATCAAGCATTAGGTTCCCTGTGATGGAATATCCAATGACTTTTGTGCTGGTTACAAAAATAGCATTTGTATCCATTTTCCAGATTTAATTGAAAGTTTGTCAAAGAATGGTATGTCAACTGGAGCCAAACATCAGACCAGGGATGAGAATCTACGTCACAGAACAGCAAATGGTAGTGCCACTCATAGTGCTCCAGAGGAGAAAAATTATACACCAGAACAGGCGGAGGCTGTCAAAAAGTAGGTTTTTCTTTTATTCAATTGCATATAGTTATACAACTGTGCTTTAGTCTGAAATGAAAGCAGTTCAAAAATATTTCAAAGTATAGCAATTTGATTTGTTTCCTATTATGTTCTAGGTTATGAACTTAATTATTTTATTGCAGTGAAGATGAAATCTACTGATACTCTCCTTTTTTTTTGGAAGAAATATTGGTACATGTACTTTTATTGGGGGGATTAATGGGGGTCTTAAAACAAGCTGCTGACCATCTGAGTTCTGCTAGCTGCTTGATAGCATGTTGCTGGTTACTCTGGTCAAAATAATTCCCTTTTGGCCCTCCCTTAATGAGCTTTCCACAGTTACCTTCTTTTCAGAGTCTGATGCCTTCTTCAGAACATTTTGAAACCCCTGGGACTATGGGAATGTACTTCACAGGGGAGGGGGCAGGAGTTTCCTTTTGCATTTGTGCTTAAGGATAAGATTTTGAAATAACACCATGGGGGTTGAACTACATGCTTAGTTTTCATTATTTAGTATGATTATTATGTTGTGCTTTTGCGGCATTTCTTAGGATTAAAAAGTGTAAAGATTACTATGAAATCTTGGGAGTTAATAAGGAAGCAACAGAACCTGAGTTAAAGAAAGCTTACAAGAAGCTTGCACTGCAGTTTCACCCAGACAAGAATAGGGCACCAGGGGCATCTGAGGCATTTAAAGGTTTGCTCACTGATTGATTTATGCCTTTTTGATTTATCCGTTTATTAACTAGCATTTCCTTTTTAAGCACAATTGTTGTATTAGTTTTCATTGCCATGCCATATACATGCAGATTTAGTCAACAGTGCATGCAGGCTGCATTCTGATGGAAACCAACAAATCTTAGGAATACAAATTTCAGAACAGTGACTTTTAATTCAACTCCCACAAAAACAGAAATATGCACACTCGTTGCAGTATAACAAACTGAACGACTAACAATTATAGTCTATGCTTTGCAGGAGTTGATGAGCAAGAGTTTTTATTTGTCTTGATTTTTCTCTTGAAACACAGCTATAGGCAATGCTTTTGCAGTCCTCTCAGATCCCGAGAAAAGAAGGAGATATGATCAATATGGTGATGAGAATCCTCAGCCACAGATTTACAGGAATCACAATGATTATTCCCGAGGATTTGAAGGTTAGTGTTGCTGATCAAGGCCACAGTTACTCAAAAGTGGGACACACCAAATGTACCTTGACACTATAACTTGTATTTAGTATATGATCTTAATGTATAGCCTTATTTTCTGAAGAAATGTTTTTCTTATCACGAATAAATGTATGTTAATCAGTTAACATTATTGCTACCGTGAATTTTACATTATACGTGCTGGAAAATTAAAGCAAAAATGTATTTGTACATACATTTATGATTTTGTGACCATACTAATACAGTTCTCAGGCCAGCGGTCCCTTGTGTTCCATGCATAGTTGTAATGTTACTTGAATGTGGTTGGGATGTGAATGTAACATGGTACATGATCTCAGTTGGTGTTGGTGCACAAAAGCATTGGATGTTATATGTATTTTTTTGTTATAGCTGATATTACTCCAGAAGAATTATTCAACATGTTCTTTGGTGGGTTTGGTGGAATTTCTGGAGGTAAGAAAAAAAATGTTTCTTTAATCAAGTAAATTGAGAAGAGTTTCATGTGTGTCTCTTTGAGAGACACAGCAGTTAACCCTTTAACTCCTAGATAAAATTTGTGATTCTCCTTACTGTCAGCCATACAATTCTCATAATGTTAGTTCAGAGAATTTAGTATTGGATCTGCTAATTATCTCCAAAATGATATTTTCTTTATTCTCATCACTTATCTGGTTGATATTGTATTGATATTGTAAGGAGAAATTCTGTCTTGGTCACTCATGGAAGTTAAAGGGTCAATTAAGTGTTCTAAGTGTTCTCTGTTTTGACAGTGCCAGGCTAGTCTTGTTCTAGGCCTTTGTGTTGTATTCACTGGCAGATGTGCTCTGAGTCCTGACTATTTGGTTTTCATGACAAGAAAGAGAAAAAAATAGGCTACAAAATTTGGAGTAAAATTATGACCAAAATGGACACATAAATTCTGAAAGCTTTAGTACTTTATTTAGGATTTAAGGTAGACAATCATAGATTGGATTTTTAGAGCTTAGTGGCTGTGGAGAGGGTTTAAGACCTTAGGGAAACATATTTTGAATCATTTTATTTTTTATGTCTTTTTGAGTCAATGGAGAATTGTAAATAGACCTTGAATTGTTTGTGAAGGTAGTCTAAAACCTAATAGTCAAGGGGAATCCAAAAAGGATGTGATCTTGGTTAAAGGATGGTGAAGTTCAGGCCTTGTTAGGCAAACAAGGGAAAAGCTGCTTCAACAGGTTTTTTTGTCTCACATTCAGGTCGTGTATTTATGCAGAGAAGACATAATCATGGTAGGCGCCACAGGCCTCAGCAATTTCATGAAGAGGAAGAAAATGAGCCTGTAAGTCAATGTACAGAGATCCAAAGGTAGAAAAAAATCGAAACACTTTCTAACTCAACATCAAATTCTTTTTCTTTTCCTCTTTCAGCCGTTGTTGCACTCGTTATTGCAGTTTATGCCAATCTTGTTATTAGTAGGATTATCACTGATGAGTAGCTTCATGTTACAAGACCCACCTTATTCGTTATCTAGAACAGGGTAAGTGCACATTCCTGAGTTGCGTGACTGGATACTTGTCACTATGATAGTAACTGTATCTGATTGGGAAAAGACGGTGAACCATTCATAGCCCGACACGGCACCACATGGCCATACAACACAGCTAGAAAATACCTTACTTAGCCTCGTTTAGTCCTACGGCGAACAGCCCCTCAAAGCTGTGGAATCAAGATTGTCCAGGATGCACGAACACGCACTTTTGTTTTGATATTTACTTTGCCTTTGAAGTTTTAGTTACAGTGACTATGCACAGTCATGCATTTATATATGAATTAAAATTGGAAGTTGTTTAGAAAGAGTAACCTCTTCTGTTAAGAACTCACTAGGTCCTTTGAATGACAATCATGACTTGGTTACAGGGAAGCTTACAATATCGTACTTTCTCTTTAAGAAAAAAAATGTATGATGAATTCCTCAGTATCACAAAAGTACTCCTTGCGGTTATAGCAGTTTTGAATAATAACAATTTTTCCTTTAATTAACAAATACAATTAACGATCGATATTTCATTTTGCAGTTCCTATTATATTCGAAGAGAAACACCCAAACGCAAGATTCCCTTCTATGTTCAGGTATGTTACTCTATCTAATGATTTAATTGTTTGTTGATTTTAAAATGTTATATAAAAAGCTGTTTGTGCAGCACTTTATCCTTGCTTCAAATTATGTTTATTTCCTTCAAACACTGATCACTATGCTGAAATGCATAATGAACCAACCGTGAAATTTCGCCACGTCGCACGCTGTACAGGTTTTCAGAAACGCACCAATCAACTTGAATTTCTTTATTCGAAAGCAAAGCAATATCGTAAAGCAATTTATCAACAACCAGTGGAAGGGACAGAGATGCGTAGGTCAATACGCGCGTACCTATACGGCAACGTAATTGACGTACATTGTACATTCTAGCGGTACAGCATTTTGGGAACAACCCGTTCCGCAGCTGAGTGTAACAGTGTTTTCTGACTTTTATTTTCTACACCATACAGGAAGGATTCGAAGATCAATACGAAAATAAAATTCATATGATAGAAAAAAGAGTGGAAGATGACTACATAGGCCGACTCCAGTCCCAGTGCTACAGAGAGAGACAATACAGTAAGTATAGACGTAATCTGCAGTGATCACTGTGATCAATAATCATTATGGGGCGTTCATTGGCTATTAAATTGAATGCAAATGCTGGGCTATCGTAAAGCGACCTTTCCGAATAGACGTTGAAAATTGCCTCGAGTTTTAATCTTTTGATCGACATTTTGAGGTGCCTGCTTTCTGTTTTCCTCAAGCGAAATTCGCTGTTACTTTGTCCTTGAGTATTTTACTGTTAGTTCAGTTTCATGTATTGTTGCATCACTGCACAAAGCTGTTTTCAAGTTTTCATTTGCGTATGTTTTCGAGAATACTTTCATTTGAATGCCGTAGTTACCACTCGTAAGTAAGAGGAATCATCAGAAAAGACTATTGGGTAACCAGTGTTACACACTGAAACGGGAGTAATCATGTTGCGATTGGGTTAAGTAAGTGCGTTACTTTGTGTCAGGAATTTGCGCGAGATTTCGAGATCAGTTGATTTCTGAAATATCACGCAATCTCCTCCACAGAGCATTACATGGCGAACTCATTTACGGCTTTTGTGAAAGCTTTGTGTCATAGAGCGCTCACTTTCACTCTGAATTATCACCGAGAAACCTAAATTGGATCTTTCTACAAATAGGCTGAAAAGTTGTTAACACCTTCACTTGATTTCAGAGTAAAAGAAAATATTCCTGTTTGCTTCGGAAATTGAAATCCATCAAGTACGTGCTTCGGGTTTTGCGATAAAATTATAATTCAAAGACATTTTGTCCGGTTCCCGACTGGCTTTGTCCATTAGCTTTACTCTGTGTATCTTATCTCAGCGGACATTAATTCACCCCCGTGGATTTAATTTCTAAACAACGCGATTTTCTTTGTAATCGGGCTCAAAAAACTGCAAAAATGAACTCAGCTTGACTTCACTGGCGTTTGTTTTTTTGATCTGCGTCTCCTCAGAAGAATCAGTTTGCTTTAGAGATACATTATACATTGCCCCCGTTTTTCATTGAAATATTTTTTCCGATGCCGAAGGAAGATTATTTCCGCTTTCATGAAAGGTTCTTCGCCACAGGTGCAGATTCATGAGAGTTTTCCTCTTTCTTTATATACCACTTTTGATATGCCCTAAATCAAAGTTATTTAGATTATCTTTCACAGAAATCCATTGATCATTTGCTGTATTTGCTCCTCGTTTTATCGTATTTACTTCTGTTTTCATTTCTGTTTGCAAATTACATTTTTCTTTGCCACACTTCTGTACAAATTTTGTTTTTGTTTGACTTTCATGGGTAAAACTAATTAGACAGCGTCGTGTGCCCATTAAATGTTATTGTCATTTTTACATTATCGTTTTTTTCAGTGCATAATCGCACATTTTAAAGTGAAAATTTGACAATTTTTCCCTCGACGTTTTTTTTCGCTCAAAGGCGCTAATGGGCTGGCCTTTGGAACTAACACACACAAACAAATTTCCTTCTTCAACAAATTTTATGAAACACGTAGTTCCTTGTCGCCATTTCAAGGCAAGATTACCAACAATTATAATCCATCATCAAAGAAGCAAATCCAGTTAAGTGACTTCTCCGCTAGGACATCGTTTCGTGCAACCTTGTTTTCACAGAATCGCGCATTTTGCTTTCCCTTTCTTGGTCGATTTTGCTATGGCGGCTCTCACTGCTTCATCCAGCACCTCCATGTAACCTCTTTGTTTCAGTGCAGAACATTCGATGTACTTTATAGCCCCAATTTTTTTCGCCATTTTCTTGGCTTCCTTGTGAGTGACTTGCCCGGTTGGGCGCTGGCTGCTGTCGCCTTTCCCGCGCTTTTTACTCTCTGTAGCATCGCGGAGATCCAACTTCGTCCCGATAAGAACGATGGGAGTTCGTGGAGCCAGTTGCTTGACCTCCTTGAACCATCTTGTCTCGGCATTGCGAAACGATTCTAAATCGGCGATAGAAAAACACACGCAAAACACATCAGTGCCAGGATAGTTCTGTTGTCTAGCGCTATCTTTACCCTCATGGCATTCCGTATCCCAGAGCTCTAGTTGATAAATTTTGCCGTTGACGTCCATGTTGGCAATGTAGGCGCTAGTGAACGATTCTACCTGTTTTCGCGACAGTGTATTTGAACTGTAACACAGCTGCAGGAGTAAACATGTCTTCCCGATGCCGTTGTCGCCGAGGAAAACACATTTAACCTTTCTTTCGATGTCTGTGGCTTTGTCAGTAACGACTGTAACTCCCTCGACCATATTTTCAATTCGCGAAGATGGCACCTCGTCGGTTTTCGCTCACAGAAAATCCGGAAATTTCGTCAGAGTTTCACTATCGGTTTCGTCGCGAGCGATGATTGACAAGCCGCAAATATCCTTGAGCCGTGTCAAATATCAACCGGCGAGTGATTTTCGACCTTTTTGTCGCTATGTCGTGTTGTTATTTGGATGAAATTTTGGATTTTATACTCTTCATAATCAAGGAAATGAATGAAGACCGCACAGTAGTCTGAGCAGAAATCACACTGGCTCTCGCGTTCGGATTATTTGTAAACATTGTGTGATATGTGATGACGTTGCGTCGCTATTAGCATATGCTTCGGACTGACAAGCAGTGGAAATAATTAATATCAAGAAAATGCCTCCCATTTAATTGTTCGTGTTGTATTTCTATGTCAAAAATTTGGATTTATATTCAACTCAGAACATTTAGACAATTTTACAGCTTTCTGCTTGTGACAGAAAAATATTTAAAAATCTCGGCTTTGAATTATTAATAATCGCGATTGTATGTGTGATTTTAAATATTTGCTCTAGTCTCGGCGACTTATTTCCATTTTGTTCCATGAGCATGTTATTTTTGGTAAAGTTACGTTTGCCAAAAGCATTCCAATAATTCGGATCGTTTTCATTTCATCAGTGCAGTATATTTACTTTTGAATAAAAAAAATCATTCGGGTTATTATTCTCAATGTTCCACTTTGTATTCAGCTCTGCAGGATTCCCCTTGTGTCCGTATAAATAAAAATTCTTCTTAGATCTCTGTAGCGTTATTTGGCGAATTTTGGATTTTGCCAGACAACATGTTTTTCGGAATATAGCGATGTCCTCGCGTGTGAGGCATGTTTGCTTCTCTACAAACACTGTGCAGTAACGTTGTATCTCGATGATGCTGTATAGACCGCGATTGATGAAAGCTCTTCGATACGGCTCTCTTGCCGTTGTTTTATCATTGAAATATCTTTCAATTTAAAGTTTTGTCAATTTGAAAATGAACGTAAACAAGCTCGAATGTATCTCGCCCGAAACCAATATAATGATATTTAAAGCTTAAAAGATTTGCATATTTTCCTTTTCTTTCCACCAGTAGACAATTTCCTTTGTTACTGATCGCTTTGTGAGCAAATAACAGGATTTAGTGGTTTCGTGTAGTGGTATCAGAAGTTTATCCAATGAATTTATTCCGGATTTAGCGAACTTAAACTGTTATTTTTTTTCTTCCTTGATATTTATATCCCCGGATTAATATACATAAACTCAACCGGAAGCAGTCAAAAATTTCTGCCCTCGGCCTTCACTCTTTTTGGCAAACGGAAACGCAAGCGCGTAAAAAGTTGGGGTAGCTTTCGTGATCTCATTTTATTCAGCACAATGTCATTTAGATTCAAGATTTGCATTTTCATTATTGTTTTGTACCGTAAATGGAAGGATAATTTACGAATTGTTTAACAAAAAACGAATATTTAACAATGAGCCACCTGACTTCGTTCATTCAAATTCCTTTTCCTGATGATCAGCTTACATCGTAAGCAGACAAAGTAAGGGGCGCTGTACTGCGAAACGGTCAATCTCAGCTGAAATGTTGGCGGAAAATACTCGTAAATTCTTCGATTCATAACTTTTGACCCCTAAATCCACCCTGTGATAGTCAAACAAGTATGGTTTACTTACCTTTAGCTTTCCATGTTATCTCTAGTGATTTGGTGGGTTTTTATTCCCGACCCACCCGAGCCACCCTACCCACCCTACCCCCCCCTTCCCCCCTCTCTTTCTCTTCACTGACGCTCCTCAAGATATAAGAGAGAAAGTTGATTTTCCCAGCGGAAAGGACACTTATCAAAGAACTTCAAAAACTTGCTTATAGAGTGAGAGAGAAGGAAAGGGAAGCCGATTTGTGCTCTTCATACCGTCCAAGCTTGCGAGCAAGCTCTTGTTATAAACGTTTCAGTGCGAGCATTTCCTCGACCGCGAATAATTTTAAGGCCTTAATTAAGCAATGCTTCCTGGCGAGAGGTTAATTTAGTAATTTAGTACCTGGAGAAAGGTTCGGTAGTCATTATTAGTGCCAGGCCCCTCGCAGGCCTCTCCCCGGCTCGCTTTGTTCATGGCCTTAACCTTCAAACCCCTAAGAGTGACTAACATCTAATTTCTCCATACAACATCACCCCTGAATCACACATCAAGGTCGTGAAGGTCGTTAGCACCTCAGGAAATGTATAGAGAACAGGAAGGAGAAAATACATGCTGATGATAGCAGCACTGATCATGAGTACCTGCTCACAGGCTACACTGTCCCGACAGATTTTGTCCGGCCGGGAGTGAAAATCTTTCATCAAGTTTCTAACACAGGTTATATTCTTTTCTTCCTTTCGCAGGAGAAGAAGTGCGAGCTCGTGCCCGTTTTTGGCGAGATCAAGCTCTACTGAATCGAGCAAATGACATGCAGATGAAATCGTGTGAAGCACTGGAAAAAATTGCCGCTGAGGGTTGATGCAGTCGCTGAAATGAAAATGTTAATGTTTGTCATGCCAGGATCAAAATTGAATCTAACTTAAGGAAACGGTACTTTTTAAATGTTGAAATTAGTATCCTGTAAAGGCTGCGTTCACACGTGGTGCCTGAAAACCTTTGTCGGGCGTTTACACCAACCGCCGATGAGGTCGTAATCGGCTGTTGTGTTTGGGCACATGGTGTTTTTCTACAGCCTGTGACGTGAAAGAAAATAGTCCAGTTTTAGTTTGCTTTCCATGCAAAAAATCATTATGTTAGTCGCGGGACGGCATTTTCACCGACGTCAGTTCATAGATTTTTAATTATGTGCAGAATAAATGTATAAGTTGAACCAGCAGTATCAGGGAACAGGGAAGACATAGCTAGGAATTTTTTAGAGAGGAGAAAAGGGGGGGGGTGGTGGGGAAGAGAGAAAATTCCGCATTTCTGCGTGAGCCACGTGAATTAGCTAATACCGCTGTTCAGTCTTGCAAAGAATGAACAGCGAGAGGGGGTGGAAGTGAACCAACCCGAAGCTACGCCCCTGGGGCAAAAACGTACGCGAGTGTTATCAACGGATCACTACATATTGAGGTTCTTGATACTCTGCATAAATTTTGACCCCGTCTTTCCCAATAAATTCCGTAGCGTACAGAAAGATTAGCTGAAAACCAAACCAATTAGTCCCTTTATGTTCAGACAACTGGGACGACCGCGATCGGCTAGATAGAATTGAGTTTATGTTTCGGCCAGGTTTGACAGATACCGACTGAGAAACTCCTCCATGCGATTCTTAAAAAAAGAAAAATAGATTTTTCTCTACTTCATGTAAATTTTTTCACCCTTTTGTTCAACTGCTGCCTATTATCTTTTACCTTGTGGTATTTGTGAATTTGAACTAGCCAGATTATTCTAATCACTTGGTAAGTCTCTTGTCTATCTATATTATTTAATCATGTCGTTACAGTTATAAACTGAGAAAAAAAAATTTTTTTACCTGTAGTCTGGTTCTCCTCTGTTATTTAACTTGCTCTACACAAAATGGGAGTGAGCGCAGCCCTGAGCCCGCCATCTCTTCCGCTTCGTGTCAAGTTTTTGGTTGCTAAATGGCATGAAAATTGAGTTATATTAAGCTGAAAATTGGTGACATTGTACAACCCCTCTCAAAACGTTAAGACTAACATAAAAATACCCGGATCAAATAATTGTTCGTAAGTTAATGCAATTGTAAGTAATTGTGCTTCCGTCAAAGCGACAAGACTTTTCTAGCCTGTTTCACTCACTTTGGTCCGTGTCAAACGAAATCGTCCAGCACGGGCACTACAGGCCTAATCGAGATGTATATCCTTAGCTACATGTATTACAATTAATGGAACTCACGGATAAGCTGGAGGCTTCAAGCATACGACCTTTGTTCCGGCCGAAAAAGTTCGCCCGTCATTCCTAGATAATGCTTTAAGAGTTTTATCAAGCTGAATTTAGCGGTTCTTTGAAATAAAAATAACTTAAATTTTGAAGTGATTCTCGCTTTTGAACAGCTTCGACCCTTGTATGCTTCGAAGAGACCTCACGGTGCAATAGTTCACTGCGCAAGTGAAGGTTAATTTTAATTACTTTCGCAGACAGAAGTGAATCATGTGAGTAGCATGTGCTGCACAAATCTCGAGTAATCATGATGTGATCAAAAGAGGTTAAAGAACGGAATGAAATGACTCAACAATTTCATGGATGCGTCAATCTTCGGCGACAGACGTCACATATTTGGATAAGTTTTATCCGGAAATTAGTCATCGTGGCAGAAAAAGTCTAATTTCAGATTTTGACATTTTGGGTATTTTCGTAAACAAAAAACATTGTCCTTTGAGTTATAGAGCAGTGAAGACGTAAGTCGTAGAGGGTGAACAGTCAAACACAGTCAAACTTTACCTATCCGTAGACTATTTCATTGGAATTCCCATTAAGGTAGGTAGCCATCTTACTGTTTGGGTAGCAGCTCCTTGAAAATTTTGCACTAATCGTCTGAAATGATGGTAGACAGGTAAGCAGTTTGGATGACTGAGAATATTACCTGTTAGGCTTATATTTATTTCTCAACCTCTACCAAAAAGTTATCTTTCGCATTTAGTCTATAGAAATAACTTTCCCAGTGACTCGTAAATCTAAGTCGTTTTCTAGCTAATGAATAACGATTGACAGCTTTGCCGTTTGTGGGTACCAATAATCATTCTGGTATTTTTGAAGTGAGTTAAAGAAGGTACTTGATTTGGGGCAGATTTTCCAGTGTCTTTTGTTCTTAGCAGGAACCGCGCAGGCTACGTTTCAACCCGTCACTCTGTGACACGTCTGAGCTTGCCTGTAGAATAGAGGTGTAGTGTTTTTCGAGGTTACCCATGAGTGACTCATGATAATTACTCGTTAAATTATGAGCAGTGATGCGATCATGTGCAACACATCATAAAAGGAACCAAATCACTCTGAAAGATGTTTGAAAAAAGACGCATGTAATGAAATAACAAAATGGAAGACTATTCATTTATTCTGGCAATTAGCGCATGCTCTTTTGTATTGAGAGGGAAGCTTAAAAAAACAATTAGGAAACGGAGACAAAATCGGCTACGTTGGTGTGCATGCTTTGTACTCAACTGATCAGAGGGGGGCCTACCTCGATGTTAAAGACCGACGAAGTACGTCCCGTCGGGCCCAACCTAACTCAGTCAATGAGACCGACGGTCTTTCAAGTTCTTCCTTTTTTTCTTGCCTGTTTTCATCCTGCATCTCGCAGGTTCGTATGCTCTGCTGCTCTCTTTTTTCCGGCTCCAGTTGCGCCTCCGCGTGTGTCCCTCAAGGGGGGACTATTCATTCCTAATGTTTTTCAATAGTGTCCCTCAAGCGGGGACTATTCATTCCTAATGTTTTTCAATAAAGGCTCGCTAGAGGCAAAACGAGTCACATGATAATATCGTAGTAATAACAATAGGGATAACAAAACAAGGCATTGTTTAAAATGTGCTAAATTTAGAGATTCTTAACAAATGGATAATAGGTCAGATGTTCATTTATTTTTAAAACAGTCCATGTCATCTACACAATAACGAGGTCAAAACGTTTTTTCTTTCTTTCTTTCTTTCTCGTTTTATTTCGCCGGTCAAGCCAAGCCCTTTCTTACCTTATTTTGAATTTTTTTGTGAAATTGTAAAGCAACTAGCATAATGGGAACCTGTGCTTTGTCTGATGTGAAATATAATTATATGTTTCCATGGAGAAAACTGTTCGTGCTGGTAGGTTTTAGTAGTATTTGTCTGAAAAGAATTTACATCTCACCAGGGGTTTATGAAACAATATTTAACTTTGCTATAAACCAATCGAACTCCCTTTTATTTCGAAAATGTGTTTATTGTAATAAATCTTCAGACTACAATGAACGTTTTGCGCTTGAAAATTTTTTTCTAGTTCGTCCTTGATATAAGATTGAAAAAAGCTTTGAAAACGTACTTTTCTTCTAGAATTAAATTATGAAGCTGAGGAACAGATGGAGTTAGGGTTTATAAAACTTTGACAACTAATTTGCTAGCCGTTTAAGCTTCATTATCGCGGATCTTTATTCTATCGTTGAAAAGTGTTTTATTTGTGAATAGATTGCAATTACAATAGTTAATGACGAAATTTTTTATTAATATTCATATTCATTTAAATTTAAAATCTCTGATAGAACGAATACAATTTAAACTTGGTATTTCACTCTACTTAACAAGTGGTTCATTTTTCGAGACGCCTAAAACACCAGCGTTTTTGAAATGTCGGTTAATTTGTCTTTGAGTTCCCCAGACACTGAAGTCTTGGCTTCACAGCTTTCTAACCGATCAAAATCTACAGCGGCGGTCGAAACGACTTTCTGTGTCGTTTTGAATATTCTGGCGTTGTTGCTCAACATGATCCTCTGTTGGACCGTTTACAACAACGAACGCCTTCGTCGAATCACCAATATCTACGTGTTAGCTTTAGCAGCCGCGGATCTCCTCATGGCCTCTTTAGTCATGCCTTTTCTGTGCGATGTTTCGGTCAAAGGAGGTTGGACATTTAATTGGTTTCCATGTCAGTTTCAAGGATACTGGTGTGCTGTGTTGGCCTACACTGCTCAACTTTTATTTCCTCTTGCCGCTATCAACCGTTACACAAGAGTTTTTCATCCTAAAATTTACTTCACATTTTTTAATGACAAGAAGTACATTTTATTATCGATAGCTGTCGTTTCGCTGTGTGCCTTAACCGCCCCTTTGCCGTACCTTCTTCGCGGGCACGAATTCGCTTTCCATCCAGGAATGATGATTTGTTTCTACACAATCGCGAACACTAGAGAAAAACAGGCCCTATACAGAATCATTTTTTTCACGGTATTACCCATGCTTGTGGTGACATTCTGTTATTTTCGCATTTACCGCACCGTAATACGCCATACTAAACGCTTCCAAAACAACGTCACGACGTCTGCCGTGCGAAACGCTAGCGCTACGAACAAGCTGTCATCCGATGAAATTGTCATCACTAAAACATTATTTGCAATAGTTTTAGGGTTTTTCGTTTGCTGGACACCGCTCTATATCATCACGTCTATTGACACAGCCTTCGAAGGATATCGCTTACCAAGACAGGTTTATTTTCTGGCTACCTATTTCGTTGGTTTGAGCAGCATTGCCAATCCTATCATTTTTGGATGTATAAATGCAAGCTTTAGAGAGGAGTGCAAGAATTTAATTGACGCTTTGAGGCAAAGACATACTGATAGAGTGCGAAATATTTGACGAGCAGAAAAGGTTTCTTTTAAACTTATCAACAGCTTAGAAACGAAAATAGAACCTGAGTCTTTAAACATTGCGTGATACATTATTTGGCACCTTTACTTGATGTATGGAGATAACATTCGCTTTGCTCTTTAGGAAAATGTGTTAAATTAGGGATGCTAAATTAAAATATTGAGTTTTGCAAAATGTTTCCATTTTATTCCAAACTTTCCTCTTATACCATGCTTTTGTCGACAAAAAATTGTCACCATGGATGATGATTAAGAGAGAACTAAAATTTGAGTTACATTTATACCGGGAATATTTCCTTGGTTGACGCAATTTTACATTAGCAATGATGAAAGCTAGTCAATAGTACTTTTACGGAAAACGGGCAAGCCAATTTTAACAATGATCTTACAATTTCCCCGGCGGGTGTTCCTAAGAAGGACAAATAGCCAAAGCCAATGATCTCAGTCCCTACTCCTTCCAGGAGCTAGGGACCTTTCAATTCTCTCTTTTTCATTATTTATTTCTTTCTTTCGTGTGTACTGAAAGGGAAAACTCGAAGATGGGCTAGAAAAAAACTTGTCAATGGAAATATTTCATTCGTGACTTCGTGTTCTAATGTCTTACTGAGCGCTTAAATGTTAAAAGGAAGCAGCTTGGAATTAAAAGGGTTTAACTGCAAAAACATACGTCGTAACTCGAGGGGTGACTCAGTAATTAGTATGCTAAACTCGTTTAAGGCCAGCAGGTCGCCGGAGAAGCATCGGGAAACTCGATATCGGAGATATCTGGAAAAAATATTTGCTTCCGATCGCTCTGTAAATTACGATTTTCCGCCTAGCTTGTGATATTTGATGTCATTTTTGCAAATCAAATTGAGAACATATTATTGATCTTTTATAGCAGGTAAAAAAATATAATTCACGGAATTGTTACTTCTTTGCAATGATCTTGGTTTCAGCTATGATGCGATAAACGTATTTCCGTCCTACAAAAAAAAACAGCCGTAATGAAAGGGTAGAATATAAAAAAGATCAAATGGCGCCTCCTGTGTCAAATTAACGAATTTTTCACTGAGTGGAATTAACATTGGTCTTTTTGTGCATGTGGATGTCTTCTCAATATCCTGTTTTGAAACTCACAGCAGCACGACTGGTGTAGTTCTGTTTTTATTACCCTTGGTCAAGTGTGTCTTGAACTTTGAACAAGAACATGAACCAACTGGACATTTTAATAATTTCTGTGCCTTTATTTGTGTCACGACCGGTGCGATTTACATTTCTTACCTAGCTTGCTACGTGCTTGAGGCAAACTTGGGCAGGAATAGAATTAGATTTCACTGTTAATTATAGACGGTTGCCTTTTCAGCTAAAAAAGCCGTCGTGAACTGAAATGTTTTCATGTAGGCAATGCAATACCACTGATAAAGGTATGAGTTGCAATGAAAAAAATAAAGTTGACAAAAACTATAGTTACCTTGCATCATACGATAGTGGTTAAGGTCAGGGTGGTCATCATACTGTAAATCATTGTCAAGGCACATCATGGGGTGAATCTTCCCTCTCATCACCTACGACAAATTTGCACCATAATAGAATATCTCTAGGTATAGGGGTCGAAACAATATCACAATCGTTAGGCGAGGAAAAGGGAAAAATTCATCTATAGACAATTCTAGAACACGCAAGGTCCTAGAAGAGAAATTCCATTTGAAAAAACTCCAAACCAACAAATAAGCGGCAAATATGGGCCTTGCAAGGAAAATATTGACATGAAATAAATTTTGATATTTTTACTTATTTATGATTTCACTTCACCTGCCGGTATTGAGACAGCCAATATTCAAACGACGAAGATAAAAATACTCTTATTATTATTATTATTCTAACTATATTCTGAGATAAAGAAAGGAGCTTATCGGTTTTGACACTTTAAAAGAGGTTGGTAGTGGGATTTGTTTGATTTTCTAAGTTGATAATTTCAATCTTTTTTGGCAATGTTTGTCATTTACCATTCTGATCTGGAAATCACGCATGGTAAAATCGTGCATCTCTGAACCTTGGTACTAAAAGGTCACATGGCAATGTAAGCTTTTAGTACAAAAAAAAAACATTTATTCAGTGCACTCTGAAAAACTTGAATCCGTTGTAAAGTCAATGCTTTTGGAATAGGTCTATCGTGAGCTTTAGGACTGAATTAGGGAAAAGATTATGGAACCAATGTATTAAGTATACAATTTTTTTAATATCATGAATAGTTTTGACATGTTTACTGCATCGCACGAAAACGTTTAAAGACACAAAGTTTTCCTCTTCTTTGCAAAGTAAAATGACATTTTAGGCTTCATCTGTTGCTTTTTAACAACTGCTCACTAAATACGAAGTTAATATAGACAAGTAATCGATCTCTGAGGCAAAGAGTGGGAGATAAATCTATTTTAAAATCTTCATCAAACTAGGGTGAAAAACTGTTATAGTATAATTGTTCGGACACTGATTATGAAAGCATCCATATCTTCTAAATTTGTTTCGTCATTTCATCCTTGAAAAGCATAGAGAAATTTTCAATAACTGATTCCTCATGAAGATTGCTTCAGGCAAGATGATCACAGGATTATCTATAGTGACTGAATCTTTAATTAGTCAGAGCGTGCATATGTCTTTAATCACCCAAGCAACTCAGGTATTTTGTGTTAAACAGCTGTTTCGAGAAAGTTCGTCGGAAAAAAGTGTGTAATTATATAGAAACAACTCCGAAAGGTATTGTGGGTAGTTTTCAGGCATGCAAAAAGAAAATGATGAATGATAATACACTGGTACTGATATGTCCCACAATGTGAGAAAAGTGCTTGAAAATTGTTTTACATAATAAATAAGCTAAATGTTGTCAATGTTGATGCCATCTATGCGTCTGCCCTCTTATAGATCATATCAGTAAGAACCAATTAAATTGCGTGTATATTTCAGCTTATTATGTAAAAACTTATCATTCAAAGTATCTTAGATTTATCATTAGCCTGTTCGAGACGCTCAGTTCTTAGTAAATAAAATGGAGGGTCATGTAATTACAGAGACACTCGATCCTCAAGTTGAGATGCCATGTTTACATTCTTCAACTCAAACCATAATGAAAGATGAATCCGTTTTGAGTTGTCATTTAATGAGTAACCATTTAATTTTAGGACTTAGTGACGCTCTTATGAATTGTCGTTCAGGATCAGTGAACAAAAGCGATTTTGTTGTTTTAAGCTCAAAACTTTGAATTCAACACTCTATTTGCTATCAACTGAAAAAAAAAAATTCACGGTCAAATAGAGAACTAGTTTATAATGATGTTTTATGGCCTAAGGAATTATTCATGAAGAAAGGTGAACAAGCTTTTTATTATCATTATTGATATTATAACTGTTAGTATTTTAAAGTTTGCTTCTAATTCTTCTGGAATCCTCATGTATCTTTTAGATTGCCTAATGATTTTCCACAGTGTGGCGGCAAGTTTCAACTTCCTGCGATTAAAGAAAAAACTTTGTGTTTTGAGGTAAAAATTGATAAACTTTATCTGCCAAGCTAGACTGCGTATAAACAATACGTTTCATTCAGTAAGACTCAACATAGTCATTACGTAATACAAATACCAAATGGCCCATTTTTTTTCTCTTGAAAACATTTATCAAGCACTAACTTCCTAATGAATTCTGAACAGAATTTCCACATTAACAACTATTCAAACATCAAGGATTCTCATCGAGTTTACGTCGACAAATTTTGCACAAGCTAAGTCTCCTGATCACGAAGTGACACATCAGTTTTTTAGACAGGCCTAGAGAGACTTGTAGGGTGAAAAAATATATTTTTTCGCTATTTTCATTGCCAGGGATAAGCTGTCAATAAATTGCTGTCAGGAGATATTCTAAAGCGTATTAATGATCGTAACGCTCAAACGCTATAGACTATTTTCATTTAATTCCAATAGGCTATTTTGTCTTTTTCTGATAATAGAAAAGTTTATATTTCATAAACATTGATAGAAGTAGAAATATTCCTCAATCACTGATTGTTTTGCGGTTTTTTTTTCAAGTTTCCTATCAAGATTGTGAATTTGTTTATATTCTCTTGTTTCTTTCTTAAAGATCTCTAAAACAATAATGGGAAAGTTACGAGCATCGTTAAAATGCGAGCAGCATGGAAATTTTTTCTTTTACAAACCTTTTACAATTTTCCTGGTACAGGCCAATTTAGTTTGAGTTGTAATTCTTTCCGACCAGTAGAAGGTTCTAAATTAAACACGAATTGGTGCCTCCTATGCAATGACATGTACAAAAACATAACATTATTTAATATTTAAGGCAAGAATTGTAGATGGAGTATTACTAGGTGTTAATAGTGCTGAACAGCAAACGAGGTTTGAACCGCAACTTAAGTCTGTGGCCACAGAAGAAAGTAAAACTAAAACTTATTTCAACTGTCAGTAACCTAGCCTTTACATTTGTGGCTGTGGTTTGTTTTGGTTCGTAAAGATGTTTTTTGTTTCACGCCATGTTAGAGGCTATCATATCCTTGCGCAATGACAATGTGTTGATTGTTGCAAAACCCCAAACCTGAACTTGTTCTGTATATTTATGGACATTACCAGTAATAAAAAATTCATAACTTTGAGGTATGTTTCTGCTGGTATTAGCACAAGGCGCCCACGATACAGTCATATTCAAGAGCTACGTCTTACAACGGTGTTTTAACGGTTCATTCTCAACTGGCATCGGAACAGAAACCATAAATCAACTGAATTTTATGACACTAGCGCCATGAACGTAAGTTTTTGAGCGAACTACGTAGTGCGAATCATTAACGTGGAAACACATGTTTTAATTTGTGGCCGATAGATCTCCGTCGCTATGAATTGCGATGGGTTACAATCTGGTCTTGCCACATGGCACTAGGACGGTTTAAATTTTACAATTTCATCTATTACTTGTTGCTAATTGCCTCGAAAGCCTTATTGCAAAGGCCTTACTTCGCTTATTTAATTGATTGGACCCGTTTCATGAGCTACAGGTCACTTACAGGTACCTCTGTATCAATATCCTCGCTAAGTCGTGAAAAGAAATCGTTTAAAACTGAAATCAGCTCAGGATTCACAAATTCAAGGTTCTAAGCCTTGAAATTTCTTAGTCATAGAACAATTTCTTTGTTTTGATAAGAGGATCAATCACGCCAAAGCTATTGGACGACCCTTAAGTAATGTTTTCACAACACCTACTGCTCAAACAAAGAAAAGGTTCGCGTTTTAACATGAATTATTTATAATGGTACGGTCGGCATGGAGATAACGTCATCGTCGAAAGAATAGCTACAATTAAAATCGAAAGATGCTGTAAATGAATTCACAAACAACACTGAACTGAAATTCAAATAAAAAATAATTCCAGAGTTTATATCGATCTCTTATTTCATGATAAGCAGTAAACTGTTGACAAGAAATTTTCTAATGCTATAGTTACCAAGTGAATAAAGGAAGTAGATTAATTCAGGCTGTGATCAAATGACACATGGAAATAAAGAGTTTATGTTAATTTGGCGCCGTTTCGATTTAGTGACCTGAAATTCTCGATCACCCAAACTTTCCACGAGGCGTGCAAAGCTCGCCAAATCGCAGGTAAGAAAAATGAAACTGGTAAGGGTTTTTTTTCAGCGCGAGTACTTTATGCAAGTAAATCTCTGTTTTTTGTAATTGTTTTTTTTTAATACTGCACTGACTAATTTTTTTGTTTTATTTTAAATGCTATTTGTAGGCTGGTCGTGGATAAAACCGCCTGGCGGATTCGATGTCTCGGGAATGGAAACCTGTTAAATGGTTGAGCGCTAGCAGACGAAAGAGAAAATGGAACCTTTGAAAAATATTGCCTTCAGAATTATCCTAATGTGCGTGATCAATTTTCAGATGTGTTACAGCCAAGGTAGGTGTCTTTTGAACAAAACGATATCATAATATATGCCTAATAAATGCAATGTGCGGACTAACGAGACTCACTAAGCACATGAAGTTGTACAGGGAGGACCGAGGACACAATTTTGTAAGCCAGTTAGAGTTAGTATCATCAATGACTCCAAACCACATCGTAGGTGGATAAAAGATGATCGCTGCTATGCGGTTTTAATGAATCAAATTTTGAAGCCGTCGGGGAAATTTTCAAGCGTGTTGTTTGTTATCAAAGCCGCAAAGGCGGTCGCGCGAACTACTTTTTGTAAAGTGTGAGTTATTTCTTTTAATTCCATGCCTCACTCTTGAAGAAAGAAATATAACCGAGGCCATCGATCATAATTTTGAATAAATATTCTTGTATATTAACATAAGAACCTGCGCTTTCAAAAATTGACAACAGACATGTGAATATTCCAGACGCACTTTCACCATACTTGTTAGTTTAGTGAACCGTAAAGTTGACAGAGCTAACAATTTTCATCGGAGCTAAATTTCTGTTGCATTAAAAGACACGCATTTAACTTCAAAAAAGAAATGACGGTGAAATACATTTTTCAAGATGGCTGCCTTTTTTAGAGCGACAATTTAAAGTTATTCCTCTCTATAATCGACTTAGCGAAAAACATTTGAATGACTGCTGATTTAAATATAGTATTTCCTTCCTTCCTACTAAGTTAAAACATGCTTCAAGGCTATTTTAAGATCAAAAGTGACTGTAAAATAGGAATTTTTCTACCAAATATGGTAGCGAAATCAGGATCAAGATTTACTGATATGGTCGCGTAGCCTAAGGGAAATGTCTCTTTCATCCTATTGTTACATTCAAAATACAGAGTACGCGGTAGTGTTCATAAGGCGTGATATTCGACTTCCGCAATCAAATAGTGGCGAAATGAAACAAAGTTGTGTGAAATAAATTTGTTTTTCCTTTTTTACATGTATGAGTTATAAATTTATATTTGTATATTATTATTTGTATATAAACTAAATAAACTCTTAAACAGTCGCAATTTCTCTCTAAATGCAAGTTATGATTAGAATTGTTGACATAAATTAAAGTCTCCCCCTTATACTCTATACCTTAACACTGCTTTGATATTTCAAGCATTGACGATGTGATATCTCCTCAGTTAACATAAATCGAAAACCTACATTTGACCTGAGGCAGTCAATAATTCTCGAAGTCCCTGAAAATACAACTGTGGGTAAGTATATCGATATGGTTACTTATTAATCTAACTATCAACTTATTTATTCATTAGTAATTTTCCTACTCACTAATTTCTAACGTTCTTTTTATTGACCTCCTATTTTTCGCTATTAGGAAAGCAAAATTTCCATAACATTCCCTGTGATTTAAGAAAAAAAGCTTTTCTGTGCATCTAAGTCTTCTTAAGTTCTAATTTCTTTGTTGTTCAAGGTTCATCTCTGGAATATATCAGAGCTTCAGACGCTGATAATGACCCTATACTGTTCTCGCTGGATTCAGCCAGTCAGGGTGTACTAAAAATTGACAACACTGGAAATTTGACTCTCAAAGCTCCACTAGACCAAGAGGTTGGTCACATATCTTTACTTAAGGGGACGAAAAGAGATGGTAAATTCTGAGTTCGGTTGTCGAATATAGAAATGCTTTTCATTTGACACTGGTAAGTGCGGCTTTCTTTCGTCTCACATTCGCTACAGACGAATAACAATTTCGTTATCTCGCGATGGAGCTCAAAATATATCGCCTTTCTTAACCCTTTCAACTCTAAGAGTGACCAGCATCTGATTTCTCCTTACTTACTCATTCATAAAGGGATCATGAGAATAAAGGAATCATGAGAATAAAGGAAATGATCTCCAATCTAAGGGGCTTTGAAGAAGAAATGTGTAGATTGGAGTATGGAGAAATTGGATGCTGAGGTTGGCGTGTAAAATGTTAAGTTACGTGCATGACGTAACTTGATTTATTGGTGAGGTCTTAGGGTAAGCTTTCACTGACACGTTCAGAAATACGGTCTTTTCAAAGTGTAAATCTCCCTCTTAATACAAACTCACCGAGTTCTACCACAACTGCTAGACTGCTAGTTTTCTTCATCAAACATCGTTACTGTCTTAAAGATAACGGAATCTATGTTTGGGCAATCCCTACACCCAAGTATGCTACTTGAAATTTCTTATTGAAATAAGTCTTTTCGTTTTGTATTTCATAGGTGAAAAATATATATGATTTCATCGTGTACGTTGCCGACGAATGTACTGGTTGTAAGCCAGAAGATCGGAAGGTATGTACCTCTGAAATTTATTCAACGCTGTTGTGATGGTAGAAAAAATCCTCCTTAAGTTCCTTTCTAAGAGTAGTTAATAGGCGTATTGAGAAATTAGGAATGGTTTTGCCTTATTGATTTAAACGATAGTAATTTGTATGTTGATTGCGTTTTCATCTCTAGACATCAAGATCTTTCAAATTGTTTGTCACAGATGTCAATGACAACACACCTACCTTTATAAGTACACCCTATCTAGCCAGAGTTGCTGAGGTAAGCAGATTGAATCGCCAACAGTTAATTCAGATTATTGACCTTTATGTCAGGTGTTTAGTCTCGAATTTAAGCACAAATAAAAGAAGCTCAGTTCATTTCTCTAGCCGGGTTTGCTAAATTGGAACAATTAGTGAACTATAGTGCGAAAGGTCGAGGGCCAGTTGAGCTGAACCCCAAACCTAAAGCATTTAAGGGTCCTTCGTTGACTGGTACGATTGTGCCGTCTTTGCAAGGACATATTGTTCGTGCTTAGAAGTTCTGGTCTTCACGGATAAGGAAAATTAACTGCTCATGCAGGTCCTGTCTCCCTGACATATTCAATTCCATTTCTTGTGGCATAAGATACCGCACACTATTTGCGAAGGGGAGGGTAATGCGTTTCGTCATTGTCATGGTTTGGGAAAAAGAATAAATCAATGAAGCTTCTCTAAATATTCATGGGTAGATGAGATAATCACTGATATAAATACCTCTTTCATTTCATTAAGAAGTTTAATATTATGACTCTTAGAATCTTTATCCGTCCTTATTCAATAAAGAATGGTGGACTTTGGGTTGAAAAATCCGGATCGAAGCCTACCTAAAAAGGGGGAATGAAATGAGGAAATAAATCGGTTTTCATTGTCTTTAGAGAAAGACGACGAAAGCAATAAAAGAGTATACATTTAATGACGGGGATTTTCCAATTTCATAGTACAAATTGTACAAGTAATATCTTATGAAATTCTTCAACAGAATGAAACAGTCGGCGATCTTGTGATTCAAGTTAGCGCCATCGACAGAGACACAGGACGAAATGCATTAGTGTCTTACATGTTCAGTCCTTCGACGAAGGTAAAAGTGTAACCTGAGCTGTGTATCGTTTTGAAACTAGTCTACATCACAATGGAGACCTTTACATTCGAAGAGAGATATCCCTTCGAACTCCAACAGTCAAACAATGGCCGTGTTTAAGCCCTGACCTATTTAAGCAGGAAGAAAAATCAAATAGTCGTCACCAATAGAGGACGAGTGTTAGCGAAGATGGTGTAGTACAGAAAACTAAACGCCTACCCGTTGGCAGTTTTCTGGTCTTTTAACCAGGAAAGGGTCACCTTCGTCTAATAATAATTTGCAAGCCAAGTTTGTTTTCACATAAAATCACGTGTAATATATTTCCCTTAATTTCTCGAAAACGTGAAAGCAAATCGCGTATTCAAAGTCTATCTCATCGAGGTTCTCTTCAATCCGACATCATCCTATTCCTTTATGTATCGATTTTTAGTAAAATAATAAGGAGTGAGATGATTTATATTCTTGCAAATTAATGCTCTTCTTCTCTTAGATCAAATGTTTATGTAACAATTTATTTTTCCCTGTGGTTGATATCTGCATTTACATTGGTACAGCATGTTGATTCTGTTAAATCGCTCTCTTGTATCTGCTTTCCTCTATCTGTTATACTTTCCTCTCACAGCTGTTGACCCTTTCCATGTTGCAGGGGAATCTGATGTCTAGTTTTTCTTACCTTTTATAATCATCAACTTATTTCCTTACTAAGTACTGAAAGAACTGTCCTGTCAGAATTCTTTATTTGTTAAAAAATCATCGGGAGTTTATGCAGCTTGGAAGTATAGTGCTACTCAGAAAACTTCTTTGAAGTCAAATTCTTAAGAGTTGGTCCCTTGCATGAGTCCAGAGATCTTTCTCTAATATATAAACTAAAACATTTTTGTCTCCTAGTGGTCTCATGTCCCTGGCTGTGGTCACATCACCGCAAAAATGAAATTATTGATCTTTCCCCTGATGTCCTATTAATGTTCTTTATTTATCTCTCTTTGAAGGGCTGGATAAGTCCTTGGAAGGTTAGGGAGTTAACTCTTCTCTCCTTTTCTTCATCTTCTTAAGTTATTACCTCCAAAATGTTATCTGTGTTGTACTTGTCATCTTTCATTCTTACTACTTTTGCCTGTCACATTCTCGTTTTTCTTACAGGACCTGGTTTTTCAGCCATGAGTATATTTTCTTTTTGGTTTTTTCCTTTGTGCGTGGCTTCCGGCATTAACCTAAATATTCTAGTATCAATGCAACTTTTGCGTGTTGTTCATTAGATATAGAATTATTTGACAAAGCTTGTATCCTTTGCAGACGGATACCTTTGCGATCGACAATCATCTAGGAAAAATAACCATCAATGGATCTCTCGACTTCGAGAAAGTGCAGCGCTACACGCTATTTGTTACAGCAAAGGTAAGTAATATTAAAAACTAACATTTGAACCGATAATTTCTGCCAATAATTAGTTCATGCAAGAATATCTGGAACAACCGTTAGGCGCGCGGGTTTATTAATGTCTTGAACTACTACGCGCGTTTACGATGAACTAACGAAACACATCTTTTTCTCTTTTTAGTTCTTGATTTCTTTTACTTTCCCCAGGATGGCGGAGATCCTCCTCTGGAGTCAAAGACAACGGTCATCGTTGATGTTTCAGATGTCAGTGATAACCCGCCTAGTTTCCTGAGACCCATTTACCTCGAGTCCATTCCAGAGAACAAACCAAAGGTACATTGTGTTTCAACTGATGCACTTGCGTTTGCATTTTCATGCTACCTTTGGACGGAACATACATTCGTCAAATGTATTTGATCATGAGCTTGCAATCACTGTGGTAGATGACGTTGACCTTTTACGTCAGTAGGAACTGACTTGAAACGAACTTCCACGATATCTCTTTCCTTTCCAGGGCTCCTTGATTGTTCAAGTTCAAGCAGTCGATGGAGACTCTGGTGTTGGAAATGCAGTCGAATATGAGATCATAGATGGTAAATATTCTTCAACAATAGGGTAAAACTTTTGAGGAATGTAATAATACCAGATTATAATAAATTTCGGATATAACGCGCGCTGTCATTGGTTGAAAGAGCGTGTTATATCAGAGTACTAAACATGGAGCTGAGCTGAGCTAAAGCTGTCACGCCATCTGCTTATTTGTACTATGTCCGACTATTCCCGGACTTCTCTCAAGCTTTTTTTCGTAAATAGTAAGTGAAATTTCGGAACGAGCGAGCTGTTAAGTAGCAATAGAAGAACCAAACAAAGGACATGCCAAGCGCCCTGATTGACCTTACTTTATGAAGAGGTAGTAAGAAACACTCAACAATTTCTCGTACTTTTTCCTTACACTTCTTCCATGCTCTAACCACTTCCTGCGTGCTTTACAACAGAACAGAGCAGAGCCAAGGTTTATTTATTTGTCAAATTAAGGAGAGAAAAGCGGCAAAATGCACTGTATAAAATTTAACAGTCTTATTGGAATGACCCTGAACCCCTGCTTTATTTCCTGTTTTTAACGAGTGTGATCTGAATTGAGAGAAAAGTAAGCAAACAACTTCCTTCCCGGAAGCCGCCACTCTTCATAATTCATTAACTCTTTCATCAACTCACACACTATTCTATGAATTTCTGTTTCATTATTCGTTTGCCTCGTTTTGATTCACCTGTTTTTTTTCTTTGCTTTCCACCAGGAAATGACAAAGGACTGTTTGATATTGACAAGAGTTCGGGAAATATTACAGTCAATGGCACCATTGATGCTGAAAAGACTGAATTCTTTAGAATAACTGTCAAAGTAATATGGATTCATCTTAAGAATTAGTTTCATATGTCCAGTAAACCCCAAATGAAGTTCTTGAAAGAAAAAAGTGAAGAGCCCGCTTTTTAGTTGAGCGTTTCGTAAAAGCATAACTAGGGTAGTTACAGAGTCCAATCGGAATAAAGGAAAATATTACAAATTGCTAATGAGAACAAAAAGTAAACATAAATGGCCGGCTCCGAGGCAAAGTACGTAACAGACGAAAAATTTCACAACTAGTCACAGAGCTTAGTCAATGCTAGATGATTGATGTAATGCTGATTAACTTCTGTATATTTCCCTGAACCTAACAGGCATCTGAAGTAGTTGATCCAGCTTCCAACTCCACGGCCGTAATACTCGTAACAGTGCTGGACACGAATGACAACTCGCCCCAGTTTCTGCAGAATCGTTACGACTTTAATATTCGAGAGGATCTGGCTCAACCAGGATACGTAATAACTAATCAGTTGAACGTACAAGACAAAGACATCTATGTAAGAAATACTGCAAGAGTGTCTCATTAATAGGGTTCGTTAGGCAGAGCGGGGAAAGGAAAATATTATAATAACTTTATAATCAATACGATCATAAAATTGTAAGGAAGAGTTAAAAAACTAAGAAAAGCAAATTCTGAGGGGAATGCCAAGTCAACATGCTGTATTTTCTTTGTGGATGGTTCCACGCTTGAGAATTTACTACGATAGTAAAACTTTGCATTATTTTGATTTTCTTTTCCTTTACATGTTTCACAACATCTGTTCTTCTTGTCACAACTGTTACTGATTAATTATTTAACGTCTCTTTCAGCCTCAGAATCGCCGCTTCCAATATTCTTTATCAGGAGAGGACAGCAAATACTTCATAATCGACCAATCTTCTGGTCTCCTCAGAGTTAATGCGACCTTGGATTATGAGCAACATAAGGCCAACTTCTCTTTCAAGGTAATATAAATTGCAGCTTTAATTCATATAGATTTTCGAAATTTCTTTTTGTGTGCCCACAACCAGTCGCAAAATGAGTTGCGACATGTTAGCATCACAAGAGATAATTGTTCACCGTGTGATCTAACATGATGTATCCCCCTACTTCCACTTTACAATGTTGGTAGCTGAGAAGTATCACTTACATAACTTTGATGAACAACAGTGAATCGGGGAAAGGGGGCAGCATTTGATTTTTTGCACTAAATTACTTCTTGACCATCTGATGAAGTTGGAAAACGCAATTTTCGCTCTAGGTGTCTCAACATTTATGCCACCGGTTGCAGCAGACTTTGATGGTATTTCTCGTTTTCAGTAAGCTATGTGAGGGATTCAAGCCTATGATTAATTTTATTTGTTTGTGTTTCAAGGTATTTGCAAACGAAAGTGAAAGTGAAGAGAGGCTCTCCGGTTTTGCCATCGTGGAAGTTGATTTGATCAACATAAATGATAACGAGCCCAAGTTCAACCAAATTTCGTACAACTTCACTTACGATGAGGAAATCCATGAAGGCTTCGTGATCGGAACAGTTATGGTGCGTATTTGTTATTCCTTTCTGTTTTGTTTTATGTTTGTTGATGTCAGTTCACGTTTCCGCTGGAACTTTGGCGAATGGGATCACCCATTGCATTTGTACCGATCGGGTTGAGTTGCGATAAAAATAGAGCTAAATTGATGGAATAAATGTGTGAGAATGGTCAAACATCGTGACATTCTAAGAAACGTACATCCTCGGGAACCCAGGGGCTGTCAGTCGATTTCAATGTAGGGCGGGAGAGCTTTGGAGGATGAAAGATGTTTTCTCAAAATTACAAAATTTTCAGGACTATGAAGCTTCTTGACTGCTATATATATACAGTACACTGCTTCTTATTTTACTAAATTCGGTGACATTGAGTGCTGAGATTCCAATGCAATCCTTTTCATTTTAACTTAGGCCACAGATGCTGATCTTGGTTCCTATGGAGAATTAAAATATGAGTTGTATGGCACTGGTGCAGCAAGGTAATATTTGATATATTGAATAGTAATTATAAAGAGTCTTACTGATCATTGACAAGAGCATGGTCATTTGAGAACTGTAGGAGATGTAGTGACTTAGTGGTTTGTGCTAAGCTTCTGATCGTATTGTCTGGCTTTACCTCCATCAGAGGTCTCTTTGATTTGTTCATAAGCATACATCTGAAATCCCATCGTGTTTTTCTTCCCACAAACTGTTAGAAGCACCGGTAAAATGTCTTTGCTTATTTATGTTTTCTCTGAAGTTAGCGAAAGCGACTCGACTGGAAACGACAGCAATTCAATACTCTAGGTAACCTGTGATAGACCTCCACAGCGCTAAGACGGTCTGAGACATATTCTCCAAGTGCATGTAGACTCTTTTAATTATTATATTGTTTTTATTGATGCAGCTTCACGGTAGACTCCTCAAATGGATCTATTCGCGCGAGCAAAGTACTGGATTACGAACAGAACAAAGAATTCATGTTCTTCCTGCTCGCCAATGATGGTGGAAGATTTTATGAGGAAGACAAAACTTACGTGACTACAATCCGTGTTTTCTTGAGAGACGTTAATGATAATGATCCTGTGTTTCTGAAGACTCCATATGCTGTGGAGATAATGGAAAACCAAACTGAAAATATTTTTGTTTATCAGGTCAGTGCCTTTATTTTAATAAATGAGACCCTCCCAGAATTTTAACCGGATAAACGGAATTCAAATTCTTTAGCGATTTGGCATCTCAAACTGAAAATAGCTCGGGCAATTTTTGCCAGCATCGAAACAACATCCTTCACTTTTACAGTGTTATTTATTTATAAATTATAACTTTTGCTTGTTATTATGGAGAAGTGTCACAACCATCTTGCATAACCTAATGTGGCGCCTTATTAAAGGACACCCGCTTCGCTTTAAGCCTCTCCTTAATCCTAGAATTATCAAGAATCATACATGCAGGTCCAGTTTACTAGAAATGTCACAAAACATGCCAATTGCAGAGGATGTAGTTACCAGTCTCCGTGTCACGGAACAAAACGGAGGTTAACTGTAGTAGCGAAGGACCAAATCAATAACCTCAATATATACGAATCGAAAGGCAAGAGTGAACGAAGGCAATGGTCACGGGTTTGGACAATGCTCAATACGGTGATGAATAACGCTGTGTTCTGTTCATTTTTTAGGTGTCAGCATCAGATTTAGACTCCGGAGATAATGCACGGGTAAAGATTTGTTTAAAAGTGTTTAATGTTAATGTTCATTGTTTTCCGAGTTTGAAACACAGGCTGGCTGTGAATGGAGCTGTAGTTGTAACGAAGGTGAAAGCCTACTAAAGTAAACAAACTAGTGTCATAAAATAAAATAGGGAAAGTGTAGTATGGGCTCCTAAGGGTCCATAACCAATCAGAAAGCAGCATGAAACGATAAAATTGGGTAATGGACCAATCAGATTTAGGTATTGGAGCCCGATATGGCGCATGAGAATTGCTCTATGATAGGTTACGACCAATCACAGCCTCAGTTACTATTGTCATGGTTTCGTCAAAATAATTGAGAGGGATTAACTAATTTAGCGATGGTGAAACTCTCAGGGTAAAACTACAGTCAAGGACTATTTTACCGACAGGTAGAAGATATCTCCATGAGGAAGATGAGACTAATTTTTAATTAGCAAGCTTGATTCATTTTTTTTAGCGAGAATTATAATTATGGTAATACAATGTTTTTCTTTCGATGTGACTGTGTAGATTTCCTTCAACATAACGGATGGCAATACTGGAAATGCCTTTGCAATAAATGAAAGTGGAATAGTAACCACTACGCTGAAACTAGACCGGGAAACAGTTTCCTCGTATTCGCTCATGGTATGTTGTTGAGATCTTTCTTTATTTTTATGTTTTATTTGTTATGCAGCAAAATGCAAAGTAGCAGAAAGTTCGTGGATCCCTGTAGATATCCGCTCTTGGGGAAAGAGGCTTGTCTTATTCACAACGTATGAAATCCTGGGTCGTCCTGTTCAGACGTAAACAAAGCTCTATGAATCAAGGATTGTCGGAAGCACAAAATAGGCCCAAAATGATGAATCGTATCACTAAGAAATCAAATTATTCTTACTTAATTCACCAACGGGTTAGATCATTGAATCAATGTGATTTTTCTTCTTTTTTATCAGATCATGGCTTACGATCATGGCGATCCATCCAGAAGTACGAAAACTATTTTAGCTGTTACGGTCCTTGATATAAATGACAACCCACCAGTGATCTTTGATGGACCATATCTGACAGCAAACGTTAGCGAGGTAGGTCTACGATGTTAAGTGAATCAAGAGCAATTAAAACTCTTCAGGCGCTTATGTGGTTTTCATCTATTTTGCTTTCGAGATGGTGGACTCTTTCCAATTACATGCCTCATCAGAATTTAGTCGGTAAATGATAAACAATCCCGTGTCGAGAGCGCTCTCCTCCTTCTACCGAGGTGGTAAGGATTCAATATTCGGACCTGGCATCGCATATGGATTGAGTGTGTTTTGATTCTAGACCTAGAAGCTCAAAATATTTTTTCTCAAGGAAGTCTGGTTCGTGCTGTGTTCCAAAACTATAATTTGGCCCAGAAACAAAGGATGAAGAGCCACTGCAGAGCATTTGCCACAACTAAATTCTGTGTATGTCATTTTATTTCGTTACATTTTGCAGGGTAAAGGTGGAGGAACATTAGTTTACACTTTCCAAGCTTCCGACCAAGATGAAGGCAGAAACAAGAAGCTAACATACGCCATTTCTGCAGGTGAAAATGGAGAATTCATCCTGAACAGTAACACAGGGGTGCTGCAAATATCTCCAACAGGCCTTGACAGAGAGCTTCATTCCAGCTACAACCTGACAATAAATGTTACTGATGGAGGAATTCCAATGTTGTGGGTAAGTTAGGTCTATTAAAAAAGAAAATACACAGTACGAAGCATGGTTAGGGAAGCTCTCTGGAAAATTGACCATAATTTATCTCATAAACTTTGCATTGATTGCAGGGCTACTCTATGCTACACATTAAGATACTGGACATTAATGACAACTCTCCGGAGTTTGTTCCCAGTCCTTCAGGCTCACTCTCAACCTACATCAGAGTTATTGATGAAGGACCAAATAGCATCAATAAAGCCATCATCGATGTTAACGCTACAGACAAAGACGACGGAACAAATTCCAAGATTGTCTACACCTTTTCTGGGGATCAGCATGGGTATTTCCATCTAAACTCATCGACGGTAAGGTTAAGAACATTTGTGAAAAAACGAATTATGTGAAAAAAAGGATAATTCAATAATACAAGAAAGAACCCGATACCAACATTGTCTTAAAAATGCAGCCTGTTTTCCTTCCGTGGTCATATTTTTTGAAACTGGTATTTAAGGTTTTAATCCTTTGATGAATTTTGATTATTTGTGTCACTATTCGATAAGTTTTTTAACTATTCAGTTTCTCAACGAATAATTAACTGATTGATTGATTAACAACGTGGTGTGTATTGTTGAATACTAAATGACTTTCGCAACATTTCTTTAGGGAGTTTTATATGTCCGTAAAGTCCTGGATCGAGAAAACTCGGAGATGACCTTAGATGCACAAGAGAGAGGAGTGTTTTCTCTCGATATCACGGCTACGGACCAAGCTGAGCCTGAAAATACTCGAAAAAGTTCTACCGTGAGGGTAAGAAAAAATTTTACATCCTTTTATTGTCTTAAAAATGATGTGATAGTTAAAACATATATGAATGATGCATTAGTCTAGTGCTCATTGTCTCCACAAAAGGAAATTCATGATAAAGGATGTACAAAATCAAGAATGTTAAAAAATGATCTTTAATCTACCACCTGCTTCATGTAGAAGAGACTTATTCTTTTAACCATTTATTCTTGTTTCGCCAATCCTACAGGTCACCATAATAGTCAATGACATTAACGACAACACCCCTCAATTCGTTGATCCACCCCAGTCCACCAGCATCAGCGAGGCTGCTCGGCCGGGAAGTAACGTGATACAGGTCCCCGCAGTGGACAAAGATTTAGGATTTGCTGGCAAAGTTTTTTATAATATTACTGAAGGAAATAGCAATGGTATGCTGATAGAATATGTAACATTTAATGACAAGACCTTGATGGGGCACCAATTTTTCAGTGCACCGATTTTGCTGTGATTTCCACTTGTAAATGTTGACATTTAAATGCAAGTCTGACTAAGGTGTGAAATTGATGAAAAATAGAGGTTAAGCAGTGTTATCGAAGATCTTTTCTTCAAATCTTTTAGGAAATTTTGAAATAACGCCAGGCGGCTACATTCTTGTCAAGAGATCGCTGGATGCTGAAGTAAAATCCTTGTATAACCTGACTATTGAAGCAAAAGACGAAGGCCAACCAAAGAGATCTAATAAAGTTAGTGCATCTCTTCAACCCAGTTCCTAGAGATGGAAAATTGTTACTTTTAAAATGGTCCAATTAAAACTGCCTTAGTCTTTTCAGCGGCTGGTTTGTGTTGAGCTATGGGAGAGCGAATGCCTTAACAAAGAACGCCAGCGATGGCAGAGAGTCAACATCTTCGTGACAAATCACTCGAATAGCACCAGAACCTACCTAATACCCTTATCTCGCAGAGGAACCTAATGTAGAACCTACAGTAGCTTTTTCGGTGGAAAATCAAATTGCTCCCACGCTCTTTTGTTTTATCTCAGGTTATTCTAGTGACGAGTTTTGTTTTTTTTTTCTAGACGGTTGTGTCTATTGTTGTAGACGATGTGAACGACAACGATCCAGTTTTCAACCAGTCCACCTATCATGGTCGCGTGTTAGAAAACTCCAACGTGAGCACGCTTGTTGCAAAAGTGTACGCAACAGACGAAGACCAAGATGCCAATGGTCGAGTGTCATATAAGATCACCAGCGGCAATACTGGGGAGGCATTTGCAATTAATAATAAAACTGGAGTGGTCACTGTAAAGGGGTCCATAGACAGGGAAAAGATGAAGGAGTATATTCTAAGCATACAGGCTGAAGATGCTGGCCATCCCTCCAATAGGAAGGTAAGATCACGGGAATGGGAAAGGAATTACGCGGAGGTAACAGCGCTCGCTTAACACCGCTCTCGCTCGATTTCCGACTCCTCTGTCATTGCATGTGGGTTCAGTTTTCCCATTGTGCTGTGTCAAAACGTAGCGCTCCGTACGATCCACTGTTTTTTCTCTCGTGGCAGGCTTTTGCAGACCTTGTCATCACAGTCCTTGATGAAAACGACAGTCCCCCCCTGTTCAAGGAGAGTTCTTACGAAGCATCCATTGAGGAGAACTCGGAAGCAGGAAAAACCGTTGTGCCAGTAAGTACAAAATACTCCTTCGACACCACAACTGAACCTCTCTCTACATTACAAGCAATAATTTAATTTGCCAGCCCGTTTTATGCCGGGGAAAGGAAACAATTAATTATGTTCGAAACGTAGGTGAGAGATAAGCTACCATTGAACCACTGGTAAAAGTAAGGTCTGTGTGCGGGATGAATATCATATCTGCCATAGCTCATCCCATTTTCTGTCATGAGTTATTAATAGTCTCATGTTTTCATTCAAATATACTTCGAAACAACTGTCAAATTTATTTCAGACCATCGAAATAGGAGCTACAGATGCGGACGAGGGAGCCAACGCTATCATGTCATTTTCTCTCCATGGTGAGACGACTGAATTTTTTTTTTTTCGGTCCTGAAAGTTCACTCTTCGTGGAATTACTATCAAATTGTAGCTGACTCAGCTATCCAATCTATTTTGTGTTTTCCAAAATAGCACATTTTTGGATAAATTAATGATTTTTCTCTGCAAGTTTTGGTAATCACTTAAAAATTATCAAATCTAGCGGACAAATTTTAAAATAAATTGAAAATTTACATTTTCCTCTGCAATATTAAGCGCGTCCGTAAGAAACTATGTATTAATGGACAATCATGAAAAGACTCAGAGGTAATCCGTCTAATCTGCTAACAGTCAGTCACTGAATGTTGCAGAAATTCTGCAACCTCTCATGCACTGTGTGTTACAGAAATTCTGCAACCAATAGTCCACTGGATGTCGCAGAAATTCTGCTACCACTCACACACTGGATGTTGCAGAAATTCTGCGACCGTTTATACACTGGGTGTTGCAGAAATTCTGCGACCACTCATACTCTAAGTGTCGCAGGAATTCTGCAACCACTCATACACTGGGTGTCGCAGAAATTCTGTGACAACTCATACGCTGGGTGTTGCAGAAATTCTGCAACCACTCATTCACTGGGTATCGCAGAAATTCTGCAACCACTCATTCACCAGGTGTTGCAGAAATTCTGCAACCACTCATACACCGGGTGTTGCAGAAATTCTGCAACAACTCATTCACTGAGTGTCGCAAAAATTCTGCAACCTCTCATTCACAAGGTATTGCAGAATGTCACTGAATGTCACAGAAACACTGTGACAACTCATACACTGGATGTTGCAGAAATTCTGTATCCTCTCATTCACTAGATGTTGCAGAAATTCACTCATGGATACAGGAATATAACAGTCTTTCTCTAGCCAGTCAATAACAGATGCCACGAATATTCTGTCAATTAACTTTCAACAGGAATTATGTACCTAAAATAGCACATGGCGTAATGCCACATGATAAAATGCGAATATTAAAAATGTTAAAAAAAAGTAAGCAATACAACATACAATTTAAGTCATATCACTTTATTTTATGATCAGATACAAAAACTGACTGAAAAATATCATTAATTTAATAAAATTGAAGTTTGTTATACAGTGATGTAAATTCGGCTTCAAGTGTCC